GCATCCTTGACCTTGAGCAGTCGCGTGCGAGAGTATCGCAAGGGAATACTCACTCTCCCATGCATACTACACTACCTTTATTCAAATTCAAGGATGCGCTTGCAAGATGAATTGCGGGCAGGTCTAATCATCGGCTGCCGGATGCCGGTCCATGGAGGGGGAGTGCCTCTAGGCGCTGTTCGCTCGCTCATTCTGACACTGATGCAGTCTGCCACTGCTAACGTTGGTTGCAAGGGCAACCACATCATCAGCAGACTCTGCGGGACACAGGCACAGGGAGATCTTGTTGTGCAACCCGTGACAAAGATGGCGAGCTTAAAAGAACGCTTTTTCTTATGAGTGTTGTAGGGAATTCATCTCCAACGTCATCTGGACGAAAGAAAAAACAACAAGAAGAAAACGCGACCCAGATAATTACTGGGATTGATGGACTTCCTAGACCTCTAATTTTGCATGCGACGTCGTGGTACTGGACGCCGGAAGCGGGGGCCCACTCCTTAAAAAAGGCGGTCTCCCTTATGCGTTGGAGGCTTTCGCACATGTGGTACAACAGTAAGTTCAACTGTCAAAGCTTTACGAGCGTCTTTCTCTCGAGCTTGCTCCTCTTCGCTACAGCGGCCGCGAAACTTCAAGTAGGAGGGGCAGAAAAACTGCAACAAGGCGCTGAAAATAAGGCCACGGAGACGAAAGAAAGAAGGCTGCTGCGGTATCTTCTAGGGCATGAGCTTTTCGGCGTTGAGGGGGGATGGGTAGACCAAAAGACCGGCGAGCTTTTGACCGGAACACTTGCAGGTAAGGCTCAATTACTTATATAATTCATTTCTACGACGAGTCATTTCTGCTCCCTGTTTCCCTCTTAGGATTCTGAAGAAATGAAGGCAAGACCAATATGAAAGAAACTGTTTTGCGCTCTAATTCAGGCCAGTTCAAGAAGTGGAACCCTGCCTCAGGAGGGGCAGAGACAATGATGGGTGGAGTGGAGCTTGGCAGCAACAGAGCGAGCACCCTTCTAAGCTGGACCTTTCCTGAAAAAACACTTATTTGGACTCCCACAGAGATAGGTCGCTTGCTGGGAGAGGGTCATGTAGATCAAAGCGAGGATGGGAAGAAGAAAGAAAACGTGTTACGCGAGCACATCAAAACACAGGTGAAGAAGCTTGTGAGTGCTCATTCCGCTGCTCGCGGACACGGAGGTCGTGGAGAAAGCCAGGATCGTCCCGTCGTTCAGGTTCAGGAGGACGCAGCGCCCCATGTGGAGGAAAGCATGCATCAGGCCCCGAACCCGAACGGCATGGAGATCGACGAAAGAAAGCGGGCTGAAGAGCTGGCGACTGCGCTGGAAACGACAGGGGTTATTGAGAAGCCTGGCTCATCTAGCAACTCTCCGGCTGAGCTTGTTGATGAGGAGGCGAGCAGTTCTTTTGTCCCCACGATCATATCAATACCTTACAGAGCCCCTCCTGGAAGGGGAAAGGCTGACGCGCAGGAGCCTGCAGGGGAAGGCTCCGCGGAGGGGGAGGAAGGCTCCGCGCGGCAGGTGGTAAAGGGTGATGCCTTCATGGAGCAGAAGATGCCCTACAACTTTCAACACTATGCAGGAGAAAGAGGAGATGAATTCCGTCGACAGGTTTTGGAAAGTTTGGGGAAAGATGTTGTTGATGAAGATGAAATCTAAGGACTAATCACACATCTCATCTTTTTTCTTATCTTTTTGGACTATCTTTTTCTTTATCCTTTTCAATTTTTAGTTGGTGGAGCGATGCGTCTGTCGTAAAAGATTATAGAGACGGTTTTGAAAAATTAAGATTATAGATACTTATTTAGGATACTTGTGGATGGTTACCCTTTTCTCTTTTATATCTTCCTCTGTCTGGTCTGTCTTTTTTCTAGTTAGGTCGGCTCCACCACAATTATAGAGAGTTCGTTTCACCCTTTGATCTTTGTTTCTTTTTCCTATTCAAAATCAAGAAGGTCAGGAGGTATCAGAGTCAGCATCTGGCTCGGTGGAAAAGTGAGACGCTGAAAAGATGTTGTTGATACAGATGAAATCAGCGGGAAGCGGAAGTTGGCTGACAAGTTTTTTAGCATGCGTCCTGAGGATAGACGGGCGACGCTATCACTTACTCTCCATCACGCTATGACATACGCGATGAAGAACGGCCAAGCCTCGTTATTGAAGCTCGGTCCAAAAAGCTACTAGTACACGAGGACTGCTATCGGTGAGGACCTCCACATGGAGGTCTCGGCGGGCAGGGACATTACTCCGTAAAAGTAAAAATGCAAGCAAATCTAAGTGCAGGAGAGTCTTTTTTACTTGCAACATGAACATGGACTTGCTGTAACTACTTAGTATTAATATTGATCACAGCAACTTAATCATTCCCATTCAGGTTGCGAACCCCTCCAATAATAATAATAATTCCCATTCAGATCATTCACCAACGCCACGAAGTACTAGAAGGGAGGCGATGGCGATAGTTGTTCTTGAAAAACAAAATACACACGAATTGGAATTCCTTGTATAATTAGTAGAAGCGACTCAGTCATCATCGTTTTTGTTGCGAGTCAGTCACTGACTAAGAAAAATGAGATAGAGGTGGTGTCTCTGTCTTCGTGTAATCATATCAAGTGACCTTTTCAAGAAGAAGGCGAACAAACTATTTTTATCCATCTTCAATCACAGTCATTAAATTTAAGACTCGGGTCTTCTCTCACGCTTACCAGTCATTAAGAACTGGCAGCACGATCACTTGATTTTATTTTAATTATTTAACAAGAGGGAAACTGCGACGATGCAGTTGCAGTATTTTATTATATGTAAAAAAGAAGGGGGTGGAATAAGGAAGATTCTCGAAGACCATTGGCACAACTGCGCCGATTTGCTCTTCTTTTTTCTGTCTAAAACTCAAAATGTATGCTCAAAGTGTGTGGCTCGGGTGCTTAGTTGTAAATATAACCTGGCAAGTAGTTGTTGTGGGGCAAGAATTTGCTCACTCAGTAGTACGGACTATTAGGAAGTCAAGAACATACGTTTACGTCAAATTTTCCCGAGGGCAGCGCGTCGCTGTAGTCACATACAACGACGACCACAGGAGCTACAAGAAGCCCGCGAGGCCGAAGTGGCGTTCTTCATCATATTTTCCCTACCCACGCGGAAAGTACACCGGCAGGCCTTGACTTGTCGGGACTCGCCCGCGTAACAAAGAAAAAGAAACGTGCCGGGGGTGCTCGATGTGCAGGATTGACAACCCAGCCGAACCTTCGCGAAAAGTGACAGGCTAAGTGCTAACTATTTCCCTTTGCGAAAAGAACTTGATATGGCTGTAACAAACTAAGTGCTGGCCATTTTCCTTTGCGAAAAGTGACAGGCTAAGTGCTAACGATCTTCCTTTGCGAAAAGAACTTGATAAGGCTGTAACAAACTGTAAGTAAGTGTTTACTATTTTCCTTAGCGAAAAGTAACAATAAACTATAACTAAGTACTAGCTATTGCTATTTTCCTTTGCGAAAAGAACTTGATAAGGCTGTAAGAAGCTAGGTGCATACTATTTTCCTTCGCGATCGCGAAAAGTAACACACTAAGTTGTACTGACTATTTGTATTTTCCTTTGATGCAAAAGCATCCGAGATTTATGACTGGATATTTTTGACTACTAAGGTTTTAACTTCTAGCAGCATGTGCATGATGGTCAAGGGAATAATACCATTGAAGTTGATATCGAAAAATAGACGTGAAGATTATAGATTTAGAATTGAATTTAGATACGGTGACCACGAGAGAAATTGTCATATGAAAGCAAAAGAATAACAACGAAAAGAAAGATATAGAGGCAAGGGAGTAGTTGAATCAAAGACCTTCTGTCTCTGTGCAAGGCACTCACTGCAAGGCACATTAGGAGCAGCAAAACACGCTCACACTGCACGCAAAATATGACATATTCAGGAAAAAGAACGACAAGAAAGAAACTCCTTGGAGGCGATAGGCTTTTTCCTACCGTTCATTCTGATACACATTTCATTGGCTATACATGAACTAGACCTGCAACGATATACATGAACTAGGCCTGCCTCGCTTGACATGATCAATGAAGATTTTTTTCTTTCTCTGTATGTGTTCCTACTTCTAGCTCGAAGAAGATCTCGAATAACGTTGCGGTGGAGAAGAATCCAAGCATCTTAGAAGTGATACAAGGAGATATCCAGAAAGCGTGTGTGGATAGCAGCAAACGTAGAAGAGGACAGAAGCCTTTCGCATGCAGAACGAGACAAGAGGTCTGCGAAGAACGATTATTCTCTGGATTTCAGACGCAGCGGATATGTCTGGAGGAGGAAAAAAGAAGCTTGCTTCAAAAAATGTATTTTGCATGCCTCCTACAAGATTATGATATTTTTTTGATTTCGGAGTGAAGACAGAAAACATAGATCTCGATCTCCTCTGGCTCTGAAGATAAAAATGCGACTTCTTCTAGAAAACAGGATGGAACAACGGAGAGAGAAATTTGTGGACGTCGCAATAGGAGGAGTACTATGCGTTCATGCGTTCGAAATCAAAGTGGCATGTTCAAGTGTTACTTAGAAGGCCAGTGTCAACAAGCTGTTAGTGTAGTTACGAAATATATTCTTCAAAAAAGCATAAGAACATATATTTATCTTGACAGAATCAATAGAGGACGGAAATTAACCGCATAAACTGTTGCTGTGAAGAATGAATCGGAAAATTTAACACATGACCACTAGAGCGAACGCTCACTAACTACTCATGTTAGTGCTGCAGTCGGTGACCATACAACAGCTGGCAACCGAATAGCTGTTGATCGCCTGTGGTCTAGGTGTCGAGGACCACTACTGGTGAGTGGAGGTGTCTAGGTGTCTAGGACTCCTATCTATCGTCCAGCAGCAGTTGTATCTCTCCAGCAGGTGGAGAAATGCTGGTGGCCACGGTCATGTGAGGGATGTAGAAGTTGCAGTAGCTCTTGGCAAATGTCGAAAGGGAGCTCAAAATGAGGGTCGATCTTCCAGCAGGGTCCGAAGTAGGTGGATTAAGGTGGATACAACTCAGTAGAAGACATCTTCATGTCAGATTAAGAACCACTCATGTCAGTTACGGATGAACAGAAATTATTGGTGTAGGACGAGTCTGGCTTCGACCTCCCTCATAAGCAATATGCATAGGAGAATCCGTCTCGCCAGTTTCTTCTCTTGAGGTGTATTCCCTTTTCGTGAGGAAATGATAGTGAAAGTAGATAGGCCGCGTCTAATTATAGGAGAATCCTCCTCCTCGTCCTCCGTTCTAGAGGGTGCTTTGCGTGAAGAGATCCGGTTGCTCGGTGACACTCGGGACCGTCTTGTCCGCCAATGCAGTGCGCTGGAGAGGCGATATGTAAGAGCTGTACGCGACTTTCTTACCACCTTTGACGTACAGGAGAGGAACATAGTACCACTCCCACAGGAGGATGCTGGAGTTGGTCAAGAGGAGCGGACTGCTGCGGAAGATAAGGATACGTTCTCTACCAAAATATGTACTACGAAAAAGACAAAAGTCTTGTCTTGGGGAGAGGCAGCTGAATGGTTTTCTGACAATCATGGCCTCAATCTAGCATATGCGGGAACCACTGCTAGTACCACGGGTCGAGACCCTCTACAACAAAACGCGGACGAAAATGATTTATGACTAGTTGTAAACTCTTGTCAAGCAAGAACTAGTTGCTTATCTTGATCTTCTGATACGGTTGTAGCTAGATGATAGAAATAGATGCAAATGGAATACTAGGTTGAGATACAACGATTACAGATCATAGAACTACATACAGGAGATGGAAGAACCTGAACCATACCCATGGAGAATTTATTAATATTGTCCACGCTTGATGCTGACTCTTCTAACTCATTTCGACTTTTCGAATTTTTCCTCCGCTTTCAAAAACCTCTGCCTCACAGTACTGGGAAGCAGCGAGGATGATGTGTCTCCCAAAGATCTTTCTGTCACTTTGGCAAAAGAATTCCGGTACTACGTATGATGCTGACCCAGTAGGTAGTACGAGTTTCATCTCGGTATTATACTGACGACCTAGTAGAAGGTTGATGAGGTAGTTGATATTTCGTCTTCAAATGCTTCTAAAAGTAGGTTCATCGTTGGTCGTCGCCCGACGCCTTTTTATGGAAGATGAGCCAGGACCAGACTTGTTTATTCCGATCGTCCACGTCCATGTCCAATCCATCCTGTGTGTCATAAGTCATGTGCTTCAGGTCTCTCCAGTCTGAGATGGAGACCTTACGTGCGTCGTCCGAAGAAGAGCGCGAGCGCTACGCTCAGAAAGAGGCTGCATGGCAAGTAGATTAAGGCGGGTTGTACTAGTAATAGGGTCGTCCCTATTAATTTGTTATTGTTTTTGATGTCATGGTGCGTCCATATTTGTTAGATTATACTTAAGCGTGAACGAGAACGTAGATGTATGTATGATCCAGAAATGAATGCCGTGGAATTATATTTCAGAAAAAATTCAGGGTTGCAGGTAGATGGGACGATGCAGGATGCACTAGTAAACGTCGAGTGTCACGGTTGAGTGTCACTGATGAAAAACTGAAAAAACTCTTACTTCTTCTTTTAATTAAAATAGATCTAACTAAAGTTGGATCAAATGCGTGATTTGCTGACCACTTTGAACCAAACGGAACGTGAATTGACGCAATTGTTGATGAGTTCCGTTAATGAGCAGGAAGATTCAGGTGGACAACCTCAACATGAGCAGGAAGATTCAGGTGGAAGACCATTTTACGGGAGGTTTTTGTTCTAGTTCTATTAAGATGTTTTGCGATAAGATGGTTTTCTTCAGGAACGATTTTTGGCAGCGCTAAGGTATTTATTTCAGGCCTCTAGTACAGAGGAGGTCAAGAGTTGTTCTTGACCACAACTTGTTTCAGGCGGTCACATCATGCGGTGACCTACTAGGAAGCTCTTCTTCTAAGCATCAGACGAAAGCGAAAGAGTTACGCTTCAAAACGAGGAGTTTGCAAGCAGGAGTGCAGAGGAGTCTAAAGCAACTTTAAGGAAACAGGAGTCTAAAGCTAGCTTGAAGTTAAAAAGTAGTAATCGACTTCTTGGTGACGAGGACAACGGACTCCGTCTACTAGTACAACATCAGGGAGCTGCTCAACCAGGGACGGCAAGTCGAAGTCCCGGTCGTGAGGAGATTATGAAGATTCTACTTGTAATTATCGAAATTGTAGTTCTAACAGTAAGTAAGTCTAAGCTCCTAGTACCTGTGAAGATTTTGTTCAGCTAGTATCTTACTAAAGCAGTAGTTGTAAGGTTCGACTTTTTCATATGTCTGCAGAAGTCAAGTGGCGCAAAACGTGTTTCGTCGTCGGAGATCATGAGAAAGTAGAGGAACGCGACAAGTTTACTAAGGCTAGACTTCTAACTCTACCAAGCGTTGCCATTCACCGGATCGTATCGAGTCACCTGTTCCAGCGCCTAGAGATGAACGTAGTCAGCGCTTAGACGACTTTTCGACAGAGGACCGCGTAACTGCTGTGGGAAATCTCAAGTCACCGCAAGCCAACATACTGAAGCCAGTGCTTTTGAACTTATGGATGCAGGATAGTATATGTCAACTTAGTCGCGGATCACTCGTTGAAGCTGGAGACACTGAAGATTGGAATACGAGAATCACTAAAATATTAATATCATCAAATTGACTAACTTAATAGTGGAAGAAGTAGACAAGTAGAAGAAACTACGGAGTAGGATCAATCTTTTATCTTGGCTTTTCTAGGACAGCAATCATCTGTTGGTTTCATAAGATTTGTCCTCTATGCTGCTGGGTTTACATCTTCATCGCGTATAAACGCCAATTCTCCACCAGAAGGGCTGCGACAGGAGCGTGGTCTTTCACCTGATTCTGCTGGACCTCTAGTACCGGATTTGTCGTCAAACAGGGGACACGAGGAGTCAAGAAGTTCTTTAACTGCATTTAACATTAACTACCCCAAGCACGAGGACCGAGCAGCGGATAATTTCAAGCTGAACAACAGAACAAGTCAAGATGGAGATGGTGGTCACTTTCTTTTTAGTAAGATGAACTACAGCAACAGCAAGCACAACAAGTCAAGTAGTCCTAGTTCTGCGCCAGTGGAACATCACACTCGCTATCAACAAAACTACAACAATGGAGTACTACATTCGCCAAGAACTAGGACAGGAGCAACTACAGGTGCGGGACCTTCCTCGCCCGCATCGGCTTTGGTCCTAGTAACGTCCGTCCTTCAGCGGCAACTGGAGCAGGTCGAAGGAGCCGCTCGTGAGCTGGAGCTTTCTTCTAGCTCCTTTTTACGCAGCGATGATGCAGAGCGATTTAGTGCGCAAGCCCGTGTGCTCCGAGACGCAATCGATAGACAGTTGAAGACGCCGTTGATGCACTTCTTGATGTGCGACTACAGAGCAATGATGCAGCATGTGAAGAATGACCCAGCTGCTAGTAGTACTACACCAGGCCGCCTTGTGGATCAGCCTTATTCCTCAGGAGGTGGAGCAGACTTATTGGTCACCAGCAATCATCAATCTTCTACTTCTTCTTCAGCACACGCTCCTGTTTTCACAGAAAACGAAAACAAGATGTTCCTGGCCTCCTCGTCCTTATCCCTCTCTCAGGAAGAACATCTCCTGCAGTCGCGATTTATTCCATCACTCCTAGAGCCTGAAGTGCCGCGACTACCTGGCATATCCAGAGAGGAAATTAGTGATGGCTTCCGTGTATCACGACGTAGTAGATCTACGAAAAACAACCCTCAAATGCAGAGGCTTCTCCTCAGTCCAGCAACTCTATTGGATTCTGTCGAGAAATTAAACAATAACATCGGGGCCGGTCGCGCAGGGGCTACAACCAGGGAGCTGGAGCTGCAGCAGTCTGCTCGTGGTCAACTCGGTAGTCTGGCACAACTTGGTGACGGCACTTCTACGGAAGACCCGAGGATGCGCAAAACGAAGTTCAGAAGTAGACAGAGTGGAGGTGGAGGCTCTCGCATTCATCTTCTTGGGAGTTCTTCTCTTCAGAGAGCTACGAATCACGACCTACTTCACGGACCTTCCAGTCCTGGAAGAAACGAACAAGGGACTCTCTCCTTAACTAGACTCCGTGAGTGCTTTGTTGAAACCTGGGTACAGGAGTACTTCAGACTCCAAACTGCTGTGGCGGACCTGCGATGCGAGTTTCAGTGTGCGCAGAATATACGGGAGGTGTCTGATCGGCATGACATGGAATTGGCGAGATTGAATGCAATGAGCTCAACTTAAGAGGACGCGAGCTTGTAGTACTAGACTTGTTCTTAGGTGACATACAGTCGTGACTTCCTATGCGTACTAGGGTCGAACAGGAACTCACTTCTTAGAGATAGAATTTTGTAAGTCTTCTTGACTGTAGGACTTACCTGCCGTTTTGTCAGGATTGAAGAGGGAAATGATTAAGATTTCTACTGAGTGCTTGAGGACCACCTTTTAGTCTCCCAGATAGTATATGTAAGACTATGTGAGACTCATGCCACGCTTGATGGCCACCTTTTCTAAGGAACACAAGCCGAACGTCATGCCTCACAGTTGCAAGAGACATTGAGGCGGAAAGTCTTGGAGGTGGAAACGTTTTACGATGCGGAACTTCAAAAACGCTTAGCAAAAGCCAAAGCAGAAAGAACAGCTGCAAAAGTTACGTTCTAGTAAATCGGAAAAATAGGTATTTAGATTGTATAAGATTTGAATTTAGATTTTGTTTGGAGTATAGGTACAGGTAAAGGTTGTACAGGTACTGCTAACATGAAGATGTAGTTATACCAACTGAGACGAGAACGTCGTTGAACCAACAAGTCTCGGTCTCCGAAGTAGAAGTAGTTCCCATCCTCGAACAAAAAGCGAGAGGACAAGCTCCGCGAGCTCGTGAAACAAACAGAGGACTCTGTAGAAGTGAGAATTTCAGCACTAGAAGCGACAGCTCACGCAAGACTGGAGGCAGCGACACGCGACTGGGAATCAAAACACAAAAAAATGGAAGAAAGGGTACTGCGGTTTTTTTAACACTCCCATTCAGTAGGTCTAGTTAGGTGCGCCACCACTATTATGTCTATACCAAAAATGACTAGCTGATGGATCCTACTTAGCATGGCCATTACAAAAATAATATCTGCGCTACTCTATCCTTTAACTACTTTCCTTCCTTTTTCTTTTCCTAGTTAGTTTGGCGCCACCATTATTATGTCTATCCCACTGACTGATCGAGAAGATCAAGATCAGGATGACCAAGAAGGAGTGACATCCAACGTCGGCAGTAACTACGTACGTCAGACATTCACAATTCAATTTCAAATCCACAAAAATTCCCATTATTTAACCAAAAACATCACATCAGCATTCGTTCGCCCTCGTTGATGCAGAAGCGGTGAGTGATGCGATGTTGTCCGAAGCAAATAGCAAGCTGGAAATGGCAGCCGCTGAGGCCGAAATGTTGAAGGTTGAGAACGAGCGACTACGAGAACAGATGCGAAGGAGCGTGCCTGTTCAGGAAAGCTTGCTTATGAAGGTGGATACGAAAGAACGGACCTCTAGTGAAGGATAGTCGTCATTATAACTACTTACTCACAGTAAAAAGTGTCATTCAGTACTATCAATTATGAGCGCTATCTTAATAAGTATCTTAAGGATCATGGCTAAATATCAAAAAAATGGATGTTCTACTTGAGAACCTTTTCACATCTAAAATAGGAAACGTAAACAACTGTTTTCCTCCTGAAGATGCAGCCGCTCGTCCAACATCGAACTTCTAATCCTCGTAAAACAATCGACGATTTGCGAGGAGAACTGACGGGACAGCAAGCTGATGCAGGCAACGATATGGAGATCTTAGAAAGAATGCTCAAAGATCACGAACAACAACTCCAAGTGTGGAAAAAACAAATCGAAAACGACGATGCCAGAGGATCGCTGTTTTATGATAAAGATGGAGCAAGGTAGACCCTTTTCTCTTTTCGATCTTCCTCTGGTCTTTCTTTTTTGCAGTTAAGTCGGCTCCGCCGCAAATATAGATGGAGCAAGGTAGAGTTAATCCGTCGCTTGTAAGTATTTGCAATCGATGAAAAGTACTTCTTTGAGTGTACACCTAGGACTATTGTTGCTCTACTTTGAGTTGTGATGTTGAAAGTCGGACGGTGTCCATAGTCTGAAGCTGAACAGCTGGTATAGAAAATAGAAGTTCTTCTTCCCGCACCAGGACCTCCACAACAGCTACAAAAAGGAACCTCTAATCCCCACCCGAACATCACGGTGCAGTCGTTCCCGAGCTCATGGACAATGAACCTTCTTCTCCCGAAGTGGTTTCACCTGATGAAGTTGCCGGGTCGGCGGTCGCTCCAGTTCAACCTCCAGTCCATCCTCTCCATATGCGAGAAGGCAACAGAATAACGACGGCAGAGATTCAAAGTCAAGCTCAAGGCCTTTCTACCCACGGTAGGGGCCCAAAAGCAGAGGGAGAGGGGATGCTGTATAACCTCTTTAAGGCGAGTGCGAGTCATCTACTACAAACATGTTTCAATTTTATTGGGAGTTTCAATTTTATTGAGCAGTTATTATATATATATTTCAGTTTCTGTGAATTTCAATTTGAGTTTGACCTGGGCCTCCCGGTATTTTTCCCTGTCTTATCAGTTCTTTCACGTCGAGGAGTGATGACTAATCTTCTACAAGGGGATGTGATCGGCGAGCTTCTGCTTGGCGCAGCTGACGATGCGACTTTGCGTCAGCTGTCTGTCGCACAGCCCACGGGCCTCTCGCTGCCTGCAGCGCTACAGCATCCGCGATCCTGACCACTTGCCTCTTAACTAGCTACTTAACTAACTAGTAATATGAACCTAGCTAGGACACCTTAACATCATCCGAACTTCAAATTTTTTTTCGGGCCAGGTTCTGGCTCTCCCCAAGTGCAAAATCCCCATTCCATACTAGAGACGTGAATTCTTCTAGAAAGGAGCTTTGTGAAGAACATCTTCTAATCTTCTACAAGGGGACGTGATCGGCGAGCTTCTGCTTGGCGCAGCTGACGATGCGACTGAAGAATTTCAGGAGGATGATGAAGAAAGGAGTGTGTACGAAGAAGGTAACGAAAACGACGAAATCAACGACGAATCGGGACTAAGAAGCAACGTTCGTCCCCCTGAGGAGCACTCATCAATACCGACCAAATCTCCTGTCCTAGTTTCGCGGAGTGCCTCACAAAGAACAGCATCTCGGACTGGTAGTAAACAAGGCGTGGCCCGGAACAAGACAGCAGGTCGTGACCCGGAACAAGAAGCAGAAGGTTCAAATACATCAAAAGCGGCATCTTCTTCTTCGTCATCCAGTAGACTTACAAGTCGTTCATCAAGTAAGACCGGAAGGGATGATCACAAACAAGAAAGTGGATCTGTTCGTGGGAACAAGCATCAAACACCAGGAGGAGCAGGACCTTCGACTATGCTTTTCTACAATCATACCGACGCATCGACTGTTCATCTTAGTGCCACAACTGGTTCTGATGTCACTGCTGGAACGAGAAGTGGTGGAAGAGCTGCCAGAACGATACAAGTGAGAACCAGTGAGAACAAGCAGACGAGTAGTATAGCACCTTCATCATCTTCATCTAGGACGAGGAGAAGTGAGGAGGCACATCCGCATGGTGTACTAAAGCAAATCAAAAATGGTACAACTACAACACGGAAGAATGAACAGCCTTCGTCCCCACCACCTCGTTTGATGCCACCCGCTTTACGTGATGTACAAGCTAAGATTGAGAAGCGCGTGAAGGCTAGGTTAGAACAGCAGAAGAAGACAACAACTACAAGACGAGTTCCAGAGTCAGTGGCTATGCTGAGAGATCGGCTAAGACACGCAAAAACACTACAACTACGACCACCAACACCTCCAGACGAGGATGATATAATCACAGAATTTGCCGATGAGCATGGAGCAGAGGACAAAGGAACCATAGAGAGAAGTAAAACGGTAACGGAGGGAACTATAGATAGAAGTAAAACGGAGGAGCAAAACGGAAAGCCGTCTCGACAGCCACATAAAGTCGGAAATCGATTAGCGGTGAAGCCATCCTCAACGCCGCGGATTCTAGATTATGAGAAGTTTTTGTTTTTTAGTTTGCTATTGGTGATGAATCTCGTAGGTAGAAAGATGAAATAGTTAGAACACACGAGGCATTCTATCCTATCCTATCCCATCCTAATATGACCTTGTACTAGAAGAAGTTTGTTTAAGTTCTTCACAATTGGAAGGAGAACGAGAAACCAGTCGTATCTATTTCAAGATTTCTACATCTAATTCAAGCTGGACACTTCGACGGTTTTAATAGGTGGACCAAGCCTTTGGCAGAGTATGAAGAACCACTCGTCTCAATCAGAGCAGCCACCGGATGGCAGTACGTTTGCATCGGGATGGTTGTGATGTGGAACATAGCTACCGGTGGATGGCAGTGCTTTATAAATATGTTTAGTTTTATCATTCAATGGAGAGTTTTTTTTCCCCTTTGTATATATATATAAGTACGAGGTTGTGCTGCAAATCTTGCTTGGCTTTTGCCCGTAAAACGGCGAAGGTTTAGGTCCAGCGACGCTCAAAGCACTAAATAAACCAACCAGTTAGTTTTTACCTCTCCACCTTAGGCTTATCCCATGAAGCAATTAATGGAGAGACTGAAGAGAAGACTAGGCGTCACTCCTTCCTGGCAAAAAACACATCGACGCCTAGTCGTTAGACAACCGGTTACCAAATTATTGATAATTCATCCATTCGAACCACGTAGCAACTGGAAATCACTATGTACTTATTACCTAAAGACACTCAAGTCCCAATTCAAAGTTCAAAGAAACCACGCACTTTTCGATTGTTTGTAGAATAGACTTCGTCGTAAAATATAGTTAAAGACTACGCCACTGCAATATGCGGATTTTAGTACTGCTCATTATGCAATAGCAGAAAAATGAAGCCTTATGCAATACTAGCAGAAGTTCTTTTTGATTTTGTTATTCGAGATAAAGGTTAAACTTGACAAGATGGATCGAGATGTAAGCGGAACAAACTGCACTCACCATGGAGGATATGAGCGCAAGAAGCTGCATTCATGCTGGAATAGATTGATCCATATGTATGCATGTGGAGGAATATAGCAAGCATCCAAATCCATTTCAGGTTTTGATGTGTTCATGGGATCCGAGGAAGCCGTTCATCAAATGAGAAAGAATGTCCTCGTGTGCAAGAGATAAAAGAAAACAAAACATTTGGAACAAGCAGAGGGAATCCACTCAAACTCAAGTGGTGTAGTGTCTCAGATGAACGTGAAAAAGTAGCAAAGGCCTATTTCAATTCATCCAGAAGACGTTCAAGTACACCTACTCAAATTGATTCATTGACGAAACTGATACATAGTATTTTTACCTAGTTTTTAGACTTCCCTGACATTGATTTTTTTTTGAGTTTCCCGGTAGGACGTGCTGGCCGAATGGGGGAGGCCAAGGAGCATGTTCTAGAAGAGGCTGGCAGAAGGCCGAAGAGATTTTCCAAGTTGAAAAACACCCACAACTACGATAGGAGATAGTATTAAGGCTCAACTTTCAATGGTCATCGGGGTTGGTCACTGAGATCGAAGAGGCGACGCCTTGAAAGAACAGCGGAAGACGAAGGGAACGGGGAGAGCTTAGAAGGGGATCTCCTCCTTTCAGAGTCAGTGACCAATGATGAACGCTTATGCTGAGCTTTAATAGTAAGAAGGAAGAAGTCCTCGCGCGACTTGGAGACAGCCGCTACCTCTTTTTTGTTCCTTATCGGGGAGCTTGAGCACCAATAGGGGTGTTTCCACATATCAGCCGAAGAAACGACCATTCAGTGGAGGCTTCCCCTCATCGAGAGTCACAATGACGGCCTCTTCACCTCCTCCTGCGACGTCAGCAGTGAAAACAAGTAGACGCTCAGCATTTCCGAGGTCTGCTAGAGGACCTTCAAGATGTTGCCTTGCATTCTGGGCAGCAGCTGCGACTGGGGTGGAAGCGAGACTGGCTGGAGGTAGTGCGTCGAAAATACCGACGAGGACACCCCTTCAGCACAGTAAAAGTAGTACCTCTCCTACTAGAAGTAGAACAAGTATTGCTAAAGCGAAACTAGCTTCTGGTCTAGTGTCAACCGCTACCACTGACCAGGAAGAAGAGAATGACAGCAATCATGACCACACGGACAAGGAAGAAGCACATGTCGAGGAGAGGAAAAAGAAGGAGGATCATGATGGCATCCTTTTTCATCGTTCCCTGTGGAAAATCAATGACATTAACAACCAGGCAAAATCTGCAAATCAGAAAGCAACAACGGAAGAACAATTTTTGCAACAAGGAGAAAATCAACACCACAAACAAGGTGAACACCAGAAAGTGCTAGTAAAGTCAAAATCTACTGCAAGTTCCAAAATCGACATCGAGACAGCTGGTTTGTTGCAACCTACAGTCGGAGAACAGGTCTTACTACGGAAAGCGCAGATGGTGCTCAAAGAGCAAGAATATCTCAAGTCGAGACAACAGGAGCTGGGAACGATGACTATGGCGAGCATGCTGGAAATGGGTACTTAGTTGTTGTTGTTTTTTTACTTTGTTTAGGTACTACTACTACTACTAATACTAGTAACTAGAATCCTCACACAACTTAGCCAAGCGCGAACCGATTTTGCTCGCGGAGAAAGTGTACAGGGATATGCTCACACCGCATCCGGAGTTTACACTCTTCAAAAATTCCGATTTGCTGCATTGGATCGTGTTTACGGTACTTCTGCGTACATTTTTACGGTACTGCTTATCGTTTTTTTCTTTTTCATTACATTACAGTAGATGCAGAGAGATGGGTATTGTAACTCTCCAGTGTATCCTCGAGATATGTCACCTTCATCTCACATCATCTTCCCACCCACATAAATCAACAGGCCCTCTTTTTCGCCATCGTGCTCTTCGACAACCTAGTATTGTTTAAGACAAATACGGTCTTGAGCTTGGGCCAGGCGGGTCTATACGTGGTAGGCTATCTCGGTATCGCTATGGGTTTTCTGGTCTACATCTACGTCTTCAAAGGCAGAGATGCTGCGGCTACTTGGTTTTCCGGTTACCTACTGGAGTGGATGCTCTCGGTGGACAACTTTTAGGAATATAGTTTTGAAGGCGCCGCTAGAACCAACTCGTTTGAGCCATGTATTTCACCAAATTCATCATAACTAGATCAACACTCTTTCCTTCCACATCCACGACTGACTGTTTTCCACTGCTCTCGTCCTTTTTATGATTTTGATAACACCTGCACCTGCTGCTCTAAACTGAATTTGTCTTCCGTATGGTCTTCGACATATACGCTTGTCCGGACAAGTTGAAGCATAAGCCCCTGTTTTACTTAAGACCGACTCTAAATCTCACCAAACTCCAAATGTCCATCTATCTTCTGGAACAAGTAGGTCCTTGGTACGATATTGACGAAAGGTGATCTCCATCTTCTACTTGCTGCACTTTCTATCTCCTTTGGAATTAGACATCCATGATCCACTGCGTGCACTTTCTAACCTCCGGCGTGATGGGTGCGATATTCTTCCGTATGGTTTTCTTTGTCGTCGGCGAAGCTTTAGTGCACACCTTGCATTTTATGCACTTGGTTTTCGGGTCGTTTTTGATTTATACGGGTTTTAGGGTTGCAGCAGAAGACGATGACGACGACGACCCAACAGAACATCCGTTAGTGGTACTTCTCTTTTTGTCTCAGGGAGACGACCCGACCCAACAGAACATGATTCGTTAGGGATATTGTTTCTCTACTCATCTCTCTTTTTGTCTCATCATTCCCTCTACTTTTTATTCCTTAGATGTAGATAATCTCGTCTCCTCTCAGTGTATGCCTCGACGTTTTGCTCTTAGCATGATCAGCTTGTCCTACATGATCTAACTCTCGTACATCTTCTTTTCTCGAAAAGAGAGACCTGTAAAAAATTTTTCACCGACCACCCCACCGCACCAGGTCTACATCTCTCGCGTGCTCCCGTTAGTCAATGGGTATGACGAAGGAGGGCGATTCTTTGTGCGCGTAGAGAAGATGCCGAACGGTAGTTTTGTCTTACCAGAGGAAAGCGAAACAGTAGAACTCCCCTTGAGTCGTGGCTCAAGTAGCTCCTCAACCGCTCGTACCACCGCAACGAGCCCTCCGAGCTCGCCTAAAGTCCAGAATTTGAAGGTAAGAACTGAATACCAATTACAAGAGGGTCTGCCATATGAGTTGGATTGTATTTTTAAGTGTCGGTTCTTATGTATAATTAACAGAAGATAAAGGTCGAATTACATTCGTTGTCCTGAGTTGAGTAGTGATACTTCTGCTCGTGTGTTAATGATCGGTCCTTCCCCGCCCATAAAATATTTCTGACAAGGATCGGTTGTTTCTCTGATTTTGTGGGTTTTGACCAATTGCCGAAAGTCCAGAATTTGAAGGTAATTGAATCATACCTTACTAAGGTGGAGCGTGAGCGTAACAATTTAGGTATGTGATTCTTCCTGGCTGTTGAAGTGGAAACTCCAACGACCCTTGTTACTTATAAGAAATAATTTTGAATGACCTCCTTGTCAACCTCCATAATTCTCAAGGTCTACGCATCCAACTGGGGCAAATCGCCACGTAGTTTGCCTGAAGGACACGTCACCGAGTGGCGGTGTACTTTCCTATTCGTGGTAGTAGTATGCCTAGAAATAACGGACTTGATGTTCGCGGTTGACAGCGTTAGTGCTATCGTCGCACAAGTCCCGGACCTATACTTGGCGTACACAGCCTGTATTTTCGCGATGCTCGGGTTGAGGGCTACATTTCTCATTATGGGTGAGTTAGAGATGGTCATAGTGATTGTGAAAGGATTGCTTATTCTTAACGATGTGATGACGCGAAAGAGGTGTCTCAGCGGCGCAGGACTCCGACGAATCTGATGAGCACCCTTATCTATACAGATACGTGTCTATGTAACTACTCCGACCCCTATTTCCACCTCCTTCTCCTCCCGCCGCTGCTCCGACCCCTTTGCTGCCTCTCCCGACATCCTCCTCTCTAAGCACCTTATCGATGAGCTGATGCGACTGTTCGAGTACCTGAAGTACGGTGTGGCTTTCATGCTGGTATTCATCGGCTTTAAGCTTATTCTCAGTAAGGTCTTCGTGATTCCTCCGGTCATGGTATGTGCCATCTTCACCTTAACGGTAAGTGGATGCGTCAGCCTCTCTCTGTGGGCTAATCGGCAGCGTAAATCGCGCGCACCAACATTATGAATAGCAGGATGACAAGGACCACGACAGCGCCGGCGCTGACAGGACCACGACAGCGCCGGCGCTTAGTTAGCAGTAGATAAGTACTTAGCTGACCTTTCTTCTTTATTCGGTTTTTGTTTTATCTAGTTAGGTTTGCTTCACCAACAATAAGAGGATGACAAGGACATCGAGCAAGTAGATTATGTAGGTCTCGGTACTACATAAAAACCCGAAGGGTTCTCGTGCAGGCGTTGTATACATCACAGCTATTATAGCTGTCGAAGATCATGCGACCCAAGAAAATCAAATTAATACTGTACCTACTTCTGCTAAAAAATAGAAGGAAAACCCCTAGTACTCACCCTCAAAAACGTAGGCTTTTCAAAAACAGACTTTATTTTCACTTCTTTACCATTCGATTTGTTCGAGGAGTCATCAATAAGAATAATGCACTCTACTCTCCATATTCTGGACGACGATCACCCGCTCTAACACATCCTGCCCTTTCGGCAACAGGTGGGCAAACGCCACCACTCACTGACAGGGTTGCAGACATTAGCACCACGACCCCGAGCGTCGCCGTGACAGCGAGGTGAATTCTCTCGTACTAAGAAGATACATTCACGCTATTGCTTGCTCCACATTTAGTTAGGAGTTGTAGTGTGTGTGTGGTGAATCTAGATTTCGATCCTGATCGTAATTTTTCTTTTTGATTTCACGCATAGTTTGACGTTAACAAAATCAGTAGTTGTTGCATTTCTTACTTTTACTTGCAAAGTCGTAGTGGTAGTCGTGGGTGTAGTTGTACCCAGACCTACATCAAATAGAAGTCTATTTTTAGTCACATTTTTCTTTCACTTAGCTTCGTTTCCCTATTAATTTCTAGTGAGTCTCTGGTTTTTTCCACAAGAGGTGTCGGTTACGTGTATAGAAGGAGATCCTATCAATCGACGACTACTACACGGTAAAACATGTTGATTCGTGAATAATGATCTTTCTCTTAGTCTACATTCGATTTTTCTTTGGAGGTTTGCATAGTCATCAGTCACAGTCTCACTCACAGCGAGAATAGCAATAGCATATAGAAAATGCTGATATCATTCAATCATGGATAATTTTTTATAGCATCAACATACCAAAAATACCTCCATGACCCCGAAGCTGGAAAGCATATTATCCGTTTTGTGTTCCGAGGATGGATGTGATTTTGCCCACGGAGGTCCTCGGACTTCTATTCTCTGCTTACCAAGTACGTATGTGATATGTTCATGTTGATTGTTGAGGTCTGAGTCGTCATGCATCAAATGCTCTTGCCTTCCCAGCCCTCAGGACGCTCACCTCCTCGCAGGTGAGCGCACGCCTATCCTATCCTAGGACTGCAGGCTGTGTGCGCCGCTATTCACGTGTATCTCACTGTGCACCATTTTTGCCGTGGATCTTATTCAAGGTCGCTGTCAACATTCCGTAGTGTAGCAAGTTGTAAAACGCTAATGCGTGTTAATATTGGCGCTTTAAAAAGGGTCTATCAATCGGTTACTCTGCGCTTCCATTTAGAAGGCACAGGGTGGCTGAAAGGCCTCTATAACGTTAGAATGACGTGAGAAGAGGTTCCATGACATGACATTCAAAGCAAGTCGCGGCGTTGCACAAAAGGAAAGCGCTGCTAGTCTTTTTACCTACCATGGTGGAGTGCAGCAGCATGCTAGTATAGCAGCAAGCAATTTTTCATAGCGAAAAAGGAGCATGATCGCAGCGAAAGTCGCCACACATGAAAGCGTTATATTAAAAAGAGTCAAGAAAAGTCATTCCAAAACACCGAAAAAGCTGGGATGAAAATTCACAAGAACATGTAGACACGACAATCCCTCCACCGCAACGGCACAATAAACCAACAAAGGATTTAGAAGTTGAAGATACACAAAAAAAGTTTCTAGTGTGAGGTTTCGTTTGTGGGAGGTTTCTAGTGTGAGATAACTAGTTTTTAATTAGTTTTCGTTGTAAATAAAAATGTCATCTTCGAATCCGTTCGAAAAAAATGATGCTGAAGTTGGGGAACTTCTCGGCATCAACTGCAGCAACGACGACATAGACCGACTAGAGGGTTACAACGAGTGGGGTAGCGGTAAACATAGTATTAAGGGTTGTAATCTAAGTTGACTATCTATACTACAGAAGCATATCTACGCCTATACTTACCTAGAATTTCAAGGAGGTAATGGCCAGGCAGAGGTTTGCGAGATAGGTAAGATTGAAACCTCTAATGGCAGTCCACAGACCTACAAGAACGACTGGAAGTCGTGGAAGGAGAATAAAGCTGACTGGAGTAAAAAAAACGGATGGAATTATGACAAGAACGGAGGATGGAATGATGAGGATGAAGAGGAGGTAAGAGGACTAAGAAAGTATTTTTATATATTTTTTGGACGATATTGGAGGTAATGCATAGACGGTACTAGCACTACCACAGCAACCGCGTATGTGAACGCGCGACAGAAGTTACAGAAAGTACAATCATGATCATGATTTTAATGTTTTGTTTCCACACACTGCAGAATAAAGCCAAGTGGTTGTCTGAAGAACCGGAGTTGTATGAGGTGGCTAAGTGCTGTGGCCGACTATCTCCCACAGTGGTCCACTGGATCCTTTGTGCCTGTTTCTGGATTCTGTTTCTCCTCACTTAAGGCTGGTTGTCAAGCACTATCCTCTGTTATAGAGCTAGGGGTAGTCTTCAGTCTACTTCGAACTTAAATAAGTACAGAGGTACATCACATGATAACCCTTAGAGGTTGTTGTCTCCCTTCTAAGGGATGAAGATATCCACGTACTATAAGGCACGAAGATATCCTTGTTATCCACGTATAAATATAAGTTTTTGTATCCTCTGTTAAGAAATAGAGTTGTGAGCGGACTGACACAACTTACTATAAGCGCCACCACCAGAAAGGACGAGTTGGAATTTCACTAAACAACGACTGACTGGGTCTAACTCACGTGTGCGCTGTCCCAATTTCGGTGTAGCCCCCACGACAGCGAATTGCAGTCATGGACTTCCTTTATGAAGTTCTTCTTGATGCTATACGTCTGCGCAGTGTCATTGGCATTTGAGCACCGGTTATTCAAAAGTTGTACCAATTAAGGCAGCCAGGCGACTATCCTCAGCATCATCCTTGGCCTTTTTTTTGAGCGAAAAAAGGGCCTCGGGACGGCCTCAGGGATGTGCCGCGGTCCCTCTAAACAAAGCACGTTTGCTTGAGGCTACTTTTTGCACCGCTCTACCTTTTTCTCTCGTTCGAGCTTGCCGACCAGCAGCGTCAGTACTTCTAAGGTTTTGTTGATGGATCTGTAGTCGCAATTTGAATATCTTCAGCACACGAGCACGTGATGTATCTGGTAAGAAATTTCACCTTAACAAGGCCTTGTTGGTCCAAGACGTCTAATTGAATTAGACTAATTCATTTGCTTAGATTAGATACAGACTTGACTTTGACAGCACAAGAAGTATGATAATTTGAGACTAGTTTAATTCGAGGACCCTCTGGTACGACCCTAGTATTCTAGTATAGTAAGACTAGTATCCTAGTATGCCACGTCATTCAGATTCACACGACCTTGCTTCTGAACAACTCCACACCAGTATTGGGCATTCTGCTGCTTTGGCAAGGGTCGTGTCGTCGAACGAGTTGGTGATGAATAATCATATTGTTTAAGGCTCGTGCCTGGAGAAATAGATGAATGGTTCTGGTATTTGGTAACCTGAACTTGATCCTAAGGGTTCTCTCCTTGTTTTCCCTTAGGATCAAATTCAGGTTACCAAATACCAGAACCATTCACTGGAGCCTCCTACTGGTTTTGTTTTTGGTGGAGGTTCCGTAAAAAGAATTACATTTCTAAAATTTGGAAGCTGCCCAAATAAAACCGCAAAGTTTTATCCGCAGCCTTGTCGACAACGAGCATGGCCGAACAGCCGGAGCTTGGCTCAGTATCGCATCATTTAAGGCTGCACGCATTCGCATGTTGTAAACGTGTTTTTTTTTTACGTTCCCCAGCAGGATGAGAAAGGTAAAAAAGAGAAGATATTTATATAGAGTTCTCAATGCAGCTTTCGAAATGTGTCAACTCCTACTCGTACTCGGATACATGTCCTCTTCTAGGTACAACACAAGAAGCTTGAGAAGGCAGGTAAAACTGCGGACGGCGGACACTGTCCTAATCCTAATCCTAGATCAAGATATCCAACCTCCTCTAATTTCTGGCTATTCGCGTTTGCCTTGATTATTTCGCACATTTTTCTGCTCTGTGCGATGCGAAAGATGACGAAGAGTGAATTTCTGGAATGGGCAGAGAAGCAGGAACAAGAAGCACTGAGGAAGTTATGTTCCTTTTCGAATTCGGATTCCACTGTATTAATTCTACCTGTTTATTTATCGTTGCACTTCGTTACTTCCTTTCTGAGGTAGGAGGGTGTCATCGTATAGTCTGGGTGTTGGTATGCTAGCCAATGTTAGACTCAATGGAATGGAACTCAGTGACAATGTCTTGTGTTACGAATATGATTCAACAGATGAACTTAGCTCGATTCTTGTGCATGTAGATGAGAAATTTCTTCTGCACGACGCACTCTCTGACGTAAACGCTGCTCTAAGAACAGCCGAAAAACTTGCCAAGCAGAAGAGACAAATAGAGGGAGGAGTTGGAAGAAACAAGAGCGACGACGAGTCCTATCATAACAACGGCGGCGCGGAACGAGATGCGGAACAGGCTGCTGCGGGGGAGGCGTGGGGCTGTGAGGAGAGGGAGAGATTGCTGGTTTAGAAAATGGAGTATTGGAAATGAGAAACAGATATGAATCATACAATGAGCAGAAAGAATTGCTTACGCATATAATAATCGAAAGTCTCTTCAACCTAGCCAAATAAGACTCAGGTGGTACTGCAGTACTCGTACTGATACTGCTACATATACCGTCCGCCAGCATATTTCAGCACGTCGTGTAGGAGTGAATGCACTTGTATTTCGTGTCTCGGACTTTGATCAAAAAATGTACAACATGGGGGGGGCCAATATTATTACAATTTATTCGATAGTGGATAATGACTAACCACGGTCTATAAATACTGGACTAAGTTCGTGTCTAACTACTAATACCATTAAGCAGTTCTATTATCTGGTGACTCATACTTCTCATTCGCATTTAGCAGTTCGCTAACTGCTCTGAACTCGGGTGTTCTCGGTCTTTCAATTTTGGAAAAAAATCACGTAGTATAAATTCCTTGCATACTAACTTTTGTGGTTGTAGTTCTTTTATTTTAATGATTCCTTTATCGGTTCTATGCAACCGATCATGTCCATATTATTGAACTTTTCAATCTTACCTCGGAGGGAGCAAAAGATTACTTGCGCACGACATGAATTTATCGTTATAAAATTGATTAAAAATATATATAAATATATACGTAGATTTTGACTGACTCAGTTTGTTTTCGTTTTCAAGAAAGAATGAACGCACTTCAGAAGCAAGCTGATGATCGATGTGCACCTTCCTATGAATGTAGTTGAGAGTGTGGTCCCAATGAGGAAAAAGACTACAAGAGACAGAAGAACGCATCTTCTTGTGCGTGGAGACTACAAGACAAAGGAAATACCAGAAGAAGGCATCTTCTGATACTCACATCAAGCTGATGGTCATCGTGGCAACATAGGCACCATAGGCCATTCTTGCTTCGCAAGCAAAAAGGACGTAGACTCCAGGTGTCCACTTAAGCCAAGGAGCACATTTCCCAATCACAGCAAGCTTGGCTGGTCCGAGGTGCAACATTAAACATCTTCAAAAGCAGGACTTCGACTTGTTCTCATCAGAAAATATAGCTGTCTATATTCTGATTATGAATTGTCTTCACCTGCTAGCAAAGCAAAGGCGATTAGTGAATGCAAATTGTTTCGAGGGGAGAAATTTGTTTGCAAGTTGTTTTGATTAGAAAACATAGAAAACAGCACGGACTGATTTTCACTTTACTGCATAGGAAGGAGATACAACTTGTGAGAAGACGAAGTGAAAGGACGACTTGTGGACTTCTAAGTAGACGAAAAGAAAGGAGGACGCCTAGGACCACATCAAAGTAGGTAAAAAGATACACTAGAACTAGATTCATATCAAGAACATCTACCTGTTGCTGTTGTACTAGTTTTTCTTCTTCTCCAATCTACTCTCTGCTCAAAATGGCAAGCCGTGGTGGTGTGCGTGGTGGCAACCGAAGGAAGCTCACGTATCTTCATACTCATGATCTTCTTTTAGTTTTTACCTACACACACTCATTGAAAATGAAACTCATCTTCATTTTTCCAAGTAAGTTAGATTTCGCATCATGGATGAATGAGTGAATGAAAGGAAAAAGCCAAACCTTCTAATCACTTCCTAAGAACCAGGTACGAGCGACCTGGACTCACCGAAGACGAAATTGACGAAATCCGAGAAGCCTTTAACCTATTCGATACAACCGGAAGCGGCACAATAGACCCAAAGGAGCTAAAGCATGCTATGCAAAGTTTAGGATTTGATAGCAAGAATCCTACGGTATTCGAAATGTTGAATATTTGTAAAAATTTTGGGCTTCCTCGTGGTGATAACATTCATGCTATTAACAAATAGGCTTATTAAGGCTGCGTTCCTCTGCAGCGCAGAAATCGATCTTCGCCATGATGGTGTCAAGAAACGTCAACAAAGAAAAGAGATGAACATTCTTAGAATTAGAGCAGTTTATAGGGGTGCCAGATCCGGGATGGGATGGATCGGATGGAACGGATGGACTTCCCACCATTTCAAGTAGGACCGGAAGAATCAGGGGGGTCCATCCGATCCATCCAAGTCCATCCTACGTCCGTTCTCTAAACTACACTAGAATATTGCCGTCAATTTCATCAAAAATTTTGTTGAAACGCAACAGGTTTTCCAGATGATCCAGGAACTGGATCGGGATGTTAGTGGTATGATCGAATTTGAGCAATTTCTGGATGCGATTACGTCAAAACTTGGCGACAAAGAAACGCGAGAAGGAATTTTCAGAATTCATGCCTTGTTTTTATGGAACACCACCTCGTGCTAGGTAAATGAATGAATGAATGAATGGACGTTTGATGCTTCAAAATTGGTTGTACAATACGGCTTGCTCCTGCTCTCATTTGATCGAGAATGGTGGAAGTAGGAGGTTCAGGTGTTGATAACATGTGATGTATCATATTCCTATACGCGACTAGTTTTTCTCAAGAAATTATCATGCCAACTCCATGGACAGCTCTAATCTCCGATGACGACAAGACTGGCGCAATCACCGTGAAGAATCTGCAGAGGGTGGCAAAAGAACTTGGTACTACTACGTTTTCTTGATGGTTGATAAAAATATTGATAATATTAAAGGAGGAATAAAAGGAATCATCGGAACATGGGTCCAGTATGCAACAACATATTTATCGTCTGAAATATATGCACAGTACTGTAGTTCTTTACTACAATATCACAGGAGGAGCATCCTTCCACCAGACAGTAGATCATACACATACATAAAAAGCTTATGCACGCACATTTTCAGGTGAAACGATGTCTGAGGAGGAGCTCCGGGAGATGATCGAGCGAGCAGATAGCATGGGCAATGGAGAAATCTCTGTTGAGGACTTCTACACGATCATGACGAAAAAGACGTTCCCATGATCTAAAACAAGGGGTCGAGAATGATCGTTTCCATGATCGTTTCGCGCGTGGTTTGGGGTCGTTTCGCGCGTGGCTTGTCTTTTCGTTCATCAGTTACCAGGTGCTGGTAATTTGTACCTGGACATCAATGTTGGGGTCGTTGTACAAGAGGATATTCATGATCGTGACCTGTTGCTGGTTATAGAAGTACTGCATTATTTGAGAACTTCTTTTTTTAGTTGGTGTTTTTTTCATTGAAAATTATTAAGACTGCCACAACTATCCCCGAACTTCAACTTCATCTACTAGCCATGAACTGTAGATGAATCTCGAACTCGATCGAGTCACAGACCTCAAATGAAAGCATTCTACTGCCGTCACGTGCCCAAAGTGGCAAGATGAAGAATGAATTATGAGGTTGACATGCTCCAGCAGTCCTTAACCCGTGAAAAATGAATCGAAAATTCGACAAATTAGGGGATTCGAAAGTCTCTTGAGACCGCCTGTTGAAACACGACAGGTTTGACTGTTTGGTGATCTCATCTTCTTGCAGCGGCTTTTATGATCATCTGAGAATCCTTTCTTGTTTGGGAAACTGAAAAAAGCGATTAATTGATAGCACGATAAAGCACAGCGTCTGACTCTGTTGAGAGAGGACTTAATTATATATAATGGATGAACTTGAACCAGCGTAGAGGTAGTCCACTAGGACCTTAGGACTAGGTTATGGAAAAGATTCGTAAAAAAAGCGATAGGCTCTGTCGCAAGGTTGTGGTGGAGGTGCAGTCTCGTTAATCCTTTATAAACATACTCAGTTTGTTGTTCAGGCCAGCACCCAGACCCAATTACAGTACTCTACGTACCCCAATTTGTACCTGTTTTTGATGCCATCTCTCGGTACTAGAATTCATTAGAGGTTTTAGCAAAGATTCATTGCATGTGTATGTCCTCGCTTATGCACTCAAGATTTTGAGACTTATGTATAAAATAGTTATCTTCCTACAACTAAGACTTTTAGACTATAATTCAGTAGATAAAATCATTACCTTTAGCTTTCTGAACATTTTCGAGTACATAGTCATTCTTTCAACAACATGACATCTATGACGCCTTCCGTTGAATTGCAAGGGATGTCGCTTGCAGAACGGAGTGGAACGATCTATTCACCGGATGATGGTCCAGCTCCAGCGCCCACTGGAATAACATCGCCGAGTGGCACCAGTGCTAGTCACATTAAGGGTAGGGTAAAGGTGCTTTTGTTCCCGCTTTTTATGCCTTTCCTAAGGGAGAAAGGCAGAAAAAGCGGGGTCCACGAGCACCAAGACCCTACCGCTAATCACAGTGCAACTGCTCCACGCTTCACTGAGTTCGAAGAAGAGATTATTGGAGGAGCCACGCCAACGACATCAACGACAAATGGAAGTGGAGGTTCTTTGCCTTCATCTGGATCGTTCTCCATAGCAGACGGAACAATTGGAGCAGGTGTAATCATCGGTGGAGGAAGCACAGGAACTCAAGCTGCTGCAAGAACTTCGTCTGTTTCTACTTCCTTGAACGGTACAACAACATCTAGTACTTCTAGTGCTGCAAGTTGTACGATCGTCAGCGCTTCTTCATTGCAAACTGCATCATTTGTACCTACCGAATCTTCTGGTTCTACCGCATCTACTCCTGGTGCTGCTCATCCAGCAACGCCTTTGGGATCTCCCTCATTGCAGACACGAGAGCAGCTCGTTGTGGGCACAAGTCCTGCTTCCTCATTGCAGACACGAGAGCAGCTCGTTGTGGGCACAAGTCCTGCTTCCAGTTCGACCTCACCATACATTGAAAATTCACGAGGACCAAATCACAGAACAACGAGAACAACTCCTGGCCGCGTGGTGTCTAAAGAAGAAGCGGTCCTTGTCACTGGAGGTGAAGCGGCAAATGAAAAGGACAACGACGAAGGATTTCAGCAAGAGCAGTACTATCACACTGCAGGTGGAGGCGGAGCAGGCAGTGTAATTGAGATGCAGGCAATGGCAACAACTGCAGCAGAAGCCACAAATGGAGTTGCTGAGAAAGGTGCCCAGCTTCCACCACTGGCGCTAGCCGCGACATCTTCAGCTATAACAGCTATAACCTCTAACGCAGCCTCTTCTTCGGTTGAAGAACAATCGCTTAAAGAACAAGAATATTGTTCCGACGCAAATTATTTTCACCTGTGTCGTGTGAACGATTTTCCATTGCTTTTGAGTAGTTTGCAAAGCGAATCTGAACCCCGGTTGAAACGCTTAGGGAAGGCACGGGATCCTGAGGGACACTCGTTGCTACACTGGGCAGCACTCTTTCCGGAAAATCTTGATATCCTCAGATGGTGCATTATGATGAAGAGATGATGATGAAACAAGAACTACTTGCTGAGAAAGACAACTGTTATTAGAATCCTCAGTAGGTGTACTTAATACACGATACTCAAAAGATGAAGTTGAACTTTGACATGTACTGTTCCGGTATTCGCCGGTAGCCGGACTTCGATCTCACGGGGTTCTCTTCTTGCTTTCCCTTGTGATCAAGATCAGGTTACCAAATAATTCCCGCACCTTTCATGACCACAATAAAAACTTCAAAATCTTCTTCCCAATCTGCGGGACAAAATGAATAAAATTATTACATCAAAAGACACTGACGCTGTAGTTACTGATAATCACTATCAAATATTACACATTCCCTATAAATATCTCTCCCATCCCCATCCTCTATCTTCTTCATACCAATAGAGCATCTGCAGTGCGACGTGGCCGCTCAGGCGCAAGGGACGGACCAAACCCCCCTAATGTGGACCATGACGAAGGTGCATAGCGATCCGTCATTTAAGGCTCATTCGTTGACAAGTCTTGCTTACACTTTGAGTTTTTGTTCTTGTGCTAGCTTTTCTTTCATGCACCATAAACATAATATACAAGAACCTACAGAGCCTCGACGCAATTTTTGACCACGAAGTGGAAGATAAGGATACTCACGACATCGAGGCATGCCTTCCCGTTCTAACCCTGCTTGGCCCTCTTTACATCACGCCACCCAAGATCAAAGAACACCGCCTTTTTTCGGCGTTAGGTATCTTGTACGCCACAGCTTAGGCCCTTCTCTACGTTATCGCGACTCACTGGGCGCATCGGCATTGTTAATCGCGATACAACACGGCAATTTCATGGGTTTTCTGCTCTGCTTAGGTGCAGACTTGAGCTGTGCCGATGATGTAGATCACTATGGATGCACTGTCGCTCACTGGGCAGCTTTCAAAGGGGAAATCACGATGCTTCGGGTACATGAGGAAGTTCAAGTTCATGAGCCAAAGCACTGCCACTGAATAATTGGATCAGTCTGTACAAGCTTAATATCATCATGCATACTCATCTACATCCTTCACTTTCGGTTCAAATCAAAAAATCCTCAGATTTTGATTGCCCTCTTCGATTCGAAGCTTTTCCGTCGAGTGGATAGTCAAGGGATGACGCCTCTACATCGCGCTGTGACTGGTGGTAGGCACTCCAGCGTTGAAGCTTTGATGACGCATGCAGTGTCGAAGAAATTGCTCGATCCCCATACGCGGTCGAAAATTAAGGCAAGATGGGCATCGTCGATTTCTTCATAGTACAGTAGGTGTAAGAACACGGTTTTCGACCATGATGTCGATCACCTACTTGGCCTTGACACGAAATTAAACAGTTCTAATCATCATGGTGCTACTGCCCTTGATCTGGCCAAGCAAAACGCGGACGAATACATGACAAGGATCATCAGACGACATCTCGCGAAGATGGAGCAGTCGCTTAGTGCGAGTCTCAGTTCACGAGACCAATCAGCTGGTAGTCCGGGAGACGACCAAGAACTTCCTATGTCAACATCTAGCGGAAGCGCAGCTAATGGAGATCAACATAATACAACATTGAACGCAAGTATGGAGCGAAAAAGTGCACTCACACTCAAGAAATTGGCTAGGATTGATGTACTTAGGAAAGCAGCCACTTTTTTTTACTGTGAGTGCACTTTTTTCTTTCATAGCAAGCAACAAATTCTGGAACAACACAAAGCGTTGCTGTTTGAGCAATCGCTTTTTACGCGTCCCCTTTTCAATCGTGACGCGTACATGGAACCAAGCGGCAATCACAGGCGGAAACGGAGGTGGGGCTGTGTTTAAGGCTCCTCGTCGTGTTCACTTATCATAAATATGTTGGTCTTGCAATTGCTAGAAAAGTCTCTTGGCGTTTTTTGGACTGTTGGTGAATTATAATAGGCTTTTTTCACCTTTTTCTAATGTCTTCAACGCCACAAACAGAGGAGCAGGTGCCTCTCCGACCGCAGCAGCTTTAGGTGGTAGCCCCTTAGGTGGCTTTTTCGCTGGAACTCATCATAGTTTTGGAGGCGGCCTGATGAATGGGGATTTGTCGGTATGAAGGGAGAAAGTGCACTCATGATCGTCAAGAAGATAGGCACGTTCATTCTAAATATGAAGCTGCGCCTTCACCTCGTCTTGAGCATGAGCACACTTTTTCCCGTCATAGTCTGCTCTTTTACGCATCTTCGCGATACCATGTGGGGTAATTGCAAGTTGTTTCTCGCTCTCTTGGCGCGGAAAGGATTATTCTGTGCCTTTTTTCGCCTTCTCCGGGTTGGTCATGAAGATATTAAGCTGAGTTGTAGAATAAGGAGTTGTTCATTTTAGTCGTAGAATAAGGAATTGCTCTTCTTTTTAGAAGGTACAATTAGGCTGAACTACCTCAAGGCTACTTGACCACGTGGCTCAAGAGGGCACACGACATGACGTCAGTAGCAAGAGTCGTGGCGTACTAATCGAAATTGTAGAATATGAATAAGAAGTTGTTCATTTTAGTAGCAAAAGTCGTGGTGTACGAAAAACTTGAGGTGGTTGCGGACGCGTTCTTGGTAGTTCACCTCGGGCATTCACACATACACACCCACTTCAAGTACTACAACATCAAGTCACCATAATGATAAGCAAAAACGCGACTTACTTACACCCATATCAGTATTACCTATTCCTCGCACCATACCCAAACCTACTCCTACTACACGACCTACTCTGCTTACTCTTTATTCGCACCTACACCTCGATACCCCAATAAATCTATATCTGTCTGAGACCCTCCCAAACCTCTTCCTCGCGCAACTGCTAAAACAATTCTGGCTTCGATGGTACTTATCACCTGGGCCCTCAATTACAAGAGCAGTTCCAACGAGCAATTATGATGCTTCATTTTACTCTTCCCTCGTCTATGGGCCCTACATAAACACTGACGATACGAATCCGGCATCTTGGCTGCATTTCCTGATCTTATGCTCAGGTATTTGAAGTAGAAACTCACTCTTCCTTTAGAAGGTGGAACGTCGAGAAGATTAGAATGAAGACACGAATGTTGAATGTACGAGGCTACTAGGGGAAAGCCGAAACTGGTAAGAGGGATCTACAACCACTTAAATCCACTCAAGCCGCTGATTCACGGATAGTGATGTGATCACGGATACATAATAGAGGTGAAAGATACATTTCTGTTTCTCCTTCTACAACCTCTCTAATGACCATTGTGGGCGACCTCGTTGCGGCTTATACGTATCTTTCTCTGGTCTGCTGTGACCCTGGGACAGTGCCTAAGCCACACCCTCAAAAACGCAGACAGGCTATGTGTCGATATCTCTCGACGCTACAGCATGACGAAAATATGGATCCTCAAACAGCGTTTAGATTCTGCGACACATGTTTTATCGTACGCGACTTAAGAACGAAGCACTGTAGGGTTTGCGACGTCTGCGTTCACGATTTCGATCACCACTGTCTCTGGCTCAATATTAAGGCGGCCACTAGCAGTATTCTTGGTATGTATAATTCAATTCCAGTATGCGCATGCAGTATAGGGATCCCTCAGCCGTAAGTTGTGTACTTCAAATGTCAATTTCAAAAACTGTTTAAGGATATTCTGCTTAAGGGATGATCCTTTTAAGGGATCGATCCGTCTAGAAGCTTCATTTCTCTACAGTGAAGATGAACTACTCCAATAAGGGGTCCCCGTACCACTTCTAACAACAATTGTGTCGGGAGAGCAAATCATCGGACCTTTTTGGTCTTCTGCGTCAGCCTTACTTCAAGTTTGGTCATGTTTGCCCTGAAAATACTTGTCTTCTTTTTCGAGTGGGGTGTCTTCGGTGGAGTTGGAGCTTTAGACGGAGTAGACGGGCACATGCAGAGTATCAATAGGGGAACTACTAGAACTTCTTCTATTACGGTTTGCAAGTTGACCAATCTTCTGACGAGAGCATATCTCCGGCCACGAGGTTGGTGCCTTGTGGACGCAACCTGATTGATTGCTTGGCTTTCAAAGGGGATAGATACGTGAGCTAGATCGGTCAACTTGCAATCCCTAACTCTGCAGGAGCACTTCAGGCTCATTCAAGTGGTGGTGGTGGACTGTTGTCGGATAGGGAGATGCTTCTCGAATCGTTGGGGCGGACGGATAGTGCCGTCAGCACTGAGGCGCTTATTGGAGAGGGATCGCTGTCCTCTGGTGTGGACTCACTACTTAAGACTCCCACTATGCATAATTCATGATCTTTGACATTGACGTGGTCGGCAGCCACATCTTGTCGGTAAAAAGTGTCGAAGACCATCACCATAGGATGTATTTTCACCACTCGCTACAATAGGATTGAGTCACAGAATAGGAACTGACTCGATACAATAGGATTGAGTAACACAATAGGATGTAGTTGGATCACACGAGTACTACAACAAGAACAATAGGATGGTGTAGTATCACTTGATCTTGAACCTCTCATCTAGTATAATCTGCAGAAGAAGAAGATGCATTGCATCGCCATCTAAAGGATGAACAGAGACTGAAAGACCTCAACACCGTTAGTTAGGACGCGCTTCAGGACACACCTCGTCCTCGCGTGAGAACGAAGCAAAGGCAACCTATCCTATCCTATCTTATCGTATCTTATGCTATCCTATCCTATCTTATCCTATGCTATCCTAGGCATCATAACATGACCGAAATATTGGTTGGCGCTAATAATTCTTCTGCGACGTCTACGTCTTCGAAAAGGAGCATAATTTTTTTTCTGAACCTATGGCCTTTATCCAGCATCTACAACACCATGTTCGACATTTTTTTCACGCTTCCGAAGCATGGGGGTAATGAAACAAGCACTTTGCCGTTCTACGAGCCGGCCTTATTGTCACACTTTCTAGTTCTCGTATTCGTGTGCATGATGGCTTTTTGGCTTGGAGGCCTCACGCAGTACCAATTTGGCGTCGTTACCTCGAACCTAACGACAAATGAAATGCTCAACATGGATCGCTATTCTTACGGCTACTAGTGCATCACTATCCCATTCCTATTTAGATATTTAAGTAGTAAAAGTACTAATTTAATTTGTTGTATCTCATACCTTTTCTTTCCTGGTTTTTGTTTTTTCCAGCTGGGTCGTTACTACTTTCCGATATTGAGTGGGTTCCCATTGCAAAACAAGCCGGTTTCACGGGAAAGCAAGGTGTGAATGCACACATGGAGGGATAGTGAGTTCTTAGCGTTAACATATCCATCTATGGCGAACGGCACCTCAAGTGGACGATGTTGACAGTTCGTCATCCACACCTGGAACTATTGCAACTATTACGGCTTACTACTTACAGTAATTCATCTTAGGGAGCATCTTTGACTCCTTCTTTAAGAAGAAAGCACGATAAAGATGCTCTTCAAGATGAATAAAAGTAAGGTCTAAGACTACAAGCAGTGAAGATATGTTTAGCTTTGGTTTCGACGTAGCCGCTTCAACACGGAGAACGAAAAAGAGTCGCATCTTTTCGAATATGTGGGATAAGGGGAGTAAAAGTGAGAATTGCCTAGATTTCTGGTTTTCGCGAGATCGTACGATATTGCCACATCCGGATGGCGGTTTAGACGAGTTGGAAGATCTTCAAGGTCTTGTTGGAGGAGGAAGTGTTTCAGGTGGTGGAGTTGTCCAAGTAGTCCTTCATAGTGCCAAAAAACTCGTCATTGCTGTAGGCCAAGGAGCCTTAAGGGTTCCCACATTACATCCCTCACCATCATCCCTGACTCTTTTTCCGGTGGGAAATGCGTCAGGGATGTTCTGAGGAATGTAATTCCGTAACCTCTAAGTGTCTCTAGTTTTCTTAGCAGCAGTGGCGGGTCTAGCTCTAGGAGCAGTGGCGGGTCATTGTTATGGATGATGTTTTTTTTCCATCTTTGGTTGGTTACGACCATCCTCCTGGCGACTAAATCTAAAAGTATTTCAAGGGGGGCGGGGGCCGGACAAACTGCCAGGACGATAGTCACGACTCAGCCTAGAAGATGGAAAAAGCGCTATTCCTTCACGATCAGGAAGTCTTTTCAGTAACGCAAAGATCAGACAACAAACATATTTGCCAGTAAGCACGGTTGTGGGTGCTAGCGAACACAGCGATAACGATCTGGCCTTTGATCTAGGAAACGATAGAGTTAACGCAAAAATCGTCTAGTCTTATTCTTCTTCTACTTCTTCCCATAAGGGTTAACGCAAAAATCGTATAAATATGTATTTCACTAGTTTTAGTTAGGTTGGCTCCACCACTAGTTATAACCTCACACATGCTCCTTCGCTTTCTTCTCTGTTCCATCAAGAGATCTTTTAGGGTTAAAAATTCTTTGTTTCATACGACTGCTACGTACAACTACTTTTTGTTTTTTCCACCATGCTGAGTACTTAACTTTGTTCAGCACCGTCAATATCGCGCCAGAGGACTTCTGATTTCTATCCTGGAAGAAGAGTGATCATCTATTTTCTAAAATGTAGTAGACTCATTCTCGTATTTCCCGGCTCTTATCTCACGCTTACCAGTTGCTAAGATGCTGCTCGTCATGACTGCGGTGTCGTGAACCTTTGTCAACCACGTCACCCGCTTCATCTTCATATGTTGTTCTTGTTTGGAGATGTTAATCTTAATGTTAACTGTCAGAGGAACGAGATTTCTTTGGTGAGCGTAAATCAGTGAATCTTCTATTGCGAGACTTGCTAACGCCTCACTTCGTGTTTTTAATTCAGCAGTATCCACATCTTCATGGGAAATGTTTCACCCTGACGAGCATACTCCGGGTTTTGCAGCAAGTGCCTGCTTGATGCGCTGGACAACATGTTGCCAGCGTTGTTCTATTTTTTGGTGACAAATGAGAATTACCTCGTTGGTGACAAATTACCTCCTTACTTCTAATTCAGCTTCCTATTTACTTATATAAGTCATGTAGATGTAGTACCCTCTCAGAACTTATCTCTACGGATGTCAGGAACGGCATTATCAGGGATACACACATACATGACGAATTACCTCCTTACTTCTAATTCAGCCTTTTTGAAAAGACCAAAATGAAATGAGAGATGATTGTGAGTGATCATGTCTTTATAAGAGAAAGAGAGGGCTTTAGAAGGAAGGATGACTTCCACGAGTGTTTTTACCGGGAGCGAGGAGAAAAGTTTCACTGAAGTTCTGATATGAAGAAGAGAGGAGGAGAAACTTACTTCTGCGTACAATGATAAAATACAATTGACTTTTCAGAGCAGGACCTCATTTTTTTTCAGAATATTTAACATTAACTGCTCATCAATGCGATTAATTTTGCAAAGAAAAAACAATAACAAAGAGTCGCGATTAACTTCTTGTGCTTTAAGGCCGTTCCTAACTTTCTATACCCAACCCAAACAACTTTAGGAGTATTTATCAAGAAGTTTCAAGATGGGGGTACTATCTTCTGTTGTCGGAGGAGATGCAAAAGAGTGCTTGTTCATCTACAACTTATTCCTACTTCGAAGTAGCTGTATAATCATTACAGTGAATAGATACTTATGAAAATTAAGCACCAGCACAGAGCATGCATCGATCTACTTTTTTTCTGTTCCTTTCACATTTACGAGCGTGCTATCCATCTTTAAATGGGAGCTGCTCTCCAAGAGAAAGCAGCTCGCCAATCTATTCAAAGATGGATCTTGCGCGATTCTACTAATTTTTCAATACAACTTCTAGGTACTACAAGAGCTAGAACAAATTTATTATCTGCTAATTTGCTAAACAAAAGTCGCTTTTTCGTATCCAATTTCGTCTCTCCAACTCCATTAGAATTCATTATTCGTTTTCAGTACTGTTACTACTACTACTAGTACTAGTTTGCAAAGTATCTATTATATGTACTACTACTGCTACTAATTTACTACTACTACTCATATGTAAGGCGACTAGACACTCAGACCACTTTGCTAGAAGAGTATCTTTCTCCAAAATTGTCTTCACAAAGACAAACTCGAAAGTTTTTCAGTACTCCTACTACTCCTACTACCACTACTAATAGTTTGCAAAATCAAAAATCACTCGTATAATAAGGAAGTACGTTTTTTTATATTTCATTCTTAATACGCTGTCTTCACTCTGTTTCCGTTTCGTTTTATTATTTGCAAATAAATATCAGAAAATCAAAATCATCAACCTCGTGATTCAGTACTGTAATCAAGTTGAGGAGCAAGAGTAGCTAATGTGGTTTGACTCCGAATACAACCACTAATAAACTACAACTACTATAACCAATACTACTGGTACTACTACTGACGGCAAATAACCCAAATTCTTACGACGTGGACGTTGCAGATGCCCCTACGTTGAATGAAAACGTAGCTAGTCTAGTACAGGTAGTCAACTTAGTTTGTTGGTTACCTAAAAAACCTACCCTTGTTGATACAAAAATAGATTAACAAAAACAACGTATACGTATACAAGAACTTCTCATGATGTTCCCGGCGATGTCGTCTTAGTCTTCACAAAAAGTCTGGGAGATTCGACTTGGAAAGTAAGAAGAAATGCTCCGTCACAAATAGGTCTACGCGGGACGCAAAGGATTTGCAACTATTCGCCATAGATGACGATAACTTGAGTGGCAATTCCAACCATTATTTCTTTTTTGTCGTGTGCGAGCTACCAGCCAGGGGACTCACGGAGGGATCCAACTTTCATTTCTGCCGATCCGGAGCTCACTGCGCAGGGCTGAGGCTGGAGCCCCTCTAAACCTAATAATCTAATCAGGGACCTAACGATAACGACGTCTCTCTGGTATGCAGGCACTGCCACGCACAATTGTCTCTCTTCCATGGAACACTTTCGGCAAAGGAAGTCGTCGGATCGTCAAAGAAAAACGTTTTTTTCTCTCCTCTGAAGGTGTTATCTTTGTTACTGTTGTTTCTCCTCAAGCAGCATTAGATCAAACCAGGGTGTACTTCGTAATCCACATAGTTCTACGATTACAACTTTCACCGATTTGCAGTCTACTTCCACGTTGGGACTGTCCTCCAACCCCACGCTAGCGAACCTCGGCAACAAAAGTAAGTTAGTCTTGGTTGTACTAACAAGAATTATATATATTCTAAGTAGTTATGAATGGTTCCGGTATAATTTGGTAACCTGAATTTGATCATTTAAGGGAAAACAAGAAGAGAACCCTTAGGATCTAACTCAGTTTACCAAATACCAGAACCATACAAAAAAACGAGTTGAAAGTGAACTCCTTGTATCCTACTTACTTGATGGCCGTATCTTCTGGAAAAATAAAAGATCAATCTAACTCTGCCTCTCCAGGTAAGACAGCCAGTAAAAGCTCTCAATTGACTCCGCCTATTATCGCGAACTCACATTGGCCAAAGTCGGACTCTCAATGATGGAAGATGAGGATGATGACAGCTAGCGGAGGCTTTTGAAGATCGTCCTTTTCGTCTTGTACGGATAATTGCATTCAATATTTTCACGGCCAAGAAGACCTCCAGCACACCCTCGTTGGCCTAGCAGCAACGACTCAAGTATGAGATAATACAACTATCTAAAAACTTTTAATATTCTTACTGTAAATTAGTATTAGTAGTAGTAGATTTAGATTCTTCCTCCGCTGCAGGTATGTCTATGTTTCCCAAATGCGTCGGAAGAACAAGTTTCTTTTTGTGGTGGTCATTGCAAAGGGCTAGAGGGCCGAAAGTTGTGGCAGTAAAAACTGCACTAAGAACCACGACAACTACAACATGGTCGCTAATATTAAAAGTAAAAGTTTTTAGATAAACTACTAAAACTTGTCCTACTCAAATCAAGGAGGTAGTATTAAGTAAGAATGATGATTCTCAGAATAATGATTCTCTCAAAGCAAAACCTGGATGATTCATCTTCACCCCAGCCTCCCCAACAAAGAAGATGCTTCGTTATCTACGAGCTGAAGCTATTTCATTACCCAACACAGTTTCTACGCCTCATCTCATATTTTAGGTCTTCCTGCCTTCCTTTTTTACCTCTCTCTCCTTCATCCTTTAACCATTCCGGCACTTATCTCACGCTTCGTCCGTCATTACCAAGCACTTTTTGGGTTCCGGACGAACAACAACAACAGCCAAGATGGGAGAGGTTTTTTCCAAATGTGCGTCTTTGGCTGCGACTCTACTGTTCTATTTTGGTATCAGGAAGAAGCCACTGGTCTTTGTTAGCGGTCTCGTGCCTCCGCAAAAACGTGCGACCATCGACGAGGATGAGGACGAGAACGCATTCTCCTTCATGGAGGAAACGTTATGGCCAATAAACCCGAAAAACCCTAAGGCCTACCCCTAAGCCCTAGGCCAAAAAACTGCCCTTAGCCCAAAAAAGTTATACCAGCTGAAGCATCCTCAGTATCCTCTATCTCTAAAAAACTCCGCGCACGCGGCAGGAGAGGACGAGCACGGGCATCGGGATTAAGGCCTCGGGTTCAAAATCTTTGTCAATGGTTCGAAATCTTTGGCAATAGATGTATGATGTGTATATAGCGGGCTATTGTTCCCTTGTTTTTTTCCCCTTTGGGAGTCAGCCAATGCCTGGCATTAACGAAAGCACTTTGTAGGTACCTCAAGGTTCTTTGAAGATTCTAACTGAAGCCGCAATGATACAAATTACATAATGATGGCTAGAGAAAAGAATTTCGGGTCTGTGAAGAAAGCATCCGGATTTAATTGTGATTTTTTTTGAATTTTGAAACGACCTCTAACTTGGAGACAACCGACGACCGACTAAGACGACAAAGTCAGAAGCATCAGCAGCAGCATCCTCTTCTTCTTCTTCTTCTTCTTCTTTTGTGTCTACCTCTACGTCAAAGGACAAAGCCACACATGAGATGCCGCAATTTCATTACGTAAGCCAGGAGCACGCGGATATTGATGCTATTAGAAGAGTTAAGGCTTGAGGAAATACATCTTCACGGGCATTTTGGTCCCGTTTTTTAAGGGAAAAGGGGACGAAAAGTGCTGCTGAAGATGGATCCCTGCAAGTTCTAAAAGAGGCTCCTACGAGAGGGGCGACGACGATGAGGAGAACGAGAAGCACGCGGAAGAGGTGGGCTCCGAACTAAGCAAGTCCGCCCATGCGGCAGGGGAGGATGAGCACCAACACCAGGATTACGGCAGGGTTTTTAGAGTCTTTGCTCATATCAAACTGTTATTTATTATTATGCCATCGTTGTCCTTCGGTCATGAGCCCCGTCTAAGGGACCGGCCTTAGCCAGGTTGTAGTGCCCATCTGTGAGTTTAGTTGGCTTGGCCGCTTACTTGAGTGAGGGGGCGCAGGTGGAGCTGAAACCCCCCACCCTGACCACGCTCCCCCATCGGTTTCGGCTGTCTCGGGTTAGGTTTGGGTGAGAGAGTTAAAGCAAGTTGGGCCTTTTCCCTCCTGTGCCCCCTAATGCTATTATTATCTTTTTTTAAACCGAAAGTGGTTTGCAAGGCTAAACTAGGGTAGACCTATGGCCTGGGATGTACAGAAATCATGGCCAAGATGTACGGGGTAGATGTATACACCTCGAACGCATCAGCGGAGAGATGTACGCTGTAGGCACGTCGGTCATCGACATGATCTACGCCATAGACCACGCACTCGCGCCGGGGTGCTCTTTGACGGTTTTTCTCCTTATCATGCTTCTGAGATGTACGGCAATCATGGCCGAGATGTACTTGTAAGCGTATGCATCATTTTTCGCAAATTTTCTTCGATTTTAAGTACATCCTTTCAATGGTTCTGCTCCTGTTAAGCATTTCGCTAGCACCTTGCTGCCGGATATCCTTAGATCTGCTTGCGTTTGTAATTGCTTCGCAGACATTGTGCTGCGGTCTTTTTCAAATTGTTCACATTACGAAGGTAGGCCGGTAATTGCTTCATTTATTTCTACCGCAGTCCGCTATTCGTCACGGTACTTGTAGCACGCCGGCAGGCAGTAAATATCTCATGTAGTTTTTAGAATTTGTAGGAGTAGGACCCTTCCGCCCTGCGCCGGCGTGTGAACACATCACCGGGGAAGCGTGGGCGGCAGTCTATGTGCTCGCTATTAGATTACTCCTGCTCTAGTGCAGGGCTAGCTCTTAGTCTTTGATTAATCGCCGTCTAGTTGATTCACTTTCACATTACTATACCATAGAAGTAGCAAGAAGCCAGGCATTATTGCTTCGTCTTATTGCCAATGAGAAGCATTCTATTAATTTTTGCCGATTTGTAATTGTATTATCCTTCTGAAGTTCTTTTTGAATTTTTGACGCACGCGCTAATGTGGAGACAATGGGTGGCCGAACGAGATGAGAAGCCAAGAGGCATCGCCAGTATCCTCATGGTCGTCACCTTCTTCTTCGTTCGTGTCCACTTCCGCGTCAAAGGACCAGGAGCAGGACAAGACCACACAAGAGATCAGGGAGAGCCACGGGCACGCGGATATTGAAGCTATTAGACGAGGCACCGAGGAGGGCGAGGAGATGGAGGAGGAAGAGGTGGGCCTCGAGCCAGAAAATACAGCGCGTGTGGCAGTAGAAGATGAGAATCGCCATCAGGATTAAGGCTTGGCTCTTAAAATCTTTCCCTTTGCTTATAGATCTATGGTGCTGTAGAGGCGGGCTACTATTCTCTGAGCCACCTCTTACTCGCAACAAGATGGAGCATGCTCTTGAGAATTACTAATACGTAACGGCAAACGAAACTACTCTAAAGTCATTCTAATTCATTATCTATTAACCAACTAACCGTAACCCCGGCGCACTTTTCTGGCTGAGGCGGGGTGGAGGAGGCGGCGGCGTCAAGGGAATGCCCCTTGGTGCATCTTGTGCGCCTCCTAGCTCTTCCGCGGCTGTCTCGTAGCTGCTCCGTCGCTGTTCCGCAGCTCTTCCGCGGCTGCTCCGCGACTGCTCCGCGGCTGCTCCGTACGTGTGCCGGAGCTGCTCCCCGGCTGTTCCGCAGCGGTCCGGCTGCGGAAGAGGATGGAGCCCCTGGAGGGCCCGCGTGTGCGCGGGCAAGGCTCAGCGCAAAACTGCCCCGGGGTGCTCCGGAGGGGTTCTGAAAGCTGGTCGGTGACTGGCGGCTCCTTGTGTGTCTCAGTTTAGCAGGCCTCTTGCGCTGCCTTATGGTGCTCCTGCTTGTTCCGGGGCTTGTCCTGGGGGCTGTGCAGCAGCCCGCTCCGCAGCTGCTTCCGCGGGGGGTTCTGCAGAGTGGTCCGCGAAGAGTCCAGCGGCGCGCGGGTCTCTGCCCCCGTGGCGATTGCGTCGCGCCTGTATCCCTCTAGTTGCGCTGAGTGGCAGCGCGGCGCGGCGCCTGACCTTGTCCCCGTTGCGTTTTTCTGCGCCCTTAGCACCACCAAGCAAACGGGCCGCCTGGGCCTGCTCCGTGGCGCTAGGACTCCAGCTGGCTGGCTGTGCCCCGCCGTCTTCGCCTTGTGTTCGACTCTGGCCGGCGTCTGCCCTTAGCTCTCCACCGTCTTGACCCGTGCCACCGCCGCGCCCTTCGGCACTTGTTCTTGCGCCTCTCCCTTTGTCTCGTTCTCCGCTTTGGTCTTATGTCTCTTCCCCTCTCTTCGCTCGTTCGGTCCTCGGCTGCCCTTGGTTGCCGCCTCCTCGCCCTTCAAAACTAGCCCCCAGCGGCGAGCGCAGCGCGACGCCGGTGGAAGTACTCAATAAGCGCGGGCTGAATATTCAATATGGCTGGTAAGTAATGGAAAAGTCGACGGCGGTGGGGTGGTGGATTAAAGATATGCGACGGCTCTTGGTTTCAGGTCATTTTTAAGACCACCTAGGCTAGCCACGCCTCCTCTCCTCTATCTAGTTCGTGTCAACTGCAACTACAAGCGTGACTTCTAGATGATACAAGGGGGAGGGGCATATGCGAAACAAGGACAAGTGTACACGGAGGGGCCTGTCTCGATAGATTAGAAGGAGCCAGCTTTTCTTAAATGCACAGCTAGGGCCAGGGCTTATACATAAGCAACATCTACTGTCGACATCAAATTTTTCACAAGTGGGCAAGGACATAGAAATAGATGGAGAGGATATGCAACTTCTGGCGTTGGCCTGAAATTCATAATCACAAGTAGACTGTCTTAGTGCTTTTTTTTATTTCGTCATGGAGGTGGGTGGATAGGGATTGAAGGGGCGAAGCACTCTTCTTGTTTGGTCACGGTTCTGGATTTAAGTATAACTGAAAGGAAAGGACTTTGACTTTGTGCACTTAATACATTTGCATACACCTATGTATAGCTTCTTGATTGATGATTGTGCGAAAGAGAGTGCCTTCTTTCAGGTTTATGAGGTTTCTTTTATTCGAAAAGCTAAGTCACGCGAGGACATTGCTTTTGACCCCTCTAACATGGAGACCAACGGCGGCCGACCAAGACGAAAAGCAGAGAAGCTCTGTCGCCATCTTCTTCTTCCTCTTCTTCGTTGTTCGTGTCTTACAAGGCGAGTGAGGAGCCTAGGACTCTCTTCGTTGAGGAGAGTGCCCTGCATCCGATTCTTGAGGTAGCAGATGCCACAGCAAAAATAGTCATGGTGCTGCGTCGCATATACGACGATGTGGGAAACAGGTTCAAAATCAAAACTACTGACAATCGTGCTGCCGAAAATTCACAAAATGAAGCTACGCGTGAGACAAGCGCCACGCCTTCATGCTCCCTGAATAAAGAAGAAGAAGAGGAGTTGAAACGCATTCAGGAGCAAATCGCCGCTTTTGGTGAAGCGAAAGACGCTGCAGCAGAGATTATTACTGATGCCACAGACGGAGGTGCAGGTGCAGCTGACTCTGCCACGCAGAAAACTTAAGGCTATTTCGGCGCTTGATTTCTTCAAAGTCACTGATCAGATCTTCGTAGCACATTGATGAAGAAAGCTTAAGAAGCAACTGATGCCACTCCCTCGTCGAGGGCTCCCAAGCTACTCCGGTTCCATGTGAATGGTTTCAGAATTATCAAACCAGAAACCATTTCCACTTTCAAAAATTGAAAAATTGCTAATTTTGTTGGACTTGATACTCATGTTAAAACTAGCTAGAAGGGAGTCTGGCGGATCCGTGTCGCGTGCAGCAGGCAGGGCTTGATGGTTGAGGAGCAGGCCGAGCTGTGAGGCCTTGCGGAGCCAGGCTGATCAAAGTCGCGGCGAGTCTGAGTGTGGGCATCTTGTTCCTTTCACGATCGTGGCACAAATACAACAGAAGTTTCACACTCAGACTGAGCCTGACCCTGGTCAGCCTCGCTCCACGAGACCCTACAGCTCGGCCTGCTCCTCAACCATCAAGACCTGCTTGCTGAACGCGACACGGATCCGCCAGACTCCTTCGTGGCTAATACTTAGCTAGCTAGTTAATTTTCTACCTAGATTATAGACGCAGTCCAAAAAAAGTAGCAATTTTTCAATTTTTGAAAGTGAAAATGGTTTTTGGTTTGATAAGAATGATCATACACCAACTGTGACCTCAGAGCTTTCTCTAGCCTAGATCTTTGCGCACGTAAGAGTAACTACGACGAGCAGCTCGTCGTAGTAGCTCTTACTTACTCAGATCGGAGAGGTCTTGAACTACCTACAGCTACCTACGATGTTGGTACTTCAATGATGTTGATGACCCACTTAGGTGACTGAGTAAATATCTACGATTGATTTAATAACGGTGGTTCTATTTATGAGCGATTTTCTTAGGTTTTTTATAGTACACGTCAGTCCAACGACAACAAGAGTGAGAACAAAGAGAGAAGCAGCGAGTCTTCGTTGCTTCTATTGCAATATGATCAACTTCAACGCTAGTACCTGACGTGGGATGTATTCGCTTGCCGAAGCAGCTTCTCACGCAGCTTTTGCAAAAATGCTTCGTCTCCCTTGAGTGTTGATACTCACCTTACTCGTTCGTATGGTATACCTATGGATGCCAATAATTTATGATCCGATCGGTCAGCTTCTGCATCTTGTCGAGGCGCTTGATGTTGCTCTTCTTGGACTAGGTAGCTGTAGCTCTAAAAGTAAGAACGCGCAGCATTAACATTGGAAGGTGGAACACTGGGTGAAACTGCGGGCGAGACACAATCAGACCTCGAGAGCGATGAGTCAGGCGCCGAAGCTTCCGATCGAGATCTCATAAAGATATCTATTTATGGATAGTCATCGTCATTGAAGTAAGTGACAAGAAGATCACTGAAAAAAACAAGGGCTCACTACTGTCGTATGATAAACAGCAAATCGCATTACTTATTTGCGTTGATGGTCTGGGCCTAATTTTTTCCGAGTCGGGGCCAGAAATTAATCAAAGCAAGGATGTGACGTTATGCCATCGATTGCATACAGCGTTATACTAGAAATTGAAGCTATGAAGTGAAAAGCATTACTTTTACTTTACGATCGTACTTGTCCGCTTTGGACGCAGAATTTTACCGCGAGATTTTAGTTTTGTGACCGAGATAGCTAAGTTACCCAGTTTAATCGCTTAGCCAGAGAGACAGCAGTCCGAAGAGTCCGACCATCTGGACGCTTTGGGCTCCGCTTTCTCGTGGAAGACTGCACTGTGTCGAATGCGGACGAGTAAGATCTTCATGTAAGAAGAGTCATGCTTTTCATCTCAGAGATTTTGGAAAATGCTCGTCTACGCTTTTATTTTTATTTTAACTCTATTCCCTGACTGTCAGGTGAGGTAGGTCCGTCTAAACGAAAACGACACCGACAAAAGGGCTGAGAGAAATCCAGAACAATCTCAAGGGGGCCGTTAATTGCCTCTTAGAATCTCGACCAACAAAGGTGTGGAGGCTTCGCGACTGCCTCCCGAAGCTGGAGCAGGCACTCGAACCCTTCACAGACCTACCCAAGCTGAACCGGGGTCAGCTCACTAAGCTCCTTGTTAAGGAGCAGGGCCTTGAGTTTGAGTTTGCTGCTACATGGGTGAGTACGTGGATGGAGAACAATGACAAGGTAAAAAATCTTATCTATCTGAGCTTGAGTCTCTACAGCTATTGGCATTGATTGTAAGACTTTGCTATTGATTTCTGACCTAGTTATCGTGTATTCAAGCATGATTAATACCTCCAACACTGACAAAGACAAAGATAAGTCGGAGGCAGTAGATGTCGTGGCACTGTCAAGGTCAACTACACTTCTCTCGTCAATGATTTGCAACTCTGTCTATGCAGGCGAGCCAAGCAGGGTCGCCAAAGCGGGTAGATGGGCCGAGTGGTTGGCCCCCTCTGAGCGGAGTCCTTATGCATTCTTCAGCCGTGATCTAAGCTGAACTTTGAATTTTGTAGATAAAAATACATTTGGAATAATAGGACATGCCCAGAAAGCGGGCCCTTGAGGGCCCGCTCCGCTGGGCATAGGTCGGCAGCAACTAGACAGATAAGAGCACGGTGGCCATGGCCAAGCTAGCTAGCAGGCTCGCGGGACGCGGCAAAGTTAGAAGGTTGGCGATGGCAAAGCAGCTGCTGGGCTAGATTTCGCCAAGCAGCTAGCAAGCTTGCTAGGGGCAAGGAGCTAGCTTGCCTAGCCAGCCAGCTAGATAGGGGCGAGCAGCTAGCGGGGTGGTGAGCTCGATAGCTACGGCGTAGCAGGTAACAGGCTAGGCAAGCCTAAAAAGCAGCCAGCAAGCGAGGCGTGCCAGCTGAGCAGCTAGCAGGCTAGGCGTGCCTACTGAGCAGCTAGCAAGCCAGCTAATATGGCCAATCCGCCACCTAACTACGGAAGCAAGCACCTAGCGGACCCGCTATGTATGGCGAAGCTTCTAGCAGGCTAGCTACGGGCAGGGGGTAAGTGTGCTAGCAGGCTAGCTAGCTATAGCCAAGCAGCTAGCAGGCTAGTTTTGGCGGCGCACTTCTTAGCAGGTTAGCTTTGGCTAAGCACTTAGCAGGCTAGCCATGGCTAAGGAGCACCTAGCAGGCTAGCTACGTCGAGCCTAGGCAGCTAGCTACGCTCGTGCAAGCTGTAAGCCAGCAAGTTAGCTAGGGCGCGGGGCCCTTAAGGGAGAGAAGGCCCTAAAGGGAGGGCCTTTAAGCAAGGTCTTACTTTTAGCCCAAGTCTATCACAGAGCTGACTTAAGGAAGCTCTTTAAGAGGTTTTTTGTCCTTTATAGAAATTCTCTCATAGCTTTACTTTTTATAATAGCAAATCCTTAAGAATTTTCGTTTCCGTAAGGGAGCCTCCTCATGAGGGCTCCTTAACTTCCTTAAGGGACGCTCTTAAGAAATTCAGACTAATTGGCAGGCCTATGAGGACAACTGATATTGTAATACAATACTAAGAATAACTCCCCAGGACATTATCGAGAGGTGCGCCCCGGGTAGGAGGCGGAGAGAGAGAACCATCGCGCGGGGCTGCGGTGGCGCAAACGCCACCGGGCTCCCCGTCCCCGGTTGAAAGTAACGCAAAAGCGCCCGGGCTGTTGCTTGTGTGCTGGTGTTCGGTTCTTCTGTGTCTACGTCTAGCCCGTTCAGAATGATCCCGAGCACCGCCCAAACGCCTGGCGGCTCTACGGTCACGCGGGTGATGTGGGTGCTCTACCGCTTTCAGCTGATTGCCGTTTGTTGGTTGTCGTGGTTTTCGTGCCTACCTTGTCCAGAATGATCCGGAGCACTACCCAAACGCCTGACGGGTTTACCGCTGCGCGGGTGCGTCTGGTTTTTCACACTTCTCGGCCGTCACTTAGTTCCTTGGCCGGCGTCCTTTTTGTATGTTGTTCAGAGTTCAGCTTTGGCCCTTCAGCTTCGAGCTTTCAAGCGGCTTGCGGCTTTCGGTTCAGCCTTGGGCCTTCAGCTTTGGGCTGTCAGGTGTGAGCTTTCAGCTTGACGCTTGAGGGCTCAGGGCTAACCAATTCCCAGGCCTCTTTCAATTTTTTCAGTTTGTTTATTCAGGCCGCGGGGGCTTTGGCTTTGTTATATTATCGCGTAGCTTTTGAAGCGTGCGACTTAGTGCCCATCTGCGTGAAGTCAGGGCTAACCCCTTCCCGCGCCTTCTTTTCAATTTTTTGGGTTCGAATTCTATATCTATAAGCTTCGGCTCTATCGCGTAGGTTTTAACTTTCACACACATCTGCGCGAGGTCAGGCCTAACCAATTCCCAAGCCTCGCGCGCAGGCTCATAAGCTTGCAAGCCCATAGGCTGTTCATAAGTGCTGGCGCCGATGCTGATGGTGATGGGGATGGAGGTGATGCAGGCCCGCCGATCGGGTGGGGTGGGGTGCGTAGGCTCCTAAGTTCACAGGCGCAGGCCCATAGGCTCAGAACTTCGGAAAGTTTGGGAAGTTTGGAAGGCTTCGAAAGTTCGGGACGGTTCGGAAAGGCTGGAAACAAAGTCAGCAAAGTTCGGAAAGTTGGGAAAATTGGGGAAGCCCAGAAAGCTGGGAAGGCTGGGGAAGTTGCGAACTGTTCGGAAAAGTTTGGAAGAGTTCGGAAAAGTTCGGAGAAAGGTTGGAAAAAGTTCGGAAAAAGTTGGGGACGTTGGGGAAAGGTGCGAAAAGCTGCGGAAAGCTGGGGGAAGTTGCGAAAAGTTGGGAGACAAAAGCTGGGAAAAGTTGCGAAACGTTGAGGAAGGTCGCGAAATAAAAGCTGCGAAGCCAGCGCTGTGATGAAAAGTCTCGAAAAGTTGCGAGGTGAAAGCCGTGAAAAGTTGAGAAAAGGCGCAGAAAGGTGGGAGAAGCTAGTAAAAGTTGGGAAAAGCTTGGAAGAACTGGGAGAAGCTGGGAAAAGTGGGGAAAATTTGGAGAGCTTGGAGAGTTTGGGAAGTTAGAGAAGCGGCGAAAAGTTGGAAAAAGGTTGGGAGAAGCTGGGGAAAGTTGGGAAAAGCTGGGAAAAGTTGGGAGAGTTGGGGAGGCTGAGAAAGTAGGAGAGAGCTGGGAGAAGTTGGGGAACGTCTGGAAGGCTTGGGAGCTGGGGAGGCTGTGAAAGCTGGGGAAAATTGGGAAAGTTTGGAAAGTTCGAGAAGTTGTGAAAAGTTGGAAAAGTAAAAGGCTGGGAAAAGTTGGGGAAAGTTGGGAGAAGATGGGGAGAGCTGGGAAAAGTTGGGGGAGCTGGGGACGCTTGGGAAGTCTGGGAAGCTTGGAAGCGGAGAGAGTTGGAAAAAGTTGGAAAGAGCTGGAAAAAGCTGGAAAAAGCTGGGAGAAGCTGGGAAAGTGTGGAAAGCTTGGAAGCTTCGGGAAGCTTGGGAGTTTCGGAAAGCTTGGAAAGCCTGGGAAGTTAGAGGAGCTGCGAAAAGGCCGGAAAAAGCTGGGCAAAGTTGGGAAATGTGTGAAAAGTTGGGAAAAAAGTTGGGAAAAGTGGGGACAGTTCGGAAAGTTGGGAAAAGTCGGGAAAAGTTGCCAAAAGTTGGGAAGAGCTGGGAAAAGCTGGGAGGAGTTGGGAAAAGTTGGGAAAAGTGAGGGAGAACTGGAAGAAGTTCGGGAAAGCTGGAAGGAGTTAGGGGAAGCTGTAAGAAGACTGGGGAAAGCTGGAAGAAGTTAGGGAAAGCTGGGAGAAGCTTGAAAAGTTAGGAAGAGCCGGGAAAAGTTGGGAAGAGCTGGGAAAAGTCGGGAGGAGTCGGGAAAAGTTCTTGGGAGAAGCTGGGAAATAAAAGCTGGGAAAAGTTGGGAAAAGCTGGGAGAAGCTGGGAAAAGTTGGGAAGAGCTGGGAAAAGTTTGGAAAAGTTGGGGGAAGCTGGGAAAAGTGCTGGGGGAGAGCTGGAAGAAGTTAGGGAAAGCTGGAAGGAGTTAGCGAAAGCGGTAAGAGGCTAGGGAAATCTGGAAGAAGTTAGGGAAAGCTGGAAGAAACTTCAAAAGTTGGGAGAAGTTGGGAAAAGCTGGGAAAAGCTGGGAGAAGTTGGGAAAAGTTGGGAAGAGCTGGGAAAAGTTGGGGGAAGCTGGGAAAAGTGCTGGGGGAGAGCTGGAAAAAGCTAGGGAAAGCTGGGAGAAGTTAGGGAAAGCGGGAAGAAGTTAGGGAAAGCCAGAAGAAGTGCTGGGGGAAAGCCAGAAGAAGTTGGGGAAAGCTGGAAGAAGTTAGGGGAAGCTGGAAGAAGTTTGGGAAAGCTGGAAGAAGCTTGAAAAGCTGGGAAGAGTTGGCTAGGGAAAGCTGGAAGAAGCTTGAGAAGCTGGGAAGAGTTGGGAAAAGTTGGGAAAGTTGGGAAGGCTTGGAAGTCCATGAGCCAGAAGCGGAAGGCTGAGAGCTTGGGGGGGGTGCTGTCGTTTGTGTCTTCTGCCGTTGTTGTTTTCGTGTGGTGTGTTGTGCTCTCTTTGCTTTTTTCGTGTGCTCTGTTTGCTTTGCTTTTTTCGCGGGTCGGTTGTGCTTTGCTTTTTTTGTGTGTTGTGCTTTGCTTTTTTCGTGTGCTGTGCTTTGCTCTTTTTTTGTGTTGTGCTTTGCTTCTTTCGCGTGTTGTGCTTTGCTTTTTTTGTGTGCTGTGCTTTGCTTTTTTTTCGTGTTGTGCTTTCCTTTTTTTTCGTGCTCGTGCTGTGCTTTGCTTTTTTTTTGTGTTGTGCTTTGCTTTTTTTCTGTGCTGTGCTTTGCTTTTTTTTTTGTGCTGTGCTTTGCTTTTTGTGTGTGCTGTGCTTTGCTTTTTTTTTTGTGCTGTGCTTTGCTTTTTTTTTGTGTTGTGCTTTGCTTTTTTTTTGTGCTGTGCTGCAGTTTCTTTTTTTGGCCTGAAGTGTTTAGTTTAGATATACAAGTCGCGGCTTTGTCGTTGGGATTTCTAACAAGTAAGGCCCGCAAGATGAAAAAAAGCAAAAAATCTGAGCCATGAAAAGAGCGGCCGCTGGTCGGTGTGGTGGTGTGTTGTGGGTGTGGTGGTGTGTTGTGCTTGTGGGTGTGGTGGTGTGTTGTGGGTGTGGTGGTGTGTTGTGGGTGAGGTGGTGTGTGGTGGTGTGTTGTGGGTGTGGTGGTGCGTTGTGGGTGTGGTGGTGTGTTGTGGGTGTGGTGGTGTGTTGTGGGTGTGGTGGTGTGTTGTGGGTGGGGTGGTGTGTTGTGGGTGTCATGGTGGTGCGTTGTGGGTGTCGTGGTGGTGTGTTGTGGGTGTCGTGGTGGTGTGTTGTGGGTGTCGTGGTGGTGTGTTGTGGGTGTCGTGGTGGTGTGTTGTGGGTGTCGTGGTGGTGTGTTGTGGGTGTCGTGGTGGTGTGTTGTGGGTGTCGTGGTGGTGTGTTGTGGGTGTCGTGGTGGTGTGTTGTGGGTGTCGTGGTGGTGTGTTGTGGGTGTCGTGGTGGTGTGTTGTGGGTGTCGTGGTGGTGTGTTGTGGGTGTCGTGGTGGTGTGTTGTGGGTGTCGTGGTGGTGTGTTGTGGGTGTCGTGGTGGTGTGTTGTGGGTGTCGTGGTGGTGTGTTGTGGGTGTCGTGGTGGTGTGTTGTGGGTGTCGTGGTGGTGTGTTGTGGGTGTCGTGGTGGTGTGTTGTGGGTGTCGTGGTGGTGTGTTGTGGGTGTCGTGGTGGTGTGTTGTGGGTGTCGTGGTGGTGTGTTGTGGGTGTCGTGGTGGTGTGTTGTGGGTGTCGTGGTGGTGTGTTGTGGGTGTCGTGGTGGTGTGTTGTGGGTGTCGTGGTGGTGTGTTGTGGGTGTCGTGGTGGTGTGTTGTGGGTGTCGTGGTGGTGTGTTGTGGGTGTCGTGGTGGTGTGTTGTGGGTGTCGTGGTGGTGTGTTGTGGGTGTGGTGGTGTGTTGTGGGTGTGGTGGTGTGTTTTGGGTGTGGTGGTGTGTTGTGGGTGTGGTGGTGTGTGGGTGTGGTGGTGTGTGGCTGTGGTGGTGTGTGGCTGTGGTGGTGTGTGGCTGTGGTGGTGTGTGGCTGGGTGTGGTGGTTTGTGGGCGTGGGTGCGGTGGTGTGAGTTGCGCTTTCTGGAAAGGCTGGGACCTCTCGGAAGTTTTGGGGCTTTTTCTTTGGAAGGCTTGGGGCTTTTTGGAAGGTTTGGGACTTTTTGGAAAGTTTGGGACTTTTATTTGGAAAGTTTGGGACTTTTTGAATAGATTGGGACCTTTTGGAAAGTTTGGGACTTTTTGGGAAGTTTGGGACTTTTTGGAATGTTTGGGACTTTTTGGAAAGTTTGGGACTTTTTGGAAAGTTTGGGACTTTTTGGAAGGTTTGGGACTTTTTGGAAAGTTTGGGACTTTGGAGGGTTTTGGACTGGGACTCTTTGGAAGGTTTGGGACTTTTTGGAAAGTTTGGGACTTTTTGGAAGGCTTCGGACCCTTCCTCTTTGGAAGGTTTCGGACTTTTTGGAAAGTTTGGGACATTTTGGAAGGCTTGGGACTTTTTGAAAAGATTTGGACTCTGTGGAAGGCTTCGAACTTTTTGGAAAGTTTGGGACTTTTTGGAGAGTTTGGAACTTTTTGAAAATTTTGGGCCTCATTTTTGGAAGGTTTGGTACTTCTTGGAAGGTTTGCGCGTTTTGGAGTTCGTGCCTTGAGGAGGCTGTTCCAGGCGTCTGGTTTGTTTGAGATGGGCGCTTCTGGTTTGTTTGAGCTGGGTGCGCCTGGTTTTTTTGAGATGGGCCCGGGTGGAGGAGGACAGGGACGGAGCCAGATAGACTACGCCTTGGCCAACAGGACGGCGGCGGAAAGGGTGAGAAAAGTTGGCATGAGCTCGAGGAAACTGGGCTACACCATAAAGGAAGAAGAGGAGAAGAAGGGCCGCCGCCCCGTGCTGGTTACCATCGGCCTGGGCTCCCTGAGAAACAGGGAAAACGGAAAGAGCTGGGGAACGTCGAGGCGATCCGGTACGACAGGGAGAGGGTGCGGGAAATGGCACGGCACCAGAGGGAAATGCTGAGGCCCTCGAAGTACGGGCTGGAGCAGCGAGAAAAGTGGGACCGACACGCTGCGGCACAAGATTGGACAAAGGCAGCAAAAACCGAAGAGAAAAGGAGAAACGGAGGAACAAGAAGAGAGGGCAGCAAAGAAGGAGCGGAAACAAGAGGAGCCGGGGGAAGCGGACAAGGGGGGCGCACGCACCCAAACACCGGCAGAGAAGCGGAGGCAGATAAGGGCTGCGAATGTGTGCAACTGGACGCCTAGAAAGCCCAGGAGTGCACTGAAGAAAATGCAACAAGGAAAGAAGACCGCGGAGAGGTCTGGCGATGCTGGATGGATATGGAAGCGACTAGCCAAAAGGGTACACGCGAGGGAACAGGGAAAAAAATGGAGGGGCATGCAGGCTCTCCGCGAAGCTAGGAGGGTAGTCGAAGGTAGAATAGAGGACGTCCTCCAGAAGTGGGACAAAATAGGGGACAGAGAAAGGGCGAAGACGCTTCGCGCACTAGCAGAAGATAGAAGAGGCGGCAAGGGTGGATCGGTGGAAAGAGCTCAAGAAAGTAGCGGGCAATGCCAGAGAGTTCGAGGACATTGAAGCAGAAAGCGAAAGGGCCAAAGAGCTCGAAGAGGTAATGGCCTGGACGAGTCGGATTTCCCTGGACGCCTATAGGGCCTTCCAAGGGCGTGAAACCTGCGGAAAAGAGGACGGGGAGAAAGACGCCCGCCTCTCCCGCATAATGGCAGACGGGAGGCTCAGACGGCTCAAAGCGCCTGAGGAGCAGGCAAGGGACCAGAAGGAAGAGAACAGCCTGAAAGAATGGAAAAGAGGCAAGGACCAGGCGCAGACTGAAGGAGGGCTCGCGCCCCCGGTAGTCTGGGAAGAACTCTCCCAGCGGGTGAAAGCCATAACCGAGGCAAGCATCCCAAAGGGGGGGGGAAGGCCGGGCGCGGTGGCGTGATAGTAAAAGACGGGAAGAGAAAAGAGACCGGGAACGAGCTGGAGAAGCTCCGGCGCGAACGGATTAAAGCAACAAAGGAAGGGAAAAAAGCGGGCGCTGCACTGGCGCACCTTTTGAGGAAATACCACGAGGGGAAGACGAAGGCGACCGCATGGCGGTGCCGGCGAGAAGGCGAGCAGAAAACAGAGGAAAAGAAAAAGGGGACTGGTAAGCCCCCGGACGAGGAGCAAGAAGAGCAGGAGAGGAACGAGGTAAGCAGCGCGCTAGGGCAAAAGCTGAAAGAAATCGCGGCCAGGCATCGCAACCTGCGCAAACAAGAGGAGGACTTGACGGGGGAGGTAGAAGGACTAGAAAGGGAAGCGAAGGCCGCGGGGTGGAAGGACAGAATCAGGAACCTCGCCAGAGGAAGCAGGACCGACCAGGTCAGGCAGCTCTATGAAGTGGCGCGGCAACACAAAGGGACAAGCCGAGGAGGGAAGAAGAACACCGAAGGCAGTGGCATCAGGGTAGCCGACCGCGATGGGAAACACAAAGGAACCGCCAGGACGGACAGCGAGATCGCTGACGCCTTCCGCGAGAGAATAAAGGAGCCCTGGAGCATCGCTGAAGAAGAGGATAAGGACACCGACGAAAAATGGAACAAGACCAAGGAAGAAGCGGAGCCGGGAAGGTGGTCGGTCAAAATAGGCGAGAAGCTCCGGAGTGCGTTAAAAGTAGTGGGCGTCAATGGGCTGCCATGGCAGGCGTATAGGGAGGCAATTGAACAAGCCAAGTTCGCGAAAGCGGCGGGGCCGGATGGAGTCATCGGGGAAATCTTCAAGCTGGACCCTGTGAACTGGGCGAAGGTTCTGAAGGAGATAGACGAAGCGAGCGGGGCTAAGAAGTTGCAAACAGGATGGGTGGCATGGGCATGGCTGTACAAAGGGAAGGGAAGCAAAGTTGGGAGAATAAACTACAGGCCAGTCGCCGCCCTGCATGTTGCGCGCAAGATAATACGCAACGCGCACAAGCGCCAGCGCGAAGGAATCATAAGAGACACCATGGGGAGGGTCCGGCGGTATGGTTTCCAGGCCCGAATGGGATGCAGGGACTACCCCCTCGACGTCAGGGAACTCATAGAGGCAGACGAGACGCCAGGCCTCGCCCTTGCGCTGTGTGATCTAGGTAAAGCCTTCGACCGGGCGAGAAGGGGCAAGCTCTGGAGGATCATGCTGGAGCTAGGTGCTCCAGCAGGATACGTCGAGAAGGTGAGGAATTTACACAGAAAGACGCGAACGGTGTCGCAGACGCAGTGGGGAAAACACCGAGCAGAAGAGACAACAATCGCCCTCGGAGTGTATCAGGGGTCGCCAGTATCCCCCTGCCTCTTCATCATCTACACGCTTGCGATGAGTGAAGAAATCGAGCGAAGACGAGAGGGGGAAGGATTGAGGGGAGTAGAAGTGACCAAGCCAGCGAACGCGACCGAGGAACCGCGAAGAGGTTGGCAGAGCAGCCAGCGCAAATGGAAGCCAAGGGTGAAGAAATGGGGCAACCCGGCCCCCGAAGAGAGACAGCCGCGCAGAGGGGTGGCCCTGGAGCACCCAAGCGCGCGAGGGGCTGACAGGGACACAGACAGGGCCTTCAGCCTCACCGTGTACGCTGAAGACACAAGCACACTGGGGCACACGGTGGAGAGGACAGTCCGGGCGGTGGAGATCTTCGAGGAAGTAGGGCAGGACTGCCGCATGATAGTGAACAAGTCAAAGACAGAGACTCTCACGAGGGAGAAACTGACCCACCAGGAGAGGAGGGCCCTAAGTGAGAGACTGGGGAGCAGCGACTTCGAGGCAGAAGGGACGGACCTGATTAAAAGAAGCGGGCGGCTAGTTGGGGACATCATAAGCATGCGTCTACGGCGCCACGCGGCCGGAGGTGGCTGACAAGGCCAAAAAGGTCGCGAGGATGATCAGCCCGCTCCTAAGACATGAGGACATCGATCAACATGACAGAGAGACGCTAGTCGAAGCCCCGGTGGGCACCGTCTTACTCTACTACGGGCTCGACACGTCCAAACTGTCAGGCCATGACATGGAGCAGATACAGCAAATCCAGACCAAGGCCAAGCTGGTCTGGGTCGTGGCGGACCCGAAGGAAGAGAAGAGACTCGGAGAGACTTGGGGAAGGAAGGGGGCGGCCTTACCGCTCACGGATATGACAAAGGAGGAGATCCACGCAGCGCGCAGAATGGTGGAGAAGGGGCAGCGCCTGCCGCAGGAGGAGGTAGACAGGAGAGCCCGCCTACCCACGGCTCGGAGCAAGTGGGAACGCCAAAGGCTGCTGGCAATCGTCGACAGATACAGGGAGGAAAAGTGGGGCGGAAGGCTCTGCCCGGGGATGACCCTCAAAGAAAGCCAACGAAGGGCCGAACACAATGCCCGCCAGGAGAGTCAGACTAGGAGAAAGGGACAACACGGAGGCGGAGACGAGATATTGATATGGAAGCAATTCAAGGGAGATATGGAAGCAATTCAAGGAGATTCAGCGAGAAAATAGAAGTGACGCGGGACCTTGAGCAGCTGGAAGAGACGCCACGCGTACAGACCTGGGTGGAGCGGCTGGGAATGGCAGACGTGTGGAACCTCGTGACACGCTGCCCGCAGTCGATCCACTGGCGGGAACTATGGAACGCGGCGACGAGAGTTCTGCACAACACCAGAAGAGGAGAACGAGAGGGCAGGGACTGGACGACGTGCAAGCACTGCGGGCAGAAAGGCTCTAAAGGCCCAAAGGGCTTAGTGGCGCACTGGGTAAGGACGGCAAAAAACTGGAAGGAGGGAGAACGCGCAAGCTGTGGCTACCAGGCTGCAAGCGAAAGGGAGCGAGAATGGAAGAAGGACCGCGGGGACATGATGGACGCCGGGGACCTGCAGAGGCTCTCGCATTTCCAGGAAACATACCTGGAGGAGGCAGGACTCAGCCCCGGGGACGTGAAAGAGGTGGCGGGCATATCGCTGAAAGGAAAAAAGTGGCCGTACGTAGGAAGCGGGACACACATCCAAGACAAGCAAGATGCAGGAGAGCTCCTCAAACTTGTGGAAGACTGGGAACACTATGAGCAGACAGGGGAAACCATCGACCAAGACAACCGGCGAGAGTGCCCCTGGGGGGGTGAAGAAATGCCAGGGGGCACAGTCGGACACTCGCCGATGCGGTATGTGCCAGGTGATGCACGGCACAGGCCAGGCGCGCCAAAAGTGGCTAGAACAGGCCAAAAGGGTAAGAAAGGACGAGAAAAGGTAGGAGGCATACGATACCACGGGGCCAAGCGAATGCGCTGGGACCCGATGACAAAGGTAAAGACATGCCCACACAAAGAGAAGGCGCGTGGCTGGCCGGTGGAGGAGCCGGGAAAATGGTGCGAAGGGTGTAAAAGAATAGAGGGAGGAGAAACCTGGGCCACCCACTGCAGGGAAGTAGAGGAGAAAAAAAGAAGGAGGACCCTGCGGGAAAGGAGCAGGAGGAAAAAGCCAAGGCCCAGAGAAAAAGACAGAGGGAAGAGGAGCAGGACGATAGGGCAAAAAGAGAGGCCCAACGCAAAACCCAAAAGAGAGAGGTAGAGGCAGAGGAAAAGAGAAGGGAAGGAAAAAAGAGACCCGCGGGCAAACCGCTGGAGGGACTCAGGGAAGGGAAGAAGCCAAAAAAGCCTCCAGGAGCGGAAAAGGCTGGAGGAGAAAAGCGGCCAGCGGGGGAGCCGCTGATAGACCTCAGAAAAGGGAAGAAGGGGAAGAAGCAGCCAGGAGACCAAGAGGAGGAGAAGGGCAACGCCCTCAAGAAAAGGGGAGCACAGAGCAGCCCCACAGAAGTGAAGAGGAAGCGGCAACGAGAACAAAGAACAAGGCCGAAAGAGAGGGAAGGAGCCAGCACAGAAGTGAAGAAAAAAGAAGAGGAAGGGCGGAGACCTGGCAAAGGGACCGCCGGACGAAATGAGGCCAGAAAGACCACGAAGGGAACAGGACAGCAAAAAAAACGGCCGAAAGGACGGGGCCGCTTAAGGGGAGGCCCCCTGATGAAGGGGGAGGCAGTGCAGGAGGGCAAGAGCAAGCGAAGCGGGCTCCCCTCGCCTCCTTGGGGTCCCCCGGAGAGGTGGCGGGCGTGGGTCTGGCCTCTCTCTGCGGGGTCGAGTAGGGGCGACCTCTTATCTTAAAGAGGGCGGCCCTCTTAGGTAAAACGACTGCGGGGATAAGATGGCATCGCGCCCCACCCGGTCGGTGGGCTTGCATCATCGTCGTCATTTTTGAGATGGGCGCGTCTGGTTTGTTTGAGATGGGCGCGTCTGGTTTGTTTGAGGTGGGTGAAAGTTTGGGACTTTTTGGAGCGTTTGAGACTTTTTGAAAAGATTGAGACCGTTTGAAAAGTTTGGGACTTTTTGGAAAGTTTGGGACTTTTTGGAAAGTTTGGGACTTTTTGGAAAGTTTGGGACTTTTGGGAAGGTTTGGCACTTTTTGGAAAGAAAGTCTGGAGCCTTTTGGAAAGTTTGGGACTTTTTGGAACGTTTGGGACCCTTTGGAACGTTTGGAACTTTTTGGAAAGTTTGGGACTTTTTGGAAAGTTTGGGACTTTTCCTTTTTTAAACGTTTGGGACTTTTTGGAGCGTTTGGGACCCGCCGGGAAGTTTGGGACTTTTTGGGAAGTTTGGAACTCTTTGAAAAGATTGGGACCTCTTAGAAGGTTTCGGACTTTTTGGAAAGTTTGGGACTTTTTGGAAAGTTTGGGACTTTTTGGAGGGTTTGGGACTCTTTTAAAGTTTTGGGACTTTTTGCGAGGTTTGGGACTTTTTGCAAAGTTTGGAACCTTTTGGAAGGCTTGGGGCTTTGGAATGTTTGGGACTTTTTGGAGCGTTTGGAACTTTTTGGAAAGTTTGGGACTCTTTGGAAAGTTTTGGACACCCCACGAAGCCTGTTCTAGAAAGGCTTGGAAGGTTTGGGACTTTTTGGAAAGTTTGGGACTTTTTGGAAGGTTTCTTGGGACTTTTTGGAAGGTTTGGAACCTTTTGGAGAGTTTGGGGCTTGGAACTTTTTGGAAAGTTTTGGGCCCTTTTGGAAATTTCTAGAAAGGCTCGGAAGGCTTGGGACTTTTTGGAAAGTTTGGGACTTTTTGCAAGGTTTGGGACTTTTTGGAAGGTTTGGAACCTTTTGGAAAGTTTGGGACTTGGAACTTTTTGGACTTTTTGGAAAGTTTTAGGCCCTTATGGAGATTCTGGGTCTTTTTGGAAAGTTTTGGACTTTTTGGCGCGACTTTTTGGAAGGCTTGGGACTCTTTGGAAATTTTGGGACTTTTTTGAAATTTTGGGACTTTTTGGGAGGTTTGGGCCTCTTTGGAAGGTTTGGAACCTCTTGGAAAGTTTGGGACTTTTTTGGGGTGACTTTTTGGGAGGCTTGGGAATTTTTGGAAATTTTGGGACTTTTTGGAAATTTTGGGACTTTTTGGAAATTTTGGGACTTTTTGGAAGGCTTGGGACTTTTTGGAAAGTTTGGAACCTTTAGGAAAGTTTGGGACTTTTTGGAACGTTTAGAACTTTTTGGAAAGTTTGGGCTTTTTTGGAAAGTTTTGGCCATCCCGGATAACCTGTTCTGGAAAGGCTGTCCCAGAAGTCTTGTTCTGGGTACGTAGAGGGAAACTTTCCCCTGTCTAAGTAATAAATACTATATGCGCTAAATATTAAGTAGGGCTCCGGGGTTTTTTTATCTCTATCTCATATCATTTGCGTTATAATACTTATACAGGCCAAGTAGTACCTGAGTGGTCTTGTAGCTTTTCAAACTTAGAGTAGCGCTGACAGTCCAGCAATAAGCGAGACTAGAGGGTAGAAGTCGCCAGGGAAATCGTCGGCAGGTTGCTGATTGGATTCACGTCATCAAGCTGGCTAGGCTAGGCCACTGCCCACTGAGCTGGGGGCTGCTGGGGGTTTCGAGTGGCGGGCGTGGTCGGAAGCTTGTGGGGCTGAGGCCCTGAGCGAGGCGGCTCGGGTTCTACTGGGCAAAGCCACCAGTGGCCCCATTTTGGCCCTCTTGTTACTGGGCCAGAAGACTTATATAGAACGGGAAGCCATGCCGGCGACAGCGTGCCCCCGGGGCTACCTCAGGGCCGCGGTCGATGGCGCGCCTGCTGCCTATTATTCTTCAAGGCTATTGGGTTTGGGTCCGCCGTCTTTCAGGTTCGCCCCCTTGGGTTGATCCAATTCGCCGAAAGTGACTCCTTCAGCCTCTTCATTCCGCATGTTTTTCTGGCTGTCTCTCCGTCGGTCCGTCTCTGTAGCCCTCGACCCCGCGGCATCGCCTCCCACCTCCTTTGGCTAGTGTGCAGCTTCAGACGCTCAAAAAGTAAAAACGCAGGGCGTTTTTCAAAGCGTAGGCTTTTGAGATTAGGTAAAGACGCTCTCTCTTTGAAGGGACACCTGAAAAGCTTGGCAGCGTCAGAGAGGTGTCTGCGACGGTCACGTCGGTATGTGTCTCACGTGGTGCGACCTGTCGACGGCGTTGCTCCATGCATAGCGTGGGCATGCGCGTAGACTTTGCACTCCTTAGATACCTACACCACGGATAGACTCTGTTATTGAGTTTTTCGGTGGGATTCTATTAAAAAGCAGCAAGCGTCACTACTACTAGAAGTCGTGGCGCTAAGCATGTCCTCAGCTATTTGCGAGGAGCTCAGCTTCCCCGAGTTGTCAACTTAGCCTCTGCGCCATTTTCTGGACGCATCTAAAGTTCTTTCCGCAGCGGTGGGCGCAAGCAGTTAAGACCGGAAGGAGTCTTAAGCCAAAACATAGACTTAGACCCTATCCTCGACGCGGCTTCTGTAGCATTTTCTTCTTGGTTTTTATTTACTGAAGACGTAGGTAGTACTTTGTTTTGCTACTCGACCAGGTCAGTTTGAATACCCTCAAGATTGAAAATCGAAATTATAACACAGTGTGAGGTCTTGTACTTGGTGTCGCGGCATTTTGCTCTATGTTTTCGCCCCTGACCCAAAGGCGCAGCGAGCTGTAGGCCTGAAGGGGACGCGCGGTGGACCTTAGTTGAGGGGCCAGGCGGGCCGAGGGCCCTCTTTGGGCCCCTGGCTGAGTCAGGCACAAGAGGAGGAGTGCCGAGCGTGGATCTTTTCGGCTGCTATATCAGGCACAGGAGGTAGCCTCCTGGCCAAAAGGCAGGGGGGGCGGCGTTGATTTTCGGCTTCCTACTCCTAGATCGCTTGGCACCATCATCGGCGCCGCCGTCAATCTCTGCCATTTGGCCAGCGGCTTGAAGGTGGAAGTGGAACAGCGCAGATTCTTGGTGATGTCGGTCTGCTGCGAAGCTTGACCACGGACGGCGCAGGGGGTCCGTCAGGCCTGGGGGTGTCGGTTGGTTTGCTTTGGATTATTTCGGACGTGACCCAAGCACAGGGGGCGGAGTGTGCTTGGCTTCTAGCATTGGTGTGGCTGGCTCTTCTTTGGTGTTTGTCTTGCGGTCGCCGGCCGCTGGATCGGGGGCCCGATTTGGTGTAGTGGGTTCGTTCTCACGCTCAGCGCATGGTGCTCGCGATGTGTGCGGTGCTTCTTGGCGTGGGTGTTTCGGTGTCGTGGTTTCTGTCATCTTTCCCCGTGCCTGCTCGGTGATGTCTTTGCCTGCAGACAAGTGAAGGGCAACGCGTCTGCCCGCCTCGCCAGTGAGAAGCAGGGCGCGACCGTGTCGTCCCTTACTGGTTTCGGCCGCCTTTTCTTGTTTGTCTTTGTTCCTCGCGTGTAGATGTAGCGGGCTTTGCTATTGTGTGGGCACTCTCCATGCGTGCGCCCGCGCTGTACTGACGCGGCGTCTGTGGGGGGGTCTTTCTCCTTCGATGGGTCGTCGTCGTGCTACGAAGTTCGGAGGGTGCCTGATATTGGTCAACGCAAGCCGGGCTGCGCCCCTTCTTCCGCCCCATCCTTGCCTGGGCGTGCCGGTGTGGGCGCCACATGCTTTCGCCGGGGTATAGCGTGAAAGCGTCGCGCGCGTCGTCGCATGCTTCTTGCAGACTTAGTTAGACCCCACACAGCGGCCGCGGATGTGGTCCGCAGCAAGCTCGCTTGTAGGTCGTTCGCCCCCTTGCATTGTAGAACACAGACATGACACAGGACAGAAAGAAGCCCTGCCGCCTTGGCTCTAGTGCGTTGGCTGGTGCAATCATGTGCGGCCGCGCTCCAAAATGTGATAGGGGCAAGGGCTGGCGTAAGTTGTAGGCGCAGAGAACGCGGGCGCCCTCTCTGCGTTTTGCTTGCTTGTTTTTCTCTCTGAGATGTACCTTGCGGCTTGGTGCTTCTCTCAAGCTTGCCCATCCAGTTGAGCCAGATGGGCTGTTTGAGATAGCTGGCCGCCTTGTCCAGGCAGCGTCGGACTGTCTCGCGTAGCTTGTCTTATGCGGGCTGTAAGTTCAGAGCGAAAGCTTGGGGGGCTGGGCTGTTTCGGATAGCCAGCGAGCCTTCAACGGCTGAGCGGCTTCACTCAGGTGGCCCACCTGCGTTGGCTGGGTTGTTGTGCATGGGCTGCCCCGCTTGGAGGCGTGTCCGTTTCAAATAGCTTGCGCTGACGGGGCTTTCAGGTAGGCCGCGCTCGGCAGTTTGTCTCAGGTGCACACTGTCCGGCTCTGCAGTGCCCATGCGGGGGCGCTAGGGGTAACTTGTTTCGGGCAGGTTGATTCACATGATAGCAAGTTTGCAGCGGCTGGCTCAGGTGGGCTGCCTTTGTTGGGTTGTTTCTTCGCATGCTGGGCTCCTTGGTCTGGTTTGTTTAAGGTTGGTACTTGGTGGCTTGCGTTGGCTGGGTGTAGGAAGGTAATTTGAGCTCTTTCGGACAGGTTGCTGCGCCTGGGTTGTTTCGGGTAGGTTGCGATGGATGGACTGCTTCAGAGAAGCAAGCCCCGCCAGCTGGGCTGCCTCACATGGGTGGCCTTTGCTGGGTTGTTTCGGGTAGCCCGTCTTCTCTTGGGCAGTCCCGACCGGGGCTGTCTGCTCAGGTGGCTTGTTTTGGCTGGGTTGTTTCGGATAGCTTTCCTTGGCTGTGCTGTACTTTTTTGCAGGTGGCTTGGCTGGGTTGTTTCAGACTGGTTTACTCGGCTTGGCTTTTTCGTGCTGGCTGTTCCGTCTTGGCTGTTCTGGTTGGGCTGTTAGTTTCAGGCTGGCTGTCTGTTGCAGAGGCCGCCTTGCTCGGGGTAGGTTGTTCTGGGTTTGCTGCTTCAGGCTGACGGCCTCAGGCTGGCTGTTTCTAGTTGTTTCGGGGTCGTTGTTTCGGGCTGATTGCTTCGGGCTCGTTGGTTTGGGTGGGTCTCGGTTGCTCGGTGGTGGGTGTTCTTGGCTGGTTGTTCCGAGTTGCTTGGCTATTCATTCCACCGGGGCTGTTCTAGCTGGGTTGCTTCAGGATCAGGAAGGCTGCCTTGGACAGGTTCGGCGCTGCAGATAGGCTGTCTTGGCTGGGTCGACTGCTTAGGGTCCGCTGGTTGTTCTGGCTGGGTCGTTTCGGGCTGGCTGTTCTGGGCGGGCTGCTGCGGGTAGGCTGTCATCTTCCTCGGATTGTTTCGGATCGGCTTTTCTGGCTGGGTTGTTTCGGATTCGTGGTTTTTCTGGCTGAGCTGTTTCAGGGGTTGGCTGAATTGTTTCAGATGACTTTCTGGAGGTGTTCTTGGCCATTGATAGAGCCTCTGCGCGAAATATTCAAGGGAAGGCTTTTTTGTAGCTACAGCTAGAGAGGCACGCAAGAAGGAAACCACCGAAAAACAAACACGCGGCCAAACTGCTTGCACAGATTGGCTTGGCTGCATCGCTTGGGCCTTGCTTCACAGCTACGTAGATAGGCGCGCGGCTGTCATCACGCAAAGACTTACTTAAAAAAGTGGGGGGACAGGTACAGGTTTCCAGGCCTCGCCCGTAAGATCGAGGCCGCCTTCTATAGAGGCGCGCGGGGAAACCGATGGGGGCTGCGTTGCTCCTCGTGGCTCTCCTCGCGATGTGAGGCGAGCCCGCATCAGTTTCCGCATTCTCTTTGCTCCTCGTATGCCCTCCGCTGGTTGCTGATTGGCTGAAAAGAGTCCCGACTTTTCAAGGGTTTCAAAGTTGAACACTTGAAAAAGTCGCGGCTTGCTTTGGATGCCAGGAGACTGCGCGCGCGCGCCTGCTGGCTCCATGGTCTTGCGGCTCAGCAGCCGAACCGCGATAAGCCGACGCGGCGCGCGTCTGCTGGCTCCATGGCCTTGCGGCTTAGACCCGGATAAGCCGACGCGGCGGGCGCCTGCTGACTCCATGTCCTTGCGGCTTAGCAGCCGGACCGCGATAGGGTGACGCGACGGCGCAGGCTTTTGCGCTGGTTCTTGATTGGTTGAGAAGCCTGACTCTTGAAGAGAGTTCTCAAGCTGGACACTTGAAAAAGCCGCGGCTCTGGAAGCCAGGACCAGGAGACCGCGCGCGCACCTGCTGGCCCCATGGTCTTACGGCTTCGCAGCCGCACCGCGAGAAGCTGACGCGGCGACGAAGGAGGTTGCCCTGGTTGTTGACTGGTTGGCTGGAATTCAATTGAGACTCCCTCAGCCCCTCCATTGAAAACGGGAGACATTTGGCCCCCTGTGCTTGTGCCTCTATAGAGGGCCTCTGGGAGCCTCCAGGCCTCGCCCCCGCGAATGTGCTAACACTGGGGGCGCCTTCTACAGCCGCAACAGCCCGCAGCAAACCAGCCAGCAGCTTGGGCCTTGTTCTTGGGCAAATCCATGCGCAGACCCTGGATGAAAAGCAAAGGCGAGAGAGAGCCTCCACCCCCACGCACGCAAAAAGTTCGACACTTTTCCCGCGTCATCTCGACCAGCGTTAAGACCTGCCGCCGGCTTAAAGGCATCAACAGAGCGCCGCGCGGCCACCTGCCGCAAGCTTCTTGCACTACGTAGGCCTCCAGGCTTGAGCCTGAGGAGGCTTCGGAGAAATGCCCAGGAAATTCACAGAAGCATCAGCAGAAGCCCCCAAGCATCTTCACTTTTTGCGCCGGAGGTGTTTCGAAGGCCATTCGCTTATAAAATCGCCCCGGAGTTTGTCCTTCGATTGGCCTCTAATCTGGCGGGCTGTGTCTTGGGTTGTAGGAGTTGCGGCGTAAGCTCAAGCTGTGGGCGCTGTGCCCTAGGTTGTGGAGGTTGTGGAAGCGCGCTTTTCTACAGACTCGCGCGAAGCATGTTGCCGCAGCCTCCACCAGGTTCGCCCCGTTGCCAGGTTTCTACCCGAGAACGCAAAAGCAAAAGAACCGCCAGCCACATGCAAGCACGCAAAGACCCAACCAGAAAAGGGGTGAAGAACCCAAGCACCACAAAAGGAAAGGGAAGGAAAAGGGGGCTGGCCCTGACCCTAGGGGCTGTGCCCCTTCGCTTCAGAGGAGAGCGGGGCGCTGTCCATGCCGCTGGCTTTCTTCCTGGCCATCTAAGCCAGCCCCAGTCTGCTTCGATCGTAAGAAACAAAGAGAAACTTTCTCCATGCCTAAGCTTCGTGTGGTTTTCTGGCATCTATCGGCCCCAACCTCTCCAGAACTCTCTTCGCCTGGCGACGTCGTTTCGGCTGGGGTTTTCTGGCCGAGCATTTTCAGGTGATTATGCCGCCTGCGGTGTAGTTCTGGGAGGTGTGTTGTCTCAGATTGCCAGTCTGTCCTGGCTGGCTTGCTTCAGATAGGCGGGCGGCGCTGGCTGGGTTTTTTCACGTGTTAGATAGGCAGTCTCTTACTTTTGGGTGAGTTGTTGCAGGGACTATGCTCGCAGGCTAGTCTATTCTCAGAATATTCCATGGCTTCTGAAGCTGAGCGCCTCGCCCACATGGCTTGTTGTGCTCTAATCGTCTGCGCCCCCCATTTCCAACGGATTCAGTTCCTCAGCCGCCAAAGCAGTTGCGGATGCGAGGAGGGAAGTGGCTGAGATGAGGGCGCATGCGCCTCCTCCAGGAGAATCTTCAAGGCCAGAAAGTGAGAAAGATAGAGCACGAGTTCGAGTCGGAGCAGTGGCGCTGCCCCCTCTACATCCGTCCACTATTATGGCATGCGTGCCCGAATAGTTCTAGTAGAAGTCGTGATATAGATTATAAGACAGATTTGGTAGTTTGTTGGGCCATGGCGAGCGTAAGCATATCTTTTCATCAAGCGATATGAAAAATTTTGATGCAAGAATCACAGACACGGAGAGAGGCCCTCGAAGGATTTGCTATTGCTCGTTGGTTTCCGAAGCCGATGCTGATGCGAAGGGCCTGGTAGGTAGGGCGATGACCCATTTGGAGTCTAAAGTAAGTAGCTACTTGACCTACATACTCTCGAACCTGAGAGGCGAAAGGACGCGACCCGGGAGGGCCGGCCACATGATAAAACAACGACGCCGGGAGGGGGGGCGTGGCTCGTAGCTGCATGGCTTGGCCCCACGTCACGGCCCTGCTGCGAGATGGCTCCGGCTCCGCTTCGGGGTGGGTTGTGAGGATTCCATTTTCTCCGTCTCCCGTGTCGCAGCTTCCCTTTCCCCTGTCAGGTTCGTCTGGTTTAACTAGCTATCTTAAAGGGCATCTACTCACATCAGGCACTTGCCGCCGCTGAAAATTTCGCTCCGCTTTCCTCCTCCCAAGAAATGCTTATACATAAAAAAGTTTTATACATAAAAAAGTATACCCTTACGCTCGCCGATAATTATGCCAGTTGCTGATATTTCTCGAACATCATCTCTAAAAGCTGAGGCATTGCGACCAGTAGCGGAGAGCTTGGAGGAGTAAATCAAGACGAAGCGCAGCGCCAGGAAGTGCTGCCACATTCTGGACGGAAACGCCTTCCCACCGCTGATCTTATGATAATGCCAACGCAACTACTTGTAGTTGTACTTTGTCTTTCGTTTTTCGTGTGCAGCCGAAAAAGGTGTTATTGCTAGCGCGTGGGCGTTTCTCGTTTTGTCTCTTTTTACTGCAACAGGAAGGCGCATTGAAGTGCGAGGCGTTTGCGCTATTCTTCTGGAGCGGATAGGCCTCCTCTTGGCTACGTAATATTACAGTATATTAGACTACGACCATCTTACTGCAGGGTTAGTGAAGTCTCAGCTAAACAACCTGCAGGCACAGTCTATGTCTAGTCCTTTCGGCATCAATGTGATGCATAGTGGAGGCAGTTCGCCGACAATGGATGATGTCACGCGATGCAAGACCTCAAGGGCAACACTGAACCCTGCGGAGAGGCAGATGAGTAGGACGTCGACTTCCAGCTTTTATTGATGAATGCGTCAAGCTGCTAACATGACTAATTGTAGAGGTTTAAAGAGTAGACGGGCCCCGCAATCGATCGGGGACAGGAGGTGCTGCTTGCATCTTCTAAAAGTTTTGGAGGCACGCTTGAGAGTGGTGGAAGTGCTGCAGCTGAAAAACTTCAGGGTCGGGACGCGGATCTGGGGAACTCTGGTGAGCATTCCTCCTAAGGCAGTGAGTTCGCGTCTTTCGCGTGTCCTAATGGCCAAACTTCACGGCATCTCCTAGATAATCACGATTCCGGCGTCTCACTGTCAGTTAGTCTGCATGTGGTGAGCAAACAGCCACGATGCTGTGCGCTGTGAGTGCTCCTCGCTCAGAGAAAGACAGTTATCCGGGGTAGTCCTTCGTGAAGTCAGTAGTGAAATCGCTCAGAATATCATGGATTTCCTAATGATGTGACGTTAACGGATATCTTTTACCGCCACCTAGGGCCTCGGGGATGTTCTGTTATTGCACTAGTGGCCGCTCTAACTTCATCGGCATGTTGCTACTTTCGTCAGCCTGCGCCTGAAGACTTGAAGTTTGGTTTTATAGTGCCAATACTACTGGCGCTTGTTGTAGCTCTAAAAAATACCGACGCCAGGGCCAACTCTATCATCTGACGAGCGAGCAGCTCCTGCAGTATCAGAGGAAAGCACAGCCGGATACAATGTTGAAGACGCTGGCCCTCCAACTTCCGACACTTAAGACGGTGCCTTGTTATTTAGATTGACTTCGTGACGAATAAAAACAAAGTAGCTGACGGAAGAAAAGAACTTCGCTAGCATGTTGTTAGTACAAACAGTTGTTACTTTCTTTCATGGATTCCAGCCATCCCTCGCAATTAAGATTTTGTGCGGCAATATGGATTTACTTCCAGTTCCCGAAGCACGCACTTCTTTCTCCTGAGTTCTCGCTTCCTGAAAGTTTCCCTTGTGGACTTGGATATTGATTCTCTTGTGGACTTCGTCCTTTGCTTGATATTTTTCTGGAGCTCGTCCTGATTGCCCATAGATAAGCCTGTGGATGTATTTTGCTGTAAGAGCACGTACACGCTGACACCATTAGCATCGCTCCCACGCTTGGGATGAACATGAACTAGTCTCATTCTCCTTCATGTCTGTGTGACTTGGTCATTTTGCGAGCTGAAACTTTGCATTTGATGCCTCTTGGGGCATCGTGTATCGTCATACAACTCCGCTTATGGTCTTTTGTTGTCGGCTCTAAAAATCGAGCCCCAAGCCGGCCAGCGCTACACCAGTGCCTGCGACACCGCTACAACCAGATCTGCGCGAAAAGACACCTGATCAACCGAAAACATCAACAAGCGACGAAGGAGCGGGGCCCGACATGGACATGAGTATTTATGATGTTCGATATACATCGGCAGTGAGTTGTTGCAAGCAGGATTCTCACTTGTTCGATTGCTCCAGATTCGTTTACTTTTATAAGACGCTGTTCCAAGAAAAAGGTGACAAGGGTACAGTAGTGCTAGAAGTACTTAGACGATGGGTTCGTTTTGTATCTATAATCATAATATGAACTGGCGAATGAAAACACCACGCAACGACAAATGCCCCGGCTCAGTGACTCTGTGGTCTTTTATATGTGTCTTTACAATTCATATGTAATATGCTGCGTTGTACATGTAGTTGCACTGTCAACGTGTGCTAGAGCTAGAGCATGCCCCAGAGTCAATTTCGTGAGTAAGAATGACGACCGAAGCACAGCAGTGCAGGCCTTCTTGACGCGACTATCTAAGGTTCACTAGGAAGCATACACATACTTGCTGCAGCTGCTGCTGTTTCACTAGCGACAGCTCTAATGCACCGGGAGTCGTGATGCTCCTCATGATACAACAAAGGGGAGCGATACTGTTCTTGTCCTTCCAAGGGATGTAGCTGTTGAGGTGGAGAGATTGGCACGCTTGGCAGAATCAGAAAATCCAGAAGCGAAGCTTTTGCTGGACACGGGTCGAGTCAGGACGCTGACGAGGGCCCTCCAAGAAGAGGAGGAAAAGATAGCGAAGCGAATTTTTGCATCCCCTGAAGATCCTTACGGGGTCTTTTCCATTTCCACCATATAGTTTAGTCATAGTCCTGCCAATGATAAGATTCCACTTGGCTCTCTATCTACTTGCTCAACTCTCACGTTCAATCGCCCTATGCCTAAGGCATGTGGGGAAGGCGGAGAGTAAACGAGGGCTGTTGCGTTGTTGGTGTTGTAGTGACTCGTAGTTGAATGCTTCCGATGTTGGCCGAGCAGCAGAGCCACGCTTATCTAGAACTAGGGTTCGTTGATCACAACTGAAGCTAATACCCCAAAACATGGATAGTCTACGGGTTTTAATTATCCGCTGCTCTAAGACTACGCGTCTCGTCTTGACAGCACAACCACAAGTGCGGGTAGAAGTAGTTCAACTCCCCGGGGGGGTCATGGCACTGAGGAACTCAAGACTGGAACTGAACTAGCCGCTGTAAGCAGTGGCAGGGTCGAGGATCCTCTACCTAGGCGTGAAGATGTCGACAAACTTTAAGGTCTCACCCCCATAATCAAGTAGACTACAAACTACAACTAATGTAAGTCTGAATGTATATTCTTGCTCTACTAAGTAGTAAGAACTAGATGCTGTACAATGATACTAGGCAACGTTAGAATTTTTGAAAAAGAAGGCCTTTTGCGCTATACTGGCTGCCCATCTACGTAGCACAATGGCAACGCATGCCGCAGTTTACGTTGGTATAGAGTCAGTGATACCAGGAGTCCCGCAGGACTAACGCTGTGCATAAAATGAAAATAGTACCACAGCCATGCATTAATTATGGAACCTACCACAAAGGAGCTACTTCTTAGTGAAGCCACCATGTGGTAGACCTTGATCTGCTTAGAAGGGTTAGATGACTTACTCTTACGGTCGTGTTTTTAATTTTGTGATCGAAGATTATAATTACCTTTTTACGTTTAGTATTTGTATTTCGCAGTCTGGTGGTGGTGGTGGACGAGCCTATTTTTCTATTTCTACAGGAGGTTTTGTCGTCACTGACGATACAACGATAAGCTAGCTACAGGAGGTGACGATACAGTAGCACAGGCTAGACGACTCCATGTTTTTTTTTACTTTTTTTTGCTTGCTGCTATGAGCAGCTTTCTTTCTAATCAACGCAAGAGGTCAGGCACTCCCTCGAAGCCTTGACCGATGCCATTCGCCACCTGGAGAATTCGCTTTAAGGCTTCTCTCACACGTCCAAGTCAGTGCAAACGCCTTCTCATCCAATTCAATAATCAGATGAAGAAACGAGATGAACTCTAGGAATTCTCTGCCTCCATGTTATACATGTACTAGCATTCAACAATTATAGGGAACGTCACTTACAACTTTGGCCGTTGCATAGGTCCAATGAGTTTCATAGTGTATAGTCTAAATTTCATATATTAGACTATACACTATGAAACTCATTGGATACCCTAGATTCGCGTAGGTCGTTGTAGTAGATGTAATACATAGGGCTTCATCTATTAACTCTAGATGGTGATCCTGATCCATCCTTCTCTATGCTCTAAAAGGCACCGAAGGAACCGGAAAAGGGCAGTCTTGAAGATATAACAAAAGCGCTTGGTGAGAAACTCAAGACGCTCATGCCCGACAAGAATAACGCGGAGAGCGCTAGTCAGGTCCTTCAGATATCTATCGACGCCCTTGATGTTGATGCGGACAATGCGGATCCCATCAGCTGGCTGTAAGACTCGGTGCTGGGCAAGAATGTGTTTACCTGTGCAACAGATAGATACTCATCTTTTCAGACAGTGGGCTGATTTATCAGAAACGGAAAATAGCTTCTGTGTCGCTGTCTGATTTGCATTTTTGAGTGACTGACAGCCGAGCGAAGGCCTCGTAAGTAACTACTCACACGCAGAGGATTTCGCTGCGCTTTTTCAAAGTTTATTTTCGATTTTCCATACTAGTCCTAGTGGCGGATCTAATCGACTAAAGCCATCCAAATGGATGCGAAGGAGTGGATGGAGAGGGAGAGCAAAAAATCTTATGAGCAACGCTTCTATTTAGAGAAAACTGTAATTGAACACAACCATAAACACAACCAAGCAGAAGACAGAAGCTGCTCCTCAGTGCCGCGACTCATGTAGCTAATACTAGTTTCATTCAGTCGGTGTCGGCGAATTTTTAATTTAAACTAAAAAGAGCCCAATCCCCTACCCCTACCTCCGCAGCCGCATACCTAATCAAAAATTTTCTGCATTGTGTGCGTTTCTCGGCCGAAGCGCGACGACCTTCTTTTTCTCGATGTGGTTAAAAAGTATTTTGGCCGACTAAGGAAAGACAAACAGACTCCGCTACTACAGCGTATGATGTTTCATGTTTGTTGTTCATCTCCTTCTCGCATGATGTCTGCATGAAAATGACCAATCCACCACTCCAGCCTTTCTGATTTGTGACAGCGGAAGACCTTACTCTAATCCAACGGTGAAGCTGGTGCCGACGTCGACGGAATTTATGCCTCTTGTCGAATGTTCGCGCTTCTTAGTCTCTTTTTTCCTGGTGTAGTTGTTACTCATTTATTTATAGAGGAACGGTAACTATTGTTTCAGCACGGTTTTTTACTCTATGCGGGAGAACGGGCGCAAGGCTTCTGGTTCTGATAGTGCCTGCGGGTGCAGTTGGGCATCCTCAGTGTGTCAACGAAAAACAGTGAACTAGTGCACCTCAACCTCAAGCAGGATCGATAGAAGTTAGAGCACCCCAAGTAGGGTCCGTGAGGACGTATGAACCTCCTAGGCAAAGCCGTCCTACTTTCGTTTTTCATGTTGAATACTAAGTCCCTACATACTGCATTGCTAGCGCTAACCAAGGGACGCCCATGAAGCGATCAGAAGAGCCGCCGAAGCACTAGTTGCAGAGCTCGAGGAAGCCAGCGCTTCTGCTTATGAACAATAGAGGGCAGGGGCAGCCTCTTCTTGGCATAAAACTAGATGAAGCAGGCCAGGAAGAACAAGGCGCGACGAGCCGTATTCTTGAGTAGGGTACTGCCCTTTTGCTAGTAAGCAAGTTCTCACTCGTGCTTTTCCCCACTTCTACGCAAAAAAAAGAGTCAAGCGTAGCCATGTGCACTAGGTGCAAAGTATGATGCTCTCTTGAAATATATTCTCCGATCGTAAACCTAAGCCTGAACCACAACGGGCCTACTTGTATTTCCTGTCGAGGGTTTGTCACTGACCCAAATTTAGTTGCACAGTCGCAAATTAGGTAGTAGAACTTCTGATGGCGTTTGCCTGCTTTCTTTATGCATCACATCGAGAATGCTTCTCGTCCGTCTTTGATAAGTGTGCAATCCATTGCCTGAATCATGAAGCCAATTATGCTGCTGGCCGCATCTTTTATATGTTGGCTTGTTTGCTGCCTATGCCCCTCGTATTGGGCCAGTTTATAGCTGGAGCGCTTCTAATCGACCAAGAGCGCAGCACTTTACGGCGTGTTCTTTGCGTTTCTTATCCTTTCGAGATATTACCACTACAGGCACCCAGCGGCCCGCGTGCTGCCTGTCACTCTTCTCAATCAATTACAGCTTCTGGCGATCGCGAGTTGTCGATCTTATTTGAAGTCTGTGAGCCCTTGTGGCTGTAAGTGAATTGTAAGCCAAGAGGACGCTCTTTCTTTTTACGCTCTAGCACGGATTCTCCATAAACTCAATGCTTTACAGAAATGCACTCCCTGCGCTAATGGAGTGAGAAAATTCGCGAGGCCGCTAAAGACGCGGCTGCACTCCTCAGCGGCCTACTTTATGAAGAAAACGCAGCTAGTGATAGTGGTAGCAGCACTGGGCTATTAACTAAGCTGCACTTGATACACATTACAAAAACGGCATTTACATTACGGCTTTTAGGCTACTTCGCACTTTTTTGCCAGTTATGACGCCAGAGATCATTCACAAAATAGAGGGAGACAGTTGAGGAGGCGGACGCTGGAGACAGGCGCCGCACTCTCTTGGAGCCTTCTGGGGGGTTTGCGGTTGGAGATGGAGTTCCGCGCCCTCTTGGCGGGGTCGCGTTGGGGTTTTCTAACCTTTTGAAGGGGGAACCCTCGCGAAGATTATGGAGGCCGGGGATAGATGGAATCCCGCCCCACCCGATCGGGGGGCACATCAAGCCAGGCCAATTCCCTGAGCCCTGGCCCTCTTGCCTCCGGTTGTATGTAGAGGTCTGCCGTCGACTGAGTAAGGGGAGGAGCCAGCTAGCGACGGAAAGCGCATAGCCTAAGAGACAGGCAGAAAAGTTTTGAGTTGGCTGAGGGTGAGTATAGCCTTTCGTAGATTCTTATAATAGAAATTCTTTACCTTAGGGGATGTCATTTCTTAAAGGAAGCTCCTGAGGGAGGCCTCCTTAAGGTGGAGAGGCCTTGGCCGTAAAAAAACTGCTTACGCTATGAGTGTTAGGACTCATAGTGTAAGCAATTCCCCGGAAATCCTTAAGAGCCTTCCCAAGCGGCTTCGCTAAGGGAATGGCACCCCTTAAGCTTAGGGGATTCTTATGCATTTGAGAAAACTCAAACAAGGACAGCAAAAGTCCGGACAGTCTTCGACCTGTCTGGGCATGATCAGAATCAGGAGAACAGCCGCCGCCCATTGGGCTCTCTCAGTTCTAGGAAAACCCCGGGCACGCTGAAAGCCTCCGCGCCCCTCCAGCATCCCCTGCCGCCTATGGTCTTTGACTCTGGAGGGACGCGGGGAAACAAATGAAACAAAAAGAAAAGACACAAAAACCAACACAAAGCAGGCCACGGGCACCGCTAAGCGGAGCACTTCCACGACTGAAGGGAGACAGTTTGAATCTCGGCCGTCTTTGTGCAGTGCTTCGCTGACTTAGCGCCAGCGCAAAAATTCTCTATAGGTATAGGCCTTCCTACTTGAGGGCCACCCAGGCGCGTGCCTTAGGGAGGCTCCCCAAAGGGGGCCCGTCAATGGGCTTGGGCTAATAATGGGCCCCCCCTTATTAAGGGCTGCCCGCCCGACCTCTTAGGCGGATCTCCGGAGGAACCGCCTCGAGCGTTTCAGGCTCTCGATCTGGTTCATATTGGTTTCCGAACTTGTTCGGATTTTGCATAGTTTGGCAGTTCTTAGACGTGGTTCATGCTCTTGCTTTCTGCTGCCTCGCAGCGTGCGCTTGGGTGCGCTTTTTCTGGTGTCATTGGGCTGGCTTGCGCTAGGGGTTCCACCGTAAGGTGGACCGAACGCCGTAGAGCTGTCCAAATGAGTCCCACCGCATACTTCCCCCTAATATAAGGGGGATTCTTGTCGCTCTCTTTGATGCGTGACGCGTCACGCGTCACGCCTCCCAACTCGCGCCGCCTATGTGAGGCGTGACGTGGGAGGCGTGAGGCGTGAGGCGTCACGCGTCACCCCGAAGCCGCCCGCGGATCTATCAAGGGCGCACGGATCTAGCAAGGGCTCACGGATCTATCAAGGCCTCACGGATCTGCCAAGGGCTCACGGATCTATCAAGGACTCCCGGATCTATCAAGGGCTCACGGATCTACCAAGGATCCACGGATCTATCAGAGACAGAGAGATCCGCGGAGCGATCGAAGATCCACGGATCTATCAACGAAAGATCCGCGGAGCGATCAAAGATCCACGGATCTATCAAGGATCCGCAGGTCTATCAAGGATCCGCGGATCTATCAAGGATCCACGGATCTATCAAAGAAAGCCCCGCGGATCTATCAAGGAACCACGGATCCCTCAAGGATCCGCGGATCTATCAAGGGTCCACGGATCTATCAAAGATCCCCGGATCTATCAAGGATCCACGGATATACATCCACGGATCTATTAAGGATCCGCGGACCTATCAAAGAAAGATCCGCGGAGCGATCGAAGATCCACTGATCTATCAAGGATCCACAGATCTGCCAAGGATCCACAGGGCAGATCTATCAAGCATCCACGGATCTACCCAAGAAAGATCCGCGAGCGATCGAAGATCCCCGGATCTATCAAGGATCCACAGATCTATCAGGGATCCAGTGATCTATCAAGGATCCACGGATCTATTCTATCAGGGATCCAGTGATCTATCAAGGATCCACGGATCTATCAAGGATCCAGTCCACGGATCTATCAAGGGCCCACGGGCCTCATATAAGTTTGCGAGAATCTAGATTCATCAAAATCAAGCCCCTCCTGCCCGCTGTTGCGTGACGCTTAAAATTGAGGGCAGGCATCTCATCCTCCCCGAAGCTCTGGGCGTGACGCGGTGGGCGTCACGCGTCACGAAACAGCTCTACGGCGTTCAGTAAGTCCCACGGGTTTCCGCCCCTGCTCGTTTTAGAATGAGAGCGAGCCGGGGCAGGCTTTGGCTGCCGGTCGTGGGGAGGGCGTGGAGGGTTGTTGCTTGTGTGAGTTTTCAGTCGTGGGATGGGTCAGGCAGGTGAGCGGCACAAGGTTGGGCGCCGCTTGGGGTGCGGTAAGTCGGGTCGAAGTCTTCGGGGGCGCTCTTTGGGTGTTTGTTTCTTGGTCTTTTCTCTCTTTGTTTTCAGCTTGGTCGGGGGCTCCTTGGCGGGCGGCCGCGACGGACTGTGCCAGGGAGGGGTCGGCGGTCTGTGCCGTGGGGAGCGTGGGGCGCTCATGGTGGTGCCGTGTGTATGCTAGCAAGCACGAGTCCGCCAGAGAATCCCCAAAATGTTCCACCGGCTTCCGAAGAGGTCGCGGCCGAAGTCGCGCGTCCTTGTGCTTGTAGGTGGTAGAAAGTTTGCGCTGTCGCTTTTTGCTTTAAAAAAGTGCGCCAAAAACGAAACCTCCGCCATGTCATGTGGAAAGGCCAAAGTCAGAGGGCGTGGGCCCTTTCCGTCTTTTTGGCGGTTTCTGTAGGTAGTCGGTTGAAAGTGTCGCCTCTTTGGCAACATCTAGGCGCTTTTTGTGCTTTTTATTTTTTCGCTTGTTTCTAGTAAGTGCTGTGCTGTTTCCCGATCTTCAGGCTGTGGCCGCGCCTTGTTTTGGGCGCGATCTGAGGGCCGTGGAATTTATTGAAAAGCGTCTGGAATGTATTTCAAACGGATGACAGCCGAGGGGGATCTTATTGCGCTGGGCACCGTTTTCGCGTCGCTTTGGAATGCATTCTGAACGATTTCGAAACAAACAAATTCCGCGGCCCTCAGACCGCGCCCAGAACAAGGCGCGCCTTGAAGATCGCAGGACAGTACTAGAAACAGGCGAAAAAGAGGCGCAAAAAGTGCCCAGATGTGGCCAAAAAGTTGACGCCTTCAACCGACTACGCACCTAACAAAAAAAAAGCTGGAAAAGGTTCGCGGTCTTTTTGACTTCTCTGCAGGATGTGGGGCTGCAGGCGTTTGGTGTGCTTTTTTGAAGCAAAAAGCGGCAGCGCCAATTTCTTACAACCAGCAGAAAAATGCGACTTCGGCTGCGACCTCTTTGGGAGCCGGTTGAGCTCTCTGGGGTTTTTCTGCTTGCTGCGCTCTGGTTTAGCTAAATCACTTTGGTGGCGCCACTGGACTTGGGAGTGCTTTGCGCCCCTCATAGGCCCGCACCGGGCGCGGTCGCCCGCGGGTGTCCGCTCGTGACCAGCAGAGTGGGCGGCCTGCAGGGGAGCGACGGAAAGGGGAAACCCCCAACAGGTGCCCCGCTTTGAGGTTCGCGCCTTTACTTACCTTCCTTGGGTGCCAGCCTTGGCGCCGCTCGTTTGTTTGGGTAGCTTTTTGCTTGGGCAGACCTTGCGCAAGCAGCTAACAAGCAGCCAGGGCCTCGCCATGACAGGCGGCTACAGCTAGCAACGGCTCGCGCTCTTCAGCATGCAGAGCAGGCGCGCCGCCGCCCGAGGTTTGAGCAGCTGGCGGCTGAGTGGTGGCTGAAAATGCCAATCCATGCACAGGCTGAGCGGCAGAGAATAAAAACAAGAACCACGGGCGAAGGCTGTCAAACTGTGAAAAGCTTGAACAATTTCGGGAATGAATAGGGAACGGGCCGAGAGCTTAGGAAGCTCGAGGCGGTTCCTTCTAGGGATCCCTTTAAGAAAGTGCTGCACTTTCAAGAACCTGGCGCATGCATCGGGGTCAGCTATAGCCAGCTTGCTACTTAGCGGGGCCATAGCGTACTTTGCTAGCTTAGCCAAAGCCTGCTTGCCTTGCTAGATTGCCTCAGCCGTAACCAGCTTGCCGCGCTGGCTTAGCCATGGCCAGCTTGCCTCGCTAGATTGCATCTGATAGCCGTAATGGCCTTCGAAGAGTCTCCGCCCGGGGATATCGTAAGTAACTACTTCATAAGCCGACTTTTGCACACGAGATTCTAAGGTGCTGTCCGAATTTTCCAGCTCTCACTTCTAAAAATTCGTTTTCGGATCAAAGTAGAAATCAGGGGGCTGCATGTGCTGGGGTAACTCGTCAGGGGAAATACGATACGAATTATATCGGGAACCACTGATACTTTAATGCGCAGCTGCTGCTCCACTAGCGACAGCTCTAATGCACCGAGAGCGATACAGACGGGAATGATCGCGTTGAGCTTGGAACGGCTGTAGCTGGTGCGGTGCAGAGATTGTCACACTTGGCTGCAAATCAGGAGAATTCGGATGCAACGGAGATCGAGACTTCCCTGGAGAATATTCTTAAAGAACTCAGGAATCTGATGACGACCCTCAAAGCCCAGGAGCCACATGAAATAGAGGGGCGACCAACTTTTGCATCCACTTACGGGGCCTTTTCCATTTTCAAATAGTTCAGTCACAGTCCTGCCAATGATAAGACTCCACTTGGCTCTCTGTCCTCTACTTGTCCAATTATCACGACCAATCCTTTGCTAAAGGCATGTGGCGCAGGCGGGGAGCCAACGGGTGTTGAGTGAATGCGTTGCACTGCACTGACTCGTAGATGCTCCTGATGACCGAGCAGCAGTGAGAGACGCTTATCTAGAACTAGGGTTCGTCGAAGATCACAACTAAACCAAAAATACCCCAACACATGAACGATAGTTGTACTCAATGGGCTTCTACTAGGTGTTTCATTATTGTCTTCTCTAAGCATAACTAGCAACGCCTCAGCTTGGCAGCACAAGTATAAGCGAAAGTAGTAGAAGTGCAGCGGCTATTTCCGTGACATCAGCTCCCGGGGAAGGCACTATGGGGCCCGGGGCTGAAGTACTAGACGATGCAAGAAGTGGCGGCGATGATGCTCTACTTGAACGAGATCTCGACACACTTTAAGGTCTCACTCCCATGATTAGGGTTATTATTAGACTACTATCATAAAGAAGCACTCACACACGTTCTAGGGCTGCACGGTGGCCCCCCCCCTGTGGTATGGTCTGCGGTGGCGCGCGCGCGCGCTTTTCCGCGCTGATTTTCGCGGATTCTAGTGGTGGAAGGCGGCAAAACTTGGCGCGCGGCTCTCCTTGCGCCTCTCTGCGTGTTCCTCGGGGACCTCTTGGCCTCTGCTGACCCTCGCAGGCGGTAGGCCTCCGGGGTAAAAGGACGCCGAAGGCGGCCACGGTCTCAAGAGCAGGCAAGCCGATGACCAAGAGCCTCGAGGGGACAGGCCTCACGGCTCAGGGGGTCCAGCCCCTCGCCTTTTGCCGCCTTCGGAGGCCTTCCAAAGCCGGCGCACTGCTGCAGCGGCGAAGCACATCGGAGGCACCTGGAGCACAGGCATGCACCTGGAAGGGGGCGGCGCAGGCGGTCCCGTGGTCCCCTTTTGAAGCTTGTAGGGAACAGCCAGGCAGCTAGAGGCGAGCGGAGGAGGCCACGTGGCCCCCTTTTGAGGCCTTCCACTCCGGGCAGACGCCTTAAAAAGGGGCCTGGGGCTGCACGGTGCCCCCCCCCTACGCTAGGGGGGGCACCGTCGCCCTGAGCCCTGGAGGGCCATATAACAGTATTATAATTATATATCTTTCCTCCGCTGAGTAGTAGCTAGTACAGTAAGACAATGCAACGGTAGAATTTGAAGAAGAGGAAGGCCTTTTGCGGTACTATACTGGCTACCTTTATACGTAGCACAATGGGGATGCGTGCCATGGTCTACATCGGTATAGAGTCAGTGATTGCAGAGCTAGCGCTGTGTATAAAATACTACCATTGTGAAACCTACCGCAAATAAGGAGCTACTTCTTACTCTTAGTACAGCCACGACGTGGTAGATCTTGATCTACTTAGAAGGGTTAGATGAAGACTTACAGTGTTTTGAATTCATCTATGATCGAAGGTTATTACTTTTACCTTTAGCTCCCGAAAGTATTTCACAGTCTGGTAGCCGCGGAGCCTATTTTTCTACAGGATGTGACGATACAGCGACAAGCTAGCTACAGGAGGTGACGACACAGGAGCACAGGTTTGACGACTCCAGCTAGTAGCTCTAGGAACTTTGTGAGTAAGCTACACAAGGTGGCTGACGTCGTGTGCGTTTTGATACATCCTTGCGCTCCGTGAGCATGCTTTTTTTTGCTTGCCGCTATGAGCAGCTTTCTTTCTAATCGACGCGAAAGCTCAGGGAATCCTTCAAAGAGTTGGCCAAGGCAATTGGCAAGGTAGAGAAATCGCTTTAAGGCTTCTTTCACACGTCCAAGTCAGTGCCAACACCTTCTTTTCCAAGTCAGTAATCAGATGAAGAACAAAGAACCTCAGGAATTCTCTGCCGCCATGTTGTGCCTGTAGTTGTAGCGTCCAACAATTAAATAGGGAGCGTCCATCTGATCCTGTGCTACTCACTTTGGCCGTTGCATAGGTCCAAGTGATTGCTTTATGAAATTCAGACTATGTTCTTGGACATCGACATGCTAGATTCGCGTAGGTCGTTGTAGTAAATACCATACATAGGGCTTCATCTATTAACTCTAGATGGTGACCCATCCTTCTCTCTGCTCTAAAAGGCGCCGAAGGAACCGAAGCGCAGTCTTAAAGATAGCATGGCAGATCTTGGTCCCCTACTCAAGACGTTCAAGGAGAAGGCGGAGAGCGCTACTGGAGGTGGTGTAGGCCCGCAGATCGTTATGGAGGAAGCTATCGGCGACCTTGATGGGAGCACGGCGGAACACGATGATCTCATCAGTAGGCTGTAAGACTCGATGCTGGAGACTGTGTTTACCTGTAAAACAAGTACTCAACATTTCAGACTAGACAGTGGGTTGATCTATCAAAAACAGAACAAGGCTTCTGCGTCGCTGTCTGCGACCTGTGCGAGGCAATATATTTATTATATGCTGTGATGTACATGTAGCAGTTGTGTTGATTGACTGGCTGATTGGCATTGAGAGACTGACAGCCGAGCAAAAGTCTCGGGTAGGTTTCGTAAGTACCAACTCACACGCAGAGGATTTCGTTGCGCGTTTTCAAGGTTTCTCAATGTGCCGCACAATCTACAGGCAGCTCTAATCGAGTACAGACCTCCGAAGTCGTGTGGAGTCGTGGATGAATAGCCATAGCAAACCTTATGAGCAAAGCTACTTAGAGAAATCTGTAAGTAAGAACACAACCACAATCAAGGAGATGCCAGAAGGGGCTCCTCGTCCTACGCGCCGCAACATGTAGCCAATACTGATTATACTCACCAGTCGACGAGTTTCTAGCTCCAACCAGAAAGAGCCCAATCTCATAACTCCGCAACCGCATACTTAATTAAGAATGTGCTGCATTGTGTGCGCCTCGTGGCCGAAGCACGACGACCTCCCACGTCTAGATTTAGTTAACAAGTATATTGGCCGACTAAGGAAAGCGAAAGACAAGAAACAGTTTCCGCTACTACAGCGTATGACGTTTCATGTTTGTTGTTCATCTCCTTCTCGCATGATGTCTGCATGAAAATGAGCGATCCACCACTCCAGCCTTTCTGATTTGTGACAGCGGAAGACCTCACTCTAATCCAACGGTGACGCTGGTGCTGGTGGAATTTATGCCTCTTGTCGAATGTTCGCGCTTCTTAGTTTCTTTTTTCCTGGTGTAGTTGTTACTCATTTATTTATAGAGGAACACAGTCAACAGTGACTATTGTTTCAGCCAGGTTATTTACTGTATGCGGGAGAAAGGGCGCAAGGCTTCTGGTTCTGACAGTGCCTCAGTGCCTGCAGGTGCAGGTGGGCATCAGAATCAGTGTGTCAGCGCAAAAGAGTGAACTAGTGCATCTCGACCTCAAGCAGGGTCGATAGAAGTTAGGGCACCCCAAGTAGGGTCCGTGAGGACGTATGAACCTCCCAGGCAAAGCCGTCCTACTTTCGTTTTTCATGTTGAATACTCAGTCCCTACATACTGCATTGCTAGCGCTAACCAAGAAACGCCCATGAAGCGATCAGAAAAGCCGCTGAAGCACTAGTTGCAGAGCTCGATGAAGCCCTCGCTTCTGCTTATGAACAATAGAGGGCAGGGGCAGCCTCTTCTTAGCATAAAACTAGATGAAGCAGGTCAGAAAGAAGAAGGCGCATCGAGCCGTATTCTTGAGTAGGGTAGAGCCCTTTTGCTAGTAAGCAAGTTCTTACTAGTGCTTCTCCCTACTTCTACGCAAAGGAAAGAGTCAAGCGTAGCCATGTGCACTAGGTGCATAGAACTATGCTGTTCTCTTGAAATGTATTCTCCGACCGTCGTAAGCCTAAGCCTGAACCACAACGGGTCTACTTGTATTTCCTGTCTAGAGTTTTTCACTGACCCAAATTAAGTTGCACAGTCGCAAAGTGGGTAGTCGAACTTCTGATAGCGTGTGCCTGCTTTCTTAGTACATCACCTCGCGAATGCCCCTCATCCGTCTTCGATAACAAGTGCACAATCCAACGCCCGAATCATGAAGCCAATTATGTCTTTTAAATGTTGGCTTGTTTACTGGTACTGCCTATGCCCCTCGTATTGGGCTAGTTTAAGGCAGCTGAAGCGCTTCTAATCGACCAATATTGCAGCACTTTACGGCGTGTTCTTTGCGTTTCTTATTCCTTCGAGATATTATCACTACAATTACTCACCGTCTCGCGTGCTGCCTGTCACTCTCCTCAATCAATTACAGCTTCTGGCGATCACGTTTTGTCAATCCTATTTGAAGTTCGTGAGTCCTTGTGAGTGAAGTGTCCTTGTAAGAGAATTGCAAGCCAAGAAAGCGCTCTTCCTTTTTACGCGCTAGCACGGATTCTCCATAAACTAAATGCTTTAGAAATACACTCCCTGCGCTAATGAAATAGGAGAATTCGCGAGGCCGCTACAGACGCGGCTGCAGACCTCAGCAGCCTCTTTTATGATAGTCTTAGCAACAGTGAGTTATTAACTTAGTTGCACTTGATACACTTACACAGTGCCAAAGAACGGCAACTACACTAGGAATTTTGGACTACTTAGCATGTATGTGCCAATGATGTCATAGAAGAGCCACAAAATTAATGGAGATAAAATAGATACTGAAACACCTGCGCCAAGTCGTCTCATCGGGCACCCTTCTCCGCAAGCACTTACGAACGCAAAAATACTCAACAAAGGGCCTGCTTAATCTGAAAGCGAGGACTTCTTGGTACTTGTTGTTGTATGTTTTTTCGTGACAGTGCAGTGGCCCTAAGCGAACGAGCCCCCGGACGGGCTGGCCACGGAGGACAACGTCGAATACGCTCGGGAGATGATAGAAAATTTTTACGGATCCTCTCACTCTGTGTCATTCTGCGCAAATAGTTCGCATTCAACGAAGCTGATTTATCGATATTGATACTCCAGACCCCGCTTGTCGGTGGTCAGATTTTTCGCTATAATCGGAGAGGTTTGAGGGAATCCGCCCGAGGTTCTTCGTTCTTGGGCCTTTTGGTCTTGTTCAGTGTTTGACTTTTGACCACCGGGCGCCCCGAGGCTCTCGCGCCGGGTGGGATTAGTTACAAAGAGGAGCGACGCGCTGCCGCCTTTAAATGGTCAGACCACTCACGCGCGCCGCCGTGTGTACGCAGATTATCGGGGGAGTTTGCTGGCGTTGTTCGCACTCTTTTGAAGTATTTCAGCGGGGAAGTTTGCGGGGGTTTCGCCGAAATTGAGTAAGCTTTTGCCGCTTTCCTGCTCGCTAGGCCATTTTTGATGAAAAAACTGAAAAGATGTCGCCAGACTTTTTTTCCAAGAATGGCCTTGCGAGCAGGAAAGCGGCAAGCAATAGAGAGGCTGAATCAATTTGGTGGCATTTCTCAAGAAGGGCTGGACCGGTTGCCGCTTGAGTTCCAAAGGGCTCGCGCCTCCTCTTTTTGTTAAGTTTCGATGGTGTGGCGTGCTCGCTGTGCCTCTGGTGCTTCCGCAGGTGGCTGATTAGAATGGCGCTAAGTTAGCTAAGAACTGCACAAAAACGGCCACTATTGTCGCCTCCTCGTCCTGGAAGTGCTCCGCTTAGCGGCTTTTGCGGCTTGCTTCCTCTTGGTTTTTCTGTCTTTTGGTTTCGTTTCATGTGATTCCCCGCGCCCCTCCAGAGTCCACCGCATCAGCCTGCAAGTGTGTGCCTGGGGATTCTGGAGGGGCGCGGGGATTCCGAGAGCGCCCGCGGTTCTTGGTTCGCAATTGGGGGAAGGTTTTCCCGAAGCGAGCGCAGTAGGCGGCGAGTGTTCTGCGGGTTCGTATCATGCCCGGCAAGATTGAACTTTGTCCGGATTTTTGCAGTCCTTCGCTGAATTTTCTCCAATATAAACAACCCGTGGGCCAGAACTGGGAGGGTGCCGGTACTCGAAGGGTTGGGAAAGTAAGGGCTTCGACAAAAAAGGGAGAAACATCGATAAAAACGGTAGAAGTAGAGGAGGCGCAAGAGGTAGAAATCGAGAAAAGCAGGAGCCTTATGTAGGTGCAGAAAATCCAAGCTCCTAAAACTGAGACGGGCACTACTTTCAAGCCCGTCCGCCCACTAGTCTGCGCCTCTTTCTGCCTCTTTTTTCGTACATTCCCGAGCCGGAAGCTAGTGGGTGGCCCCTGGTAACTACCAAAAACCTCCGCGCCCGATGGCTCGGCAGTGATATGGGAGCACTCTCCGGGCGGGGGCGGCCCAATATCGGAGAAGGCGCGCGGGCATCTCCGTTGGCTGTGAACTTGAGTGCTAAGGGCTGCCCTGGCTCCGTGTGGTTGTCACCCTTGCACGCAAAGCCACGCGCGAAGGCCATCCCACCGCAGTGGGCTGCAGGGCTGTGCGACCGGGCTGGAGCGCCAGTATGCAGGAAGACCCGACCCCGCCACACACTTGCAAAGTCCACCCCCGTGAACCTTGGCCAAGCCAAAACGAACCGGAGTCGGGTTGGCGTGCTGCTGCTGGTCGTTGCCTACGTCATCCTCTTCCCCTGGCGCGGAGTCTGGTGGGCGTGCGTGTCTGCTACAGACTCGGGAGACAGACGGGTGATCGAGCGACGACCAAGACCAACGGCGCCAAAATATATTCTGCAACGCAAAAAGCAGACTTCGAGTTTGTTTGGGCAGGATCCAAGATTTGGAACGTCCGCCACCACTGTGCTGGTTTTGGTCGCTCCAAAGCCGACGAGGGTCCAGCAAGTCGCTGGCTATTTTTTTCCCGGAAAAGGTTCGCTTTTTTAGGCCTTCCACTTGGGTCTAGTCTTGGGCTTTCATCTTTTGAAATCTTGGGCAACAATTTCAAAAATCTAGTGGGGGCAGCAAATATTTTCGGAGCAGACTTCGAGTATATTTCTGCGGTTTTTTCTGCGGGAAAATTCATCGCAGAAAAAGCACTTTTAGAGGTGGCTACACTTGGATCTAATCTTGGCTCAGATTTGAGCCAAAGTGTGAGTCTGCTCACTCGCTCCGGCGCTTCCTGCTCCTGGTTGTCTTGCTGCAGCCCACAGATTGTGGTAAATTCAGACCAAGGGGATCGCGCACAGGCTCAAGGAAGCGGCAAGCGGAGGAGGAAAGGGCTTCACAGCTGGCCGACTGGGGTGCGACTGAGTCAGTTGATTCGGACAGCTTTCGGGCGCTTTGAATCAGCTGACTCAGCCGCAGGTGTAGGCAGCCCTTGCGGCAAGCCCAGCGCCTGGGCCACTGATCAGCTGCTTCAGGCACTGGCCAGGCAGTGGGCCACCCGGTTCCCTTTGAGGCAATCTGCCAGGCCTCTGGCTGAGTCAACTGATTCATCAAGGCCAGCCTTGGCCTTGAGTCAGTTGATTCGCATGACCGTGCAAACACAACAGCGCACGCGGTCGCTGGCGATGGCATTGGGGCCGGGGACTCCTGAGCTGCCTGAAGATGCTGCGTTGTGTGCGTTTGCTGTGGCTTTCTTGGTCTCTCGACCGTTGTGCACATTGCGTCGCCTTTTTGTGCGTTTTGAAATCTCAACTCTAGGGCCTTGGGTAGTCTCCATCTTCACCTTAGAGAACCAAAAAAGGTGGAAAAAATGTAGAAAAGGGCGCAGAAGTGGCTTGGCAGGAGGTCGCAGCAAAAGGACGAGGGGCAACTTCTACAGAAAGAAGGGCTTGCCCATCTTACTTGCATATCTATGCACGCACACTGGAGGGGGCGGGGGGATCGCAAAGGGAGGAAGCGCGCCGCGAAGCTCTTGCTGCCTGGCAGTTGCCCGCGCGCCTGCCTCTGGCGGGTGCGAGGTAGTGCGGCAAGAGCGGGAGAACATAGAGAAATGAGAGGCGCAGCAAGATGCGCCAAGCCTGAGGGACCGGCCGCAGCTTGGTGGCAATCCTGCCAGGACACTGCGCGGCCAAGCGCGCGCGGCTCCCCACCGGGCCCGGGCGCGCATTGCACAGGCCACCGGGGCGCTGCGCTGGCAGTGGGGCGGAAGAAGCAGCCTACAAGAAGGGCCAAGGTCAGGCCCGCCATTTTCCGGGCCTCTTCTGATACCGCGGCCCCAGTTTTTCCCGGGGCCATGTTGGCCCCAGTATTTCCGGGGACCCCGCCAGAACTATAAGGAACCCCGCGGGAAAATAAGGACCCGGGATTTTTGCGGCCCCGGTCCGATTAATGGGGGAAAAGCACCGGGGCCCTTATAATACAGGGGGCCCAGTTTTTCCGGTCCAAACCCTTACTTTCCCACCCCTTCTAGTACCGGCACCCTCCCAGTTCTGGTCCATGCATTGATATTTGAGTGTTTTTGTTTTCCGTTCGATTTCGAATAAAGATAGATATAATCCGTATTCAAAGAACTGGGGCATGAAGCGCATACTTAATGCCCCTATAATAGTAGTATTAGCTCGCCGCTTGCGTGGGTGGCTGGCTGGGTGTGAGAGACCAGCAAGAGCATCAACTATGTATATTCACAAGGCAGGCTTGATTACATAACTGCCTGCATCTCATGAAGGTGACCGTGGTGGCGGGAAAAGCATTTCTATTAGTGGAGCTGCATTTGGTTTTGAATAGCCTACTTGAAAATAGGACTACTCTCTTGCCCTGTTTCAGCGACGGACCTTCCTCATCCTCCAGCCCTTATGTAGTGGTCGCTCTAACCGAATCGGAAATTTTGCGAAATCCAGAGCCAGACCTTCGAAGCACAACGCAAAGCGAGGGAAAAGCAAACCAAAATAGACGCTATTTATGTCACTGACATCAAAAACCCAGAATGGCTGTTATTTGGAGAGGTGGCGTGAGTGCTTCTCTCAAGAACATGGTGCGCGTGCCCAAGATCAAGAAGTTGGCGTACTACTATGTATAAATATTTAATATTAATATTTTTTGTATTGGTGATAAGAGTAGAGAGCGCAATATCCCTACGATTGGGAGAAGCGCCAACAAATGAGCTCAAACAGCAAGCGAGGCTGGAGGAGTGATGATTGGGGGATACTCAATAACCTAGGTTGAACTAGCGCTGGGCACTGTGCCTATTCTAGTGCGCTAGTACGTTACATGAAGACGAGACTACTTCTCGTAGTATATATTCCTTCGAGAGACCATTTTAATGACGTGAAGTCTACGCATGAAGATGCGGCTTCGCGGCAGCTCTAATTATAGCTAAATAGCGGCGGCCGCGGCCCCGAGAGTGACAATGCTGAAAACCTGGCTCCACCGCTTAGTACTCGCGACCCTGCTAGTACTCCAGTCTCAACAATTTATGTTGATGAGGATACTTGAGAATGAGAAGACCGCCAACAACTAACTACACCTCGAAAGCAAGCCTGGAAGAGTAGTGATTGGATGATCCCCGTCCCCCATGATCTAGCACTTGCCCTAGCGCGAGCACTGGGTAGCGTGCCTATTCTCGAGATGATGCTCAACATCGTAAAAGGCATTCAGCAGCAGTGTTTAAACTTCCTAGCAGGCAGTGACGTGCTATAATCTAGAAGATCTACGTATGAAGAAGTAGATGCTTTCTTGTCGTGGTAGCTCTAATCATGACCGGAAGATGGGCCCCCGTGTCCTAAGGTGGAGACCTTTTAAGGCTCCGCTCGTTCCATTTTGAACTAAATAAGTACTACTCGCTATGAGTATGAAAAGGAATCAACTATGTATCGGTATCCAACCATGTGAATCATTACTAGCATTCTGATGTTGGATCGCGACAGTCGTGGCAAACGCCTGCATCATGGCATCAACTATGTATGATGTGGGAGAGCCAGAGCCTCTGCGCGATCACTCCTCAGTGCGCGTATGTAATCAACAAATAGACGTTTATTGGTGTACGCGCACAACGTAAATGATGCATTGTTATTGTACTCTGTAACCGTATTATTTCCCTTTTGGCACTGCATCGCAGTGGCGGTAGATCATAGACTTTTCAGCCATCGAATACATGGAGTATGTGGTTAATAAGGAGGCGGAGACCGACCGCGCGTCTTGGGCTGGACGATTTCTGAGTAAGAAGAAGTGCTCCTCTTTTTAGCCGTGTCCTGGTCATTATGGGTGCTTTTGCTCCTTCTTTTTTTTCCTTGCGTCACCTCGGCAACTCTAATCAATTCGCGAAATGCGTGAGCTGATGCTAGAAAACCTCGAAGCCGTGGACAAGGCCAGGCGACCGCGAGGAAAATACGACAGCACCCCCCTGAATTCGGTTCCAATTTTTCTACACTTAGTCCACCTCTGAGGACTACAACAGCAACCCAAAAAATAACTACTCTACTCGAGGTTCTTTCGGAAAGGTTACTACTACTACGTCCTAGCCACAATTTCCGTCGTGCAAGTTAGTCATTAGTTACGCTCACGCCCTTTCGAAAGATGCAAACGAATCGTCGGTGTCACCCCGATCCTAAATCAGGCGCCGCTGCCATTACTGGATCATTTGCAACCGCAAGAAGCAAACGCAGCTTATGGCAACATAGTAGCGGTCCTTGAATACAAAAACAAAATCAAAAAGGCAGTGCAAAGTAGAGCTCACTGAATATGCGCTCATCGGTAGTTTAACGATGATCCTGATATGCATTCTCGCGTGCAATCTGTTTCTGGCGCCAGGAGTCAGAAACGGAATTGAAATCCACTTCAAATGAGGCGCGCCAGGAGATCAACGGCTCCTCCCCGCAGGCGGTGGAAGAGCAACGACAGCCACCTTACTAGGATATTCTATATTATTGAGACTGTGCCTTTGCGTCCAGGAACTGAAAAATACCAAAACAGTGTCTACTAGTAGCCTGAAATTAGTATTAGAAGCAACAGAGCACGATCAATATCAATTGTTTCACTTGTTGTTCAATTGTTCCAAACTCCTATGAAGCATTAACAAATAATCGCAAGGATCTACGGGATCGGAGGTCCTCTGACACCGACTTAGAGTATCATGAGTAACTGCATTTAGTACTACAGCCAAGAGCTCAAGTTCGAGATGATGAGCTAGCCTCATCATTCATTATATCTGCGTGGCTTGATCATTTTTCGAGCTAAAACTTTGCACTTGATGTCTCGCGTGGTTTCGCGCATCGTCAAACAACTCCGCGTCTGCTCCTTTTTTTGCCGGCTCTAAAAATCGAGCCCCGAGCCGACCAGCGAGGCATCAGATTCAGAGTCTGCGGCACCGCTACCAACAACAGGGGGTGGGGTACCTTACAGCACTCAAGCATAACGGTCCAGGGCTCAGGGCGACGGCGCCACCCCTAGCGTAGGCGGGGGGGGGGTACCGTGCAGCCCCGGGCCGCTTTTTAAGGCGTCTGCCGGGGGTGGAAGGCCTCAAAAGGGGGCCAGGTGACTGCCTCCGCCCCCTTCCAGCTGCCTGGCGGTTCCTTACAGGCCTCCGATGTAGCTGGGAGGCCTCAAAGGGGCCCAAGGAGGGGACCGCCTGCGCCGCCTTCCAGGTGCTTGCCTGTGCCTTAAGTGCCTCCGATATGCTTCGCCGCCGCAGCAATGCGCCGGCTTTGGAAGGCCTCTGGAGGCGGCAAAAGGTGAGGGGCTGGACCCCCTGAGCCGTGCGGCCTGTACCCTCCGGGCCCTTGGTCATCGGCTTGCTGGCTCTTGCGACCGTGGCCGCCTTTCACCAGACGACCTCCCGCCTGCGAGGGTCACCAGAGGCCAGGGGGCCCCTGAGGAACATGCAGAGAGGCGCAGGGGACCGCCTGCGCCAAGTTTTGACGCCTTCGAGCACTAGGACCCGCGAAAATCAGCGCGGGAAAGCGCGCCACCACAGACCACACGGGGGGGGCACTGTACAGCCCTAAAAAATGTATAAGACATTGATCCAAAAAGGTGGCAAGGATTTTGGCCGAGGTGCTTTTTCTTTGCTATTGTTTGGAGCTTGAGTGGTACTTATACTCGCTTGTAGTGCTTCGAATCTGCCTCCTGCGCGTAACTTCATCCTTGGCGCTACTAGTTCTAGCAGGGTACTCTGTCCCACGCATCCTGTACAGTGAAGGCGCTTCTCTACAATATTTTTTCCTGGGAGCTATATCTGAATCTATGCGTTTTCATCTTGCCACGGTATTGCCTATTACTCTGAGTTGAACATGATGAATTAACCAAAGCAATCACTCATATCTGAGTGGCGTGATCATTTTGTGAGCCCGTAGCAACACGCAGAAGCAGATATCATGAATTTTTTGGTGTCTTACTTTCGTGTTGCTCCGTCTATCGTCATACAGCTCCGCGTCGGCTTTTTCTTTTAGTGGTAGCTCTAACAATCGACATCGAAAACCTTATCCGAGAGCGCGCATCCAGGTGCTTTGCATGACGTTGGCCTGCCGCAGCCTCGTGACCAACCGAAAACCGCGCCATCTACTTCTTACGGCGTTATTTTATAATATATGTACATCGGGAGCGAGTGACAAGCAAGTTTTATTTCCCTTCCTTTTCAGTTGGTTCAGATCCGTCTTTTACAGCACTGATCCAAAAAGAGAACAAGGATCCCCCCGGCCTAGGTGCTTTTTCTTTTCTATTGTATCATTTGGAACCTGGGTGCTATTAATACTCTTTCGTGGTAGCTTCAATTATGGTATGGTTAATACAAGACTGCTTTGACTTTAGTTAGAAAATCCGTTCCCTTTATATAAAGTTAAAGGAAGAGGGGTAAGTACTAAGTAGCTAGTACGTAGTAGTAAAATTAGCTAGCTAAAGCTGCAGGATTGTCCTGCAGGAGTTGAGGCATGCTCTCAGGAGGTGAGCCTCCAGATCGGTAGGGCGTGGCTCTCCGAGAGGCGAAGAGAGGACTCTTTGGCGACCAGGTCCACGGGCAAGGCCGCTCCTGGCCAAAGAGTCTGCTCTTTTCCTCTCCGAGGGCCACCTCCTGCCGGGCTGCTGCTTCGACCTATGTGGAGACCGCCTCCAGAGACAAGCCCCCACCCCCTGCAGGACTTTCTTGCAGCTTGATGCCCTAACTTAACCTAGCTAATTAACCTAGCTAATGCGGCTTTATGCATCACCCCACAACTCCGTCTGCTATTAGTGGCGCCGCTAATTCTGAGGCGAAGATGATCTTGTTCAAACGCAGCCCACATCTCCTGGCCCAATTCAAGGGTGGAGCAAGCGTCCGACGACACCAAGTCCGGGGGGGGAGCCAGACAGAACCGCCAGAGCCGCTCCAACAACCACAACAACAGAGCACTCCGAAAGACGGAAGCGGAGCACCTGCCGCTTATGATGCCATATATGTTCCAGGGCTTGGGGCTACGGTGCCCCCCTAGCGTAGGGGCGGGGCACCGGTAGCCCCGGGCCCCTTTTGGAGGCGTCTGCCGGGGGTGGAAGGCCTCAAAAGGGGGCCAAGTGGCCGCCTTCGCTCCCTTCCAGGTACTTGGCCGTCCCCCAGAGGCCTCCGACGTAGGTGGAAGGCCTCAAGAGGGGCCCAAAGGGCCGCCTCTGCTTCCTTTCCAGGTGCTTGGCAGTCCCCTAGAGGCTTCCGAGGTAGGTGGAAGGCCTCAAAAGGGGCCAGGTGGCCTCCTCTGCTCCCTTCCAGCTGCCTGGCTGTCCACCCGAGTTTTCTGACATAGGTGGGAGGCTTCAAAAGGGGCCCAAGGAACCGCCTGCGCCCCCTTCCAGGTGCCTGCCTGTGCCCTAAGTGCCTCCGATATGCTTCGCCGCCGCAGCAGTGCGCCGGTTTTGGAAGGCCTCCGAAGGCGGCAAAAGGCGAGGGGCCGGACCCCCTGAGCCCTGCGGCTTGTACCCTCCAGCCCCTTGGTCATCGGCTTGCCGGCTCTTGCGACCGTGGCCGCCTTCGGCGGCCTTTCACCCCGGAGACCTCCCGCCTGCGAGGGTCACCAAAGGCCAGGAGGGCCCTGAGGGACACGCAGAGAGGCGAGAGGGACCGCCTGTGCCAAGTTTTCACTCCTTCGAGCACTAGAATCCGCGAAAAACAGCGCGGAAACAAAAGCGCGCGCGCGCGCCACCGCAGACCATACCAAAGGGGGGGGGCACCGTACAGCCTTGCAACATGAGTATGACATTGACCAAAAGAGGTGGCAAGGATTTTGACCGAGCTGCTTTCTCTTTGCTATTGTTTGGAGCTTGAGCGGTATTTATACTCGCTTGTAGTGCCTCGAATCTGCCTCCTGCGCGTAACTCCATCCTTGGCGCTACTAGTTCTAGCAGGGTACTCTGTCCCACGCATCCTGTACAGTGAAGGCGCTTCTCTACAATATTTTTTCCCGGGAGCTATATCTGAATCTATGCGTTTTCATCTTGCCACGGTATTGCCTATTACTCTGAGTTGAACATGATGAATTAACCAAAGCAATCACTCATATCTGAGTGGCGTGATCATTTTGTGAGCCCGTAGCAACACGCAGAAGCAGATATCATGAATTTTTTGGTGTCTTACTTTCGTGTTGCTCCGTCTATCGTCATACAACTCCGCGTCGGCTTTTTCTTTTAGTGGTAGCTCTAACAATCGACATCGAGATCGAACACCTTATCGAACAGCGCGCGTCCAGGTACGTTGCCAGGCGTTGGCCAGCCGCAGGATCTTGTCCAACGGAAAACGAAAAGCGCGCCACCTGCTTACGGCATTACTTTATATAAATTATATAAATATAATATATGTACATCGGCAGCGAGTGACAAGCAAGCTTTATTTCAGTTGCTTTTCAGTTGGTTCAGAATCAGATCCGTCTTTTACAGCACTGATCCAAAAAGAGAACAAGGATCCCCCCGGCCTAGGTGCTTTTTCTTTTCTATTGTATCATTTGGAACCTGGGTGCTATCAATACTCGTTCGTAGTTGTAGCTTCAAAGATGGCATGGTTAAAAGATTGCTTTGGCTTTAGTTAGAAAATCCGGTCCCTTTAGAAAAAGTTAAAGTAAGAGGGGTAAGAAGCTAGTAGTAGTAAAAGTAGCTAGCGAAAGCTGCAGGATTGTCCTGCAGGAGTTGCGGCATGCTCTCAGGAGGTGGGCCTCCAGATCGGTAGCGCGTGGCTCTCCGAGAGGCGAAGAGAGGACTCTTTGGCGACCAGGTCCACGGGCAGGGCCGCTACTGGCCAAAGAGTCTGCTCCTTACCTTTCCTCCCCGAGAGCCGCCCCTGCCGGGCTGCTGCTTCGACCTATCTGGAGACCACCTCCAGAGACCAGCCCCCACCCCCCGCAGGACTTTCCTGCACCTGAATGCCCGAACCTAGCCTAGCTAATTAGCCTAGCTAATGCGGCTTTATGCATCACCCCACAACTCCGTCTGCTATTAGTGGCGCCTCGTATTCTGAGGTGATCTTGTTCAAACGCAGCCCACATCTCGTCCTGGCCCAATTCAAGGATGGAGCAAGCATCCGGCGACACCAAACCTTGGGAGGAGCCAGACAGAACCGCCAGAGCCGCTCCAACAACCACAAAAGCAGAGCACTCCGAAAGACGGAAGCCGAGCACCTGCGGCTTATGGTGCCATATATCGGAAGCTTGCAGGCTGGTGCCCTATTCTTCAAGATCATTCGTCTAAAGCATTGCAGAGGCAATGGCAGGCGGGTGCTTAGATTTATTTTATCTACCCTTGTAAGTATTCTCACACAACAAAGACATGGGCGCTCCTCCATAGTAGCACTTGATGCTCTCCTCTTCCACAACAGGGGCGAGAACATGCATGGGACTACTAGGAACTTTCGTTCAGCTATTATCTAAAAAGGTAGATCTTGAGAGCGAGAACTAACGAGCCTGAGTTAATAAAATGGGCTATTTTGTGAGTTATTTCTATCACTGCAGCTCCCCCGTAGTCATTCATTACACTGTAATATGTAAAGACTCCCGGGCGTTATAGAATAGAAGTATATATCTGCAACCGTAGCCCTAGTCATGATTGCGATCTAACGCAAAAAGACAAGGATCCTGAGCTTGACTCCTTCGCTTTATTTTTCCTAAGTATATATCTGCAACCGAGTAGCCCCGCGCCTGGCGGACGATTTCGGTTGGTTGGTTGGTTGGTTGGTTGGTTGGGTCGTCATTCCAACCAGCCAACCATCCGACGGCGCCAGGATCGGGAGGCAGTGCTGACGGAGATGGGCAGCCGTAGCGCGGGCTGCGCTTATCGCGTCCTTCTTCCAAACGGCAGCGGCGCTGGCCAACAACCCAACCAGCCCGCTGGTCGGTTGCTTGCTTGCTTGCTTGCTTGCTTGCTTGCTTGCTTGCTTGCTTGCTTGCTTGCTTGGTGGGTGGTTGGTTGGTTGGTTGGTTGGTCGGTTGGTTGGCGGGTGGGGTAGTTGGCTGGTGGGTTGGCTAGTCGGGGCCCACGCTCGTCCAGCCGCCTGGCTGGCTGGCGAGTCGCGGCCCACGCTCGTCCAGCCGCTTGGCTGGTTGGTTGGAGAGTCGGGGCCCACGCTCTTCTGGCGAGACCGTTGGTTGGTTCTGGTTGGTTGGTGAGTCGAGGCCCGCGCTCGTCTGGCGAGACAGTTGGGGGGCTGGTTGGTTGGTTGGTTGGTGAGTCAGGGCCCACGCCCGTCGGGCGGCGCGGTTGGTTGGTTCTTTGGTTGGTTGGCTGGCTGGCTAGTCGGGGCCCGCGCTCGTCTGGAGGAACAGCTGGCGGGCTGGTGAGTCGGGGCCCACGCTCGTCGGGTGGCTTGGTTGGTTGGTGAGTCGCGGCCCACGCTCGTCCAGCCGCCTGGCTGGTTGGTTGGTTGGTGAGTCGGGGCCCACGCTCGTCTGGCGGGACAGTTGGCAGGCTGGTTGGTTGGCTAGTCGGGGCCGGCGCTCGTCTGGCGTGGCAGTTCTTGGGCTGGTTGGTTGGCTGGCTAGTCGGGGCCCACGCTCGTCCGGCGGGGCAGTTGGTTGGCTAGTCGGGGACCGCGCTCGTCTGGCGGGACAGTTCTTGGGTTGGTTGGTTGGTGAGTCGGGGCCCACGGTCGTCTGGCGGCGCAGTTGGTTGGCTAGTCGGGGCCCACGCTCGTCTGGCGGGGCAGTTGGTTGGCTGGTTGGTTGGCTAGTCAGGACCCCCGCTCGTCTGGCGGGAGAGGGGCAGTTGGTTGGTAGGTTGGCTAGTCGGGGCCCACGCTCGTCCAGCCGCTCGGCTGGTTGGTTGGTTGGTTGGTTGGTTGGTTGGCTAGTCAGGGCCCCCGCTCGTCCGGCCGCCCGGCTGGTTGGTTGCTTGGTTGGCTAGTCGGGGCCCACGCTCGTCCAGCCGCCCGGCTGGTTGGTTGGCTGGCTAATCAGGGCCCACGCTCGTCCAGCCTGCCGGCTGGTTGGTTGGCTAATCGGGGCCCACGCTCGTCCAGCCGCCCGCCCGGCTGGTTGGTTGGTTGGCTAATCGGGACGCACGCTGGCTCGCCTGGCTGGTTGGTTGGTTGGTTAATCGGGGCCCACGCTCGTCCAGCCCCCCGGCTGGTTGGTTGGTTGGCTAATCGGGGCCCACACTCGTCCAGCTGCCCGGCTGGTTGATAGTTGGTTTGCTAATCGGGGCCCACGCTGGCTCGCCCGGCTGGTTGGTTGGTTGGTTGGTTGGTTAATCGGGGCCCACGCTCGTCCAGTTGCCTGGCTGGTTGGCTGGTTGGCTAATCGGGGCCCACGCTCGTCCAGCCCCCTGGCTGGTGGGTTGGTTGGCTAGGCTAATCGGGACCCACGCTCGCCCAGCCACCCGGCTGGTTGGTTGGTTGGGTAATCGGGGCCCACGCTCGTGCAGCCCCCTGGCTGGTTGGTTGGTTGGCTAGTCAGGGCCTACGGTCGTCCAGCCGCTTGGCCGGTTGGTTGCTTGGTTGGCTAGTCGGGGCCCACGCTCGTCCAGCTGCCCGGCTGGTTGGTTGGTTGGGTAATCGGGGCCCACGCTCGTGCAGCCCCCTGGCTGGTTGGTTGGTTGGCTAGTCAGGGCCTACGGTCGTCCAGCCGCTTGGCCGGTTGGTTGCTTGGTTGGCTAGTCGGGGCCCACGCTCGTCCAGCTGCCCGGCTGGTTGGTTGGTTGGCGAGTCGGAGCCCACGCTCGTCCAGCTGCCCGTCCGGTTGGTTGGTTGGCTGGTCGGGGCCCACGCTCGTCCAGCTGCCAGGCTGGTTGGCTAATCGGGGCAACACAAAGAGACAAGAATTGTTGCGTTCTATTTTCTGCTGACCCTCTGGCTCGGAGGTACTTCGACACCGACTTAGAGTATCGTGAGTAGCTACATTGAGTGCATCAGCCAAAAACTCAAGGCGCTGTCGTCCGAATAAATTTTTTCGGTTATAGTAAAGACGAGTGAGTCTCTAACATAAAAAAAGGGAGCTGGCTTCACGAGAGAGCGAACACCTCGACGAGATCATCGGCGTGATTCAGAGACATATGATTGCTGCATCACTCCAGCCTGCCACGACTGTACTAACTTGGTCTTGGTGGTTTTGAAAAAGTAGTATTCCTTGTTTCTAATTCGTCAATTCTACATCTAGTTCGCGTTTTGTCGCCCTTCTACGTATCTTCTCTGCAAGTAGAATTCTGAAAGGTTTAGCACAATTGTTGCACAATGCTGGACCATTCGCAATTTCTCTCCAAAGTATGCACATTATCAGCACTCCCACTCGCTGACTTCAGGATGATCTTCCTTTAATATTGTTGGACGCGTGAGCTTCGCCTGCCGCTCGTTATGAAGAGAGAGAGCATTCCCTTTCCCTGGACACAAACTTAGCATGATTAGTAGAGACGACAGAGCACAATCAAGATTTTGGCTTGTTGTTCAATTGTTCATTAGATTGATATTATATGTTGCATTGTATGTGTACTCACAGCATTGCTACCGATCTGCTTCTTTTATTGCATATGCTGCTGGTCGCAGCTCTAACTCTGCGGGTCTTCGACGGCCGGGGAAGGGAAAGGACAGGGAGTTCTGGTAAAAGAGACGCTGACGCGCCGACCTCCATGAGGATGCGGTCATAAGTGTTTGTTATTCTCAGACAAGAAGCGCTGACGTCATATAGATGGAAAACGCAGCTGGGTACACGGTTGCAACTGTTCCACGCATGTTCATGCTGTGACTCAGACTCTAGCTTGCAGTTTCTAATAAATATATAGTCACGTGTGAGGCGTTCGGGCCGCGCGCGAACTAATAATAATAAAAAAAAATATCATCGATTCTACTAGTATGAGCGCTACACCTACACTCGAATTGCATTTGCAGAGATAGAGAACTTTTTATAAGCTATCGATTACATGCCAAGAACTGGCTGATACGACTAGGAGGCAAAAGTATGAAGCTTTGTTTCTGTATCATTCGAAAGTAACAAGTTGCTGGAACAATGATTATGATTAAGAAATCGAGGCCATCTTCCTGCTCCTCCTAGGTCCAGGAGATGATAGGAGAGTTAGAAAGAGGACATCAAAGAAATTGAAATAATCGCTCAACGAAGTTAAGACTAAGTAGGTGTAGTCTAGTCGTTTGTCCTTTAGCAGCATCGTTTATTAGGTTTAGCAGGTTATGAAAATTTACATTTTGATGAACAGGAACTAATTGAAGACGAAGAAAATCTTGATGCTTTTTATTTAGTTCTACTCCGGGCAACTAGTACAGCACAAAAATTTATATCCTTTTATTCTCCGCATCTTCGTGCCTGTTTCTCCTGAATCGACCTTCATCCAGTGAAGCTTAAGTACTTAGAGTTTCCCTCTGTACAAGACTAGGCAGTGATGGTGTAGAACGTGGTGGGCTGTCATGATTTTCATTATATTTTGTAGGATTGTCTTCCTGTAAGAGGATTAGGACTGATGTCTCTGTCATTTACGGCTGTCATAATATATAAGGTGTCATCATCAAGGATGTGGCACAAGAAAGCAGCTGCATTTGTATCAACTCTACGAGTTCAGTTTTTAATGCCGGATGATATGTAAACTGAAGCAGACTACTTCCAAGACCAAGGAAAAGTCACGAGACACCTAGCTTTACCAAAAACGATGCATCAACGATTTCACTGTATAGCTGTGAGCCATGACGTTGCACCCTGTTGAAGGCCATCTTTTACCCCTGAGTGGGTAGTTGTTGAAGACCACTCAAAGATCAACATGATCATGATGGCAATGATAATGATGAGGGCTTGCTCAAAAATGATGTCAAAGCTACATCATGGAGCTGATCATATACTTGTCCAGCCTTATGAGCTCGTAGTGCTTTTGTACATCTCGTTATTGTTGAGGGTAAGTACCTAGCGATGGTCTGTTACTGTTTTGCCATACTGATACTGTGTTCTTCATGCACTGCGCTTACACATTCTCACCGATGTTAGATCAAGATTATTAGGTGCGAGGCGAAAGAACAATCTGATTACTGCATCGAGAAGGTGGGAAGGGTGTTAACTAGTATGATGATCAGTATCTGAGTCGATGATTTGATTACTTATGATTGTATTGAGTTCTCTATTTTTGCCGGTAGTTTAGGATGACTACTTGAGACGCAGACGTAATAATGTTGATGGTTGTTCACGTTCTAGGCTAGCGCACTAGAAGGATCGAGAAAAAATTATGCTGCAGTTGTGTGAGGAGGCTGACGAGGACAGCGAAAAGATAAGCTCACAAGTGCTTCTATTATGTAGTGCACCGAAGTCCTACTTGACCTGCAGTAGAATTGCAGGGCGGTCGAAGTCCTACTTGAGGTGCAGTAGCAGTACAGCCTGTTTGTTTTTGGAGATCAGACGGAGATGAAGCCAGCAAGTCGTCGAGATGATTGGTCTCTGACGTCTTCCCCTTCCGCGATTCTTGGCATAGAAACAAGTTGATGGAGGTGCGTCTTTTCCTTTTCCGCGTCAGCGATTGGTGTAAGGATGACGCTTTTTCTTCCATCTACTTTTTTAACGGTTCAACATACACCGGGAACTTATTTCAAGGGGAAAAACTGCCAGAAGAGGGCATCCTGCCTAGATCATTGATGGAAAGAAAACCGCCATCCATGATAAATATGGCAAAGCTCCATCAGAACAGCTAGTACACCGCGAAAGCAGACGAGGCTCAAAAATCTTTAGAATTTCTGCGGAGCTTCCAAGATCACAAAAAAACTTTGACAACACCACTGGCAAACTGGGTGTCTCCGAACTAAGGGTAAGGCCTTTACACATGCACACTCGTAATTGTACTAGCGCATAGCTGTTCTCAGCAGGCACAGACGATAAGAAAGACGCGGGAGCAATTTTTCCTTTTTCTGGCGTCACTCACCACTCGCAGAGGAGTTGTGCTACATGAGACACGGGGGAGTGAATCGATCACGACGTAGTGTCAGCAGGAAGATGTGCGAGAACTGGAACGGCCAATGGTTAGAGAGGTAGCCGTCTACGTCTAGTCATCATATGCTTGCCAAAGCCAATCATACTCTCTGGCAGTCCAATGATTCCAAGATAAGACTTCCAACTCGAAACCAACTGGATGGCCAATGGTTAGAGAGACGGAATAGGCCGACCAATGCCTGGCGTGGTGTCCGCCGTTGGGTTTATTAGTGGAGCAACATGTGCGAGCAACGCTGTTTTTCTTGCGCATTGTGACGATGGCGTCGAATTCATTTTAAGGGTTGCAACTTGGCGCTGGCCTATCGATCTATGAGAGTCGTCTGTAGGACTAGGATCTTTTCAAACTACGGAAAGAGGATACCAGTACTGGACATGCTAGAGCTAGGTACTAAGTAGATAGTTCAACGTACAACGCCTAAAAAAGAGAGTGATTCTTCTGATACAACGAAGAGTCCACAGTATAAAGGGAGCTCCTTTAGTAGAACGAAGTTGAAAATGTGTTTGCCTCGCGTCAGAGGAGTACGCAGTAGCGGACTTCCTCCAAAAGTGGGTCTCAATTGTGCGCACTCAACAGTGCGTCTCACTTATAGTAGGCACGACTAACAGAAGGTAAAAATGAATCAATTACAACTTCGTGTTCTTGTTGCCACTTCTACCGATAGGGCCATCTCGCTCATCTAGGGGCGGCATCCTCAACTTCGCCAGAAGATGACTGAGCAGAGGCATGCACGAATCGCATAGATTCACCAGATGATGACTGAACATACAGACTCAGTAGCCGAAAGTTGCAAGAGGATTCAGATAAGCACCCACCGGAGCAGGATGCCATAGTGCCAGAAGTAGATGCCAGATTATGTAGGAAGCTCTGTAATTGCAAAGAGTTCATGTCTACAGGCTTTTTTGTAGGTTAAATAATGCTTTTTTGTATGTCATAGTTCTTTATTAAACTACAGGCTGCCTGCTAAGGCTAACGAGTACCAACTGAATGACTCCACAACTATGACAAATCCCTTCACGTGCATCAGCATCACAAGCGCAATCGACTTCATAACAAATGACTTCACAACATGAAGATGAAGTGACTTCATAACAAACGACATCTGAATTAGTCAGACTTCATACATAAGATATTACCAATTGACCTGTCGAGATTTCTCATATCGCGGCTACCTACCCTTTTCCCCTTCAAAATGTATAGCATTAAAGGGGGCCGCGATGGTCTTGGTCGCACGGATGGAACAATAAACATTACTCATAACAGGAACAACGTCGAGGAGCCTTGGGCCAACTTTAATAGATAGCGACGTGTTGCTGGAATCAATTGCCCATAATATACACATGGTTCCAATTTACTGATAATTGCAATCGCGCCCCTTCGTCACTACGTACAGCACCTCCATTTCTAATTTCGTTCTTGCGACTCGTTGTTCATTGGCATCGATAGGTGAATCGGAGCAATCTTGTCTAGTAGTAGATAACTGGACATTCAGACTAACACACTTGCTCTCACTGTTTTCGACATTTTTTATCATGCCTGTTTCTGACTTTTATGTTGAATGATTCAAGATTATGCTGATGCTGCATGTGGTAAATACTTCTAGTCTGTGTTTCTAGAAATCTTCTTCTATGTACCAACGATTTTTTTTCCATGAAATTCAAAATCATTCACATTCTAAGTTTACGTGATTTGTGTGTCAAAATAAATGCTATTTTCATTCTAGTACCTAGTCTGCATAATAATAATTCTAGTACCTAGTTAAATACATGTTGTGAAGAAGATATCAGCAACGCTCTAGGAAGACTCGCTTTTGTACATAGCCGACGCTGGTCGGCCCCAAATGATCTCTGATACAGGAAAATGGACAGCATAAAAATACTTTTTTATTGTGGTGTGGAACGATTATACTTAAGAGGACCAACAGCAACATATAGCTATCGACTTTCTATTTTCTTACAACAAGGAAGCCTAAAGCTTCTATATCTGTCTCGTCATGATCTGACTTCTCACTTCGATCTACTATGATGCATTTGATAACGATAGATACGACTACTTTACTACACGCCGTAGCGCCTGAGTGTTGATGTTGATGATGGCGTGTCGTTTCTTCGAATGGTGTGCTCGTCTCGAGTGAATCCGTATCTCTGGTTGTAGTGGTTATCGATATATATAATATTAGTGTTGTTGTAATTTCTAATTTTAAGGCTACAGTAAATGCATCTTCCCTGGCATCTTGGTCCCGTTTCTCAAGGGGAAACTGGAGCCAGGATGCTCACCGACACCGAGATGGATTTATGCTAGGTCGAATAATTCATTGTGCCTACTATAGCCAAATTATTTCTGGTGGCTTGAAAAAATCTTAGTCTGTGCTCTCATCGGAAGGATCCCTGCTCCATACCCACGTAGCTGCTCCATACCCCATTTGTTCCTTATGATCAAAATCAGGGTACCCAAGACCGGAGCCATTCAGTTCCACTACTTACTGCATATTACTAGTCGCACTCTCCGCTACTTACTAGAACTAGTCGTATTTCCCTTCACTTTGGATTTCTTGTTTTTTACTGGTCCTCGTGGAGTGATCGCTGCAGCTTGTCGCGATTGTTGCGACTGTCCAGTGCTAGTAGGCGGGAGGCTGATTTGTGGTTGAAAGTTCAAGTTAGGGGCTGTCAGTTGACCCGGCACCATACTAGGCGACGCAGCGGTAGGTGTAGTTAGAGCTACCGCCTTCGCATCGCAGAGAGCATCTTCCTCATGTGTCTCAATTTTTTCGAGTAGGAAAAGAGGCAGGAAAGGTGTTCCTGCGGAAGAGGATGCTCTAGCGATAGCCTTAATGTGGGTCCAAGCTTGTTGGGCGATATGTTGCCTATGGGCTGAGGCGGCGATAAGCGTCCACCCGCTCCACTTGCTGCTGGCGGTGCAGCGCGTGGCGTGTTGGAAGACAAAAACGAAGGAGCTCCTGCTGATGTTAGAGCACGAGAAGATTTTCATGATTTAATGATTCTGAGTAATTCCAATTTATTACAACAGACTGACTGGCGAGGGCGACCGCGACGCCCTTCGAGCATTCTTCTATGAGAATGCACACGCATCATGATGAAGAGCCCGTACTTGATCACAAGGACGAAGTAGTATGAAATAGGCATAACTGCGGAGGTGGCTGGGGTGTCATTGTAGCTGGGTTAAAATTCAGGCTCGGAATGGTTAGCTGACCAGCTGATGGAGGCTTCACTTGTGGACTTGCACCAGGTCCCGTAGCTCCAAGTGGGTTATGAAGGGGTGCTGTTGATGCTGGTCTTGTTGGTGAGGAATTGACCGATTGAGGTGCCTGGCAAGAGGTATGAGCAGGAGGAAGTAGAGGTGGAACTGGAAGAGGGAAAGAAGATGAAAGTACTATCTATATCGTTGCAGGAGTTGTTGAGTAAGCATTGAAAGGGAGAATTTGATGAACATGAAAGCGAAACGAAGATGAACTACAAAAAAATCCGATTGAACTCCTAGCTCCACCAACATACTCCTACTCTTGATCTTCTATTACGTTGCTATAGAAAGTGACGAGATGCTTTCTTCTATATCTATTGTAAGTAGGATAGGCTAGTAGGAGGTGGACTGGTGTGATAAGCTAGAAGAACTGATATTTTCTTGTCCACCATAGCGATAGCCATACAGATTACTAGCGCCCACAAGTCGTGTCTCTCCATTCGGACTGCCGACACTGAAGCTCGCGAGAGCCACCTTACTCCCTATTGGTTGCTGGAACATGTCCAACGTGCTTCCCATTATCGTACGGCTGCCTGGTGAAGGTGGTGAATTCCCAACTTTCGGCGACCCAGTCGACGTAGTTGTATTAACTACTCCTCCAGTAGCAGTGCCAGTTTTAGAGCTAGTTGTACCGCGACGTATCCCTGAGCAGCCAATCGTCCTTGCGTCCCTTTTCCCCTTGAAAAGAAGGCCAAGAAACTTAGTGCTGAGGATGCTCCAACGTCCAATGGTGTAGCCTTAACAGGTGCTGATGTGGATGTTGTTGTATTCCCTCCAGATACTGTGCTAGCGACTCCACCAGTACTAGGAGTTGCGTTAACCCCTGCACGTTGACCTGCAGCAACTTCGCGCACAGTAGGAACTTGAGAACGCCCAAGGTATCTCGGATCAACACTATGCAAAACTTCATGCAGTGCGTTTTTCACGTAGTTGAAGTTAGAGCTCAGCAAGCTCCTGCTTTTCGCTCAGAAAGGCCAGACGCAGACCCAGAGTCAGTAATGTATTTACCAAGAAGTAAGTAGACATCTTCGAGTTCGGCGACTGTTGTTCTCAATGAATCAGCAAAAGGGGCTGGAGGAGCAGGCCTCTGTGAGTCAAGATGGGTTCTGATGATCAGATAGCGTCTTAATCAAAGCGGTAAGCTGTGGCGCATCGCTGCTCGAAGTCGGTTCATCCATGGACTGACGGAAAGCCGCAGAAGCATCGGGAGTAGAACTGTTCTGGGTATGAAAAAAGGGCTAGAGCGGGTGAGGGTCCCACAACATAAAGACCCGTTCTTCTATTCGGGTGCGGCCTCCGAATAGAAGAGCGGGTCTTTATGTCATGTGTGGAGGGCGTGGGGCGGGTGCTACTGCTATGTATAGACAAGAAATTGATAGCAGAATCAAGTAGTACAGCAGAAGCATGCAACAACTTATGTTGGAAGTTTTTCGTTCTTGTTAAGCGAAGTCTACTACTCTTGTACTTAGTTGTAGAGCAGTGTAGCAACTGTAGAAGAGGGATAAAAATACCATCCTACCTAAGTAATGCTGAGGAGAGGGATAATATTCTACCTAATGCTGAAGGGGAGTCTTTCCATAAGCTGCAGCATCCCGATAAGCGGCACTATGATGGAATTCGGCCACTGCGGTTTGGATCACTTGCATGCTACGATCGCAATTTCGTCTTAGAGTGCGAGTGGGTCTTGTGATTATGTATACTGCTTATATTTTCCCTTGTTGTATTCAAATTCAGCACTCTTTATCTTCTACTATGGGGTCGGGAACTACACCTTTTGTTAGGTGGCCGCTCCTCCACCACGGGAGAGGATACTAGTACGAGTACCACTACCGAAGAGACATACTAGTACGAGTACCACTACCAAATTTAGACATACTAGTACGAGTACCACTACCAAATTTAGAAATACTAGTACGAGTACCACTACCAAATTAATTTAGACATACTAGTACGAGTGCCACTACCAAATTTAGAAATACTAGTACGAGGTCCACTACCAAATTTAGACATACTAGTACGAGTTCGAGTACCACTACCGAAGAGGCCGAAGACGATGCTGAAGAGATGACATAAATGTAGTTCTAGAGGACATACATGGAAGTACAAATAAAGGAAAGCCGGGTCATAATTGTAGCTGTTGACTCTTTTCGTCGACCTCTCGTTCCAGCGTAGCAATGCGGTGCTCTAAATCACGCACTACTCTTTCGTGCTCCGAACGATGAGCGCGCTTTTCGCTCTCGACTCTCTTCACGTTCGCTTCAGCTTCTGCATGCAACGAACGGACGCGGGCTACCTAGTGATTGGAAGTTGATGTGCAATATGAGAGCAGAAAGTAGAAGTAGAAAGGCACTAGTGAGGGAAAGAGCAGATTATACGTCGCAGGTTGATGTCGAACATCATGATAGGGGAGAAACAAGACGAAGGAAGAAAAGCATGTAGATCAATGCACTTTTGCAATTGCCTTCGAAGAACACCCTGTATAGTAATTATGTTGGTAGAGCCACTTAACTTGTACTAGGAATGGAACAAGATACATACACAAAATGAGGTGGGAACTATTCTTGCAAGAATGAGAGGAGCCAGAGTCTGCATATCATGGTTCTTACCTCTTCTCTTCCTCTATTTGTGGCATCTACCTCGACTTTGCGCATATTGGTTTCGAACTCACTGCGCATCTCGATCATCCCGCGTTGGAAGTGATCGCTTAGCATCTCATGCTTTCGCTGAAAATCTCCAGAAATCTCTTCAGAATGTCGCGAGGGTTAGAGCAGGCAAATGTGGGGTCCTATCATTTGTAGTATAAAGAATGTCGCGAGGGTTAGGACGTGTGTTGAGTATAATGCTGTCGCTATCAGTTTCTATATCTGGGGCCCTATCAGTATCTATAAAGAATGTCGCTAGGGCTAGGGTTAGGACAGGTGAGTATGGATATGGGTCACCCCTATCAGTATCTATAAAGAATGTCGCTTGGGTTAGGACAGGTGAGTATGGGAATGGGTCCCCCCTATGAGTATCTATAAAGAATGTCGCTTGGGTTACCTAGAGTAGGTGGATATGGGGTCCTACCAGGATGAGGAATGTCGCTTATGAGATAGTCACATAACTATTCTCAACTTTATAGATAATAAAAAATCCGTACTATCATAATTGAGTGCTTCTTGGTGCGACTTTGTCATGCTCTCGCGGTGTTTGTGGTGCTCTTCATGCAGTCCCCGCACGTGTGCCTCGTGAGCCGCATGCTTCTCCGCCAAAAATTGATCGTATCTGGCTTGTTCTCGAGATTAGAACTAAGTGATATCGATTCAGAAGATACAGGTAGTCCGTCTTTCTGGTCACAGTGGTCACTCGACACTTCTGCTCTAGCCTTACTATGAAAAGAAAATCTGGCTCAAGTCGTGCTGGCTTTTTTTGGTTTTTATTGCAAAGAAGTTCGTTGGAACTATAAATAAATTAGAGTTACTTTCTTCTGCTCTGTGGAAGAAGATTCTTTGCTTGTATTTCGTTACGTGTCTTCGTTATACGTCGGTGTGTGTAGAGGCCGATCTAGTTTTCAGACCTAGTGGAGGTTAGCAGGAATAGGTATAATACATAGGAATCAACATGTTGAAAAAATCCACTTCGCTGGATTCCCTTGTGAAAACAGGGGCGGCATGGGGAAATATGGACCCTGCGCCAACTCCGGCAACTTCAGCAGAAAATTCAGATTGTGACGTGTCTCCCAGAAGTGTTTCGTCTGGCTTCACTGTGGCAGGAAATGGCGCTGCAAGCACAGCAGGAAGATGTCCATTTCACATAGGAGCAGTGGAGAAACATGAAGAAGGTGTTAAGGTAGTAGAGAACGGCGAAAGACGCGAGAACATCGTAGAGGAGAAGGAAACAGTTGCATGTTTGACTCTAGATGAAACAGTTGCTGCTTCTCCCAGCAACAGCGATGGGCCACAAGCTACAGAAGAGCACCCTACCGCTTCTCCCACTAAGAACGCCTGGTCAGAAGACCCCTTAATCGGAACCCGGTGTGTCCAGCACTTAGTAGACGACTCCGATTGTGAAAGTCGCAAATGGATTGCCGTAGCTGAAGCCATTCGAGAATCCTTGTATGATGATAAGAACGAGATCGGCGATCCAGAACGTACTTGGGGACCCAAGTATATCCGTAACTGTGTGCATAGTTGTCTTACTTATTGTAAGCACACGGACACAGGCGGTTTGGAAGGAGCAACAATGCGTTTTGCGCCTGAGAGCACCGAAGCGCACAATCGGGGATTGCCAGCGGCTCATAGAAGGTTACACCGTATGGTGAAGCGTAAATTTCCTTGGATATCCTATTCGGATTTGTTCGCTGTGTCAGCCTGTGTAGCGATTGAGTGTGCCGGTGGCCCGGCGATTCCGCTAGCTGTGGGCCGCTTAGACTCTGACGGCCGTTATTTAGTCCTCCCAGGTGGGGGAGAGTTAGGACAAGAGGAGAACAACACGAAAGTCGTGAAGCCACCAATTCAGCCTGGGCGTTTGCCCTATGCCGAATACGGTGAGTACGAGGATGAAGCGTCCGAATTAGTCTTAATCACCAGTCAGATGCGCAAGAAGTTGATCGACCGCGTTGGATTGACAGATCAGATGCTTGTATGTCTGATTTGCGGTGGTCACGCCTTTGGACGCTGTCATAAGGAAGTTTCTGGGTATAGGGGACCGTGGCAAGCGACGCCTGGAGTTTTTAACAACTCTATGGCCAAAAATTTACTGAACGAAAAATGGAGACTGGTCAATAGTCAGGGTGTGTGCATCGGCGGGGGCGAGGGTCATGAGGTTGCTGGAGGTGAAAAAACGGAGGAAGCTGAAAAGCAGCAAGCCAGTAGTGCTCCGGAGGAAGGCTGCCCTTTCCTCAAGATGCTCAACACATCGACTACTTCTTCTACAGAACAAGATCAAGACCTATCTTCTCCAGGGAAATTCTCCCGTGTGTCCTCATGGCATCCGCCGTCAATATGTCAATGACAACGAGTACATGATGATGTTGATGAGCGACATGTGCTTATTGCGAACGCCAACGTGGCGAAAATGGCTCCAAATCTACGCCGAAGATGAGCAGCGCTTTCGAGAGGATTTCGCAATCTTTTTCAAACAAGCCTTAGAATTGGGCTGGAAAGATCAAAGTCGGAGACAAGATGGAAATCTTGAAAAAGTAGGAGCAGGAATCGAAGAAGGTGAAGGAGGAAAAGAAAGCAGTGAAGATGGAGGAAAAAGAAGAACCGGTGCTGTTGCGGATCTTAAGAACTCTGAATGGGTCCTTGATTTTACCAGATCAGAGGAAGGAGAAGACAACAACTACAACAAAGGAGAACAAGGAACTCATTCTGGCTTACCTGGTAAATGCGCAAAGTCCTCATGTTCTAAGCATGCAAAGTTGCCCAATGCACCAAGAAAGGCACTAGGAGAAGATAGGCAATCGTTTAAAGATGGTTGCTTTGCTTTTCTTGCGCGGATGCGTCGGCAAGCAGAAGCGATCCCCGGAATGTCACTCAGGGATATTGCCGAACGATTGACGTGTAGACAAGCAGGATATTATTTGTAGAACCAGTAAGGAGTACGTCACAATATAGTAATAGGAATATAGAAAATTGAAGGAGCATATTAAGGTATTTTCAAATTTTTCAAAGAAGGGGAAGTACTATCTATTGGAGGACATCAACTACATAATGAGGAAGCACGAAAACAGACGCAACAAAGGAAAGAAGAAATAAAGGACTGTCTTGCAACCAATTAGAGATGCTACACACCGCGAGTGGGTACATCAATAAAGCAATCAACTAAAGAGTAGGTCCTAATCTGTGGAAGAAAACTGAACTTACACCTCATGCTAGGTAAATGAATGAATGAATGAATTATCAAGTTTCTTAAGTAGAAAAGTATGATAATGATAACATATTAACATATTTTGGTTTCATACTTACTCTGGTAATGGTATTAAGCCCCCCCAGCGCCTTAATCTTTCCTCGTCGCTTCTACGGCAGACTCCAGACGTTCGTCATGCCTCTTGCGCACGATCAGCTTTTTCCATTCCGCAAAGAAGCTATGCAGTGTGCTGCGGTTGTCAACCTGTGTCTTTGCAGTATTTTTCGTGCTTAAGTAGATCATACTTTATGATCTGATGACTGGTTAAGTAGATACTTAATATACTTTATGATCACTTAGTAGTAGTTGTAACAATAGTAGTATGAACAAATGTAGTATAAGCATATGAGCTTCATGGTAGTACTGAGGGCTTCGCATTTCTACTAAGTGTCATATTGCTTCATGGTAGTACTAACTATACATAGGGCTAGTACTTAGTCGTACTAACTATAGGGTTAATATTATATCCTCTTGATGAGACTTCTTGCTTGTACAACTTCCTCCTCCTTATTACTCAGCATGTCATTCGTAATCCTCATCAGTTTAACTTCAAGTAAAAAATTATAAAAACTCGAAGTACATCACACCACGATCGGAACAAGGTTCGTAGTTGTAAGTGTAACTAGAAGTACATCACACCACGATTGGAACAAGGGTCGTAGTTTAAAGAATAGAAGTACATCACACCACGATCGGAACAAGGTTCGTAGTTGCTGCATAGATTTTAGTCGTAGTCTCATATTCTCCTCTTGGAGCATTTGGATCGCATCCATCAACCCCTGCATATCGGAGTGCAGGGTCGCAAGTCGTTGCACAGGAGACTTGCCCTCCAGGTTCCTAGGATCTGGGCGTGTGGGTTTTGGGTGTTGAAGGAGATTTCCGATACAACAACTAGTGCTTCTATTCCATCTAATGTCATTACGATGGATTAAGATTACTTCTCAATCAGTCTATGTTCTCAATCTATCAGTCTATGAGGAGTGAGCTCGAGGTGGATCATGGGGACAAATAACATAAGATGAAGAAGAACTAGTGCAACTTGGTGAACGAGGAGAGGACTCAACAACAGAACCAGGCGGACATGCACAGACCCCACGTAGTACAACACCTAGTACAGGTTCTACGTTAGAAGTGAAGTCGTGTCATGTCATGGGACCTCAAATGTAGCATTTGAGATCTACTTTTGAGGCCACGAAGGATCAGCTTTTCGCGAAATGATCTTAAGTTTAAGACTGACCACGTTGAGTAACTAGTAAATGCACCTTTTCTCTGCCTATTTGGGTTCGGACGGCGTTGGGTGATGACGCGACGACCTCCTACGGACGAAGACGTAGTAGGCTGCTCCCCTTGGTCCGTAGTCTCGGAGCTGCTCAAATTAGTGCTAAGGATGATCATGCGTCTCACCAACTAGTACCCACAGTCAGTCTCTCACTCTGTGCTAGTACAGCTGTTTTAGTAGTTCTAGTTTTTTCGGAGGATCGTTGACACTTGACGTCTAGAAACACTGTTGTTGATAGAGGCGCAGGCACGCACTTCTGATGTTGCTCGTTTTCAGTACCACGTGATGAAGCCTTAATTTTTGATGTACTTCTCTCAGCCTGCGTCGTCATATTCGGAGTTGCAAAACGGGACGCACCTGTCTTGCTCGTCATCTCCATGTTGTCGCCGCGATCAGTTGCTACTGTCCTTAGATGAAGAGCCAGAGATTTGTTTTACTTGCTTCACTTAGTAAACTTATAGTCAACATTTTAATCGGTCCCTCCTGAACCTGATGAACTTTAGTTCTTGTTACTAGTCCTCAGTAGTAGTTACTAACAGAAGACTCAGTCTCCTTCTTGACGAGCGAGGCAGTAGTTGTAGTTGTAGTAGTTAAAGAGAGGTGATCCAAGCTGCTACGTAGTACCTGAATGGGACAGAAGCAAGGAAGTTGCACAAGTAGTAGGTGGTAGTCATTTACACCTACACAATCACGACAATCTCAGCAAATTGTCGCCTTAAGTCCTGCTCCTCGTCCAGACCAGAACCGCTGTCAGCTTGTGAAGACGAGCTCTCCTCGTCTTCTGTTCTTAGAATAGTACAGTGGCTGAAACAAACTCAATGTCAATTTGAAATACAATACACCCTGCTCCTTCGTCGATGTCTGTGATGTTCATATACAAGCTACTTAAGCTATATTAATGCATGATCTCACACGTGGCTCCTACTTAGGACGAGGAAATGGAAATCGTCTGAGAACGAAGATCATGCACATTTCAAGATAGGTGCACAGGTGGCCCACTCGTAAACTACTCAGCCAGTTTGCGCTAAGCACTGGGCAGTGGGACAATCAAACAAAATATAATTGGGATGAATAATGAAAAAGCACAAGAAGATGAAGATGCACATGCATGGGATCTGATGGTTTCAAATCAAAATTAATAATAATATGATGAAAGTTGTATGACTATTAGTTCCTAATAACGTTTCTTGTGCATTTGGCTGTTGGGTACTCCGAGTTGTGTATTGGGCTCGCATCGTCGTGTTTTCCCGCATGCCAAGTCTAGGTCGAATGCTCGCTTTTAGCTTAGAGGATGAGCTTGAGGGTAGTAGACTTAGACGACTTGATTCTGATGAGGGCTCAGGGGTAGCGCTAGTAAACTACTTTGGGTTTCAACACATTCAGTAGGGCGGTATGGACAGCTCCTGCTTGAGTACTAGTAGACTATTTTTTTCAACATCTTTGATGATAGGGCATGGCTGGGGAGTTGAATGCTTGAGCTCGTCACCCATACTTCAACTCTTCTATTGCAGATCCTGGTCAAATAGCAGTTGCTAGAACAACAGAACGAAAAAGTAGAAGGTATTAGGAAGAAGAATTATTCTATCTCTACTACTAGGTACAACTACAACTACTCCCACCCACAAGGTGAAGAAAAATAGTCTTCCCGATCAGAGGGAGTACTACTAGCACATTTCGTTCTACTACAAGGAGGAGCACGAATGTCAGAAGGAGGAGCCTTAATTGATGAACAGAGAGTTCTACTACAAGGAGGAGCTGGAGTGGATGAACAAAAATAATCACTAACGCCGGCACATACACGACTACCACCAGACGGAGCCTTAATCAAGGTTCTACTTCCTCCTGTTGCTTCGCTTTGTCCCCGACCTTGTTTACTAGGAATAGCAACACCACCAGAAGATGATGCTCCTCCCGTAGTTGTCGTGTCTGTTGTTGTTGGACAAGTTAAATTGGATCACAAGGATTCTCTTCTTGTTTTCCCTTATGATCAAGATCAGGGTACCAAAGACCGGAGCCATTCATTGTAAAGTCCTGCTCCTGTCGTTTCATTCGTGTGCATCAACCCATAAGTAGTTCGAGATCGTCGATTTGAGAGCTAGGTAAGTACAACCAATGTTAACAAGAACATTAATATGGAACGTAAAAAACTACTCACACTCTAAAACGTGAAACTTTTTGAGCCATATTGCGCAAAGAGTGAGCAAACGCATTAGGCTCTGCTGCACACGCTTGGCGGTGCGCACTACTCTCCAGGGTGGGCCCGCTCTGCTTCAGCCGCCAAATAGGCTCACGCGGCTAGGGAAGCAGAGACCCACCTTCTGCCAAGTCGCTTGAAATTTGCTGGGTCTGCGCACGCAGCTACGGGTAGAATGGCCTTTGCCTCCCTTCCATTCGGCCTCTGCTGCCGAGTTTGGACTTGGCCAGGGCTGGCCAGAATGGTCGTGAGGTGGGACCTGCCGAAATCGTTTAGAGTAGGTTTTTCGGAGTTTGCAAAAACCGGCCCCCCCTGCCCGACAATCCCGCGAAAAAGGCCTTCACAAAAAACCTACTCTAACCCTTTCAGGGGTCCCTTTGGGTGAGGGGTCGGAATCGGTTTAGAGTAGGTTTTTTGGAGTTTGCCAAGGGCTCCGCAGTCTTGGGCGCCCTGTCGTGCTGGGCAGCCCCAGAAAAGGGCGCAAGAGTAGGCCGTGCCGGTGGTGCTCGGTGGCTGCCACTTCTGATCTTGGCCCCTTGGCCCGTCCGAAAGCCGCTCAACCCGAAGCAGAGAGTGCGCACGATCTCGCCAACAGTTGCCCACACTCGACGCCACGTGCCTGCGTGCAGTTGCTTACTGAACAACTCTCAAAAAAATTCATGTTTTAGAGTGTGAGTAGGTATTTACGTCTCATAATTAAAGATAGAGACGCAATCAGTCGTGCACTACTACAAATAAACTTAGAACATAATACACTTACACTTCAAGTTCCACTAGCAATAGTTAGTATTATAATTTCGTGTTCTACAGCACTGAAAATGAAGATAGCGACAAGAATTTGGCTAGAAATAAAACTTATGGTCCATAGATAGCCTTAGAATTTGTAGTACATGATTGCCCCATCGTTGTAGACGGAAGCACCATCTTCGGCATCAACAAATGTGGCGCGCCAAAGATATCGCTGCGAGGAGCTTCCATCTTTTTCTTTTTTTATCGCACTGCGCTAAATATATAATGAAGCTCCTACTCGGCTTTCACTTCTGAGCGCTTATACGAGTGTTGAGAGAATCGTGCTCGTTCCTCCCTCGACACGTTTGTGCTCAATTACCAGAAAATCAGGGACATCGACGGACAACTCGCTTACTTACATTCATTATAGGTAGTTATCTTCCACTTCTTCTAACTTCAAGTTCTCGCCCTTCACGAAAATTATTCACTAAGGGAAACTGATAGAATTTATGGTTCTTTGTTGTTGGGAGGGAGGTACAGGGGGAAAGAGGAAGGAAGAGAAGATCACAGACTTGTCTTGGTTCTTCTCAAGTTAGTTCTGCTACTTCGTAGTTTTCGGATCTTTGTTGACTTTTTCTCTAGCCACCGATGAGTAGAGTGAGCCTTTGGTAACCGATTACTCATCGTCCAGAGTTTACAACATCACGTCGACGTCCGAATTTCACATCTACTCGTCTAGAAAGTCGCCATGCTCGTTTACTACACACCAGCAACTTCCTGTTCGTGAGATAAAGTAGGAGGACGAAGCAACCGACTGGTTCATTGACTGACTCACTCTTGAGTGACAGATTCATTGAGTGATTGACTCCTGATTGACATGTCAGAGGAGTGATAGTGAATAGATGTACTAGAGAAGACTTAAGAGAAAGAGTAGATATCTTAATAGGACTACAACAGTACTCTCCAACCAGTTGGAGCTACATTGTTGCACTGCGTGCAAGGGATCCTCTCTACTTGTTGGACCCTCTCTACTTGTTCTCTCTTGAACATCAATCGGCTCGAAAATACGAACACAATAGCAGTGGTCTGACTCTGGTGACATAAAGATAGAAAGGAACGAAAGAAACAGTTCTTAAGCATCTCCTGGGAGCCTCAAAATAAAGCGAAAGCACCATGTGGGATAGTTGTTTTCTTAGGGAGCGGGTTTATCTGTTGAAGAGCAGGCACGAATACTGCGGCTAGTGGCCGTTCAAGAAATACGATTTGTTGTACTATCCAGCATTCTCCCAGACGAGCATCACTTTCTATTCTTTCCTCCACTTGAAATCCCGCGTCCAGCCCAAGCATTTGTAGCCATGCGCCTTGGTGGCCTAGCCGTACAGGTGTGGCAGTGCTTGTCTAGATAGTGTTGTAATAGCACTACACATTGGTTCGTGAATAACACTTCGGGACCAAGACTGACACGATACAATGTTGGAAAATTGCCATTGCCATTTCCTTTAGCAGATAGAGTTGCTCTCCGCGTTTCCTCCTCGACCCCACAGGAGCTAGTAGAACAAGATATCTTCTGCATCTCCTTTTCAACCATTCGTTCATCATCCTCGGTGAGTCCGCGGTCGTCTCCTAGTATGCTAACAACGCCAAACCGTCTTAAATGCTTCGCGGCATTCTCGTTCTTTTGGATTCGTTCTAGCACCTGCTCAATCGGTTCACCAGTCGCATGTGCGCCACCCGTTTCAGACCCACCTGAGAGAAGGAAAATAAATGGCGTCGCGGCAGCTAGATGTGGATCTGATCCTGAGGCCCCTCGTGGTCCTCCCGTGCCACCAGTACCTGTGCAAGAGCCTGTGCAAGAGCCTGAAGATGGAACCGCTGTAGATTTAGATGAGTCTATTTGTTCTTCTTCTACTTGGTCTTCTTGATGACGCTCATCCTTCTGCTCCTCACCACCTGAGGCAAGAGCTCCTGCAAATCGTTTTTCTCTTCCACGAAGTGCCATGCAATGTCGGAGCGTGCGAATCCAAGGACGATTGTTGACATCCGCATCTTCAACGACATCCGCATCCGCATCTTCTTCTTGTTCAAGCCCTATGATACCTCGAAACGCACTCTTCGACCAAGCGACGCGGTCTCGTTTTTCTGTTTCTTGTCGGATCCTAGCGCTTTCTGCGGTTTCTGCGGAAACCAGATGTAAACGCTCTGCCAGTGACTTGTCATCGCATTTCAGGTCTCGAACGAGCGCTCCATAAAAGGTGACAGTCCTTGCTGGGTTTAGGGTCTCATCTGGTGTTGTGACATGTCCTCCTACCTGCTGTGGTCTCATCTGTTGTTGATCAGTCCCTGTCATTACTAGAGAAATGGTGGTATTTTGTCTCAATGACTGTGACCGGAACAGGGCTGCTGCAACTGAACTGACGCCAACATCCACACGACCGTCTCGCAAATTCTCCAGATCGAAATTAGGTTTCGCACGACGTAACAGGATCACGAATTGACGGGGAAAGCAGCCAGGATGGTGCTGAACAAGCTGATGTGTACTATTACTTTGACCTTCAGCTGAAGAGCATGAACTACTGATTTTCTCTGTCGTACTCCATGTTGGCGCAGGGGCACAGCGTAAAAACCGTTCGGACAATTCAGAGCCGTACTGACAATTCTTCGCACTATGCCCGACACGTCGGCAATGATTACACACTTCAGCAACACTTGTTTTGCCTTTCCCTTTACCTTTCGAAGTAGCAAAATTCTTGTTGTTATTTTTGCTTTGTCGTGTTGAGGTCGTGAAGTTTGTCCTCGTGTTCATCGAATTCGAAGTCGAACCTTTCGCTTTCACTTTTTGCACCTGTGTAGTAAGCTCTGCTGGTTGCTCATCTTCCACGCTTCTACTTGCTTCGACTTTTCGTTTCTTCAACTTCGCCCCTTCCGCTTCATATTCAACATCACCGCCACCATGTTGACCTCCAGTTCGACGCACGACTTCCCGTACGACCATTTCAAGCTCGGCAGTTGAAACCCATTCATTTTTTGAGACCTCTGCTGCAACATCTTCGAACGAGATGCGAAGATGTTTTTTCCCAACGCGCTTTACAATCCCATTTCGCCCTGAAGCCTTGTGATAAACGGCGTCGCCTACGTCAGGCGCTGTTGTGGTGGTCCGAGACATCTTTAACTCTATTATATATTGTGCGAGAAATATCGGACTCAGGGTTAGTTAGTCTACTTTCAAGTACAACTGACTCACATATGAGACTCAAGATTTTTACGTTGTATGTAGTGACTTAATTGGTTCACTGATATGCCATTGACTCTACAACTCGCACAAAAAAATGGGATGGCCTCTCGTCATTGCCGTAGCCTTAGGATAGCTTGCTTGCCCACTGCGCTGCAACCACTCGACCTGCGCTATAATTTCCCCAAAAAAAAGTGTAAGAAAGTGAGTAATAGATACGAGAGAAGACCTCGATCTTCTTGCGTCGTCTGGATGGAAAGCACAGTGTGATCGTCTTGATGACAAATAGATCTTAGGCATCTTGTTCCGTGCTTGTCCTGTCTGGTTATTTCCCCGGTTCTTCCATGACAATGTTCACGGTCTTGAAGGCGATCCTGATGATCCTAAATTGCATGATCTCAAATTGCTAGTAGTTTTAGACATGGACACCACATGGACGTGGGACGCGACTGCCCTTGGATCTGATCTCCTTTTCATGGTCATCGTACTAGACATATAGAAGAGGATCCAGAGCACGATAACTTGTTCCGACAAAGTTGTTCTTAACCGCATGGATGAGCTTGACCTGTCTTTGAGGTGTCCACGACCACGACATGCGATTGCGGAACTCGTCTATCCAGAGACAAAAAACCATAACCAATACTATGTGTCATTAGACCGTGACCGACCATGTTAGGAATATTTTATAATACGCGAGAAGTGCTAATCGTAGAAATATGAATGAATCAAGGGAGGTGATTTAGTACTGAATAAAAGAAGCATTGATGTACGCGGCCTACGTGTCCGTTGGCACTAGTAATATTCGTAACTTTTAAATGCACAAACAGACGAACTATTGCCAAGGTCCTGAAGAGGACAAGGAAGAAAAAAAAGGGTTGCTAACGTTAATATAGTCGTCTCTTCAGACTGGATCGATAAGGTTGTTTTTGACGTCTCTTCTGAATTGAATTGCGTCCTCACAATGTGCATCTATTCGATACCCTCAACAACATCATCATCACACTAGAAGCGCTGCGTCATTTTATGCTCCGTTTGTCCTCCTACAACAGCTCTCAGCACTGTCCTTGTCGTTGTCCGGCTCCTTCGTGTCCCAATATCCGCTTGATATCTTCTGCATACAGGGTCTCCTCTTTGACTAATTCCGTAACCAACGCCCGCACCTCTGGTTCTCTGGAAGATAGCAAGCTTTTAGTTCTCTCGTAGCAGTCAGACACCAGCGACATCACCTCCTTGTCCAGACTCTGCCTAGTTTGTTCGGACCAATCGCCACCTCTTGCTCCTTGCGAGACGGAGAGAATGAAAGTGAGGGAGGTGGGGTTCGTGGGATTTCTATAACTAAGTAAGATCGATGAATCAAACTGCAACTGCGACGTACTAGTACATATATTTTTACATAGAGAAACAAAGTAGTTTTCAATAACTTCAGGCTCAGTGTTGAGTATGGTCTCTAGTACTAGTAGAGAATGTTTTCGTTTCAGATGTTTCCTCTTTCGAGAATTGAAGTACTCAGTTTATCTACATATTTCTAGGCCTATTGCTGCAGTGGTCACCATAAAAGAGAAGCTAATGAGATGCTCCCCAAAACCGTAGGAGTGGACGTATTCCCTAGCGATCTGGGTCACCCGTTCCAAGTCGCTGGAGGCGCCAGTTGCTATATCACTCGTAAAAAGCTCCTCTGCAGCACGACCCCCTAATGCCACACAAATCTGCGCTTCTAACTCACCACGACTTTGACGGACCTGAGGTGATTTGAACTTGAAGTTTTCGTCTTCTTTTTCACATCATGACGATTCGGAACTCACCACGACTCTGTCGGACCTTGAGCAGGTCGTTGAGAGATCTGAAATTTTCACATCTAATATCATGATAATTTGGAACTCACAAGAACGGCAAGAACGATTCTGACGGAGGAGGACCTTGTTCAGATGATTAGATTTGGAAACTTCTACCACGAAGCGAAGTAGTCTGGAAAAAAAATAGTTGTAGTACCTCGGACAATGGTTCTCCTGGCATCATATGTCCCAGTGCTCCAGTATCGGTTGGTAGCACTGTGACTTTAACCGGATCTGGACACTTGTCTAGGAAAAAACTCACAGAATTAGAGCTTGTGCGTCGCACCCTCTTCCTTGAAAACCAGATGATGATCCTTGGTGGACACTAATTTTTCGTTCCCGCCCATGTGAAAAAATACATACGTGTTAATGTACAACTAGCTGCTAACCCTAATCCTAGTATAGTAGGTACCTACTGCTGTAGTTGTAGCTATTTTATAGTATACCTACTGCTGTAGTTGTTGTCGCTCTTGAAAATAAAAGAGGTCATCAAGGATCATGAGGATAGGACTTTGAAGTTGAGGAAGAGGATAGGACTTTAAAGTTACAGAGTTGGCCTTAACAGCAGTATGCCCCGCTTCGTGAAATGCTGTGGCACTTTTTTCACTCTCCGAGATCCTGAAGTTCGATTTCCCGTTGCCAGCGGCGACGATGTCCATCGCTTTCCGCAAGTGCTTCTCAGTGATCGTAGGAAATGTCTTTTTCATGCTGGAGGTGTCTCTTGATGATGTGCTAGGAGTTGCTGTGCTAGTGGCGCTGGAGGTAGAAGAGGCTGTGGTACTAGAGGCTGTGGTAGAGACAGGAGAGCTAGAGGGGAAGGAGTCTGGCGATGTAGTTGATGGTGTGCTTGCGGAGGATGCTCCAGAGGAAGTGGAGGGTCCGAAGAGCATTTCACTGAACGTCGATGAGCCTCCAGCTCCTGGAGGGTCTTTCTTCGTACTTGTACTAGTACCTTCAGGTGCAGCAGGTTGCTTCGAAGAAGAGCTGGTGCTCGAGGCTGCGTCAGCTGCATTGGTTTTTGAAGATATCGCAGTCGAAGATGCACTTGAACTTGAAGCTGTGGTCGCAGGAAGAACAACTGCTTCTCCCTCCTTGCTCAATGAAACGCGTGTTCTTTCTTTTCCACCACGTGTTCCTCCTGGCAGAAGTTTCTCTCTAACACTCAGGATCCCTGCTTCGTTGCAGATGCTGGATATCGTTGCGCCAGTGAAGCCAGTGGTCAATCTTGCAGCTCGTTCTGCCATCTTTTCAACGTAGCCTTGGGGCACCGGTCTAACATCCTCCTGGTTCACAATGTAGTACTTGCTGCCAATCTTGATCACGAAACGGTCCCGCAGCTGGACGATATTACCCCCCGCTGGACGGGATGCGGAAGACTTTGATGGTGAGGACGAGGGTGACGGTCCTCCCGCGGAAGAGGAAGACGGACCCGAGGACGAAGCCGAAGGTGAGGAAGACGGGCCCGAGGATGAAGGTGAGGATCCTCCAGATGTAGTACATGTGAAGTTGGGATTGATGTGATCCAACTTTTGATTTCCCAACACGAGACTGTCTTCAGAAGGCGAAGTCATCCTCGGACTTAAAGACTCAGCATACTTGTCGGAGTTGACACTCGTGGTCCTCGTCGTGCTGCTGTCAGTGGTACAACTAGTTGTAAAAGAACTACTAGTACTAGGGGAGGCAGCACGACTTATGTCTTCTGTTGATATGTTACTACTAGTTGTAGGAGAAGATTTTTTGAAACTACTACTCGGAGAAGAACTACTAGGAGAAGTATTCGCACTGTCCTCTGCTTTTGATGTCCTCCTCCTCCAGACCTGCAACTCTCGTTTTTTTCCGACCACGGTTCCAACCAAGTTGTCCAGATTTTCCTTCATTGATTCTGTCTTCATGTTGGGAAGAGTGAGAGTGACCTGTGTTCCCTTTCTCAACTGGACAGGAGTTCCCGAACTAGAGGATGAGGAAGGGGATGAAGATGCGGTTGCGAGAGGACTAGAAGTAGTTGTGCTTCTTGACGATGTATTCGGAGTCGGAACTTCAATTTTCTTTTCGTCCACCGTGCCACTGCTAGAAGCACTTCGTGTCCCGGTGCCGGTAGTTGTGGAGGTTGCGCCATGACCACGACCTTCTCCACTACTATTCTTCACCTTCTCTTCCGGGTCTCTGCCTGTTGCCCAGTTTGCTGAAGAAGCTGCTATGAGGTCACCTTCCCGCCATGCAAATTTCTTCAGATAGTGAGAAAAGAGTTTTCCTCTTTCCTGGGTGTTGGGTGCCTGCATAGGAATCGTACGATCCAGCCTACCTGGCCGCATCAATGCTGGATCTAGAGTGCCAGCGCGATTCGTGGCAGCGAGAATCACGATGTTTTCGCCCTAGGTTGGTTGCGTGGAGGTTTGGGTACAGACAGGGAAGTAGATTTCTAAAAAGAAGGATAGCGATCAAGATCATAGACATATTACAGCGAAGTACAAGAAGCACAAGGTAAGTACCTTCGAATGAAAGCCGTCCATCTCTGTCAAGAGCTGGTTGAGCGTATTCCCAGTCTCCGTATCTCCGTTGGTGAATTGACGAGATCTGTCCCGACCAATCGAGTCGATTTCGTCGATGAATATGATACAGCCTCCAGCTTTTTCCGCTTCCCTCCTCGCAGTGGCGAAGAGTTGTCGCACGTTCTTAGCACCCACCCCAACGTACATTTGGACGAATTCACTGGCTTGGCACGAAATGAACGGCAGACCGCATTCGCCTGCTACGGCTGAGGCTAGAAGCGTCTTACCCGTTCCCGGTGGACCAAGAAGCAAGCCGCCTTTAGGAACCTTTGCACCCACTTGTTCGTACTTGTTCGGGTGCCGTAAAATGTCGACGAACTCTCGCATTTTTTCGACTGCGATTTCCTGCCCTATCACGTCGTGAAACCGGTTTTCCACGTTTTTCTGCACCTTAAACTTCTGCTGTTCTGGTCCTCCAGTATTTGAGGTAAGCATGGAGAACAGAGATTTATTTGCCTGTTTCTCCTCTTCATCTTCGAAAACGCCGCCATCCTCATCCTCCCCTCCAAAGAAAGGGTCGTCATCCGCGAAGGACGAAGAGGCTGAAGTCGAAGAGGTGCTAGCGATGCCTTCGTGATCCCCTTCTACCAATGTCGAACCATGATTAGTAGTTGACGACACACTAGAGTCGTCATTTTTGCTATCTCCTCCAGCTCCAGCTCCAAACAGTGCTCCCGCGAATCCTGCTCTAGAAATCAACCCGTTCTTTCCTGCAGCAGCAGCTGCGTCCTCAGCGTCTTCGTCGAAGATGGCGTAGTCGTCCTGCTCTTGCTCAACTACATCTATGAGAAAGCTGGAACCTCCTGTCGATGGGACACCACTGGCACTAGACGAGCTACGAATACGACCGCTCCCATCTTCACTTTCCCCGGTTCCCATGTCTCCAAAAACAAGACTGCTACCTGCGCTGGCCACTCTTTGTGCACTATCCATGACACTCCGCACTGCACCGCCAACGGCTTCTATCCCAGTCACGATTTCGTCAGGGAAAATGTCAGAGAGTGCAGGAGCTGTGGGAATAAACGAAGCAGATGGCCGCGCACTACTAGGTTTAGATGAGGATGAAGATGCTGAAGATGAGTATGTGGTCGCGGTACTTAGATGACTGGGTGTCTCTTGTTCAACATCTTTGGACCTATTGCTTTTAGAGGAACTTGAGCCTCCCGCTCTCACTACGTCAGAAGAAGTGTTTGAAGATGTCCCTGTTACGACCGATGCTGTCCTTCCACTGATTGCGTCCCCCGAGGGTGTTGCTGTTGCCCCAGCCTCAGATACCACCTCCTTCATCTTTTCACCGTCTTTCAATGCGGTGCCACTCGATGCATCCTGATCTTCTCCAGCGCTATTGGAAAACAGCTGACTTCTCATGTGATTTAGGCTGTTTCGTATGCTTGAGAGTCTGTTCTCAAGCGTAGTAACCGATGCTTCCTTCTCTGCTATTTCTTGAAGTAGAGGAGCTGTGTCAGCCACATCCGGTAAAAGCTCTTGTTCACCTGTTGAAGATGCACCTCCGACGCCTGGTTGTGGTCCTACTATGTTGATGGCATCTTCCTTTTCCAGCGTGGTCTTCATCGTCTCCTTCTCGCTACTAGTTTCAGGTATCAGAACAGACACCGAAGTCGTCCTCCTCTTTCTAGGTGGTGGTGGGGGCAAAATTTTCACCGGCGTGCCAGCGGCTAAGTCCTTGTAAACCGCTCGTGCTCTTCTGACAGCTTCTCGAGTGCAGTTGGCACAGACATCCACGTCGCAGGAGTTGCAGCGAAGAGTTGGCCTTGAACCCTGAACGGCACTACAAATGTCGCATGTAACTGTCGTGCCAGTCAAGCTCGCTACACTTAGCTTGGACGTTGTTGTAGCTGTAGACAACGAAGATACTGATTGTGGTGTTGTACTGGAAGAAGATGAAAAAGAAGAAATGCTGCTAGAAGTAGAGCTTCCTTGCGAAGGTGGTGATTCAACCCCACTGCTTGCAGCATTTGAAGCTGAGCTAGAAGTAGACGGACTACAACATGCTTCATCCGCAGAAGATGAAATAGAAACCCCACTCGCAGCTGCTTTATCACTAGAGGATGATGTAGAATCTTCACTACGTCGTGTTCCATGTTCCCCTCTACCATCTTGTTCTCCACCAACAACACCATTCCCGTTTTCCTGGCCAGGCCTTGAGAATGTTAGCACCTGGTTACAATTGCATCCTGGACATAGAATCCGGCAATTCGGTCCTGTCAAAGCTAGTTGGCCTGCTTCTCCAAAACTTGGCATCGCAGAAGTTGTAGTAGCTGAGCCAGCACTTGTTGCTGAAGCGGCCTTTTTTTCGGGTACATGCACAACCACCTCCACTGCACTGACTCCAGCGACAGTGAAAAGGCGTAAGATGGAAGATAGATCCATAGATCCAGCGGATTGCGCTATTCCTGCAGTACCAGAACTAGAACTTCCAGGTGCGTTCTGAGCTACCACACCCCCTACAGATGTTGAAGATGATGCTGCGCCATTACCTCCTGGACCAAAATTAGTGCTAGCAATATTGCATATTCTGAGTTTATCTTCTCCTTCTCGGGGTTCCTCTTGGGAACCTTCTTGGGGTTACCTGTTAGGAACCACCTTTGAAGAGATGATAATCTGTGGATTGTGGAAGATATGCCCATGCGTTAGAATTATCATCAGCCTTAACAAAGAAATTAGAAGCAGCGTTAAAAGCATCACCAGGCAACCAGGTGAAAGCTACGAGCTCCTCCGCACGCTCTACAGCGTTGAGGTCGATTGGGTACTCAGGACTGCTGCCGATTACGGTTTTCAAAAATTTCTTTCGAAGTTTCTCCAGTCGACGTGTGGATTAGAGCAGATGCTGAGTGGATTACGACTAGAAATAGAAGGTACGTGGTACGCAGAGGTGGACTGAAAGAAACAAGACAACTCAATTATAAATCTATAGATACAACTTCTACGCGCATGTTGAGCAGCGAGATGATCCAATGTAATTCTATTCTGGTTCGGGTATCGTTATCATGCATCCAACTATTCTTTTGATCAACAACAACATTGAATGTCAATGTCAAGGAGGTCTGTGTCCACCTCATCATAATTTTCCAATGCCAGCAGCCTCTGCGTCTCGAGATAGTAGCCGACGAGCTTGAAAACGCATCCAAGAATCAGTGTAAAAACCAATACATCGCGAACGATAGACAGCAGAGTCCGTGTTGGTGCGGGTGGTTGCTCTAGAAGGACTTTTACTTGCTGTTGTGGCTGTAATGCACCAGCTGCAGCTGCTGTTCCTGCTGAGGCACTAGCACTTGCAGTCGTCTCTGATCCTGCTGCCACAGCTGATGCTGAGGTGTTTGAAGAACCAGCATTAGCAGCATTTCCACTAAGACTAGCTCCTGCCTGCAACTCGGAAGCTTTGCTCTTCTCACCCCCTCCACGTCTGAATGGAGAGATTCTTCCTAAAAGTCGTGACCAACGACTCGGTGTTGAACCTGAGGAAGTGCTGGAGGTCACTATGTCAACAGCTGGTGCTGGCAGTGGTTGTACTGGTGCTGGAGCCGGTGGTGGTACAACACCAGAAGTTGCGGTATCTGTAGTTTTGGTACCAAGAGAGGCAGCTACTGTAGAATCCGTGACTGTGACATTCTTGCTGCTTCCCTGTCCAGATCCTGAGAAACCACGATTGCTTGAAGATGCGCTCACTAACCGTCGGTTCGTCCACGCACCAGGGACCTCGTGTCCGATTCTTCTAGCAAGCAGGCGAGTGCTAGTGCTTACTGCAGAAGGAGCAGCTTGCTTGTCCACATTTTGCTCCGACGCAAAGCGACGTGTGGTCCCTTGTTGTATTAGCCGTGGATGAGTGGTCCAGCCTCTGGAAAGTCTTCCAGCAAGACGTGCAGCGGCTGATGGCCTCATGATTGATTCTGGGACTATGCGAACTACAAGCACATCAAGTTAGTGCTTCTTAGAACGTAGAATCTAGCTACGTATAGCCAGGAACTACAAAGAACAACCTTCAAACTTTATTCTCTAACATTAGTATTCGTAAACTAATCTTCTGCGATGCTTCCGTGAGTCTGGAGAGAAGGACGAGGAAACTACTAGCCATCTGGACCTAGCTGTACAAGTATCTTAAGACAATACTAGTTACTTAACTCCCACAGAACATGTTCCGCACAATTAGCCTGTACAACATAGCATCTGCACAGCGAGGCCGTTGGGGTCCCGGTTGCTAACTTGAACTTCTACCACAGGGAGAAGGGGTGGGCGAACGACTCTAAACTTTCACCAAAAAAAGGGCAGGATTGCGATTTATCATATAAGAGAAAGTCGTGAGTCAGAAACCTTCCCTTAAACCAGTAAAAAATTAGCGTGGAGGTGTTCTTATTGATGAAAGCGAAAGTCTGACTCAATGCAAATCGATGCCTCAACACCTTTAGCTGCACACCTTCGCGAGTGCAGCATCTCCGAATCAAGAAGACAAGCACCACCTTGAACCATTCCTCAGTGGATCGCTCTACTGTCTCTGATCACTTCCTGATGGCTGATGCCAACAAAGAAGAACATCATAATAATTCATCAAAATCATAGCTAGGCCAAATTGACATTCATCTTCTTATAATTCCAAGAAAAGGAATGGATGCTCTGTAATCTTCACCTTAGCTAGGAGTATCAGCAGACACTCGCAGACTGCACTCAGAATGGTGTGAGAACACAGGGACAGGAGGCTCTTTGCTTTTTTGACGAGGTCCAGACGGTCCTACGAGTCAGGGCCGTACTTTTTTTAAGAGTTTTAGATTTAGTGAGTACGTCCGTAGTTCTTTCATATTGATTCGCTGTCTTCGATTTCGTCTTCAAGAACAGACATCCAATGCACATCGTGGCTCTTCCATTGTAAAAGTGAAAAGTTAGAGTTACGAGTTTAGCATAAAAAGAAGTGGTCTCGCTCTGAGAAAACGGCTCGTCTTGTTCGCGCCCAAAAAGTTCTAGTTCATATTGTCTTCAAAAAATAGACGAATACTCATTTTTGCGAGAAAAAAACTCTCGTTACTACAGATGATACAGGAAAAAGTCGATGAATGTCATCTAGATTATGTTGCACTTGCGCATCAAAGTCGTCTTCCTCTGCGAACAAACAACAAGAGAAGGCAAATCAATGGTCATCAACAAGACAAGACAGACAGAGTGAGTGTAGAAAAAAGAACTAAATCAATGTCGATCACTAAAAATTTTTACCTTATGATCTAAAGACTAAAGCACACAGAAGTCCGAAACAAGTCCTCCAGGGGACCTCCACACCTCAGAAGAGATATCCCCGATATTCGTTGCCAGGTCGACTGCAGCGGCCACGCTGTAGTGCACATCGGCAGCGGTCAAAGTCGGCGGGCGTTTCGAACAGACCACAGTGGAAAACGGGCTTCATCAAGTCCGTCCGGTTGCCCTCCAAAATGACAACGGGCTTGCACTGATTCAACTCGCGCCGGTATTTCAGGCGGATTTTGTTATGTTAGAAGTGGAGAGAAAAAGGGCGAGGGTAGTTGTCGCAGAACCAGTAATGTTGATGGGCCTGGGGGGGGGGTAATTGTCGCAGAAGTGATGACGATCATCATCTACTCATTTATCCTGCGGACGTAACCAGCCTTGCCTGTTGTCGGAGTTACTTAGAAACCAACGAATATGATGAATTGAATCTATTCGGCGGGCTGCCTAAGATTTCCCAGACGAGTTCTACCCGCTAGTCTAGCTTGTTGTTGGATTGTTATTGGTCTGTCGATTGTTCCTGTTGTTCCTGATGATGAACGACGAGACTCAGGCTTCTGCCTTGCTACTTGTGCCCAGAGGTCTCTGTTTTCTGCGTTGCTTAGCTGCGCCCCTCTTGCCCTGAGGTCAGCCTCCAGCTGCCTCTTGTAGGTTGCGCGCGGTGCTCCCCTGCCTCTCCTGTAGCCCTGTGCTTGTTCCCCTTCTGCTGCTAAAGCGATTCGCGCCCACCTTGTCGCCGGGTATCGCACTAGGTGCCCGATGTATCTGAGTCGCCTCTGCTCGACAATGCTGCTGAGCTGCTCCTGCCCCGTTCTCTCGAGCAGGTCCACCGTGCGGATGTGGTCGGCCTTCGTGGCTCCAATGCATGAGCGTAGCTTCTTGCGCCACCATGTGTCGAGCGCAGCCCTCGTCTTGCTCGTTAGTGTCCAGGCCTCGGATCCCCATAGCGCTACCGGCAACACGAACACCCTCAAGATGCGCAGCTTTAGCTCCCTGCTGATGCTCCTGTGCGCGAAGACCTTGGAGAGCTCCCCGCTCTTCCTCTGGGCTCGTTCTATCCTGCTGCGGACATCCGCTTCGTCGTCCCCGTCTTGGGTTAGTGTGCTGCCTAGGTAGGTGAAGGCACGCACCCGCTCGACCTTGCCTTGCTCCAAGGTGAGCCCACCTGCCTCCGCGGCCCTCTCCGCCTGCCCGCTGGGGTCGAATTCAACATGTTTCGTCTTTGCGAGGTTGACTGCCAGGCCGTATTCCGACATCGTGTCTACCAGCCTCTGCGTGGCTTTCCTTAGGCTCTCCTCGTCTTCTGCTAGTAGCGCGATGTCGTCAGCGTATAACAGATGGCCTAGTCGGGCCTCTCCTGCTGCGGCTCCCTCGTCCTTTTCCAAAAGTTTTGCTCTGTGCATTTTGGCTCCTTCTCCTAGGTCAGTCCGCTCGAGGACGTAGTTTATACACATGCTGAAGATGAGGGGTGATAGAAGGCAGCCCTGCTTTGTGCCGGTGGTCGTGCTCCTTGAGCCGCTGACAGCTGCTTCCCTGCGAACTGCAAAGGCGTGCCCCTTGTACAGAGCCCAGAAGTTCCTCTGTAGTTGCTGTGGTATTTGGTATGCCTCGAAGGCTCTGGCCACCAGCTTTCGTGGCACCGTGTCGAAGGCCTGCGTCAGGTCCACAAAACAGACAGACGCGGCGCGCCCCACTGCTGCCCGTGCCTGGATCGCTAACTTTAGCGCCAGGGTGTTGTCTATTGCCCTTCGGTAGGGTCGGTATCCTGCCTGTGCTTCTGAGAGTGCCTGGTCTATTGGGCCAACAAGTCTGAGGCATAGTGCGGATGCGAAGATCCTTGCGAAGAAATTTAGAAGGGCTATAGGCCTCCAGCCTGCAGTGCTGCTGTGGTCCTTTCCTGGTTTTGGTAGCACCACTATTAGTGAGTCTACTTCGCCTTCGTCTAGGGCCCCCTCTCGCCAGTATTTGCGCACCTTTTCCCTCACTAGACTCTTTCTGTGCGCACTTAGCAGCTCGTAGCGCTCCTTCTTTAGTTGGTCCCTGCCTGCTGCCTTGCCGGTCTTGAGTCTTCTTATGGCTTCGTCAGCTTCCTTGTCCTCTATCTTGCTGTGCCTCTGTGCCTCCGTGTGCGGTTGTACTCCTGTGGCAGCTCTCGGGCTTCTCGCTCTGGTAGCTGTGGCGGCTCTTCTCCGGTGAAGACTGCCTCGAAGAAAGCTCGGACTAGTTCCGCCTTGCCTCTGGCGGTGTAGGCGACCTCCCCTTCGTGTTCCAATGTTTCGCTTATCTTCGAGCGGCTTCCGTCGTGTCCCTTGGCTTTCTTACCGCCCAGGGTTGATATCTTCGCTATTGCAGGCGCCTGCCCGCTTTTGGAGAAGTGCTCCGCTGCCTCCCTGCACACTCTTTCGGCGAAAGCATTTTGATCTCGCTTCTCGGTCCACTTCATCTGCTTGAGCAGCTGCTTGGCCTCTTCCTTGTTGTGTTCCCGAGCCTAAGCTGCTCTGTCCTCTCTCGCCAGAGGTCTCGGAACTCTCTGCTTACCCAGGGCTCCTCGTCTCGCTCTTGGCCGTAGACTTCCTGCCCTGCTATGCGCATCGCTTCCTGTATGCTCCTTCCGCCTGCAGTGAGCCGGTCTACTGCTGCGTTGTATCTGTTGACCGACGCTGGTTCGGCCTGCTCGGGCTTGGGTAGGTGTGCCTGCCTCTTCTTCTTCAGTTTCTTTCCATGCCAGCCGAATTCGTCCACCCGTAGTTTGCTCTTTGCCATGAGGTGATCTGTGCCAACTTCGTGCCGCTCTACTACTCGCGTGTCCTTGACGCTTTTCCTCATGTTGTTGGAGTGCACTACGTGGCCAATCTGCTGCCAGCCCCGCGTTCCGTATCTTGTGTCTGGGTGTCTCCATGTTGCGTAGCCGTGCTGTCCATGCTGAAACACCGACGCAGACGAGAAAGCCCCTGCCTCTAGCAAGAAACGCCGGAAAGCGGTGGCGTTGCTGTTTGGCCTCTGGTTGGCCTCCCTCCCGTGAGGGCCCGTTACCTGTGTGGCGCCGATGGGTAGAAACCAACGAATATAATCGAAGCAAAAGTTAAATACTTTAGTTGGTACTGTGTACATCGACACGTACATGAAATGCAACACTGAAGAGTAAGTAAGTAGGCAAATTTGAAGCCATAATCATCATCCGCTCCAGGTTCACGAGCGTGCTGCAGAAAAGGCGAGCCGGGTGCAATTTGTTGTGAGGCAACAATAGCTGCGTCAGTCTCCCTTTGCACCGTATTCCTTTCGGACAACATGCGTTCGGTGAAATCAATAGGTGACGCACTGCTGCTAGAACGGTCGACGTCTCTGCTGTTGAGCTGTTGCTCATTCTGCAGAAAGAAGTATCGACTTGCAAGCCCCTTCCGGTGATGATAAGAGTCTAGTGCTTGGAATGTGCCCTTGGAGTCTTTCTCTTCATCTATGGAGAAAGTTTCTTTATTTGTTTCCAGATCAACCGTCTCCCGGAGACGCAGGAATTGATTCGTTCTGGCTTGATAATTCCTGACCTTCTCAGGTATTGAGAGAAAATAGCCGCACCCGCTCAGTCGCTGCATGATCAATGCGTCGGTCCAGTAAGTTCCTACTTCTGTGATAAGCATTGGCGCGATCGAGGCCAGGTGCATCAAAGCGAAGTTGATCCCTACTTGTGAATTCTTCGGCGCTCCGTCTCTAGGCGGTTCCTTGTGCCTCTTTGTCAAGTGGTGGTGCTGGTTCCCATACTTAAAGGTTGCAGCATTACATTCGTCAGAACTACATCCCTCACCTCTTTCCTACTGGAAAAAGAGTGAGGAAGGGTTGTGGGGGATGTAATTGGTTAACCCTTGACGTACGGTTTCCTAAGAATGTGAAATTTGACCAGAGGTCTCCGCCGTAAACGTCCGCATGGGGAGATTAGAGAAGGAAAATTTCAAAAAGAATGACGAACAGAACGGCTTTCTTTGGTCAGCATTCATGTTCCAGAGGTAGTTAATAAATAGGTCCTTCTCTTAAGGGTGGTGTCAAGATCGGTAATCCCATAGCATCCCTGGTGTTCAGCATGCGGTCTCGTGGCCACTCGATACCGCAATCATCACCATGCATCTTCTGATCCTCGTCAAAGTCGGGTAGTGTCAGAGCAAAGTTTTCGCAAGACTTAGAAGTATTCGCGAAATGATCCTGACGTTAGTCTTATTATAGAAACATGTAACGACCCGTGGTAGATGAAACAGACGACAAGAACTACGAAATCTAGACGAAACTAGTAGAATTCTTCCTCTGAGTTCCTTTCATAACAGTGGACGCATCAGACGTTAAGAGGTCGCTTTGATGCTGGTCCGCATCTGTGGGCGAATCTTCGTGGTCATTATCTCGTAACCGATCCTCTCTACGACCTGCCAGGCTCTCCAGCTCCAGCAGCTCACGCCATAGCCGTTTCCTTCGCCGCTTTGCGCTATGTTAGAGTCTGTCAAGCACGCGAGAACCTGTCTTACTAGTTGTAGTTCTTCTGGGGAAAGGGAAAGGAGCCCGTATAATTTACTTCTAGATGAGTCTCGATCCCCCTGGGCCTGAAATTGATGTTGATCTTGATGAAGTTGTGCTACTAGTATGCACTAGTACCACGTCTACTTGGGACACCAACACTTCTGGTTCTGCGACGTCAGGGGATAATATGTTCTTCACGACAACGAACTTCTGTCATCGTAAAAATACGCTCGACATTTTTCTTTCCGCTGCTTATGAACTCGCCCATTGTAGATCCGTGTGGCCTCTGCAACGCCCTCAGAGTGGATGCGACGCGCATTGCGCAAACCCTCCAATTCCATGCGCCGTTCCTGTCTTTCGGTTTTGGTAGCTCGTTTATCCTGCTCTAAAGTCTCAATCCGATATGCTAGATCCGACCAGCACCAATTCGCATTTTCCTCTAATAGGTACTTCAAACGCGTTTCTAGATACCCCCTGCGTGTTGCCAAGATGTAGTCAAGAGGCGTCCCGCCATCGGCGTAGGCGTTCATCACAGCTGTAGTAGTTGCTGGCGCTTCACCTGCTACGAGAGTGGAAGTATTGCTTGTTTCATTTTTTTTTGTGCATCAGCATCTTCTGCATCCACCTCTTCATGTTGACCAGGAGCACTATTTGCATTGCTAGTTGTACGAAGCTTCTTCACGTCTTTTGGTCGAGATGATGTGTTCGCCACATAATCCTCATCTTCCCATCCAGCCTCAGTATCCTTGTCACCCATCAACTGGCCCAGCGCCTCCACTCTGGGTAAGATTGCTTCCTGCAAATATCCACGTTCACGGCCACGGAAAGAGAAGTGAAATCCGCCCACGTAAGTCCGGTAGTTGAGCGTTTCTTCACTATGCTTTCGACGCTCCAATTCGGTGGGAATTAGAAGTAGAGGTCTCTGTGGCATCAACATGTACATGCTGTACAGTGAAAAATCAACGTAACGACCGCTACGGATGTAGTAAAGATGATCGGCAAGGTTGTCTTTGTCAGCACAATGTTCTTCTAGTATCTTTTGGGCGAGTTGCAGTTGTGCCTCTATCTGCGTACCAACCTCAGTGCTATAGCTACTGTTCTTCCCGAGAAAAAGGTAAACTGTGTTGATCCTGTTCATGAGCAAATTCGAATTCATAACTCTGACAGGTTATCAGCATCATAGTAGAGAGCTGCCATCTCCATGAATTCCTCCAATTCCACAAGCTCACTTTCCGTGTACCTGTTCAAGTTTTTGGAGGTTTGTAAGGACGACGGGAGTTCTAGTTCTTTGAGTTCGAAGTTAGAATTAATAGAACTAGAAAATTTAGATCTAGAGGATGATATTTTTGATGATGACTTGTTTTTCTCATGGTTGAGGCATACTCGGTCTGGCTCATACTCGTTCCTGAGACTACAAAACCTAGCAAAGAAAGAACTGACTCAAAGGAAGAACGAACCATATCCATATCAACCAACGTCAAATACCCGACTAATCTTCCGTGCCCAGAATCGACGAACATGTTTATGTTCAGATTTACGCAGTCTAGTCCATCAGACCTCGCCAATTCCGCCACCTCCTTAGCCACGGCAGCTAGATTCACTATCTGCTTGCATTCGTCCTGTGTCCTATAGCATACGCGTTTCCGTTACCCATACTGGAATGTAGACAGCTAGGGAGGTTAGAGGGGATAACATAAGGACGAGGAGAAACTACTGAACGCAGACTCGTCGTAACTACTAGCAGTTCATCGTAGTAGTTGTACTCGCTGGATAAGAATCACCTCAGGAAGATGAAATTCAAAATAGATCCGCGTCTTCTACACACCACATTTACAACAAGAAGTGCTAGACTGAAATGAATGACATGAAAGACAAAGTGCTAGCACAAGAATGCTGGTTACTCTTACATCACTTCGACTTCCTCGAGCGAGCACCATATCCATAATGAAGGAGATGAAGGTGCTGGTAGCCGACATTAGTTGGCCTGGGTATCGCGAAAACTTGCGTCGAGTCGGTTTGTTGAAGAGAATCCCCTGAACGTCCACTGGTGCGGGTTTTAGACTGACAACATACAACGTTTCTGACAATTTGGATCTAAAGGGCATCAAGGCAATAGATGAAGAGAACCTCGAACGCCATCGACCTCAGAAGAATGAAAGGGCTGACTCAGCGAGTATGTCAACTAAAAGAAGTATAAAAACTCGTCACATTCACTTACTTTCATAACAACTTCGTGACTTAAACAACAAGTCCAAGTCTGCATGTTTGAGGGAGAAAGATGAAGTGATCCGCTTGGCGATGACGGCCGACAAAGGCCGGATTATGGATGATTTCGTGCACCGCGTCAAAAGCTTCGATATTCACCTCAAACTTCCTGCTGCGCAAAAACAAATCATACGCACACTGCGACACGGATCCGATGACTTTCGGGGAATAGAGAGGTCGCCAAGCGTCTTCAGGAGAGTCGGAACTTATTGGGGATGAGGTGGGCTTTTACTGGTTGTGGTTGTTCCAGATGAAGTTGAATCCGTTTTCACCTGTGCTTAACTTTTGCGTTCTCTTGTCGTAGGCACATCTAGCTTGTTACTCTCTCCTACAACTCCACCAGCTACCCCGTTGTTGAATGTAATCCCACTCTTCGCAAACACCCTCTCCACCTGTGAACCAATTCCCTTTACTTGTTGCCATTTTTTGACAGACCGCTCTTCTTGATACCGCTCAAATTCTTCTCTATGCTTTAACAGCGTGTTATCGGAATATCTGGTCATCTCTGCAGATGTCACTTCGAGAAGTGGCGCGCCGAAGATATCGGTACGCGGAGTTTCCATTTTTTTTCTTTTTTGCACTGAGCTACATAGAATGACGTAAGATGATGACTATCTGCATTATAGTTTGGTTAGTTTTTACAACGTTTTCTTTAACTATTAGTTAATTAGCTATCTTCCACTACTTCCAAGGCCAAGTGGCTCTTCAAGAAATTCAATAACCATTTGAAACTTTTTCAAATTGTTACAAGACAAGACGCCATCATCATAATGGGAAAGCATGTAAGTCACAGCCGTACGTAGCTCAACATCTATAGTTGTTTAACTTTAAGTAACCTCAAAAAAAAGTGATCAAGAACCAAGGGAAACTGATAGGTTAAGGCTTTTTGTTGTTGGGACGGAGGTAAAGGGAGAAAGAGGCAGGAAGAGAATATCAACAGCATAGATAGATTGACTTCGTTGAAGTCCTGCGCCAGACTTGCCTCGGTTCTCAATTTAGTTGTCCTGCTACTTCGTAACTTTCGGATCTTTGTTGTCATTTTTTCTACATGCGAGTGCACTTGTTTTAACCGATGGCTACCGACTTTAGATCACGTCGACGCCCTACATTCGCATCTAGATCTACTCTAGAAAGTGGCTGTGGCCATGCTCGTTTACTAGTAACACAGCCAACAGGAACAGACGGGACGGAAGTCATGAGGTGATGTGCTTGATCTAGAAATCAACACTCAAGAAGGACGGGAGGCACTGCGTACATTAACTGGAAAATACGAACACACTGCCGCTGTGACTCTGGTTGCCTGAAGTAAGTTAAGAACCTCCTAACGAGCAGAGATCTCTGAGATCTCAAGCATCTGAGTTCCTAAGCATCTGACTTCCTAAACGCCTAAGCCCTTACGGGTCTGAGCGCTTCAAGCTCAACCTAGAGTGAAAGCATGCGGCGTAGCTTTCTTCTCGGGGAGCGAGCTGCCACACAAAAATGATAGCCTTTCTAGATAAAAAATCTGCTGAACTTGAAAAACTTTGTAGTTGAACTTGAAAAGGTTTGCTGTTGAAATTGAGCAAGTTTGTTGTTCTTGGACTTGAAAAAGTGTTTTGTTGAACTTGAAAAAGTAAAAGGCACAAGTTGTAGGCCTAGCTCGCGTCGCACGCTCGAAGCTGCAACAGCAGGAGTAGGCCACAATTTCTCAACTTCACCGTAATAAAACCTACTTCATTCTTAGCGCCTCCATCTTGTTCCTCCTCGAATAGATCTAGTAACAGCAATGAGTAACACGACAACGGATGAACGAAGGACAAAACAATAAAAGTACTTCACTTTCGGACAGCGACGAGCTAGCATTTGTTATGCACATTTATTTTGACAAGTTCGTAGCGAGTAGGTACTCCTTTCACGACAGTCCAAAATAAGTCGAGTTCTTTTCAGAAGGTAACAAAACAGATTGCACAAGGATTGAGATTGCGCTCATGTTCAAAAACTCTACTTTTTTCAACATGTTGACTCGTCCGGTTACATCAAATTCAAAAACTTCAACGTCATCACTTTCGTAATAACCTCTACTGAGCCTTTTTCCTAGCTGCAACAAATACAAAGCCCAACCATGCTCCACCCTAACAACCCGACCATGCATCTCGTGATCCATACCCTGTCAACAGAAGTCTTAGGTTCAACGACCGAAGGAAATTGTCACAAAGGGCGATCTAAAAGTCTCCATCAAGCCCTCGCCTGCTTTCATTAGAGCCTCCGACGATTCAGTTACCCAGCGTCCTTCCTCGTCAGAATTCCTGTCGGAAAACTGAGCGAATAATTTGAGAGGGTGGCGCATGTGGAAGTGAATTATTTCCAACTACAGAAGGAGAAGCCTTAACCCCGTCCTCTTCACTTGGCAATCCATCCTATACTTCGCCTTGGAGGTCGGTTCAAGCTTGCGTTTGAGGTATTGCCTGAAGTCCTCGAAACCGCCGATCTTTTCGCCCGAGCCCGTGCGATAGTTGTGGACTTCAATGCGCCCGGCGTAAGCCTGACTCCCGCTAACATGTGGAAGAATTGATGAGCATTTTGAAGGCGCTGACATTTGATTTAGGGGCGTTATCTTGCTCGTGCAGCCTAGCACTCAGTCTAGCCCACGCGAAGCTGTGGCACCGTTCGAGCATACTGACTCGATCATTGTGACAGACGACTAGGCCTTGACTTCGCCACAAGAACGAGCACAACGACGGCGAGCTGGGGTGAATGTAGGGCGAAAAAAAGAGAGTGGAGGGTGGGATTGAATTTGGACTGATGTGGACTGTGGCTGGACTGAATACACTTGGCGCCCCAAGTGCACCGCGTCGCGTGTAGGATGCGCGGCCCCCCGTGACTGATGACTGACAGACGCCAGGACAGAACAACGCCCCTAAATTGGCTATGACAAACACCTTCGCCACTCTACCATAACCTGAGCAATTAGGCGCTCCGCCTTGCCCATTTCGAGACAGCGATCGTCCCCGTTCGACAACTCAGGGAGACGATGGAGACAGATATCCTGGAAAACGCGAGGTGAGAGAAAATTCAACTGATAACTTGGTGTTAACACGCTGTTTCGCATTTCGCCGAGGGCTGGGAGATTGGGGGAGAGTAAGTTGATCTGGAAGCGGAACTGGATAGTGCGAGGATGCTTCCTATCTATTAGTTTTTGCGCTTCCACCTGCACTTGCGCAGTTTTCGCTTCGTGTTGTGCGGTCGCTTCCGCAGCGCTCATCTATAAAAATTAACACTCGAAGTTTCCACACCCGAACCACTTGGAAAAAGGGATGTTTTGTTTTTTCATTTGGCTTTGATATAAATAATCAAAGCGAAGTCGAAAAACGATGGCTCTTCAAATGGCTGGACTACCTAGACAAGCAACGAGAGGAGTCGGACGAAGCGGGCGAGCAGCAACAAACCCGGATCGCAGCAGGCTGAACGTGAACCATCAGAGAGACGCAGAAGCAGATGTTGGATAGAACGGCCTGCTACAGACACCGCTGGCGGATATTCGCAGGATTTTCAAAGAAGTTTTTTTTTCTCTCGCCCTTACTCTCTCAGGAAAGAAGACAAACCACCGACGCACTTGTCTCATCCCTCGACCGATCCACCGAAGCGTCTGGAACACTGCCTCCATACGAGTCGCGCGACGGAGTTCACGATTGACATTTGCACGACGACGAACGCCACCCGATCACGCTGCTGCAACATGATCGCAACAAGCAACAGAGGCAGTAGGTGCTGCCCGTGTGGAGTTGCGCCTTCTCCACGCCGCGCCAGTGCCCTGCTGCAAGAAGAGGCGCGAGACCCTTTTCGAAGCGGGACGCCGACCACCGCTGTCAGCACTGGAACCGCAACGCACAAGGTGCCACCGCTCTCCTGCGGAAATCGGCGCGGCGTGCTTCTTTCGTTTTTTCCTTTTATCCTTAAACAATTACCACCAAGGCACGACATGCCTAAAGCCCTGACATAGTGAGGCTCTTTGCATAGCTCGGAAAGAACACTATCCGAAGACAGAACAGAGGAGCCCCATCTACGTCAAGGGCTTCGCTTTTCCTTTCCGCTGGAGTGCCTGTCTTTCTCTCGTTTGCTTCATCATTAGACTCACAATGAGAACGAACTGCGAAGCGACAGCAAGATCCAAAGACAAACATCCAGCGACACCCCTGGGCGTTCCCTCATTCCTTCATCCTCTCGCTCACATCCAACGAGCAACAACGCGAGGCCGAGGAAGAGCGAACGCCTGGGGCAAGCCCTGCCTGCTTTAATGATCTCAAATAGGCCCACACTTTGACTTTTCCATCACATAGAGGGCCGCGCTTCTATTCAAGGCTGTTTTCTCATTTCATTCCTTCGCAAGGCTTCTGCGTGGCTTCAGATGTTGAAGAAAACGACGGCAAGCACTCCAAGGCTTCTAGTTCGGCCGCAGATTTCTGGACGGAATTCGTCGCCTGTCTTCATCAGGGTGCAACAGTCGCAAGGCTTGAGGGGTGTGGTTGTGAAGCTGAAGTGTGTCACCTATCGTCGTCTCTTGTACTAGCGCCGAAGATAGGCGCGTATAAGGTAGACCATATAGCTCAACAACTCAAAGCAAGGATCTGACTCCCTGACTGCTAACTTCTCGAAAGAATGAAGAGGGAAGAGTAGAGAGGGAGGCTGATCAAATAACTCCGCTAGTTCATTTTCGAAGCTCGAAGCGATATCACTCCGGTAATTTTACACGATCAGACAACTCACGCACCCCATCAAGAAAGGGCAGACCACTTCACCCGAGATAGCAGCGCGACTCTTCATAGATCTAGATGAGGGATGTCCATCTAGAAACACTAGACACAAGATTCGCGCGAGGTCTAATAGTATAGAACTCGAAGAAAACAGGCGCCCAAAGATGCGGGGAATCGAGTCCGTTGCATAATCAACCATGGCAGTTCTGTCATCTATTAGCAGTTCGCTACCATGTAGAAAAATCCATGACCCTTCTGCTATTTCTGTCCACCTTTCAAACATGACGACGAGCGTAAACGGTGCGGCCATGTTATCAGGCTGCACAGTAGCGGACTTTCGCAGATGCATCGTTACGATAACAACAGCAGAAACCAAGACTAGCGAATCACTCAAATCGATAGCGAAGGTGTAGAAGTTTAACGCATAAGGCTCGGCTTTATCTCTTAGGCTCAAGCCTTGCCTTCCTTCGCTGTTTTTTCCTAATATAGACCCAAGGCCACTCCTTCAAGTGTGGCGGGCCTTAGGGGGTTCATACTTCTCGCATTAGGATTAGTTTTCTTTGGTGGTGAAGCTCTACCTGTACCGCCAAGCCACAGAATTAGGCGACCGACGTTATAACTCTTATACCCATAGATATAAAACTTGCTCGGTCCTCAGTGCGTGAGTTTTCACGCTGAAGATAGCTGCTCGCTCATCGATCAAGACCAGACAAGTGAAACCCCAACGAAAACAGATCGCGGCGACTATTGAAGGCGAGGACTCAAGCTAGTAACTTCATAAGCATGAAGCCGACTCTGAATGGGATGACAAATGCTGCCCCATCCTGCAGCAACGAGAAGCCAAGCACTTGCGTGAGACGATACTTACGAGAAAACGCAGCTTGAAGCTCTATCTACTTGGAAGCAACCACCCCGAAAAAGTGAAAGCTTCGCTACTTGTTGCGCGGAGACTCCGCCTCATTTTGTTTCACTCTTCTGCTACCACCTCGACAGCCAGCCTTCACCGGTAGCAGATGCTGTCTGCTGCAGCGACATGCGGGGGGCCTTGTTGGGTTTGCGCAGCTCCGATCTTGGCGATTCGAGTGACAGAACCGCTTCGGACTTGAGGGGCAAGGCCGTGCCAAGTATCCGAGAGGGCAGCAAATCAATCCGATGCCGGCGCCAGCTTTGGCACCTGGAAAAGAATGGCCGGCCAGAGGTTAATAAGCAAGCCCAGGAGTAGATACGAAGATACTTGCTTGGTCATGGCAAGAACTCTAATACCCGGAGACTTACGACTACAAACACAACGACTAGACTGAGCATCTTCATACCAGTAGCGACAGCGTTCTCGCAGACGTTGGCAGCAACTCTGTCGCGGCTCGTGGCCCACGCTCTGAGAAAGGCCCTTGATTCAAGTTGAAGGCCCGCCCAGCAAAGAGCGCTCCCTGAGGTGTGGCTCGATGTCATCGCGGTATCCGCAGGCTTTCGCTGGATCTTGATCACCGATGGGGGCGCCGCCTGTGAACTTCTCCAAGAAGTGCACCAGCGTGCTGACTGAGTGACCTTGGGCTTAGCCTTCCAATTGGTCACCGCGGGAGTGTTGAAGGGATTCGCATGCTGTGCGCATCGTTGAGGTATTCAGCCAAGATGGCAAGCGCGTCGGCCGTCTCGCTGTGCTCGCGCACTGCCTCCGACTGCATCTGCGCCGTCACTAGCGCGATAAGCGGCTGCGTTGAGAAGCGTGGCCCCACTTCAAGAAAGGCGCGCCCTTCTTGCTCCTGTGACCTCCCTGCCGATAGGCGGAGCGAACGTTCTTCATGGTAATACACACGACACGAATCTGCGCCGGGATTGCCACGCCATTATCAGTAAAATACTCGCAAACACGACAGAGACCGTTGCGCATGCCGTCGCCCACCTGGAGAAAGGGCAAGAGAAGACCACAGCACAGCAATGCGCAAAGAAGTGAGGAAATGGCTGAAGGTCTATACGAGTTGGCGCTTAGGTCGCGGCTGCATAGCGTGCGTGGTAAAATTAAAGTGGGCGCGAGAATTGAAGTTACGGATGACGGCAGGCGCTTGCATCAAGAGAAGCACGGCGCACGATTCGCGGCGGCCGCGGACGATAGCGACGCATCAGACGACGAGGCGGAGCGCCCTGCTGCTTCGCGGAAGTCTCTTCTGATTGCAGTGAAGTTCTACGACGAGAGTGAAGATCAGGCGACGCAGATGGCGATCGACATGCAGACGGCGACCGAGCCTGCACATCACCCATGGGCCCCCGCCGCTACTTCGTTACACATTTCACGGCCCCCTGCCAAGCAATGAGCCAGCTGTGCAAAAATCCCATTGGTCGGCGAGCCAAAAAGCAGTAGACCCCGCCCACGATGAATAGGCACGCTTTTGCGCTCTTATCTCAGCGCGCGAACCAGCTCAGCACGCACAAGCAACGCACGCGGAAGCTGTTTGACCTTTATCACCACAAGGCGCGGCGGGCGCTTGACTCCCGTGGTGAGTCCCTAGCTGCAAGGTAGTTCCGCGCACGAGACACGGCGGCCGACGCTCTCACGCTACTTCCCACCAAGCGGATGCGCCCCAAAGAAGATCAGCGGGCCCTGCATGAAAGTGCTGGCCGTCAAAGAGTCCGCCCGCTGTGGTTGTCGTCCCTCTCGGCGCTCTGCTCCATTGCGAAAGGCTGCCGCATCTCTGCACCCCTTGCGACTTCCGTCACGATTTTCCTCAAGCCTCTGCTCGGCTTTCCTGCTCAATTCCACACGGAGCTCGATCGCCCGACAGTGTCCGAGGTACGTTTTGCGCGCGGTTCTTTGCTTTTTTCCGCTGCGCTGCCATCGTGGTGCCCTTTCTTGCGACTCTCTTCATCAACAGGCAAAAAGCTCACTCTGACCTGCACACAGCGCGGCGCGCGCACTGGCCTCCCAAGTTATCACCCGAAGAACTGACGGAGCACCATCACCCAGCAAAGCGATGCCGCTGCGCTTTTCCTTCTTGTTGTTGTAGTCAAAGAAAGCCTGCAAACCGCTCAGAAAGCTGACGCCGATGAAGGTGCGCCAAGACAGCTACAGAGCACCGGCGAGCCCGCGTCCGTGATGTCGGCGCGCCACGTCCGCTGCCAGCTTGTGGAGCCTCTACTCGCAGTAACTAAATGACGGCGACAAGCAAGCGCTTCAGCGCTGCAGCCATGTTGCTCAAGACTGTGCAGCCTGAGTGGATTAGCATCGGAGAAATCACAGCGCGCACGCAGCAGCTTCATCAAAGAGAAACCTCAGCCCAATGACTTCCCACCCCTCCGCCCGTCAGATTTATCCCATCAAGCCGCGCGCCTCGTCTACCTCCAAAACAACCACCCACGACCAAGCATCTACTCCGTCGCGTGGGCAAGCAGCTCAAAGAGAGACACACGCGCGCACTTTCCAAGGTCCCCGCCACTTTATTGCGAACGCGATTCACCCCGGCGGACAACGCCGCGCAAACTTCGCGGCAGTGACACAGCAAGGCTCTGCGCCGCTCGCTTTGGGTGACAGCCTCCAAAATGTAGCAAACGCGTCAGCGGGAGCGGGGCTACAGCTGACGACCCAAACAGCCGCAAGCCAATCAATTCAAACTCACGTAGTGGAGACCCGTAGCAACTGCCCAGCACTTCCCAGCGAATTCACCCGCTGACACTTTCGGACTCCAGAACATGCTGGACAAGTAGAGCTCCTTCGCCGAACAAGTTCCAACACCAGCCGCAGAGCCGAGGAGCCCGCCAAGCTGAGTCGCTAAGTAGCCGCATAGAGCATCAGGAGCCCAGCCATCTCGCCGAAACGAGAGAACAGCAGCGGTAGCGCCCCTGAAATTGTCAAGCCCCGCAAGATCTTGCGCGCCTTTTCTATCCGGTCACGCTCGAACCCGCCCGCAGTAGTGCCATCCTCAGAAATGTCGAAGCTGGGCTTTCTTCAAGCGGCCAGCCATCCCCAGCGGCAGCCCATTTACTACCGAACCAACGCCGCGCCCCTCTTGTCGATAGTCTTTGGCCGAATTTCTAAACGGCTGCCCGACTCGCGGCCCATACGCCACCCATTTCAAGCACTGCGCACTTCAGTAAAACACGGGAGCCCAGAACGCTGCAAAGAAGACGAGACCGCCAGCCAAGATAGACCCCGCCGAAAGTTTCCGCGAGTTTTTTCCCAGCGAGCCAGGAATCTCACCCAAAAAAAACGCATCCCGAAACCTTCCGAAAGTTTCTGAAAACTTCCGAAACATTTTCGGAAAAAGGCGGAAACCCTCCGAAACTTTCAGCGAACAACTTGCAGCAAGCAGCTCCCAGAAATTTTCGGAGTCGAAAGCTTCTTCTTTTGGGTGAGATTCGTCGAAGGTGAAAACCTTCAGAAGCTTTCGGCGATCCACTTCATGGGCCTCACCTCTTGCCGAGAACGCTCCCAAGTGGGTCCGCAAACGCAGGCGCCAGACCTCCGCGATTGAAGTGGCGGCGCCTCGCTCATGACAGCTGACGGCGGTCGCGGTGCGCCATCTCCAGAATACAAGCCCAAGGCGAAAGCAGAGCCGATCGGAGCTCCGTCGCCACGTAGTAGCTGCCTGGCTGATCGGCTTCACATGGGTCCCCAATAGCTCCGACGCCTTGTCAGTCTGTCTCGTGACCATCCTCCACGCGAATGGCCGGCGCTATAGTAATAGTCCCACGCCGTTCGGGGTTCGCCGCTCTTGAAAATCTTGGCAAAGCTCCACACAGTCAAAAACGTCCCACACCCTTCTAAACCCCTCACGAATAAGCCCAGCGCCTTCAGCGGAGTGCCGTCAAGCTCCACACACGAGATAAATGCCACGCCCTCAGCTCTGCCCATGCATTTCAAAAACGACCCACGGAACGACCCACGACCATGGCCCCGCAAAAACTCGACCAACGCGCACCGGTAGCGTTCAAGTGGACCACGCAGGCCTTTTTCGCTTGCGGCCACCTGCTGCCGTTTAGGCTCGGCCGAGTTCCCGCTTCGTTGAAGAGGGAAAGCTTGCGCACCAGCTGCATATATGCACCCGCAGACAGACCGCAATGGAATACGCGGCAAGAAAAGCAACCCGCTGAAAGCGTCAGCAGGCGGGGCTGCTCCATGCTATGGCAATTTAGAAGAGGAAGGCGAAAAAATTTAAAGGAAACCTACAAAGATTCTAAAGCTTGAAAGCGCTAGGGCGTCGCCGGATGAGGTAGAATGCTTGGGCGCGGTCGCCTTGGTGCTTCTTATTAAGATGCTCGTCGGATAAGCTTCGTCTCCCATTGCATGCTAGCACCTTGCAGCTGTGTGCTGGGTGTCCTTACACCTACAGCACAGCGATCATGGGGGCGCGCACCTGCGTCAAGGTCAAAAGGGCAACAGCGATGAGCAGAAAGAGCCGGCAGAGAGCCTACTGGACCGTCCACTTTGCTGCGCGGCTGCCTTTGAAAAATGACGCGTGCTAGAGTGAGCTCTGCCCGAGAGACTACGGGGTACGGACGACGAAAGACGTGCTTCTTTTTCCAAATGGTTCGCTAGTAGAAAGCTCGCGAGTGAGTTTTCAGATCATAATGGCAATGGAAAAAACGGCAAAGCGCCTAGCTCTGTGACATCTCGGATATTGATCCTAGACGGCATAAAGTGCGGCTGAGCAAAAACACTCGCCAGATTTACTATTTCTATTCGGTATTCGTTGTACGACGTCATTTCTTGTTGCTTTAGTAGTTGTTCTATGGATGACAAATACGCTTGGATCAGCTCCTCCCCTTCCGTCTGTAGTGTAGCGTGTCTGGCCTGTAGCTTCTGTAGACGTTGCAGTAGTACGCGTTTGGAGGGGTGCGAAAGGAGTAACTACAGTCTTTACGTGAGGGGCCACTATGTGTTTCCAGTCCTGATAAATGTTCGCCATGCCTACCAATCTCTGAAGTTGGGAAAAGGTATCCACCTGAGTATCATTATCATGAACATGATGCTGAATGCTTACGCATATACTAAATTGTTGTAGTCGTCCCCTAGTGTTAGCCATCAAAAGGGTGAGCCCTTATTCTCATGGGGAACTGTGATGGTGAAACAGGAACTACTGATCAGGGAGTTACTATCGCAGATGGGAGGGGATTGCAGCCAAAGCCATAACTTCAAAAGATCCCTGCTTGTGCTTCTTGCTTTCGCCGGTCGCGGTTACGATAAAACTCGACTTCGTTTCTTGTTGAGCGCCATTGTCGACCTGGTCGTCCTCATCATCCTCATATTCTGCATGACCACCCTCAGCTGGTGCGTAGAAGTCACTACTTTCATCCGAGTGGTAGCCTGTGCAGTTTATAATCTAAACATTAGGCCACTTCATCATTGGAGATAGACTCTTTGTGTGCATATAGTGTGTACGCAAGTCCGACGATGAAATCGTGGGACGAGTGGGCGTCTGTCTGGTAAAAAATAGAACCGGATCTGGTAAAAGATAGAACCACAGTATAAGGAGAGTGCACTACAGCAAGAAAATGAAAAACCCACACTAGAAGTACCTAGTGGCGCGCTTCCATGATACACGTTTTGCCATTGCTTTGCAGAGGTAGGCGTGCACAAGAACGGCAGACAAGAGGACGCCCACAATGTGAGCGCCACACCTCCATCAGAAAACGCGACGCGTGCTGCCATTAGAGAGGATTTTTCAAGAGGGACATGGGTGATAGTCAGAAAGGGTTGACTCTTGTTCAGACAGAAATAGCTATGTATATTAATAGGGGGGACAAGATCAAGAAGGAAATATAAATATGCCTAGGAGCTTTGTTGCTTAATATTCCGAAAGATGTGACGAACATGAAGATTCACTTAATCAAGAGTAAGATTATCTTATACTATAGGGGACAGACACAGACTCGGACAAGATGAAGGACATAAACTGGCTTCACTATGCTGAATCTGAGAGAGCCACGCACTTATCTATTTTGTCGATAACTGAGGTGGTTCTCGGTGTGGTTGTCAAGAAGTCGGAGATAGATCTAGAAGCTGTGTTCTTGATGAAATAAATGAAAGCGAAGAGGTAGGAAATGTTCTGCTAGTACCTAGTGCTTAGAGTTCGAAGAAGGTTAAGGTTAGGCTGAGGGTCCATCAAGGCTTAGACTTAGAACAAATGCTCACTTTTACACACAAGTAGATGCAGACAGTAGACGAGATCATAGCTCAGTCTGTTGATGTTCCTCATCCTCATTCAACCTCGTCAGACAAATTCATGATAGATAGCCGTAAAAGCATGACCATCAGGGACAGCACGGTGGTGCCCTGTTGCGCTCGTCGGCGATATCCTCCAGCACCACCTTGATGCATAGCGAAAAGAGATAAGAGCACCATACTGTTAGAGCTTCTACCGCAGTGGCATCTATCTTTGGAAGCAAGCATCCCCAGTCCCCTTTTCTACTTGAAAAAGTGGGCAGGAAGGCCGTGGACGAGGATGCAACTGCAGGTGCCATAATATTGACTCCCAGGCTTGCGCTTCAGGAAGACGAGGAAAGAACCAAGAAAAAAGCGCCGAGCTGGAAGGTGGTCGAACGAGCTGCAACGAAAATGAGATCAATTCCACTTACGGCTCCGATGATTCATGGAGGTTGTATACTTGTTGTTGTAGTTGTTCTTATGATCTTGATCATGGAGAAAGATTTAATTTCAAACTACTTTCAATTTTTTTTGCTATTCATTATAGATACATGCCCAGAAAGCGGGCCCATCAAGGGCCCGCTGCGCCGGGCATAGGTTAACAACTAGACAGATTGACTACTAAGAGACAGAAAGACAAACGAAAAAAGTCGCCAAGTCTGCTCGCCAAGGCTGGGCAGGTGGCTCCCACTGTGTCAAGGAAGGGAAGGCTGGGGAGGTGACACCCTCAACGGCTTCGTGAGGACTTGCATGCCTGAAGGGTGGGCCCTGGTGAGCGTCATCATATCCATGAGAAGGCCAGAGATGTACACTTCTGCGCGTGAAAGTCGAAGCCGTTGAGGCTGTCGATGTCTGTGAGAATGATAGCCGTGAGGACTTGCGTGTCTGAAGGGTGGACCCTGGTGAGCGTCATCATATCCATGAGAAGGCCAAAGATATACATCTCTGTGTGTGAAAGTCGAAGCCGTTGAGGATGTCGATGTCTGTGAGAATGATAGCCGTGAGGACTTGCATGTCTGAAGGGTGGACCCTTGCGAGCGTCATCATATCCATGAGAAGGCCAAAGATATACATCTCTGTGCGTGAAAGTCGAAGCCGTTGAGGATGTCGATGTCTGTGAGAATGATAGCCGTGAGGACTTGCATGTCTGAAGGGTGGACCCTGGTGAGCATCATCATATCCATGAGAAGGCCAAAGATATACATCGCTGCGTGTGAAAGTCGAAGCCGTTGAGGATGTCGATGTCTGTGAGAATGATAGCCGTGAGGGCTTGCATGGCTGAAGGGTGGACCCTGGTGAGCTGGTTAGAAGTATACTGGTTAACCATCTCCAAGGGCTGCCGCGCGCTCCTGTGGTCGATTGCTGTGTGCGGAAGGTAGTCGCGGAAGGGGAGCGAGCTAACTTTTTTACAAAAACTTCAGGGAGGTCGTTCCGTTTTCTCTGTATTTGAATGACCTCCCTGAAGTTTTTGAAAAAAAGTAAAGGCGCTGGGCGATAAATAACAAGGGTAGCGGCTGGAAGTTCGTTGGGGCGATTCGCTAGGGGTGGGCGCGTAGTGTCCTGCTGCAGATGTGGCTGGGTACGTGAGTAGCCTACAAACTAACAGCCGCGAACGCGTTAACATGTTCGCGGTGCCTTTCCACTCGTAGCACTAGCAGCGCAAGGGCTTTAGAGAGCCTTGCGAGTCCTTGCGAATCCCTTAAGGAAGGGTCTAATATTAGCCAAGGGCTATTACAACTTTTCCTTAAGGAGCTTCCTTAAGGAATTTTTTTTCTCTTAAGGAAAGTTATAATAACTTTCTGTAATAGAAATTCCTTAAGGAAAAGGGTTTTCCTTAAGGAAGCCACTTAAAGGAGTCTCTTAAGGATTTCGCAAATTATTGCTAACCCTATAAATACTAATATAGAATAGATATAGTGAACAACTGTAAGAGAAGGAGTTGCAAATCAATCCAGACACACGAAGATGTGGCGAATGCGTCACGGTACTACAAGCATCCCTCGTCTTACACTCAACACCACTGAGAAAATCACCATCAGCAGGCTTTTCGCTCGCTCATCATGCGCACGTCTCGTTCTCGTCTAATCATGGACGATTTTTCGTCGACGACCACAAACGATTACGACGTCACAACTTGCCTCTTTGTCGACTAAAGTCATCAGCGAACACAATATCACCAGCTTCTCCACCACCAACATCGTTCTCCTCTAATATAATCCTTCCCAATGTGCAAATCACAAGTACAAGCAAGTAGTAGCAACGGTCGCAAGAACAAATTTCTCGTAAACCAGATTTTTTATTTGAGGATTTTACTATGCGTATGTCACAACAGGATATCTCGAGCAGAGGCTGCATGCTCTAGTATCTGCCAGAAGCACGTTTGCAGGGAATGAGTCTCATTGTTCTGCTCTGTAACGTTTGAGGGGGCAAGTGTGTGAGTATTGTGTTACTCCAGCAGTGCTTGTACCGAAATAAGAACACGCTACCACGCCTTGTCAAGTTCATCAAGATGAGCGTCTAAGTGTCGGAGTCGGTGTGTCTAAGACTAAGTTGTATTCATCACTAAGTACTTCTAGCATATTAAGCATGGACGTGGTCGAAGCAACTAACTTGTTGAAGGATTACCACGAATTGATTCGCTGTCTTCGATTTCGTCTTCAAGAACAGACATCCAATGCACATCGTGGCTGCTCTTCCATTGTAAAAGTGAAAAGTTAGAGTTACGAGTTTAGCATAAGTAAAAAGAAGTGGTCTCGCTCTGAGAAAACGGTTCGTCTTGTTCGTGCCCAAAAAGTTCTAGTTCATATTGTCTTCAAAAAGTACATGAATGCTCATTTTTGCAAGAAAAAAACTCTCGTTACTACAGATGATACAGGAAAAACTCGATGAATGTCATCTAGATTATGTTGCACTTGCGCATCAAAGTCGTCTTCCTCTGCGAACAAACAACAAGAGAAGGCAAATCAATGTTCATCAACAAGACAAGACAGACAGAGTGAGTGTAGAAAAAAGAACTATTAAATCAATGTCGATCACTAAAAATTTTTACCTTATGATCTAAAGACTAAAGCACACAGAAGTCCGAAACAAGTCCTCCAGGGAACCTCCACACCTCAGAAGAGATATCCCCGATATTCGTTGCCAGGTCGACTGCATCGGCCACGCTGTAGTGCACATCGGCAGCGGTCAAAGTCGGCGGGCGTTTCGAGCAGACCACAGTGGAAAACGGGCTTCATCAAGTCCGTCCGGTTNAACGCCGGAAAGCGGTGGCGTTGCTGTTTGGCCTCTGGTTGGCCTCCCTCCCGTGAGGGCCCGTTACCTGTGTGGCGCCGATGGGTAGAAACCAACGAATATAATCGAAGCAAAAGTTAAATACTTTAGTTGGTACTGTGTACATCGACACGTACATGAAATGCAACACTGAAGAGTAAGTAAGTAGGCAAATTTGAAGCCATAATCATCATCCGCTCCAGGTTCACGAGCGTGCTGCAGAAAAGGCGAGCCGGGTGCAATTTGTTGTGAGGCAACAATAGCTGCGTCAGTCTCCCTTTGCACCGTATTCCTTTCGGACAACATGCGTTCGGTCAAGTCAATAGGTGCTGTACTGCTGCTAGAACGGTCGACGTCTCTGCTGTTGAGCTGTTGCTCATTCTGCAGAAAGAAGTATCGACTTGCAAGCCCCTTCCGGTGATGATAAGAGTCTAGTGCTTGGAATGTGCCCTTGGAGTCTTTCTCTTCATCTATGGAGAAAGTTTCTTTATTTGTTTCCAGATCAACCGTCTCCCGGAGACGCAGGAATTGATTCGTTCTGGCTTGATAATTCCTGACCTTCTCAGGTATTGAGAGAAAATAGCCGCACCCGCTCAGTCGCTGCATGATCAATGCGTCGGTCCAGTAAGTTCCTACTTCTGTGATAAGCATTGGCGCGATCGAGGCCAGGTGCATCAAAGCGAAGTTGATCCCTACTTGTGAATTCTTCGGCGCTCCGTCTCTAGGCGGTTCCTTGTGCCTCTTTGTCAAGTGGTGGTGCTGGTTCCCATACTTAAAGGTTGCAGCATTACATTCGTCAGAACTACATCCCTCACCTCTTTCCTACTGGAAAAAGAGTGAGGAAGGGTTGTGGGGGATGTAATTGGTTAACCCTTGACGTACGGTTTCCTAAGAATGTGAAATTTGACCAGAGGTCTCCGCCGTAAACGTCCGCATGGGGAGATTAGAGAAGGAAAATTTCAAAAAGAATGACGAACAGAACGGCTTTCTTTGGTCAGCATTCATGTTCCAGAGGTAGTTAATAAATAGGTCCTTCTCTTAAGGGTGGTGTCAAGATCGGTAATCCCATAGCATCCCTGGTGTTCAGCATGCGGTCTCGTGGCCACTCGATACCGCAATCATCACCATGCATCTTCTGATCCTCGTCAAAGTCGGGTAGTGTCAGAGCAAAGTTTTCGCAAGACTTAGAAGTATTCGCGAAATGATCCTGACGTTAGTCTTATTATAGAAACATGTAACGACCCGTGGTAGATGAAACAGACGACAAGAACTACGAAATCTAGACGAAACTAGTAGAATTCTTCCTCTGAGTTCCTTTCATAACAGTGGACGCATCAGACGTTAAGAGGTCGCTTTGATGCTGGTCCGCATCTGTGGGCGAATCTTCGTGGTCATTATCTCGTAACCGATCCTCTCTACGACCTGCCAGGCTCTCCAGCTCCAGCAGCTCACGCCATAGCCGTTTCCTTCGCCGCTTTGCGCTATGTTAGAGTCTGTCAAGCACGCGAGAACCTGTCTTACTAGTTGTAGTTCTTCTGGGGAAAGGGAAAGGAGCCCGTATAATTTACTTCTAGATGAGTCTCGATCCCCCTGGGCCTGAAATTGATGTTGATCTTGATGAAGTTGTGCTACTAGTATGCACTAGTACCACGTCTACTTGGGACACCAACACTTCTGGTTCTGCGACGTCAGGGGATAATATGTTCTTCACGACAACGAACTTCTGTCATCGTAAAAATACGCTCGACATTTTTCTTTCCGCTGCTTATGAACTCGCCCATTGTAGATCCGTGTGGCCTCTGCAACGCCCTCAGAGTGGATGCGACGCGCATTGCGCAAACCCTCCAATTCCATGCGCCGTTCCTGTCTTTCGGTTTTGGTAGCTCGTTTATCCTGCTCTAAAGTCTCAATCCGATATGCTAGATCCGACCAGCACCAATTCGTATTTTCCTCTAATAGGTACTTCAAACGCGTTTCTAGATACCCCCTGCGTGTTGCCAAGATGTAGTCAAGAGGCGTCCCGCCATCGGCGTAGGCGTTCATCACAGCTGTGGTAGTTGCTGGTGCTTCACCTGCTACGAGAGTGGAAGTATTGCTTGTTTCATTTTTTTGCGCATCAACATCTTCTGCATCCACCTCATGTTGACCAGGAGCACTATCTGCATTGCTAGTTGTACGAAGCTTCTTCACGTGTTTTGGTCTAGATGATGTGTTCGCCACATAATCCTCATCTTCCCATCCAACCTCAGTATCCTTGTCACCCATCAACTGGTCCACCGCCTCCACTCTGGGTAAGATTGCTTCCTGCAAGTATCCACGTTCACGGCCACGGAAAGAGAAGTGAAATCCGCCCACGTAAGTCCGGTAGTTGAGCGTTTCTTCACTATGCTCTCGACGCTCCAATTCGGTGCAGATTAGAAGTAGAGGTCTCTATGACATCAAGAGCATGCACAAGCTGTACAGTGAAAAATCAACGTTACGACCGCTATGGATGTAGTAAAGATGATCGGCAAGGTTGTCTTTGTCGGCACAATGTTATTCTAGTATCTTTTGGGCGAGTTGCAGTTGTGCCTCTATCTGCGTACCAACCTCAGTGCTATAGCTACTGTGTGTTTTTTCCGAGAAAAAGGTAAACTGTGTTGATCCTGTTCATGACCAAATTCGAATTCATAACTCTGACAGGTTAAACCGCCTGACGAAAGCAAGACGTATCTTACGTGCGACGAGTTCCCTGTGCATCACCCTATCGAAATGGCGGAGGAGATCAGCGTCATAGTAGAGAGCTGCCATCTCCATAAATTCCTCCAATTCCACAAGCTCACTTTCCGTGTACCTGTTCAAGTTTTTGGAGGTTTTTAAGGACGGGACTTCTAGGTCTACTTTGAGTATTCGAAGTTAAAATTAGAGCTAGAAAATTTAGATCTAGAGGATGATATCTTCGATGACGCCTTGTTTTTCTTATGGTTGAAGCTCGGTCTGGTTTCATAATTGTTCCTGAGACTCCAGAACCTAGCAAAGATGAAAGAACTGACTCAAAAGAAGAACGAACCATATCGATATCAACCAACGTCAAATACCCGACTAATCTTCCGTGCCCAGAGTCGACGAACATGTTCATGTTCAGATTTACGCAGTCTAGTCCTTCAGACCTCGCCAATTCCGCCACCTCCTTAGCCACGGCAGCTAGATTCACTATCTGCTTGCATTCCTGTGTCCTATACGCGTTTCCGTTACCCATACTCGAATGTAGACAGCTAGGGAGGTTAGAGAGGATAAGGAGGAGGAGAAACTACTGAACGCAGACTCGTTTTAACTACTAGCAGTTCATCGTAGTACTCGCTGGAAGGATAAGAATCACCTCAGGAAGATGAAACTCAAAATAGATCCGCGGCTTCTACACACCACATTTACAACAGGAAGTCTTAGACTGAAATGAAGGACATGAAAGTCGAAGTGCTAGCACAAGAATACTGGATACCCTTACATCGCTTCGACTTCCTCGAGCGAGCACCATATTCATAATGAAGGACATGAAGGTGCTGGTAACCCACATTAGCTGGCCTGGGTATCGCGAAAACTTGCGTCGAATCGGTTTGTTGAAGAGAATCCCCTGAACGTCCACTGCTGCGGGTTTTAGAATGACAACATACAACGTTTCAATTTGGACCGAAAGGGCATCAAGGGAATAGCAGAGAATCTCGAACGTCATCGACCTCAGACCAAATAAGGTCTGATTCAGCGAGTATGTCAATGTCAACTAAAAGAAGTATAAAAACTCGCCACATTCATTTACTTTCATAACAACTTCGTAACTTAAACAACAAGTCCAAATCTGCATGTTTGAGGGAGATGAAGTGATCCGCTTGGCGATGACGGCCGACAAAGGCCGGATTATGGATGATTTCGTGCACCGCGTCAAAAGCTTCGACATTCACCTCTAACTTCCTGCGCAAAAACCAATAGGCACACTGCGACACGGATTTGATGACTTTCGGGGAATAGAGAGGTCGCCAAGCGTCTTCAGGAGAGTCGGAGCTTATACTTATTGGGGATGAGATGGCGCGTTTACTGGTTGTGGTTGTTCCAGATGAAGTTGAATCCGCTTTCACCTGTGCTTGACTTTTGTTGAGTTCTCTTGTCGTAGGCTCATCTACATCTAGCTTGTTATTCTCTCCCACAACTCCACCAGCTACCCCGTTGTTGAACGTAATCCCACTCTTCGCAAACACCCGCTCCACCTGTGAACTGGTACCCTTTACCTGTTGCCATTTTTTGACAGACCGCTTTTCTCGATACCGCTCAAATTCTTCTCTATGCTTTAGCGTGTTATCGGAATATCTGGTCATTTCTGCATTCCTCACTTCCACAAAGGATGGTGGTACATGCTCTGCGGCGTGAGCGTTTCTGTCCTTGGCCTTGATAGGTACTTTTGGCCTTGGTGGATTTGCTTCAGAACTGCTCAATCCTTCTACAGAGACAGACTGCAACTCGGGAGCCACCTCACCAGTAGGTATATTGTTATTACCATTTGTCCGTGTCCCACCAGCAGGTTTTTTATTATTACCATTTGTCCCACTCGCACTCCCGTCTCCAATCTCAACGTCCACTTGCGCCACTGGCGACGAGGTAGTGCGGTACTTCATCGGCGGCTGAAGTTGTGGCCGGAAGTGAACGAAGCGACCTACTTGCAAAGCGCTTTGCCAATAGAGAGCTCGCGACGCAGTGAGTGTCAAAGAAGGATGTGCTGACGCAGACCACGTGCAGAAGTCCTTGAGATAGATTCGAAAAATTCCACGATCGAAGATGCTCCTTCGCCTAGACCACATTCCAGTGCCGGCATTGGAGACGAGACCGTCTTGTTGTGCTGCTACACCAGGCACGATGCTGGAGCGGATCCGCTCCCTTCGTTAAAGCTCAGCCTTCAATGGTCACTGACTCTGAACGGAAGGGGCCCCCTTCTAAGCTCTCCCCTTTCCCTTCGTTTTCCCCCCATCTTTCCTCAAGGGGTCGCCTTTTCGATCTCAGTGACCAACTCCAATGACCATTGAAAGTTGAGCCTTAACTTCGCTTTGTTCGCAACAACATGATATCTCGATTCACTTTTAGAGGTAGGTTTTTGGTGCTTGCTTACCCCGCTTTTTATGCCTTTCTCCCTTAGGAGAGGCATGAAAAGCGGTAAGAAAAGCACCTTTAACCTACCCTTAACACTTCCTGGGTGAGCCTCCTCTGGAGAACGTCACTTTTGAAGGCGAAAAAAGCAGTCTTCAAATTCTGGAGATGCGTCTCGATGTCGTCAAAAGCCGCGACTCGGTCACCACCGCTGAGCACTCTAGCATTCGTCCTGGAAAAACGCAACTGCCAAAGAGAAGCATGGCCATGAAGTTCAAGCTCTTGATTTGGTGGTAATATATCTCTGAACTCTCGCTTGTTGGCTTCCTGAATAAAGCTTGCGTTGAGTTGTACTCCCTCGGCTCCTCTTGCCAATGTGGGTATGGATATGGACGTTGTTGAAAGAGCTTCATCTTGTATATCTTGGTCTTCTTTCTCACCCGGAGCTGGTTCTTTGCTCTTTGTCTCTTTAGGGGTTTCCCCAACTCGTCCTTCTACTCTTGCCTCCTCAGTACCACCATCTTCATCAAGGCGTCCAGTGCTTGACACGGAGTTTGAAATCAAGCGCCGTATCTGCTCCAATGATAAAGCCTCGATGCTCTCATCTGCACTCACTACATCAGCACCGTCGTCGGACTTTCTCCTTTCGACATCCAGCCTGATAAGCTCTTGCCACAGGGCTCTACTTGTGTCACTGCGCATCCTTGCAAGGTTTCCTTCGAGTAGCACTGTGCGCTTGTCAAATGACGTTCCTTCAGGAGCCGCAACCAACTCTGACTCTGTGGGTTTTTCGCGGGCATTAGAGGACGTGAGAGCGAGTATGAAACGAAAATCTGTTATCATTATCAAGTTTCTTAAGTAGAAAAGTACGATAATGATAACAGATTTTGGCTTCATAGCGAGAACAATGCTATGTATTGAGGAAGCTCCTAGGTGATCGAGATGTTGCGAAATCAAGTAGAACGCTTCATAAAATGCACTTTTGTGAAGGTCGTATGCGGAGGTTGACCAGTGTGTGCAGGCACCAAAATATCCTCATCATATTCGAGGATCCTTATCCCTAGTCCCCGTTGTAGTCTCTCCAAGTCCAGTAGATCTGACCACCGTGCATGTGGAAGTTTTCTCCTTTCTCTAGCCGGTAAATGGTGATAGCCTTCTAGAGGACTGTTGTGGCCCCAAAGTCCCCAGTCTGTACCGTTCGCGTCTGACAGGGGACTATTCACTTTGATATACACGTTGCAGGCTTGCTGTTGGAGTTCTTGTTCTTGGTGAAGATGTTGGGCATCCGCAAAGGCATCCTCGTCATCCTCGAAGTTGGAACTGCTAGTATGAGCAGCACTGCCTTTCCCAGCTCCCTTCGTTGAAGAAGAAGACCCGGCCACAGAAGTTGAGGCTGATGTTGAGAAGTCTCCTGCATCGTTTTTACCACTTCTGTAGTCCACAGAAGTACTAGAGCTGCTAGTACCTGTACCTCGTGATGCAGCTGTCGACGAATCACCTCCAGACGAGGAAGTAAGTATCGCTGCTTCTCCACCTCCTTGTTCTGCCAACGACTTTGGTGTCGCGAAACGCGAAGTCCGCTCGAGCTTCTCATGCAAAACGGGGTTTAAACATCCCGTTTGCTTCTGCCATTCCAGAATGAAGGTGAGCAGCGAAAAAAACGACGCTACAGCAGCTCCTAGCGAATGTACGATGTCCGTGCAGAAGACGACATTGATAGGATGCGGTGCGGAAGGTGGAGGAGCTGCGAGGAGAAGCTGCGACATGATCGTACCTACCTCCGGGATTCATGATGCGCTGCAAGAGTCACGTGCGACGATTCTTACAAAGTCGTGGTCACCAAGAGTAAACTGGGGAGGTGGAGGAGGACATGGGAGTTTATCTCACTCAACATGATCCTGTAGATGTGTTTCGCTCATATTGCATGTTGATGTGCATTCTGCTCTTGCTGCGAGATAGGCACACTCTTTAGCACCGTACTTTTTTCCCTCTCAATCTCAGTCTCACTCTACTTTCCTCCATCTATTACTACTACTAGACCTAGACAATTTGTCTTTGTCATCGTCATTTCTTCAGCTCTGTCCGTCAAAAATATGATGGGAACACTTTTCGATACGGCGTGGGAATGTGAAACTAATACTAAAGATCGCATGATAGGAAACGGGGAAATGTCCTGAGCGGAAAATCTGAAGCTTTTTCTTTATCATGTTGTTCTGATTCTGAATGACTAATATTTATGAGTTGTATGAATTAGTATTAGCGTTGCAGTAAATGGCAGGTAGAGAGCCGATCAACTACGAGGCGGTGCTAGCTACTTGCTAATCGATGTGTCTGAAGCATGAGCCATTCTGGAATCGGACCAGCACTAGAAGAAAAAAAGGGCGCTTCACCAGTCTTGGCGTTTTCGTCGTCCTCTCCCGTTGGGTCCAAGTTTTTAGGGTCCAAAAGGCGATCCTGTTCATCTTCAACCTGCTGTAGCAAGGCAGTAGCAAAGATTCCTTGTTCCTCATCCTCATTTTGAAGGTTCAGGCTCTTCTCTTGTTTGTCGTCCTGGTCGTCTCCTGAAGAGGAAGAGGGGACGTTGTGGTCCCCCTTCGTGCTTCCTCCATCCACAACCTTCTTCAGAGCGTTCTCCGTGTCTTTTCCTTTTGCGTCTTCTTGCTCACCGGGTACTATAATCCTCGTCTCGTTCATGATCTTTGCCTGCGCGTCGTGTTGTTCGTGCAGCAACGTTCCTTCTATACCGAAAAAGTTGACGCCTGCATCCAATGGATCAAAGCTCTTCCCCAATGCGGTTCCCTTTTTCTTAGGAAGATGTTGGTGAAGAGCGTTTGTTTTTGTATTTCTACTCTCTGTCTCATCTCGTCCTCCTGATGTCAACATTGACGGAGGAGCACTAGCTCTACTTCTTTGATGATGAAACAGGTCATCCCAAAAAGTGTCATTTTCCCAAGTCGTTGCGCCTTCACCTCCCCGCCGTCTACGTTTCGCAAGGTGCTGGAACTCTCCTTCGTCAATCACCATATCGTCCAGCTTCCGCTTCACCACCTGTTTCCTCCAAATATTTTCCTCTACAGTGTAACTCGACAATAGACGAAAGACGTGCACGTCTTTGGTTTGCCCAATTCTATGTACGCGATCCATGGCCTGTCGATCCACCGCAGGATTCCAATCACTGTCGTAGAAGATAACCACGTTTGCGCCAGTGAGGTTTATCCCGACTCCCCCCGCCCTTGTGGATGCGAGCATGAGGAAGATGTTCTCGTCTTCGTTGAATCGGTCCACAAGCTTGTGCCGTTGCAAACCTACCGTTGCGCCGTCTAGTCGCAAGTAGGACATGCAGCCGCTGCTCAGGAACTGCTCCAACAAGTCCAACATCTTGGAAAATTGGGTGAAAAGCAGCACTCGGAAGCGCTTCTCGGCGCACTGTCGCAATAGTCTGGACAGAACCTGCAGTTTGCCACAGTCTAGAATCAAACTCCTAGAATCGGCCATCCTCATCGTAGATGGCAAGCCAGGGGTTCGCGTTAAGGATAAGGGACAGAGGTATCCAGGAGAAAGGACTGAGGTTATGGAACTTTTCAGTTCTGGTGATGTAGTCTTACTGCTCCCATCCCCATGCGTGACTGTTTTATCAACATGGAAAGCAAATGCTGATCTTCTGCCTCTATCAGTGCCTTCTGCGTTGCTCAGCATTGACTGTTTTTCAACTCTAGATGATGACGACCCAACCCAACCTCGACCAGCACGAGGACCTCCTCCACCCAGTGTAAAGATAAAGGCCTGCTCAGCCTTGGCACGAGACGTGGGAGACATGTCTCTAATTGCTTTAGACACGGAGGGTTTCTCCGTCAGAGCCTCAACAGTCCCTGCCAGCCTTCCAGATTCGTCATCTTTCGCGTTAGGTGGCATACGAACCGTTGCGACCTGGAGCCCTCTGTAAGGGAGTTTCTTTCTCGCCTTGCTAAGCATACCTGTGGTGCTGCTCGTGCAGCTTCTTTCAGATCGAGAACCCGATCCGGATTCAAATTGCCTAACTATCCTTCCACACGTCAGAACCAATTCTTGGGGACCCGCCATTTTCGCGCAGAACATGGTGTGTAGCCGTTGAACCTGTTCACGTTCCGGTGGCTGCATCAATCTCGCTAGGTGGAGACGGTCTGCTACTATACTCTCTGCTTGATCAGACAGGTCTCCGCCAGAAGTGGTCGCACCACTACCACTGCCACCACTACTTGAGAAGCTGTTGTTCGTGCTCGTCAAAGTATACCTACGACTTGTCATTTCAGAAAATAGCGAACGAAATCTCCGATCGTTCACGTATAAGCCTGCGTAGGCGTTCCCTGCGTCTCTTGCGATCCGGAAACCGCCTTTGCTTTGCACGATGGTGGACGACTCATTTGCGGCCATGTCTTCGTCTGATGCGGTGATGACGAGTGGGTCGGCGCCAGTGGAGAAACTACCAGTACTCGAACATCCTCCAGGCAAGCTCTCAAAGCGTGCTGAAGGGACGATTACCTTAGGGACGTAGCAACTTGTTAGTAGGGTTTCTAAACAAGCTGGCACTACATTGCAGAAAAAAGCGTCACGTCGGTCTAGGTAGGAAGGTGGGAGGCTGCTCGGCATCCTATCATGATTGGTCATGCGATGCCATGCAGTTAAAGTGGCTGGCTGTCCGCAAATCTTTGGTGTCTTCGTGGTTCGGGAAGGACCATCTGTAGTGCGCGTGCGTGGTCGTGATCCTTCGAGGACTTCTACTTCATCAACATCATCTACTGCATTACGATTGGGGTTGGCCTTAGGTATAGTCGTGCTCCTACCTGCGCCTCCCGACGTCGTGGTTGTCGACGCAACCGGTACTAAGACATGCCCATTCGTGGTCTTCGTACTAGAAGTTGCTGGCGGTGGAGGAGGTCCAGAGCGCCCACCGTTCGACTCTTTTTCGCCAGGCACTCCTACACTGGGCCTTTTACGAACAGCACCACTCGTTCCGTCGACGTCCTCGACAGCTTTAGTTTTTTTCACGACCTCAAATACTGAAGCAAACACAGCCGCATTCGCTGCCTTCGGTCCATGAAGTATCCGTGGTGGCCCTGCTGCCTTCTTCGTACGTGGACGTTTGTTCACGACTGCCTCTGGCTTCTCCATGTTGATCTCAGCTCCTGAAGTAGACGATCGTTGAGTAGATGGTGCTTGTTGACAAGAAACCCTCTGCTTGCGACTGTTGTTGACAAGAAACCCTCTGGGGTTTCCTGTGCCATGATCTCGAACACTGCCTACATTTTTCCCAACACTTGGTCTACTTGCACCACCTGCATTTGATGTACCATTACTTATCATAGACCTAGGTCCAATCTTCGCTGACGTTGAGCTTCGCCGTCTAGTGGTTGGCATAATGACTTGGCCTTTCCAAAGCTTGGGCACATTGTAAAATCCAAACCCTCTGCGAATCAGCACCGCTGCAATCGTGTCTTCGTATGACTTAGAAGGTGAAGCGAGAGTGTTTTTTCATGCAGGACGATACGCATTAACATCAGAACTTGAACGTTTATTTAGTTCAACAAGTAAAGAAGTAACAGTAAGAATGAATTTATGATGGACTTTCCGGCTCCATTTTCTACTGTAGCCATAATAAACGCAATCCTCTTCCTCGTATCAGTCCCAAAGCAACAGTCTGTAGCACGATTACGCCTCGCCAGCGTTTGAAAGAGCTTCTGGGAATCAGGGTCGCTGATGTCGACTATATCATTGTCCTGGTTTTTCACTGGTTCCGCTTGCGCGAGCTGGAGGTCTTTGTAGACGAAGCGGACCATTTGTCCTTGGTCTTGTCTAATATTTGTACAACTTCTTGTCGAGGACGAAGTAGAGTGATCCTGTAGTGATGAAGACCTCAAGGATGGGGGTGGCGAGGTAAGCCACAGCGACGATAGAGTCGCTAACCGCTGTAAAGGAGCAGGACAGCGCGAGTGGTGTCTGGCTCCTCCATCTATCACACACGCTGGTCTCAAGTTTGGTGCAGATTGAGTGAAACGCAGCAGAGATGGTGGGATGAGATAGCAACCTGACCCATGATCTTGAAGGTTTTGGTGGGAGTCGCCACCAAGTTCTTCTCCTTTGCGTCCACGAAGTAGGGCACCTCCACGACCACAGACGACAACCGGAGCGTGTCTGTAGAGCTGACAACGGGCTTGCTCTCTCAGATCTTCACTGCAAAGACGTCCTATATCCAGGAAGGACGAATGTTTCTGACGCCAACGAAAGGTTTCCGGGATTTTTGTACTACTTGTAGTACTTCTAGAGTCCTCCTCTTGTATTGCTTCTGCTGCAGATGCTGACGCAGATATTACCTTGTTACACTTGTACTCCAACTCCAATAAATCCCTAGTATCTGATGTATTCCTACCCTCATAGCTCCTCTCCATATCCGTCCATCTCGATGAGGTAGTTGAAAAAAGAGCACAGCCAAATTCTTCGGAACCGCGTGCCCACGACTCAGACTGAGCACTCATATAGGCGTCTTCTTGTGTTGTAAACCCCATCGCTAGGCACTTTGGAACCACCATCCTGATGACCTCACGCATGGCGAAAGGAAGTTTGGGCTTGCGTGCTTCGAACAGGTCCGGATGATTGCAAACTTTGCGGAGCTGCATTAAGATGTGCATACGGCCCAGATAGTCGCGCTTGCCTCCTGGTCCTGATCCAGAGGTGCTAGCTCCTCCTGTTGACGTAGAAGCCCCTGCTCCAGTACTGCCCTTCTTTTCTTGCATCAATTTTTGTTGGACTGTTCTGCGACTCATAAACTCGTCATACAAGAATTGCTGGCGGCGCGAGAGAGGACAAGGAACTACGTGCTCCAACTTTCGCGGTAGCTCCTTTTCTACGTCTTTCTTCAGTCTTCTCAGGATAAAAGGACGTAGAACTCTGTGCAACCGAGCAACCAAAGGATTCGATTCCGCCCCCACCTTGCCTTTGGTCCTGGTTAAAAAAGAGCCGACGTCCAATCTTTCACCCGACTCCGCTTCTTCACGCTTCGCGGCCGATTCGACGTAATTTACAAGTGGGTCGTTGAACCATTCGCGGAAATCGGAGATACTGACAAAAACGTGAGGCATCAGAAAGTGCAGAAAGGCCCACAATTCCAACAGGTCGTTCTGCAAAGGCGTGCCAGTGAGCAGCAGACGGGCTTGCGCGACCAGAGGCAACAATAAAGTCCACTTTTGACTCTTGTAATTGCGGATGACATGCGCCTCATCTAAGACGAGGAATTCCCACTGCAATCTCCGAAAATGCGCGATGTCTAGGCAGACGACGTTGTAGCTGACGACGCAGACATGGAAAGCATCCTCCGTAGTCCATCGGTCACGCAAGCGACGTCGCTCATCTGGGGAGCCGGAGTGGATTAGAGCACTACATTAAAAATTTGTAGTACATCAGCCATATGACCACGTTGAAGAAGTTCCTGTGGCTCTATTTTAGTACCGAGTTATTTTTCTCATTTCTAGCAATGAACATGGGGAGCTCCTTCATCATGATCATGCTATGTATTTTAACAACACTTAAAGGTTCAACACTATTACGTTGCTCCAGCGTGCCCAGCCCAGCGATGTTGATGGGAAACCTTATAAACTGTTCTAGTATACTATAAGTAAGTGGCCGTAAGTAAACCAAAGTCTTCAATCCCGGTGCCCAACGGCGTAATTCTGCTTCCCAATTGTGCAACACTGCTGTTGGAACAACGACCAGGTGTGGGCCCCAGATCCCGCGTTCTGCGGCTAAGTGGCAAAATACTGCGATTGTCTGGACCGTCTTCCCAAGCCCCATTTCGTCTGCCAGGATACCGTTTACTCCACTGTGGGCGTTAGAGGTCGAACTCATCACTGTATACTGGATGAAACTTATTTTTTTAGTCATGTGTGAGAGCAGTGAGTGTGAGTGTGCATTTTTTCAAAATTATTCGCAATCTTTTTTACCGTATATTAATTCGATGCCAACAGGAGTACCTTCGGCATTTTGACTTATAATAAGTGTCGTATAATTCGATGCCAGCAGTAACTTCAGCATTTTGACTTATAATAAGTGTCGTATAATTCGATGCCAACAGTAACTTCAGCATTCTGACTTATAAGTGAAAAAAATTTAAGTAATGGTGTAGGTGCCAACCGTCGTCCAGGCCGTAACATACAATCTTGCCAACCAATGCATGCCCACGTGTTGGTAAGGCCGTAGATGACCACGCAAGAGTAAAGTCGGAATCATCGTCAATTGATCTTGATGGTTCTTGGTACTATGCTGCGCAAGATCATTTCCACTTCCAATCCCCTTGTTGGAGGGAGTTGTAGTCGGCAGGTTTTGCATCTCCTTTGATTCGAAGACAGCGTTACCGAATCTCTCAGCAGTTGTGAGCAATTCTTCAAGTCGGGCAGCGCGGTCCTTATTCTCAGCGACCTTCTGTCTCTCGCGGTCTGCGATTTCGCTTGCCTTCCATACTTTCTCCCACAGCTTCTGAACGCGAATGCTCTGCTGCCCAGCACGTTGGCGAGCATTCTGAAAGTAAGCGGGTGACGATAATTTCAGAGCAGGAGCTGATGTTGAGGTACTAGCTGAAGATGCAAACGCACCAGTTCCGACGAGGACACCGGAAGTATCCGCGTCTTTATGTAGTTTCCGCGCCTTTGGTGCTATGGAAGTACTTCCACCTGCTCCAAACTGAGCAGTTTTCGTTTTTGACCCCGGTTTGACGGAAGCTTTTGCAGATGCTTGCTTGGGCGGCCGCCCTCGCCCTCTCTTTCCCGTTGCTGGCTGCATTTTGTTCTGGTGCTAGCTATGTACAACTAATGATGTGGTGCTTGCGATACCTTCACCTCCGTGCTTTCACATCAAATACACCCATCCATCATCGTCTAGTGCCGCGACCGTGCCGACCACTACAGCGTGAAGAAATGGCGTACACTTACAGCAGCTTGTGCAGCTTGAGAAAGTAGTTCATCCAATATCTTCATTTTGTTGATGTTTGTCTTTATCGACGTTGGATATCGATATTTGATGTGCTGTGTTCAAAGCAATAAAGCTGCTTTTACTTCATCGTGAAGGTGGAGATGACGTTGTTCAAGTTCATCCAGAAAAAAATCTTATTCAAATTCTGTAGTTGTCATGCAAATCGGATTCCTGCAAGAAACCTAAGAACAATGGACAAAATAAACACAACAACATCGAAAGATGAACTTTGTTCCACCACGTTGATCTACTTCCAGTCCTGGTAGACTGGTTGTAGTACTAGAGCTACTTGTCGCATAATCATCGTCTTCCACCGAAGAAGTCTTGGGCGAAATACGGCATTATACAGGTTACCTCATATAGACAAAACCAGCCAAGAAGTCCTCTGTTGAGCTACATGATGGAAGAGCCAGAAATTGTCTCCGAAGCCAATAGGAGACGGATAGACGGTTATCCACAGACATACAGACGGCCAAAATTGGAGACATGTTGTTCTTCGTCCTCTGGCATAGATTGCTTCAGCCGCACAGCCAATGGTGATCATTGAGATGATTGTCCTCTAACGTAACAGCATCACACAACCCAGTACAGCTGAAGATACTCACAGACCACTTCCAAACACACACCCCAGGTCGTGTTCCAGCGCGAGTGCGACAAGAAGAAGAATATTTTTATGTTCATCACAACTCACTCCTGTAACAAAGTCAGTTGCTTCAACCTGCAGCATATTTCTTGTTCTTTTATTCGTTTTCCTTGGTCGACATTTTTGCGCGTTTTCATAGTAGTTATTTTCATCGTTGATTATCATTATGTCGTCAGAATATCGTCATCGTGATTCTCGATCTTCATCGTCTATTTTCATCTATCGTTAATTATCTCTTAGTCCATCTGCGTCACCATGTTGATGCTGGATGGAGGTTTTCTATTGTTGAACAATCATACATGTCATATAGGTCTTACTTACTTTTATCTTTGCTAGAAATTGAAATACGAAATATAATCTGCTGATTAAAGTGATGTCTTTCGTGTTCTTGCTGTTCGAAGCTAAATTTTTTTTCATAGATGAAGATAAACCTTCGTCTTCCCCGTACCCATTGATATTGACCACTCTCCTCTATGAACTCGTCATCCAGAACGTTGTCATTTGTGGACAACCTTATTTCATTTGACGCTGCCACGACGACAACCGCAGTTGTAAGGGAAGCTTCCTTACTGCTGCCAGGATCGATCCGCACCTTCCTTATCCTTACAGTCAAGCCTTACTGACCGGTCATCTGCATCACACGTCTCTGGTAGTTATCTTGATCCTTTACCACTGGCTTTTATATACTCCACAGTTCTCTGCTTGGCGCCTTCTCCAGCTCCTGACGCATTCCTAGGCTTTTCCAGTCTGCTTTGCCTTCATCTTCTCCTGCTCCTGGGGCATATCAATATCTGGAATGTCGCAGGCGAGAAAGTCGAACCCACAAGGCTTGTGATTAAAGGAAGTCTTGTAACCTCCCAGACCGTACACTTGTGCGTGCTTCAAAAGAAAAGGTCTAAGGTTAGCGTGATCACCCTTTGGATTTTGTGGAGGTTTGCCTTGAGCGCCTAGTGTCTCAACCGGTGCACCATAGAACTCATACAAAAAGCCGTTTTTCACCTTGTTCAGCAGAGCATATTGAAAGCGCTCCTTCTCACTGGTCAAATACATGTAATGGGAGATACAAGACTCGGCACACAAACGTGTCAAACGGGCTTGCTCTTCTTCTTTCTTTCGTTGTTCCTTCTTCTCCTTCTCTTTCTGGGCCAGCAGTTTCGCTGCGTCCTTGCGGAAGACCCAGGCGCAGTCGTCCGCTTCCCCCTCGTTTTCCACCGCAGCACCGGCTGGAGCGAGATCTTCCATAATATCGACGAAATCACCGAAGCCGTCCATTTCCAGAGAAGCAGCACCACGTGTATCTAGATCATCATCGTCAGGGGTTTCATGCTTCTGAAACGCGCCTTGTCCTTGTGCTGCTTTCGCCATAGCACGCACCGATTTGAACAAATCACCACCAGGAGCTTTCGGTGGAATCAGACCTCCTGCTCCTGCTCCAGACATCAGCGTACCTGCTGCAGACATACGAACATCTCCTCCTAACATTAGACCTAAGAACAATTACAAGAATTCACTTCTTCCTTGCATATCCATCATATTAGACTACGGGGTAACACTATGCCAAAAGCGAACATAGAAGAGTGGTTTTTTAGCCAAAAAACGTACATAAAGTCCAGGGATCAGCAAAAGAAGCGCTTTTTTGTGCATTATTTTTCTCAGAATGAAAAGTTTTCATTTTGAGCCGAATATTGCCCAACTGATCCCTGCGCTTTATGTGCGTTTTTTGGCTAGAAAACCAATTTTCGATGTTCGCTTTTGGCATAGACATAGTGTTACTCCGTATAATATTAGACCTCCTAAGAACAATTACAAGAATTCATTTCTTGCTTACAACACACTATACGCATTATACATATCACAACATATAGATACCGCCTCCCAATCGTCCTAAGTAGATAGAAGGAACGATAGATAGGATAGAATGCCTTGTTCACTTCGCCGCCACACAAGGTGACTGCTCTGCTTCGGCGTGTAGCGGCTCCAAGAAGAAATTGTGTTAATGTTGGTGGAGCACCAAGCCTAGCTAGAAAGCATCATTCATATGATAATGAAAAAAATGAAAATGAATTTGTATTCGAATTTGATTGGGCCTTAACAATAAGGCGGCTTGTTCCGCGGCTTGGATAGCTTCGAATTCGGCAGTTCCTGGTTGTGGACCGAAGAGGAAGTCGCTGTAGCCACGCGCGTGATAGTGTCGCACAAAATTGTCAAAGCGTTCTGCCATTTCTGCGGATGCGCGACCTGGACGATTCGCGTTCATACTAGTAACTTCGGACGCCACACTCAGCGCCTTTCCACTTTTCATAGACGCATTGGCCGCCAAGCCATTCGCCTGCGCTCTGCCCTGCACGTGCGACATGATCGCGTCTTTCAGATCCTGCAACTCGACGAACCATACCTGTGGATCTTGTATCTCACTCGCGTAAAACTGGGCTCTGCCTTTTTCGGTTTGCAATTTCTTCATCCGCTTCGCCCTCTGCTTTGCTTCAGACTTTTGTGCCTCTTTTTTGCCCTTGGCAGCATCGGTTGGTGCTGCACTTATTTGAGGGTCTAGTCCGTCCTCCACTTCTGGATCCGGAGGGAGCATCACACCCTGCGGCATCACTTGTAGTTCGTACTGCGTCACCAGCATGAAAAGGATCTTCATTTGCTCGTCGTTTTGGGCTTGCGCGTCCAGAACTTCCTGCGACAGCAGTTTCGGACGTTTTTGTGGCAACATCATCGCAAAAGCGCTTCCATCCACAGCACTTGGCTCGAACGGGTCCTCTTCTGGCATCATCTCCCACTCCAGGTTTTCCGCTTTCGCCATATGCTCTATCGTCGCTCCGGAGATCTCGTTGCCGTCTGCAGCATCATAGATTGCGTCCATCTTCGGGTTGAGGCGCTGCACTCGTTCTCCCAGTAAAACAGGATCCGCCAGCATCTTCCCCGGAATGAAGATGTCGGCGCCTCTGCCACCTCCCTGCGTCCTCTGCAAAAGGGCAGCGCTCGTGTCAGTTGCACCTGCAGCTGTTGCGCCAAGATTGGATGGTAGCCCATACTTGGCCATATCCAACATATCTTAGAGCTGCTCAAAACGTTGCATTTCTTATGCGTTCCTTTCTTCAGATTTTTCCCAACAAGTCTCTCTTGGGAAACCAAGGAAAAGAACTGACCTCCTGTCTGTGGAAGGGGAAATGAAATAAGTATTTTAAGCGGCCTTAATTGGCAAAATAGCCAGTGCCCGTTTTAGGATCTTCTAACGGCTGCAATGTGTCTGCTCTCTGTGCGATCAGCATCATTTGCCTGTTGAAGTTCTTTGCCATCAAGTCTGCGCCTCCAGCTTGAAGACTACCACGTCTCATGGCTGCATTTACATTAGAAGAAGTTGTCAATACAAGAAGAACAATCTCTATATATAATTACCGAAGATGATAACATCTCGTCTGGTCACGATCATCTCTACTGATTCCCCCACATTAATTGACTGGTGTTGCCTGGCACCCCCTCACAGCCAGGAACACGTGCTGCCTGATGTCCCGCCCCCAAGTCAGGAGCACCAAAAAAGATAAAGATGTTCTGAATCATGACGTGCTGCGCGCGGTAAACAGACTGTACATGTGCCTTCAAATTCAAATTCAAAATCATGATCAAATACTAATTATAGAGCTAAAGTTTTAACAAAATTATCACGACTCTTGCCTTAATCATTGGGCTTCCACCTCCACTGGATCTTCTAGCACTGCCTAGACTTCCACCTCCACTGGATCTTCTAGCACTGCCTCCACTACCTCTTCTAGGAGTGCCAACAGGTTCTTCCCCAGGAAAGACCATCGTGTCACTATTTCTACTACCGAAGGGCAAGGGGGGCGCCAAAGTCCCATCAAAATCAGCATCCTCCTGCTCGGCCTCCAGAGCGTTAAAAGCTGGCGACGCCGCAAAGAACTCGTACTTGTCAGGCATGATTTGCGTCGGCGGACCCTTTGGTCTGGATTTCGCGTCATAGCTCCAGTCGAAAATAGAAGCCTTTCCACCCTTTGGAGAGGAGCCCGCCTTTGTTCCACCTGTCACGTTTGCTCCACCTCCAGCTTTCCCTTTCCCCATCAACATCATATGTTTTCCTCCCTTTCCATCCATTCCCATTTTGCCCATCATCTTTCCTCCTGGCACGGGAACACCAACAGGATCTTTGCCTTGTTGCTGTTGCCAATCCCTTTGAAAGTCCTGTCCAGGATTCCATCCACCTGCAAATCCACCCGCTTTACCTTCCTGCTTACCTCCCTTTTGGTTGAAGCCACCTCCACCACCACCACCACCAAAACCTCCACCTCCACCACCAAGTCCATCACCGCCAAAACCTCCTCCCGGGAGCTGACTCCGTGGCATGTCATCGCGTCCGCCTCCACCAAAGTCTCCTCCTCCTCCATAGTCGTAATCTTCCTGTTGTTGAGCCTGATGCTGATTGCTACCTCCTCCTACACTACTAGTTCCTCCTGCACTCCTAGTTGATTTTAAGTTATTCCGCATCTTTTGGAGTTCTCTGTTGGGATCATTGGAAGCTCCGGGCGGGAACATACCCGCTGCCTTGTTGTTATCGATGTACCCACCTCCACCAAGGTTTTTGAACCTATTCGGGTTTTTCGGTATTTTGATATCGGTTCTTGGTGCAGCTGCTGCGCTGTTGGCATTATTTGCTCCACCTAGTAAATCCGACAAAGATCTGTTGAATTTAAGGATCAAATCATTCCCCAATTTCTTCGGAGCAGAATCCAACGTCAAACTGCCACGCTCATTGACTAAGCCTCTGGCGGAAAAGGGCGATTCTTCATCCGGCTTCAGAATGTCTCCAGAAAGCATTTTTTCCTCACGGCGCTTTGTTAGACGTTGCGCACTTGTAGTTCTTACATTCTTCAGGAGGCCATGGTTGTACTTGACTTCTTTCCTAGTATTGTCCAAAACGACAAAGTAGAAGTAAGGAATGCGATTATGATGTGGTAACTACACGACTTCTTATATATTCTATCAATCTAGAACAAGAAATCGAGATAATTAACTTTAACTACATCGATCCTAGTCAAAAAAAAAAAGTCTAGTAGACGTAGAATACTAATACATAGTATTATCCTCGAATTTATTACTTGCTTATTCTGAGGTAACCCCTTCGAAAAACCTCCCACCTTAACTTTAAGTCATCCACCAGAGCCTTCGTGGCGACCTTGGGGTGCGAAGTATCCAGTTGCCATTTTCCATCCGCGTCTTTCTTGTCTTGTTTAGAACTACAAGTACAACTATCTTCTGATGAAATGTTGCATCCTGACACCTTTATTTTTACCTTGATTTCTGAGACCGTCTCAGGATGCCTGCTGTGAAGATGGATTTCTTGATGTAGCCATAAATTGTGGACCCGGCGGCAAATCTTCTGCCCGCTTCGTGGGATCCAAGTTCGCGGTTGACTGTTGTGCTCTCGCGGCAGCATCGTTCAATCCGATTCCTCGTTGTTGCAAATTGGAGATATTCAGCAAAGCATGAGCTTTTTGCACCAAACTTTGCGCTCCACCAGGAGCGACTGCGCTCTTCCTAGGTGCAGCATCTTGATCCGAGTCACCCTTTGCCATGCTCCCGAAAAATCCCTCTTCGCCTTCTTGCTGGGTTTTTCTGACGCTAGGTGCGCGAAAGCTAGAGCCTTGGGGACGGTCCGTGACGGTGACGCCTCCTCCCAAGGATGAGCCCTTCGACGATCTCTTCGACACCCTGGACGAATCCGAAGACTTCGAACTCCCACTCGAGGAAGAGGATCTCATCTTTTCGGCGTCTAGACGAGGCTGACCTGGATCTTGGAGACTAGTTGCAGCAGGAGGTTCAACAGTTGTAGTTGCAGGACGATGTGGGAGGTCTCCTGCCTCATCTATCAGTTCAGGAGGTTCAGCACTGGGGTCGTCGTCACTTGGCGCTGCTTTTTCTTCTTCTTGGAATACAACCGGTGGAACTACAAAAGGTGAGGATGGCTGCTTATCGCCTGCTCCTGGTAAGGGGCCTTTTCCTGTTTTAGGATAGGATTTAGGATAGGATTTAGGATAGGATTTAGGATAGGATTTAGGATAGGATTTAGGATAGGATTTAGGATAGGATTTAGGATAGGATTTAGGATAGGATTTAGGATAGGTTACCGAATCTGCACTAGACGTGTCGAAACTTTAAATGTGGGAAATGATCATAGTACAGTGTGGGTTTTTATGCTCATGATGCTTACGTCCATCCACTGAAGAGACGTTATAAACGGTTTTTTCATCGTATTTGAATAAATACGTCAACTCCTTCGATAATCGAAATGTAGTCTAGCAGAGTGATGTTGCTTGAATGTTGAAGGGGAAGCATAGTCATGTGCTTTGTTTTTGATAGGGACTTAGGCAATCACTCTTCTTCATATTCTGAAGCAAATCAATGAAAGTGAATATTTTATTAGATGGCCTAGACGTAGATTAACTAGAATTATGATGATGATGTTAGTCGGTTCGGAATTGTCCTACGACTTAACTAGAATTATAAGGAGATCTATAAGCTAAGTACCTTGTGGTTCTTCTTGTGGTGGCTTCTCACCTTTGCTCTGTTCGTCTCCCATATTTATTCACTCATTGTCGTCCCCAATTGAACTGGACCAAATACAGATTATTTGTACCGGTTGTACAACTACGACTACGCTAGAAAATAATGCAGGAGGCGCTCGAAAATACTGGATTTGGATTCGAGAAAAATACTAGCTGGTAGGGGATCTTCAATATCAATACTATGAAAAGGAAGTGAAAAGATGAAAATCTTCAAGAGTCTGATGGTTGCAGTTGAGTTCTGAGCGTATCGAAATGGTTCTGAGGTTCATCTTCATTTTTAAGACACCGAAGAAGATACTCACCAACTGTTTCAAAGCGAGCAACTCCATTTGAGGATCAAGCTAAAGAGATACAGACATATATCCTCTGACAGAAAAGAATGTTTGTGCGCAGTGTTTCTGCTTTACTCGTCTCACTCACCCACACAACAGAAGAACAATAGGATCAGATGATTCAGAGCTCCTTTTTGACTCGAACTCTAACTATACTTCCACCTCGTTTTTGAACGCAGACTTCTCGAACTTGAACGCTGCAGACTGAGCCTCCATCTGAGATGAACAATAACTTGAACTTTTCATTCTCTTCTCGCCTCTTACAGAAAGGTACTCTGGCGGGCCTCACTCTTGTACACAGAGATGGTCGTGCTGGCTCAGAAATTACAGATTATTTCGCTCAACAGCATATAATAGCAATAGCAAGTGGCCACGGAACAAGCATCATGATCTTATTCAGTTCGTTGATCAACATTCCTGAAGAAATCGAACACTACGTCGATAAAAAATGTCCGCAGCAACATCGCTTCAAAATTTTTATCGTTGTCACACAATAAAGCAGTTTCCTGACGCTGACGTTATAGATTCAATTACATTTCAAACTCTTATCTTTGGAAGACAATCTATTGTTTTGCTGACATGAAATGATGACGAGTCCTCAATTTAGAAAAAATATAGTCAACATGGATCATCACCTTTACCTGGCGGGGCTGGGTGTAGATGATAGAAATGATGGTGGTCAAGAGAAATAGTAAGTTTTTAGTACAAAACACCACCTGCACCAGGAGGACCATAGTATACAATAAGAAATCAGAGGACGAGCAGCAGGTCGTCCGAACGAATATTTTGAATATGCTACCTCAGGAATTAGGAGGACCATTAGTTCCTCCAAGACGTCGATGGTCGATAAAGCATGCTGGTCTGCAGCTCTTCCATCACTTCAACATCTTAGATTTAAGAGAGGGACCGGACGCTTAAGAATTGCTGACAGTTGTACTGCAAAAATGGCAAAAATGCACATATTAAGTAAGTTGTACAGAGTGATTTTTCCAGACCGTTCATCAAAGCCCCCCTTCCCTTCGACCGAATATTTTCAATGAACCGTCGTCTTTGAAGGGTGCGGTGTCGTCAGGCAACTCTGCTTTATCCACGTCCACGACCAACATCTGTTCGTCCTTGTCTTAGAAGAGTTGTAAACCAATTAATATACGGAGGTATCAGTCCTCAGGAGGACTATAAAATAGAACGAACATCAGTAGACCACGACAGCTGTGCCATATTCATGTCGACTTGGCGTGCCATAGAGGTAGTCTTTCCCTGTTTGCTGCTCCGCCTTGTCCTCTTCTGCCTGTTGAGCCGCCAACAAGACCTTATTGTGCGCTCCGATGTACAAGTAGCTGCTTATGCCGAAAATGCATGCGGCGACGAGAAACTCGGGGGTACATGGCTGGTCGAAAAGGACGGCGGACATTAGAAAGTAGTCCAAGATGAGGACGAACTACAAGTTATACTTTCTTATTTGCGTGGTGCTGGTGCTGAGGTGACGCGGTAATTAAAATTATCATGTACAATCATATCAGGTTACCAAATACCGGAACCATTCAACGTGAAGATCTTCGTGAAAGTAGATTTTGATTTTCATAAAGACGCCAAAGCGCAGACAAAAATGATCATGACGCCCCCAATGCACTTGATAACGTTGTCCAGGTACTTTAGCACCAGGCTAACCGTAAGACCCAATGCAACGTTGACGAAAAGCCTGTTAGAGTGAATGTATCAGAGCAATTTATATATAAGGTTTCACAGCTCGCACGGCATGGAGTGCCTGGATCACATGGAGTAGCATGGAGCCAAAGGGAGAGCTTCTTGCGCCCCTTAAAGCTCTGCGCTCCATGCACTCCATGCTACTCCATGCACCATGCGTGCTATAAACTAATCTGATGTATAAAGAGCTTCAACCCCACTTCTGAAAACCGCAGGTCATGATCTGTAGAATAGACAGTGAGGGTGCTTGAGGTCAACTCTCCCCTGTTAGAAGATAAAGATCACCAACGAACTCTTGCACTCAAAAAGAAGAACCTCTTCAATCATGTCCTCGCCATAACAATCAACCAGACCTTGATCGAAAAGCCGTCGAAAACTCCCATCATCGGATTGTCCTTGCCTGACTGAAAGAAGATGATCCCGACAAAATTGAGGAGGCATCCCCATTGATACCCCCAAGCATTCTTGCGCATCAGCGGAACGTCACTATCGACGGCTTTCAGGAGCCACGGGTGTTAGAAGACTCCACAAGCACAATATCAATACCTCTAGTATTGCCTACTCTTTTGCCTGTATTTTTACCTCTATTGCCTATTATATCAAGCACAATATCAATACCTCTAGTATTGCCTATTTTTTCACCTCTATTGCCTATATCAATGATTTTTGGCAACTTGAGAACTTGCTTCATCACAGTGGTGAGGACTCTAACTTGCGTAATACTAGAACGAACAACTACACCTACCTCTAAAAGAATCTTTTCATTTTCTCAGTGGTTAAGAACAAGAAAATGATTCATCCTCCAGGATGTATTCTAGTCCGAGTATCACATCAAGATCGACACCGAAATCCACCTTCGCACCATAATCATTGACCGCGCCGGATAACCCGCTCCCGACGCTCATGATCATCACGCAAATGAACCCTAAAAAGAATGCTCCAAATTGCTCTGCTGGTGATGCTAGTACATTAGAGCTGGGTAGTAGGAGAGGGTACGATAGTTCTCGTGCAGATTGTTCTTGTACGAAGAAGATAGCCCACCAGTTCTTACACTTGGATCTTCCATCTCCATTTTTTTTTACCCTACGACGTGGACAGAGGACGGGAGCGTCGTGTGGTTTTTGTCTTTGATCAATGATCATGTACTAGTTTCCCTCTAAATGACTAGATTCACCAGCAAACCTTAGCTCCTGTCCTCGCAGCTTCTCCAGTAGCCTTTGCTGCGCCTTCTTGTAACGAACGAGCAGAAGCTCCCGACGATTCCATGATCTCGTCTGCAGACGAAGCCTGCAATGCCATCATTGGAGAAAAAAAAGCGCTTCCTCCGAAAGAAGATATCACCTTCTGTATACCATCAACGGCGATCTGTCCGAAATGCGCGCTCTGGAAACTGTGGTCTGCGAAAAGAATGCTGTCGTCGACAAGCGGCTGCGGCTCTGCTGCACTTCCATTTGCGTCTTCGATGGAGGACGAAAGTGATGAAAGGAGGCGTAAGAAAAGAGGTGGACTATTTATCGTTGTGCCTGGTGAGTAGTTGCGGTCCATCAGATGAAGAGTTGAGGACAAGCCTATGCCTATGTTGTATTTCTTGTACAACTTACTACTTAGCTCTACCAAGAAAATCTGGAATTTACTAAAATCCGCACATGTCGTCCATATTACCAAATTCCTCAACAGCGCCTTCGCCGGACAGTCAGATCCACCGAGCATTCGAACTTTCGATACGATCAAGGCGAAGACCAGATTCACCAAACCCAGCCACTGAATAGTCGTAAACTTCTGCTTGAGCAGAAGGGCACCCGCAACTGCTGCAAACAGGATCTTGCTGTTCACGAAGAGACTAAACATGGCGGGGCCGAGCAGGTGTTAGAGAGGACAGGGGATGAAGATCAGGGCAACAAGGTATTGAAGATGCAGGGCATGATCTTCAGGAGGGACAATCTTCAGTATCTAATCTTCATGAAGTTTCCTCTTGTTCGCGACTTTCACTAGGTAGATCATTTTTTCAGGAAGGACAATCTTCAGTATCTAATCTTCATGAAGTTTCCTCTTGTTCGCGACTTTCACTAGGTAGATTTACTTCTAGATAGTCTATGTCTATCAGATGAAAGAAGCGACAGCTAGTAGGAGGCAGCACTTTCGTATTCGTTGCAAATTGCTATCCATAAAGTGTAATAGCAACAAACGCGAGATTGTTGCAGACAGCGTAGAGCAAGGCAGGACCGCCATATCGTGCCCAATTCGCGAGCGTCGTAGACCGCTTACTCTCCGAAGAGCTCCCGCAGTAGCCTAAACGGTCGAAAAGAATTGCTGCAACGAGCTTGAAGAACTCGATAAAGAACATTAGAGATCTTCGAGATATTAGGATAGGATAGAAGTAGGCTCACTTATGACGGAGTGAGCGTATAGGCTGGATATGATGTTGTTGCCGCTCAAAAGGGGGACAAGTTGTCTACTCTCTCTGATCTTGAGATTATTCCTTAAAAACACTGCCACTGCAGTATTATAGCTGAGCTTTTCTTTTCCGCCTTCCTCGCTGAATTTGACTGCGAGAATCGAAGCGGACCCGATGAAAATGTAGTAGACGAACAAAGCCGTCAGAAAGATCGGGGATGTACCAGAAGACATGATTTTATGAGTTCAGGAGAAGATGCTAGATGGAAATGGATTGATTACTAGCACATAATTTTATGATTTTTGTTGAGGAGAAGACGGAAATGAATTGACTACTAGCACATAATTTTATTTTTGTTGAGGAGAAGACGGAAATGGATTGATTACTAGCACTAGATCGAGATATAGAGGTAGGGAAAAGAAGACTGAGACAGTATGAATGAGCATGTTGCTGTTTGAAAGTTCTCCTAGTACGCGGGGCGCCGCTTGTTTCACTCTACTCTTTGGCAATCCGATCCCTCATGACATGTTCTCTCGGAATTTTTTTAGGTATTCTTACCGATAAAAATACTCCGTCCTCTTCCTCAGTACGTGGTCTCTCTTTCGTCCCGCTCTTCTACGTAATGCGTCTGCAATTTTTCAGACTCCAAAGCCAAACTAGTGGTTGAATGAGAACAGGTTGACTTCCATGTCCCATCGAAATAACATGGCACGTTCGTCAGCGTGCTTATTCCTGGAGTACTTTTACTTTCAATCATCTATAGCAGTTTAGATGCGTCGTGGAGACAACCGACTGACGATGCCTGATGACGTCGACAAAGACTGGCGACTCCGTGGCACATCATCCTCCATCTACTAAGTAAGATTGACTTCACCGTATTTTTTCTCGTGTACTCATACATTTTTACGTCGTGGTCTTTATAGGTTTTCATCTTGTGAAGATGCACAGAAGATCATTCTTATGTTTTGTTGCTATAATATGTTTTCTACGTACGCGTGCGTTTGTCATATGTTGATACTTATCTCGTTATTTTGCAGCAGCCTACTTACGTAATAAGATTTATGTGTTTTTCCTCCTCCCAGCAAATTACTCAATTTCACAATGAGATGTTAATTTGATATGTAGTTCTTGTGGAGAGTACTGCTTCTAGATCATAGTAGAAGCGCATTTTCATCTGCATTTTAGATTTTACTAGGTAGTGCTTTATTTTTGTTCTGTTCAATTATCAGGTTGTGAAGATGAATTTGAATAATTATATGATCATCATGAAAGCGTTGTAATAGTCCTCTCGTTATGTTCAACATCAAAATGGTTTTTCCCATTCTTGCACCTCTTCTAGTACAACTATCACCATCCGTCCTCCACCACCAATTCGTCCTTTTCTTTGAAGATATTTCTCCTCTACTACAAGCTATTGATTTTGAGGTAGTTCTCCACGATGTTGACTCACTTTTGGGCCAGGCGCAGCTTGGTCGGCAACGACAAGTCCAACACCGGTGCTTGCACGGATTCGACGACCTGTGAAAGAGGATTTTTCTTGAGCAGAAAAGAATGACGCATCATGGGGACCGACGGGGAGGTTGCAAGAATGTAGTTGTAGTACTAAGTAGAGGTTGTTGTTGATGTTTGTGTTTCAAATTGAAATTTTCAATGATTTAAAAATGACGTGCTAATATTTCATTTCTTGATGTTGATGGTAGCCATGTACAACATGAAACTAAAAGGTGATGCCATAGTAGATAGTACCTGAGCAATCCCTTCTCCACTGGGCATCATCGCCTCACAGATGCTGGTAGCTGCGTTCTCGACTGCCGTCAAAGCAGATTCCACATTTTCCGCGATCATGGAAACCATAGAAGGCGAAGACTCCTGTACTTGTTCAGTACCGTTGTGGACCTGAGCACCCGTTTCCTTGCGGACAGATTGCAGCTCCTGCTGCATGCCCATAGAGAAGCCCAAGGTCATCAAGTCCAACATTTTGTTCTGGGGAGTTTCTTGGTGTAGTTTGACACTACGAAGATTGAGTCTACGTTTCTTATGTAGTTGGGCGGGGATTGTGATGGTCGTGGTAGAAGAGATCTTCTTTTCTTTCTTTTCCTACGTTTTTTGTGAGGTGGAGTGCAAGTAATATGAAGATTTGTAGTTGAGTGAAGATGAAAGTTGTGATCATGTCACTGATGTTATGTCTTAGGTTCACCTTGGAGTAGTACGACATCTGTCTAACCCAAACCCTCGTCCTCGTTCGATCGAATCGTAACTAAAAGCGAAAATATCATGACTAATCACGATCTTCTCCTTCAATTATCTCTCGTCCCTCTGTTCCACTACACTTCTCTGCGAGTTGTCCGAATCATCTCATGATAACGACTTCTCGTCTGCTCTCAATATTCATGATCTACGACCTCAGAACGTCTGAGTAGACAGAAAAGAATTTCTTTACAGTAAAGTTGTCTTTTCCCGACGAGATGGATGCAACTCAGGAGTTTTCACAAGACACAGTCCACTGCAGCACAACTAAAATGTTGGAAGTCCTGCTGCTCGTCCTGAGCGGATTCGTGAGTAAGCACCAAGATGGATCATGATGGTAAAGCTCGAAGCACATGAAATTGAAAAAGTCGACGTGCGACGAGGATAGACTATTTATACGTCATACTGTGGTGTGGAGAATTGGAATTCAATTGATCAATCAGTTTTCAGCTCCAGTTGTTCATCAGTTTTCAGCTGCCGTGTATTCCTCCTCCACCACAACAGGGGCTGTAGGCTTCTTAGACGTGGATGCTCGACGCTGCAAAAGCTGCGTGAAACCGGCCATAAATCGGCGAAACAGAGAATCTGCACTAGTATCTGCTTGTTTCAGATGATCTGCTTCATCATTGCTTTTTTCCGCAGCTACACTATGAGCAGGAGCTCCCCTGTCGGCGGCCGCTCGCATTGATGGTTTTCGTTGTCCTGCAACTTCATCTAGAAGGACCTCCTCATCAGCAGCTACCTGCTCTGCGTCATCTGCTACCTCTGCTTCATTCTTTTCCACCTGCTCTTCATCCTCTACATCCTGTCCCTCTACTTCCACTTCCTGTTGTAAGAGCAACAGATTGTCCTTACCTCTACTTCCACGCTGGGGTCTCCAGTACGGGCATTTCGTCTCTTGCCACTCTTTGGGCGTCAGACAGACATGGCACAGGATTGTTAGAATATGGATGAAGCGATTCTGATCTACGGAGTCTGACAGGAATTTTTCATGAAGAATGAATCCTAAAAATTGCTCAATGCTCCCATGGACATGGTCGTGCTCAGTTTTTACAACAATCAAGTGTCTTTTCTACTAGAGTACTAGTGCTATATTTATATATAGTACTAGTAATTAGTACTTCTAGTACTTCACGTTCACCAATGACCTTCTCCCAAAATCATAATTCTTTCCCCTTGCACCTGCTATCGTCCTTGTATTGGTCGTAGAGGTCTAGCACTTTGGCAAAATAGGAGTGCTCATCCGGGAATTCACTACACGTTCCGTGTCGTTCCCACTCGTGGGTCCAGAACCATGTATTCGACTTTTTACTGGAAGAAGAAGATGTCGTTCGAGAGCTACTGCGAAGATAACGTCGTTCTCCTCCATGCTCCGCCTGTAGAATGGTCCTCGATTGGCAAGAAAACCAATCTGCTTCCATCCTGAATTTGGTATGATCATCCAGGAGATCGAGGAACCAAAGATTTGTGGTGAAACATACAAAAGCAAAGGAGCAGTCGTGTTCTTGTATAGAACAAGTTGTACCTCATGTTGACGTCATGTTGTTGAACTCTTCCAAATTCCAGATTGATTCGTAATGATCTTGTTCATGTTAGTTGTACCTCCTGCTTCATTTTTACGTATTTGAGCTAAAAAGTAGATTAAGTTGTTGTTTTTCGAGTACTTAGATTAAGTTGTACCTTGGCATCAAGTCTTCTATCCCCGATTTGTGAAACTTGGGTCCTGGACAATACTCAGCCCACTCGGGCCACAATCCGTGGATCGAAACTTCGTCTTTTCCCTCACATTTCTGGAGTTGTAGTCGGAATATCTTCTCACCATCAAAACCCTTCTTGCTCGACCCGAAGAAACTGCTATACAAACTGTGCCCCCATTTGAACAAAGGATGTTCTGTGAAGAGCAGTTCTTCTAGAGAAGAAGCAGATGTAGTTGTTGGACTACTTGAAGTAGTAGATACTCCATTCTTTCTGCCAGGCTTGTTTGTAGTTGAGGCGGAAGATGTTGAAGAGAGCAAGAGCTCGCTTCCTGTTACTTGCTGCAACAGGAAGAAGGAGCAGACTGACAACAGGAGCAGATACTTCGTTGAAGCACGAGCGCCCTTCTCCAGCCCCAAGTTGGAAGTGCGCCGCGTGCTACTTTGTCGAGATGACGTCATATTCTTTTTCTGGACCAGGCCTTTTCCTCATGTAAAATCAGATTTTTTCAAATCTTTTTTTAATGATCGTACATTGCTTCGCTGAGTTACGGAGTCAAGCTGAATTAGCGGCACTCCTTCTGGGAACGAGTCAATCATAGCACTTCTCTTTCTCATCGTTCGATCCGAAAATCAATGTACAGAGGGAAAAACCAAAAGGGAAAACGCGCAGCAGGGTCGGCGCCGGGGAGGGGATTTCATTTCAAAAAGATAAGCAAGATGATCTTTCGTCCGAAAACAAAGTCACATCAAATAAAGTGAAAGCATTCCGAGCACCACCTGGAGTGGGGGGTGATTAAAAAACAACTGAATCCTGTCAACAGATCAAGATCATCGACCGATGCCTTTGGAGAGACAATGAAACGGGAAAAATTATTCACCAAAAACCTTGATGAGGACACTTTACTGCGCGCACGGTGCTATCTCTCTATCATGGATCCTTGTCCCCATTCAAAAACCTGTTGAACACTTCTAAAACATTCAACGATGAAGCAGGGGTAGAGTTGATCGTCTTGTGATTGTATCGTCTTGTGATTGTCTTGTGATTGTATCGACCATGTTAACAACTACACTAATATGACTATGCTCGTACTTGATCATCAACAGTCCTGACATCGTCAATGATACAATTGAATATGTTTATGTGCTCGCTTTCTACGTAATATGCAATATGATTTAGTCTTTTTCAGTGAGTCTGGGTCCGTTTCTTTGAAAGCATTATTTGTGTATTCTTATGGTTGTTCGGGTGTTCTTTTTATCATTATCAACGACATTTTTATGGTCATGAGTTATATCCACTAGTCTTGTTTCGTTACTTATCATGCAAGACACTGACATATTACTTGTTACTGTTTGCTTCAACATACTTGATGATGTTAGTCGGTTCGGATGGTTCTGAGAAAACTACAGCAAGAATCGCCAGAATGCCTCAACATTCCTCGTAGACGTGAAGTGCTTGTCCTCGTGGTAATATTGTTCATCAATTATACTAGTACTGATAAAATTCAGATTTGTGAATGATATGATCGACAAGTCATTTCAATAACCGTCGATTTTTCTTATTCAAAGGCAGCCTGAAAGAAGTCCATCGGAGTGCAACAGACGAAGCGACTCTTTCGGACTTGGAGAGGCAATTTCTGCGTAGGTGTCGCAGCTCTACTCGTATGCGAATCCTTGAGCTCGAGGAATCTTGCACCAGGTGCATCTACTTCAGCATCTACCTCAGCAAGATGATCGTCCGGTTCATGTTCTTGCTCCTCCTCCTCATCCTCTACTCCACCTACCACCGCCTCAGTGGATCCTTCTTGTTGATCGTCATGACTCGGACTCCTTCTTCCATTTCTATCAGCCCTTCTACTAGTGCCTGACGCAGGAATGTGTCGACATTCAGTTACAACAGCCCTATGATCTTTGTCCTTGTCGTGTGAAGATGTTGCGATCGCAAATGATACTGCATTGCGTTCAGCTCCCTCCACTCCACCTCCGAACATGTAACTGCCTTTGACATCTTTGACATCTTGAGAGTAGACTTTGCTGGCGCCTCCACCAGGGTAGAGTTGTCCCCCGTTTGGACCGCCTCCAATAGCGCCTAACCTCGACGGATTGGAAACGCCACTTAGACCGATAGTAGATGCTCCACTTCCCCCATCCATCACATCTTCACCATCTAGGCCTCCACCTTCGCCGTCGCCTCCACTTCTACTAGTCATCATGGTGCCATTGCCAGCAGTTCGTCCCTTGTGTTGAAAGTCAGCACATATTCGTTTATAGTCGAGACGAGGAGCGCACTTTGCAGAGAAAGCTCGCTGCCAATCGGCTGTTTGCGTCAGAAATTTCCCACACGGAACTCTTTCGAGGGAGCAAGGAAGGTCGAGGCCTGAAAAAAAAATTTGTTGATAGATAGATGGTTGAAGAACAAGAAAAGCAGGAGCGAAATAATAGATAAAGACCACAGGATGAAGCAGATCTTCTAGATAGCCTCAAGAATATGAATATCTAGAACAAGCCAGTGCAATAGTATAATTCAGATAAAGATGATTGATAGTACTCAGTGGCGTAGCCACAGCATGCCCTTCCGCACCTCCGCCGGTCATTGCGTCTTTCAGAGCAAGAGCGCCAGCTACTCCTAGTCCGACGGGTAGAGCGCCACAGAACTCGGTTTTCAGCGGTTTCGTACTACCAGACGAAGTTCTTCCATATTTTTGTCGCATGGAAACGACTGGAGCAAGTTGATGCTGTGCATGTACTCCTTCGACGTAGTTATCGTTATGAGCATGGTCAAAAACGGGCTGCTGCATCAAGTGTGCCGGATCTGAACTTTGTAACAGAAGCGTTGTGGCGGCCATCTTGTTGACTGAACGAAAACCTTCGTCAGTGAGGATCTTCTACTAGTGCTCCTCGTGCTCGTCAGAGGTACAAAGTTGCTTACAACTTCTACATCACTGGAAGCGAATCTACAACAAGTCGCTCAGGAATTCGAAATTCAGTTTCTGCTCGGTCAAATGGAAACGAGAGACGACAAATTCCCGTTTTTCAAGGGCAAGAGTAGCGAAAGACGGACGCCTAGAATCGATCACGGACAAGTCCTCCTGGTGCGTTGGTTTACTTCCAAAGAAAGCTTCGAGCGAACCAACGTCGAGCAACTTCTAGTGCGAAAGATCAAGATGGATGCTTATTTAGCCTCTTGTTCTGCCTCTGCGATCTATCACGAAGGGAACCGGAACAAGCCGCGATCGATGACGATGAGTCTCTGATTACGATCAGCCGCCACCTCCAGCAACGATCAAGGAGCGACTTCCCCTACTCGTTTCTCAAGCAACGACCATGTATCTTCTAGAGCGACTCTTGTTCGCTCAGTGAGTCATCACTACAGGATGAAAAGAGAAATCGAAAAGAATAGGGAAGAAGATAGGACCATCCACGAAGCAGACAGACTCTTTTTGGCAAAGTACTAGGTCTAGCACTACGGGGAAAGCTAAAACAATATCTGACTTCATCGACGAGGGGCGCCCACCCACGATTTTCATACTGGCGGTTGCCACGTTCTAATTTAAATTTTACCTTACAGACAGTGGTGGCAGACTTGCGAATATTAACTACGAAGCACCTGGTGGCCAGACAGTGTCAGGCCTGGGCCTGCGACCACTCACATAGTGACGGGTCTCATATCGACAGACCCAGACTCTTGATCGGACCAGTCATACGCCTCGCCCTCGACTGCGAGACGGGGCGAAGAACTGTAGCGATCTTCCTACAGCACCAACAAGAATACCATAAGCATTCTGCCTATAACGACGAGCTAGAGATAGAGATAGACCTTCTACGTACTACCTAGTACTACTTAATCCTACTACGCCTTATTTCTAATACTAAAAAAGACATACTCATCAGAGTTTGCTCGGGACAGAGATGCTACCCTCTCTTCAGCCAAAACAGATGTTTTTCAAGAACAATATTTCTCCAATGAAGCTGCTGTAGAAGAGCGGGCTAATAGTATCTTAATGGGCGGTCAGCATCATCCTGGGGAACAAAGAGTGTACTTTCCTTGACACGTCAAAGAAAGCCTCTGGCATGTCAATGTCTCCTCGTGGGGCTGGTCGCGAACCTCTCATTGCTCATACACTTTCACTAGAAAATGAGATAAGTTCATCTTCTTCTTTGTCAGAGTTGAAAATAAAAGTCTTCAAAAATCAATTCGCACACAACTACATTTAGATGATTGATGAGGTTTCTTCGAGGACGGGGATGAAAATCTCCTCGATCTTCTAGATGGCAACAAGGACATTCTGTTCGTCAGAAAGCTAAAAAGAAAGCATTAGTCATGTCACGAATGTAGAGGGTCAAAAAGAGTCGCATGGACAAAACGATTCATGTTGTAGAGAAGGAAGGTGGGGATATTACCTGTGATCATGATGTAAGGGAGTGAAGAGGTGGACTCTATTTCTTCATCACAAAAAATTCAAAAATTCTCATACTTTACGGCTAGTCAATTTTTGAATTCCGCTAGTCCGAGTCAGCAATCTCAATCACTGTCAGCAATCTCAATCACTTCTACTGTAGAAGAATCATTGGCACCTTGTCGTGATTGTTGTTGATTGTTCGAAGTACTGCCTCTCCTTCTTTTGTTCCCTGGGGAGGCAGACCCTGCACTGCGCGGTCTCTTTCCACCTGCAGGAAGCTGCAGACTATTCGCTTGATGCTGTCCTTGTCGTTGTAACCCGCTTCTGAGAAGGGGAGCATCTCCGCTTCTATTCGAGGACCCTCCCTGATGTCCTGCAGAAGTAGACGCAGGCTCCTGCTCCGAGGTAGTAGTCGATGATGAAGAAGGCCCTCCTCCCAGAGTTGTTGTAGTTGTTGTACTTGAAGATGATGGGTTCATATACAACTTGTTACTACCACTTGCTCCTCCAAATTGGAAATCAGAATTAGGTATTCTCGAGGTAGAGGTATTGCCTACAACTGCTGGTGCTGCACGACCACCTCCAGTAGAAGGGGTTGTAGTAGAAGTTTAGAGCTCAAAACAAATCATTTCTTAGTCCTCTCATTCTTGCAATATAATCCCAAGAAGGACAGAGTTGTAAAGAATGACACGTGGAAATGATTTGTATTGAGCCTTAAGAAGTACCACCTTGTGCTTGCACTGCACGAGGTATATTTGCTGCTTCTATTTGTGCTCCCGCAGCTGTTTCCCCACTTTCTACCTTCTCACGCTCAATCCGCTGTAGGGTCTTTTCATCGGGCTTTTCGCTATGCAGCTTTTGTCGTGGTTGCTCCATCAAACATTGCCCATACGCTTGCACCGTTTCCTGCACCTTCCGCTCGTATTCCTGGGAACAGTTAAAGTGAAACTACCAACACGATGAAGACAAATTGAAATAAATTGAAATGTCAAATGATAAATTTTGAAAAAATCAAATTTGAATTTGAATTTCAACTTGAAATCCAGAAAATTTTGATTTTATCTCATATTATTCGAATTCAAATCTGATCGAGAGATAATTTCAAATTAGCATGAAAGTTATGAATTGGGGTACAAAAATTCGAATCCTAGTAATTTCATAGAGATGCAGCTAGAGGCTGGAGAATTTTTTATTAGATGATATTCCAGCCCTCATCTGCAGGAAATAGTCGCAGGGTTTTCTGGATTTTTTATTATTAGATTTTTTTGGAATTTTAGGTACAGAGAACAAAGCTTAATTTTCGAAAACTGTCATAACCATGAGACGATGGCATAAGTCATTCTGTTGAATGCCATCGAATAAATCTATTTTAGGACATACTCTTTTTAGGACATTTATTATTTTTTGATACGTAACTACCAACCAAAAATTGAAGTGTGCACAAAATTTCATATCTAGTTCTCATGTTCTCTAGAAAGACAGGCTATGTGTCAGCAGCTTCATATATCTACATGTGTATGGACCCCTCCTGGCGGTTCTCCAGTCAGGCGCACCATTGAAAGCACCAAAGAAAGCTGAAAAGAAGAAGCATGAATTCAAAGGAGCAAGTACCTTCTTGTTTTTGTTAAAACACCGTGCGGATTCGCCGTTCATCGGAGAAGCTGGATTGGGATCCGAAAGCAGAGATCGAATACTAGTAAACACGCTTTGCAGCGTATACGAGGGCGACCACGCTTCACGCTTGATAATCTGATCGTGGTCAGAAAGCCTAGATATAGAAATATTAGATGGGTTATACTCATAATAGAAGATTGATACTTACTCGTCTAGGAAACAGAAACTCATCCTAATGTGCCGAATACGAATTCCAAGTTGAATGATAACAAGAAAGTAGCACTTCTCACGTGTCTTTTTATACTATTCAGAGTACGTCAAGGCAGATCGTTCCTCCGGATCCCACATTTGGGTGGTAGATGCCTTTCTCGAAATTTATCTTCACCGGCTCAAAAGGATAGTTGTCCGGAAACGACATTTTCAGCTTGAAAACACCCTTCTCCCAAGGTGTGTTCACAGGACCTGAAGGTTTTGATATGACAACTCAACAGTTCGGAGGGGTCCTTCGGCGCTTGGTGGAAGCACCAGAACAAGTAGAAGTACAAGAACGTCCTCGTTCAGATCTTTCCAACCTCCATGTCACCAGGATCCCCTAGTTGTACTCGTAGGCAGGGTGCAACATCATCATGTTGAACAACTCTATTGTTCTGAGTCTATCCTTTTGTATCTTTTGTATCATCATCACCTTCACCAGCACCTTCGACAGAGACATGCCATATTAAGCTTCTGTCATGTCATGGAACCTCGTTTTACGTCATTTCAACGTTCTAGAGGCCTTTCATATTTTACCTTGTATATAGACATGCCACTCCGCCTTATCGAACGTCTTCGGGTCGACCCAGCATCCCGTGTTTTCAAGGCTGAGAGTGCTCACACTCGCAATATCCTTCTGGATACGCTTTGTAGCCTTGGCTGTGAACGGCATGTTGTTTTTCGGTATATGCAGGACGAGTAGTTGTAACAGTGATAAAGACTGAGCAAAATAGTATGAAATGTTCTCCAGTCAACTCTGATAATGAAACACTGTTTGAGCGACTGTTGTAGGACGTAGACGTTGTCCTCGCTTATTCATCTATATTTTTTTCTTCCAGTTGTTCCAAGTACCACCTTGGATAGTTATGATAACTGTTCGGCAGGACGACCAGGAGAAGAAGTTACCTCATTTTTACACTGTAGTACCTGTTGAATGAGGTGAAGATGGTTATTGTTTCCCTTTCTCAAACCTGAGCCTTTATCAATATCTCACAGCTTCCTCGTTGTGAGTTTCTTCAAATAGTGTGTGTGTGGACTAGACGGTGATTAATCAAAAGACTATCTAACCCTGCGTAGTAGATTAATAATCAGAACGCATACACGGGGAAGCTGTTCATCCTGGTTGTAGAGGGAAAAAAGCATTGCTAATCGGGCTAGCTAACGGGAGTCGGTCCTCCTCGTCTCTTTATTTGATTTTATACGTTTTTTTTCGGAATTTAGATCATACATTTTCAACAGAAAAAAAATCTTTGCATTATGCAAGGGACAAACTTCAGGTAGAAAAAAAGGCGGCTACATCCACTATTAAATAATGGGGTACTTGTCGAGGGGATCGTGATTGGTGAATCTTCATTGACACTCGTAGTTGTAGATGCAGTAATTGTTCTCCTCTTCGTGTTGCTCGTCTCTTTGGATACTAATTAATATGTGATTTTCAGGCGTTTTTTAGATCATTTTCAAAAAAACCTTCGTGCACAGTACAGATCTGCAATCGTCTACATTCTTCTTTCGTGAACCCACACATGCACTGAGACAACTTCCGTCACATCCAACAGGACAAGAATTTGCCTTGCCAGCGAAAAGAGTCTCTGTTTCGCGTTCATTAATATCCTTTTGCTCGCTACTATGAGCCGCGAAGCTTTGGATAAAGCTATCTAGGGTTCGGAACATGCTCATCGGGTTCAGCACATTCTCATCCATGGTCATGCATACTGCACTATCCCAAAACTTGTCGTTGAGTCACTTTTTCGTCTACTAGAAGAATGTTTATAGCACTTATCTGGACTTGAGGATGAGTATCTCTACCTGTACCGTACCAAGTGGAGGTATGTCTAGATTTTTCACTTATACTGACAGCACTGAGGAGCATTTATGCAACACCACAACGTGATGTCGAAATCACGGCAATGAAGTTATCAAATAGACTTCGATATTTGCTGCACCACATGATATCCGAATTCTACTTCAGCCACCTAAAACCCCGCCTCCCAGCCCCTGATTAGGGCCGTCGCAGTGCCCTTGATTTCCGACATCATGACTGCTCACAATAGCGGCTTTTACTCGTTCTAGAGCAGCTGAGTAGAAACTGGCGTCTCTGCCTCTGGTAGGCGCAGCTTCATCTTCACGCTGCTGCCGCCTCTGCTCAAGGAACTTCCTAGAGACATCGATCGCGCTTTCTCGAAATTTCTGTGGTCCTTGTCTCTGCTGATCTTCTATTTCTCGTTGTTCATCTTCTGGTTCTCGTTGTTCTTGATGTTGTTGATGCAGGAGTTTAAGCTTCGCGGAGGTGCTAATGGTCTCATCCGTCGCCTTCATCCCTAACATCTGCAGTCCAGGATACCAAGAAGCAACTTCAGCCTCCGAATATTGAGGACTGTTCCTACTTGGTGCTGGATGTGGCTCAGGTTCCTCCCTATCAACAGCACTTCTTGTTCTTGAGGTCGATTTTTTGTTTTGTTCATCACTCTGCTCGAGTGGAAACTCGTCATGAACATCTGAAGACAGCACCAAAGCATCTTTATTGGCTGCGGGACACGCATTCTCATCGTGCTCCTGCTCCTTTCCATATTTCTGTTCCCCTAGAAGTCCTGTTGCACAGGGGCCTGCACGGGCGTTACCGGCTAACAAGCTCGCAGGTCGCTCACCATTTGTCTCCAAATGATCCTCCAACGCACACGAAAAGGCAGCCTGGATGAGATCCTCAACGTGCTGTTGGGAGGAATCATGTTCTAACGAGGAACAACCTCGTCTGGACGCGGTGGACGAACCATTTTTTTCATAAGATTTTTCCGTCATGGTGGTTATAGATGATAATCACGACTCGTGCAGCTACTTGTTTGTTCGACACTAATGATTCAACACCTGCTTGCTCATTATGTTGACCTTTTTCATGAAGACATAAGTATCTATAAGAGTACTAGAAAGGGGAAGAAGAAACTTAAAGATTCAGATCATCTAGCACTACACAAGAAACGGAAAAGCTGTAACACAAAGGTCCTCGCTGCGTCTCAGGCAAATCTAGTCGCCACTATTGGCCACTATTCTTGGGCAGTTCGTCCACCTACGAGAAGATCATGAAGATAGAAGCCATGATCTTGATCATCATAATCTTCATTCGGCAAGTTATATAAGAAAAGCCAAAACCACGTTGGATGAGGTCGAAATCGTTAGATGTAGATGACATCAACATTTTCATGTGCTTCAGGACAACTGTTCATCTTTATGTTTATGTTTATCTTTCTCCCCCTGTTGAACCTAGGTCCTCCTCCCAAGATAAGAAAGTCATCATGCGTAAAATCAATCTCTATTCTCAACAACAACATACGAAAGTTCACTTTATGTTGGAAGTTCATTTTGTTGTATCTTGTTCCCTACTGTCCTCGCTTCTGCAGTAGCAGCTGTGCATTTTATGTATGAAAATCATCAACATCATGTTCATAGCACTACTAAGGCATCCACCCTCCACCAACATCACAGAAGCTGGATCTTGGCTTAGGTCTTTTCTTTTTCTCCAACATCTGCTGCTCTCGCGTTATTATTGGCATTGCGAGCGCCGAATACTGTCCCGCATTCATAGCCACGAAACGGGCCTTGCGCTCTGTTCGGAGGAGGAAACCTGGATGATGGTGAAGAAGTTGTTGTAGCATCATGGTTGGATAAAAGAGAAGCAGAGCAAGAAGGGGTAGTTTATTATGCTTCAACTCCGTTTGTTTCATCATGAAAAAACGACTACCTAAACTCGGAATCTTTATTCTCGTGTACTCTTTCGCAAGGACCTCCAAGAGAGACTGGTGGTTTCGAATATGCCAAAATTTTCGATCATATATTCTCGCAATGTCATTGGGTGTTTGACCTGGTGGGCCGAGGGTGGTTTGAAGTGCATGCGAGGAATAATTGGCTCCAGTATCTACAGCGAGATGAGCCCTAGCTAGGAATCGCAGAACCCAAAAAGAGAAGTCAAAAAAGACACAGTGGGTTTCTTTCGTTTCTTTCGGCTTCATCGAACTCTTAAGGGGAAAGTCAATGAATTTTACCTAGTTTGTCACTCAGACAGAGCGCTTGAGCTCCTCTTTCCCATGACAAGAGGTTTGCGCACGCTTCATGTTCGCCTCCTTGCACTGCCCAATGAAGAGCTGTATTCCCTAGTTCGTCTTGCGCTAAAACATCTGCTCCATTGTCACACAAGAGATCGATGAAATGCAGGTTACCTTATGGTTGATGACATAAAAGATCGATGGCCTGCAGGTTACCTGATACTGATGGTTTCGAGACGATGAAATGGACAAACACATTGTGTGACCATCATGGAGAAAAGTCAAGAGCAGTGGTGATAACGATACTTTGTTCAAGAAAAAAACAACTTACGTTCCAGAAAACCTTCTACTTGTAGTAGTTTTTACAACACCACACACAAATACTTAGCTAGAAGTACCTTCAAAACTAGCATACATCAATGGTGTCATCTTGCTGACGTCTTCGGCTTCCATGAGGTCAACAAATCCTGCTCCGTCCGGATCAAAGTCGGCTGCTGTAATGATTTTCTCGGGTCTTAGAGAAGTAATGTACTATGTAGTTTGTAGTACTATCTGTATCGTCGTCCTAGCGCTAATCTGTATCTGAGTGTTTACAACACAAGCTAGACGACTTGGACTTCCCATATAATTCTTCGAAGGCTGGAAAACTGTAAGCAAAAAAAGTCTACTAGGTAAAAAAGTCACATCTTCATCTATGTATCATGTCATAATATCTGTTGTGGCCTTCTAGTTCGATTATTCGGTGGCATCCGTGCTCCACTCGACGCTGCCGCTGCTCCACCACTTAACATCGGACTTGATGCTTCCTGTTTGGAGTTAGAGAAGATGACGACCCAAATTCATCCCAAAATACGACTGCTCCTTTCATCTACAACTTTGTCGTGTTCATCTTTCCCCTCTTGAAGTTGAAAGAAGGAAATGATCTTCACGTGAAAGAAACAAGATGCTTCTACTGCATAGTACATATATAAATCAGGGTCTATTAAAAAGTGGCCTTACATCTTAGTCTGTTGGTCAAGGTCATAATCCTAATGGATTCACAAAGATCACAAGGATAAAGATCAGCAAAATGACCAAGATCGCCAGGCAAAAGGTTACCGGAACACCATCCAAACGCCCGACGGGTTTACCGTCGCGCGGGTGTCTCTGGCTTCTCCTCTCTCTCTCGTTTGTGGCTCAAGCCTCCCAATACAGTCAAGGACAAAACAGCACCGGAATGATCTCAAAGATAACCTACAGACCTAAATGCATATAGTTCCAAAAACAGTGATCATCAGGCAAAGGACCTTCAACGTATTCAGATAGAAGAAATGATGAATGTTTCATAGCTGTAATCAGGTTCATAACGTACTGTCAGTTCTGATCAATGATGAGAATCAACATAGGATGATCGTATGAATCAATGATGATAGCATAAGCGTTTCCATATGAAAGTTTCCCCATGCAACATGATATCCCAATGATGAAGCTGAGACTTCCTCCATGTAACCCCAATGAACATCCACAGGGATCAAAGCAGCCAGAGATCATTAGTCTCAGGCTGTGAGTGCAAATTGTGCAAACAGTATCACTCTCAAGTGTTTCTCACCGAGAAACTAGACGCGACTTAACAGTCTGTGTTCGAATGTATCCAACACTACTTTGACCCTTGAGCTAAGTATAGAGTAGAAATCCATCTAGAAACAACTTTTCAAAATGTCCTGCGATGCGAAAGAAATTTCGAAGAAACTCGGACAGAAGTCCGACTGGCGAGCATGGCAACTTGCCATACGTCAGGAAGCTAGCCGTCTCGGCCTGCTTCAAAACTACACGAATGTAGTCGGCATTCCGGCAGCTCCTCATGGTATTCCTAACGGAGTTACCAATCGGGAGGAAACAATTCGGCAGAAGTGGCGCAACCTGAAAGATGCGATTATTCGTAGTCTGAAAGGTGCCGCTGCGTCGTTCATCAACAACCAGAACGATAATGGGCAGGTGGATGCGATGGATGCAGGTGAGGTTGTTGTGCTCCTTCGTGATGTAGGACACTTCGATCAAAACAACCGTCAGGAACAACGGATGAAAGTAAAACCGCTTACGGATGGCGTGTTGAAGTTCCACAACGCGGATCAACCTGCAGATGTCACAGGATTCTTGTCGAAAGTCCGAGACATCATGAACCAGTCGCCCACCGTGTACCCGCCGGAAGCAGGAGTGCCAGAAAGTGACCAACAAAATGGTGCACTGCTACAGAAGTTGCCCGAGCTGTTCTGCAAGAACTTCAAGGCAACGATCGAACGCATGCAGGAAGAAGATGGTCTGACATTTGACCAGATTGGTGACCGACTTGAAAAGCGTCTTGCGACGTTGATCGAGGAGGGAACCTACAAAGTTGAGAACGATTCCTTCGGGAAGGCGTTCCCGGTCAATGTTCAGGAGACCTCGAATAAACGTTCTCGTGAAGAGGAGGATGACGAGGAAAAGGCCAATGAAGGTGGTAAGATCTTTCTGTCTAAAAGTGCTCTCAAGCGCTTCAAGGCAAACACAAAGAAGAAGATCGCCGCCGAGGTCTATGCCTCCAATTCGAACGGCAAAGGAAAGCCGCAGAACAAAAATAATAAAGGTTCTGGAAAACAAGACACCCGTCCAGTCTGTTGGATCTGCAACAAACCGGGTCACAAATCCGCGTCTTGTTGGAAGAATCCACAGAACCAGGCAAACTGGAACTGGAACACCAATTCCCAATCTAGTAGTGCTATGGGTAAAGGTGGAAAGGGTAATGGCATGGTTCACATGTCCCAAGTTGCGGAGCTGTGGCAAGCTCTCAACGGCGGAAAGCAGAGCTGAGTTGCGGAACCGGTGGAAAGCGGATTTTGCTCGCTGAACTTGGATGAAGATGAGGGTGAAGAAATAAACGTAAATAATACAGGGGAGGTAAAACTTGTGGGACATAGTCTTTCAACTAGTTCCATTACTACAAGAGAAGAAGTTAGTCTAGTCGATAGTTGTGCAAACAAATATCTTTCAAGACACAAAGACGATTTTAGTGAAATAACTATGAGAACTTGTAGGATTACTGGTAGCGCTGGAAGTAAAGACGGAAGAGTAGGAAAACTAAAGTCAAACATCTTAGGGCTCCAGTATGGTGTTTATTATGATTCACTACCAAAGGACTTAGATCGTATTATACCTTGGTTAGGTGAAGGGAACTGCTCGCAATTAGGATGGGAATTCAACTTCAAAGGCGCAGGTGGTTGTCTCGTACATACGGACACCGGCCAGGCCATACCCATAAGAAGTCATCCACGCTTGCAGCTTCCCATACTTGCATGCAACTTATTTAAAGAAGAGACTGATAGTGGTTATATTTGTTCAACAGTAGAAGAAGGAGTCAGTAGTTGTTACCTTACAAGACTCGAACTTCATAGAAGATGTGGGCACTTTCATATAGATGGCCTCCAGGTAAATTGCCCTGAGTGTGATCTACATAAAGGCCAACGCGCACCACATGCAAAAGCTAGAGATACTTCGAACTACAAACCTGAACCATTGAAGTTACTAGCAATCGACTTTGCTGTTGGAATCAAACCCGTATCAGTCAGGTCAAAGAGATGTGTATTAGTGATCATCTGTGATGTAATTAAGAAGGTGTTCTGTCGACCGCTTAAGCTGAAAAGTGACTGTGTGGAGGAAATAGAAGAAGTTATCAAAGGCATTCGCCAGGACTACTCCTTATCACTTGATGACAAGGTAGTGTGGTTCCTCCGGAGGGATGGAGAACCTGTCCTGAGCAGTGATGACATGACCAAAGTTATGCAATCGCTGCGAGTCTCAGACAGTCCGGCTGTTCCTTATAATCCGGAGATGAATGGGACCTGCGAACGTTTTATGCGGACTTTGTTCGGCAGTGTACGCACAATGCTGACTAAAGTTGATAAACGCCTCTGGTGTTACTGCGTCGAGTACGCTGGTGACTGCTGGGATCGTTTACCGCATAACTATGCAAAAATGCCTCAACATGATGGAAAGAGTCCAATTGAAATCTTAGAAGAAAGGACTGGTAGAAACTCATCGAAGAGTTCAATCGGCATGCTCCGCCGATTTGGTTGTCTAGTTTACTTTCGTGAACAAATTCAAGCCAACACTCCTGAACCCAAGCTCTCGGCCAAGTACCGCCGTGGCGTCTTCCTTGGACTCTGTCCGAAGTCGTCTGGTTGGTTGGTTGGAACTTTCGCTCATGACGATCGTTGCAAGCTTGGACATCGATGGGCGGAATACTCTACCCTAGATGTAAAGTTCAGAGAGGACTATCTAATTAAAAATATCGATTGGCTTTTGCCAGATCAGAAGGGCATCTACATTGAGTATGACGAACTGGAAAATCTGCAGAGTGGCGCGTCGTCGCTGGGCTCCCCCTTGCTTGGACAGTCAGTGCAAAGGCTGGATCATCAATCGGGGTTCTCTGGCACGGAGCACATTCCAGGTGGACCGACCGCGATTTCCGACGAATTATTTATTGAGACACTGGATAAAGTAGAGGAATCCAACGCAGCTGACTCTCCAAAAGGTGTTTCACTTGAGGAGGGGAATGCTGAAGCGAAGGATCGCGAGACATCTGCTCCGCTAAGTCCGTCTAAGTCGAAAGCGCCTTCTCCAGCACGTGTTGTGGCAGGCGAACGCCGTACACACGTCAAGAAGCGTGGCCGACCAAAAGGAGCGAAGGACAAAGCAGGCAGCAGGGTTCGAAGAACAAAGAAACAGTTAGAAGAACTGAGAAAGAATGTGGCGCTGTTCGCTAGTGCAGTAGGTGGCACGTGTGAATTAGACGAAGATGAGGAATTCGTCGAATCATATGTGATTTTGTCCGTTGCTCAAGCACTCAAGTCTCCTGATGCCGACAAATGGCGGGAGGTTATTGACAAAGAGCATGCGAGACTACTAGCCTTTGAAACGTGGAAAGAAGCTTCTGACGAGGAGCTTGCGACCGCGCGACAGGCTCTACCAATTGCCATAATTCTAACTATTAAAAGATGTGGAAGATACAAGGCTCGCGCTTGTGTCCTCGGTAATCTAGATCGTTCAGGAGAGCTAAACACCTTTGCTCCCGTAGTTTCACACGCCGCTAATAGGCTGCTCCTGACATCTGCTGCGTCAGAACAGGACTATGTGATCCCGTTCGATTTAGATTCTGCGTTCCTCAATGCTGAACTCGATCGCGATGTCTTCTGCCGTCTCCCACCCATCTGGGCAGAGAAGCATGGACGCGAGATCGTGAAGCTCAAGAAGGCCTTATACGGCTTGAAGGACGCACCACGAGCATGGTTCAAGAAATATCACGACATACTAGCCAGTATTGGCTGGGAGCCGTGTGATTCTGCGCCAGGCTTATGGAGAAAGCCGAGTGCGAAGGTACCTGGGAAGTTCCTCAAGATGTCAGTCTATGTTGATGACAATCTTGCAACGGGTCCTGATCTTGATGAGCTCAAGACCGAACTAGAACTCATCTTCTCGCGTGCCCCTGGCCGTGCGATTGATGTGGAGTCCGTTCCAACCCCTTGGGGTCAAACGTGGCTCAGGTTCGACTTCTTAGGTGCCATCGTGTACTACTGCCGTGAAGCTCGAACATTTCGGCTCAATATGGAGGAGTACATTGATAAAATCGCAAAGAAATTCGAAATTGATGTCGGAAAACCGGTTTACTCGCCCAATTTTGACGAGTCGGCTTTTCTTGAGGAGGGGATCAAGATAGTCGAAGGGTATCCCTTTCGTGAGGTAGTTGGTGCCTTGCTATGGGTAGCTGTAACCGCGCGCCCGGACATTTCTGTACCGGTGGCAGCATTGGCTAGACATGTCAGCAAACCCGCGTCAACAAGAATGGTTAAAGCAGCCAGAAAAGTGCTAAAGTATCTGGTGACAACGAGAGACCAAGGACTGGAATACTCACCAGAGCAAGAAGAAGAATTCAATAGAATCTATTCAAAGTTACTACCTGAAGGCAGAGATATGCCAGAGGTGAATATCTTTAGTGATGCAGGTTTCGCCAACTGCGTAAAGACTATGAGAAGTACAAGTGGATCGATCATGTATTTCAAAGGCGTTCCAATTGCTTGGAGAAGTAACCGACAAACTGTCCGTGCCTATTCTACGGCTGAAAGTGAATATATTGCAGCTTCTGACACTATTGTGCTTAGTGAACTGCATGACTTTACAGACTTCTATAGGCCTCTACCAACTCAGTTGGTACACACACAGAACGGCTTGTCTCCCTCTTTAGACAATGCTGTGCTCTGGATCGACAACCAATCCGCGATCACAACAGCCAAAGCAACTGACACACGCCCGAAGAGTCGCCATTATGCACTTCGCTACTTGCGTGTGCGTGATGCGGCCAGTAAGATAGTTTTCTGTCCAACTAACTTAATGAAGGCTGATGGCTTAACTAAGTTAGAATGTAGTTCGTCTCAACGTAGACTACTACTTCACCATATAGATAACCCGATAACTAAAGTTGAGCATGATGATTGTGATTCCTCAGACGATGAAACGAATGGGGATGATTTAGCTTACTATAGTGTAGTATATTCGGTTTATTTTGGTTTCTAGCCGAGTATACCGTAGCCATAGAAGAGCAGCTAGGAGATATGACTTCCGTGGTAGTCCAGAGACTAGGGACTTCGACACGCAACGATTGAGGAGGGGTGTTGGTCAAGGTCATAATCCTAATGGATTCACAAAGATCACAAGGATAAAGATCAGCAAAATGACCAAGATCGCCAGGCAAAAGGTTACCGGAACACCATCCAAACGCCCGACGGGTTTACCGTCGCGCGGGTGTCTCTGGCTTCTCCTCTCTCTCTCGTTTGTGGCTCAAGCCTCCCAATACAGTCAAGGACAAAACAGCACCGGAATGATCTCAAAGATAACCTAAAGACCTAAATGCATATAGTTCCAAAATCAGTGATCATCAGGCAAAGGACCTTCAACGTATTCAGATAGCAGGAATGGTGAGTGTTTCATAGCTGTAATCAGGTCCGTAACGTCTTGTCAAGTTCTGACCAATGATGAACGCCAGTGCATGATGATCGTATGAGTCAATGATGATAGATAGCATAAGCGTATCCGTATGAAGCATATGAAATTTCCCCCATGCAACATGATATCCCAATGATGAAGCTGAGACTTCTTCCTTGCAACCCCAATGAACATCCACAGGGATCATTTCGCCTAGTGGTCAAGTGTCTCAGTTCAGTTTCTCCGGATCTGAATGACGCAGGGCTCGAATCCGACTGATGTCAGAATTCGACACACCCGTCACTGGGAGGGCTAAGGAACGGCATCCATGCTGCGAAGCCGCCGGGCAAGGCCTGGATACGAGGTAAGATACGGTGACCCAGAGGAAGGGCCCGGCCCGTCCTGTGCTCGCCCCGGAGAAATGACCAACCAGAGATCATTAGTCTCAGGCTGTGAGTGCAAATTGTGCAAACAGTATCGCTCTCAAGTGTTTCTCACCGAGAAACTAGACGCGACTTAACAGTCTGTGTTCGAATGTATCCAACATAATCCATAGATATCTCAGGGTTTACAATCAATAGATATCTCAGGGTCTTAATGGAACTTGGTGATTCGTCCTCATCGTCATCGCCCATTGCAGCTTTCGCGTGCGGATCAAAGTTCATGATCGTGGCATTCACCTTATCCACCAGGAATTTGCCTAGGAGTAAAGCGTTATTCGATGCAGCCGCGTGGAGGAGACAGAGCTGAAGAAATGGTATGCAGCTTCGGTGATTGAGTTATTCTTGATTGATTGATTGATTGATTGCTGGTGACAATAAGATTAAGATTATTAAGATCGATTAATAAGAAGATGATAAGATTGACGAAGATGATAAGATTAAGATCGATGTGCATTGACTCGTCTGTTGAGGGAGAGCAGGGACGAGAGAATTAAATTCATCACATTAGAGGGTGAGAGAAATAATAATAAACTACTACACCACCACAAGAATTAGCACCCCCTGAACCAACATCTAAGTTCAAATAGAAATACCTTAGTCTTCGAGCTCCGTATCGCTACCAGGTGTCTGTCCTCTTTCAGCACTTCCAGTAGTTCCTTCTGGCGTGCGATGAATTGCGGTGTGACGTTCTTGTCGTTTTTGAGGAGGCCATACACAGTGGTGGACAAAAATTCGTCCACCTGTTCTTGCGTGAGCATCGGCATCTTTTGTAGTACTTGGTTCTGTGGCGCTTGGTAAAGAAAGGTCGAAGAGGGCGCGGGAGTGGAAGACGAGGTGTTGAATCCGAGTTATTAGATGTTGATGAAGTAGATGCTAGCAGCGTTGACGTTCAAGTTGTAGTCCTCCTGTGCAGCTTCTACCCTTGGAAGTAGTCGAAGTTGTCGGAGTCCTGTGAATGGGCTTTCCTGTAGAAGTCCTGTGAATGTGCTTTCCTGTAGAAGTCCTGTAAATGTGCTTTCCTGTAGAAGTCCTGTGTATGTGCTGAGAGAGAAATGGTGGTGCGGGAGTGGTGACGACATTGGAAGACTAGAAGCAGAGATCCGGAGCACCTGGAGCTACAGAGAGTCGTCGTTGCTGGAGTTCTCTGGTCCTCGACATGAACAACTCTCCTCCTACTTTATTCTGTCATTAGGATGACCTGCAAGAGGACGACTTGTCCGTAAGTTGTATCTGATATTCTCGATTTTTATACTTACCATGACAATCCGATCCCGATCAATCATGCAAATGCTCGTGCCGTATCGTGTTCGTCTTCGTTCCTACCGTGTGTTGATTGATCGTCAAACGAAAAACGACGTCAACACTCGTCCTCCATGTCTTTTAATATGCTCTTGGATTGTCACATGAAGATGCCCTAGTGATATACGTGCGCCAAGGTCTACGTCTACAAGGTCTCGTCCTCACGATAAGTATGTTTCTGTATGTCTTGCTTACAGTTTTTATTGCGCTTTCAAAAGACGTGCGCGTGCCAGTTTTCTTATTCCTCGCTACAACAGCACGTGTATTGCTTTTTCATTCTCTCCTCCATGTACAAATACATGTTGGACTCCCCAGCTGCCCAGGATAGCTCATCAGCATCCAATCTTCTAAATTGTGATATTGATGTAGCGTTTTTGTTTTTATTCGACTGCGCAGCCTTATCTGCTTGGAGGATATTTTGCAGCTTCGTCTTCGGCTCGAATCTGTGCTGTCCGTGAATCTAAGCCGAAAGACACAGTAGTTTTGGTTGTCACAGCAGGAGCACGACTTCTACAAGAAGCAACGTTGTCCCCATTCTTCTCACCTTTCATCTGATTGGCTTGTTCCAAAGACAAGCAGAGTCTCTGAGCATTCGTTCGCGCACTAGCAACATCCCCGGTCAATATCGATCGCTCCAGGAGCGATGCGACTTCAATTATCTGCTCTTGCGTTCTCGTTTCGGCAGGGTCGTCGTCGGGCAAGCCAGACATTTTTCTATCATCATGCTACTCACTGAAGTCTATGCCTGTAGAGGATATCATTATCAAAATCAAACCATTTTGATTATAAATCTTTTCTCGTCACTGTTGATGATCTCATTTACATTTGCACTGGAGGTCATTTATTTTGACCCTCCCTTTTATATTCATTGTCGTCACCGAGTCCGACACCGTCTCCTCCTTGTACTTGCTCAACAGTTCATCATTCCCTCTGGTCGGCTGCTCTCGGATTACACTATTGTCATCTAAGAATCAAAACGTCCACGCCGACCCTAAAATCCTACAGTTTCCTAAAATCCTACACTTTTTCTTTATAATTGATTCTTTTTTTTTTCGAGTTTGCAATAAGTAGAAGAAGACTCATCATGATCAACAATGCCTGCTTTTGCTTCTATATCCACCTCAGGGATACGGTTACGGATTGATTTTTCGTCGTCTGGGTTTCTGAGCACACTCAGCATCGTTGGTTATGGTTACTAGCATCTTGTTGTTGTTCATATTCTTCTTCGATTACTACATTTTTATGATGAAGAAAACAATAATTATTTGTTCTGCAGAAGAAGAAGACAGTTAGCACATTTGATATGTTATCGATAATGTCTATGAATATGTTGAGCTGGCTTCGTTCTACAGCAGGAAAAAAGAGACACTAAGAAGTAGTCAAAAATTTTCGTTTTCAGTCACGCAATCGATTATCGGTCGTCGAAGTTGTCGCAGCGCCTGACGGCTGCTGCGGATGTCTTCATTTTTGCTACCCCTCCTGCGCTACAATAGGAATTCATTCTTTCGAAAATAAATCTTCATCGACATCAAGTAGAAGTTTAACAACGCGCGTGTTGTTCTTCAAAGAAAGAAAGAGAGAAAAACTCGCCAGATCTAGTACAACTCATCGACAGTGTGAATGACAGCAGCAAGCGGCAGCATGTTTCCTCCAGTGTGTTCCTGACTGTGGAAGCAACAGGAAGATCAAGACGGCGCATGCCTATCGGTGATGTCCTTAAAACCATACACGAAGATCAGAAGAAGCACGACCTTGGAAAAGCACGACCACAAGACGAGAGCAAGAGGAGGATAACACGACTAGACAGTCTCGAAATTAAATATTTGTAAATGTCTCATTTGACTACTTTGAAAACGATCAAGTTGTTTAAATTTCTCAAGTAATTTCTTCTGCCCTTAACAACAAGCTGTAACCAAAGGAAAAGCACTAAAGTCAAGACCTTTCCAAGAACTACGCTAAGGTAAGCAACGACGAGAAAACAGTCCTAAGTGAAGAACAGTCACAGAAGGTGACTTACGGTGGTCGAGGTACTCTAGGTCCCCTGCCTAGCTAGAACTTGAGTAGGTTGACGAAAGTTCTCTAAGTCAGGAGTAAGTGACAAGAAGTGTTAGCATGGTGGTCGAGGCCTTAAGCACCTGCCAAGTGGACTACTACTTACCAGCCTTTCGCTTAAAGAAAGTCAAAAAACGTAACTCCCATGTTTAACCAGGAGTGGAGTTTGTAGTTGGTGATTAAAGAAGCTCTCGGTATGCCAAATAAGACCGGTGGTCTTATGCACGAATCCGATCGAATTCAGCTCTCGTGCCTACAGGACACAAGCGAACTTGTGCAGATGTTGTTACACCTTTTTCTCCTTCCTTTTGCTATCAGCAGGCGAAAAGCAGAAGACCTGCAACAAAAACAACAAAACACCTCCGGTGGCGATGTTTCTAGCATCTTGCTACCTTGTAACGGGGCCTATGGTGGTATTGTTCCTGGCGCATAGATGTTGTGGCGGAAGGAGACTGTCGGGTGGTATCAGTGGACGTCAAGGAGGAGGATCTGTCCACTTCGTCTTCGTCTGTTACCTTTGGATGCGCTCAGTTCGATATCGTCCTCTCAATGCTGACGGAGAAAAGGAGTGGAGCACGACAAACTTCTGCGATTCTTGTGGATGATCTTGATCTATCAGTGATGAAGTTGAAAACAGTAGTAGAAGTTATTTTGTCATCCGTAGAGAAGTTGTATTAGCCGGTCTTTTTCCGCGAGCGTTACTGGGCGCTTGAACGGCGGGCCGGGATAGAAGAACGCAAGAAGTAGATGACGAGATCAAGAGTAGAGACGATGAGACCAAAGGTAGAGGAGATTATAGAGGGCACCGTGGAGCACTACCAGCTTCTTGTGGAGAAGCACCGTGACGCGGTCGCAAAGGAGCAGCCACGCGCTGCTGCCTTGTACGCAGGTCGGATGAGGCAGTACACGAAGCTCATCGACCCCGCCGATGCGGCAGACCTTCCGCGGCTTCAGCAGGAGGCCCTACTTGCGTCGCAGGCTAACTCGAGGAGGCGACGAAAGCGTGGCGATGTAGGTCCTGACACGAGGCCCGGCATGGTCTACGCCTACTGGAGTGCAGACGGCCTTCTTTATGTTGGCTCGACAGTCAACATACACGAGAGGTATGCGCAGCATGTAAGGGAGGTGGAACGACCCGACAACAAGCAAAAGAAATATGAGCAGACAATAACAAAGTTTCTAGTGGTCCGTCTTGCCAGCACGGTGCACGATAGCCGGAGGCTAGAGACCGCGCTTGTCCGTATGTTGCGACCGGAGCTGAACGTAGCAGGACTACCTGACGAGCAGGAGGACCGTGAGAGCCATGAGCACGCGGAACTCGAGAACAGCAAGAGCGGCAAGGGGCCGAAGAGGAGGAGGCGAAGGCCGCCGCAATGGGCTCGCGTGCCGTGTGTTTTTGGAGTGCCATCGCAGGCCCTTCTTGCGATCAGGCAGCGCACTGAGGAGCAGAACCAGCGTAAGCGGACGCTCGATGAGATGTATAGCGATGCCCAACAGAAACGCAGCGTAGGAGCTAGGGGCCCCATCAACCTCTACGCGAGCCAGAACTTCTATCTGTTGGCAAAATACCTTGGCCAGCGCAGGACCAAGGCTGACCCACTTCAGATGCTTGCTTGTAGGAGGGGGAACGAGTTTCCGGAATACAACCTAAGGAGCATCGTTGACCGTGGCGCGGTCGTTGCCGGCAGGGAACGTGATCGGGCAAAGCGAAAGGTGAGCTACCTCATCCACGTGAGGGGCTGCCCTTCCAACTCGAGGATCACAGTACGATGGCGCTACTCATGGGAGCGACGGGAGCTACTGCGGTTGCGTGGCGAGATCATAAAAGCATCACATGCACGGCTACGGCCTTTCCTCATGCGGAGCATCCGGCTGCAACGGCAGCCGCTACCGCGCATGCGGAGGCACACCGACACTGCCCCGCGTGCTGCCAGGAGGACCCCAGGCATGGTGGAGCAGGAAGTCCGGGACACATCCATGCGAGTAGTGCCGGTCTACATGAATGCACCACTACCACCTGGGCCAGAGTCTCTGCGGCACGTAGCAGAGCAGGGACGATCGATGATGAGGATGGCGCGCAAGCGTGTTCCTTTTCGGGCACGACAATCAGAGATGCAGATGGAGAGGCGACGGCATCCACTCTTCCGGGAGGATGAGCAGATGCAGGCCGCGCACCGATCAGGGCGTGTAACTGTCGTCATCGATAAGGACAAGGAACTTGCGCTGCAAGTCGACGCAGCACTCTACCAAAACTGGAACGTGCAGGCAATGCAGGCTGACCAGAGCTTTCAGCAGATGGCAGCAACCACGCAGTCGACTGCCCTTGCTGATGTGAATGAGGAGATTCGCATGTGGAACGAGGAGCCGGGGCGAAGGCCAAGGCATGTACTCGAGCCACTGCGCCAACTGGCGTACGCATACGTGGTCCCGAAGCGGAAGGCCCTCATGGTGGGTGTGGAGGAGGCCTGTTTCAAACCTGGAATTCCCAAGCACAAGCGCTTTCGCAAGATCATCAGCCAGGTAGCAAGTGTGCGTGGCGCCAACCGCAGGGCGCAGAGACGATGCGCACGGAGCGTGGAGGCCACAGTGCGGAGAGTGTTGCCAGGGAAGTGCGAAGGTGATGGTCTTCATGTCGCTGCAGGCTCTTTCTATGAGAAGGTAGGCCGTTTACGACCAATCCAGCCGACGTGTGCTGGGTGTGGCAGCCGGGCACTGCCAGGGGGTGTCGTCGTAGACGCAGTAGCCTTCTTCGAGAAGGTTCCAACGGACCAGATGCAGGAGAGTGCTGACTATGTAGCCGCCAAGGGTTGCACGGAGGATGAGACAGCGGATTTGGAGTTCCTCCTCTTCAACGTGACGACATTGCGCCTAGCCACTCTCGGGCCGGCAGTGACGCTCAAGCAGGACCCAAGCAAAGGCACGCCGATAGGAGGAATATGCAGTAAGGTCGCGTGCTCTTTGACCATGGGCGTGAAGGAAGACCGCGCGTTTGGACCTACAGGCGGCCAGAAGGTCGAAGATATAGCTCTGGAGAGATACGTGGACGACAGCGGTGCCGTGTCGGGGGTTTTCTGCAATGATTGTCTCGACGCGCGCGTGAGTAGCATTTACGACGGAGTGGAGGTTGAGCGAGATCGGTCTCTTGAGGGAGGAGCGATGAGGTGGCTTAACTATGAACTCCATGCATGCGCCAAGGCGGGTGGCTGCATTGCGATTCGCACTGAGCTGCTAGTAAAGCCGCTCACAGTCCGCTTCTCCGGCATCGGTGATGTAATGTATTACCGCACCGTATTCCGGAGTAGGACTCACAGCGTTATCCATGGCGCGAAGACGTCAGGCGCTGAGAGGTTTCTCTTCCTTTTATCAGAAGCAATACAGTGGTATAGACAAGGTTTCACGACAAGAGTACTACTACAAATCCTATCTGGATACAAGACCAAGTTTGACACGACTCGTTGCTTGCTTCGCAATTTCTCCACGTATCTTGCCCTCACACGGGTGAAGACAGCGACAATGCCGGACCACAAGGATAAAGAAACGTCCTACAGCAAGGACCTCCTTAAAGACAAAGCGAGGCCTACCGCTGAGGAGGAGGCGAAGATCCGAGAGGTCTTGCGAGTGCGTGAGCTCGAGGAATACAAGGAGAAAGCAGAACGTCAGATCAAGGAGGAGAAGATCCGCAAACTAGAGCTCGAGAAGCATGAACGTCTTGCCGCATGCATTGCCGAAGGCATCAAGGGTGGCGTCACGGTTGGCGCAGGTGGATTGCCCCCTGCACAGGCAGCAGCAGCGCCGGTTCCTGCTCCGGCAGCACCTCACACAGCTGCTGGTAATAGTGGTATGGGACTAGGAGCTGTGTACGAGCAGCGAATTGCTGCGTTGGAGGGCAACATGCAGACAGTCAATCAACGCATGCAGACTGTTGAAGGGCAACAGCTGCAACTTGGGCAGCAGCAGCAGCAGCTTGGGGTTGGACAGGAGCGCATCTTGCAGATGCTACAACAGATGCAGGGAATGATGGCTGCCGCTGGTGGAGCAGTTGGAGCTGGTGCGAACAATGGTGTGGCGAACCAGCAGCCTCAGGCACCTATGGTGCAGCAGCCTCAAGCGCCGGCTGTGCAGCAACCTCAAGAACCTGCTGTACAGCAGGCACCACTTGTCGCGCAACAGCCGCCAGCGCCGGTTGTCCAGCAGCAACAACAGCAACAGCAGATCCTATTGGGAGGAGCAGATGGCGGAATTGCGGCAGTGGCACCTCAGCCACAAGGTGCGAACGCAGCTGGTGGTGGTGGAATTGGTGGACCTCCAATGCCGGCAGTGCCTTTGGCTGGAGGAGGTGGCGGCCTAGTAGTAGCGGTCCACCCAAATGACGCCCCTTACAACAAGCACCAGCTATATGACCTCCTGGAGCCAGCCGAAAGACAGCAGGTGGCATTTGCAGCAAACGACGCCCCCACTCGGGCGAAGCTGGAGATGCTCAACCGTGACCAACTACGGACTATCTGGCAACGCATCCATCAGAACCGACGGGTGTTGGTGGCTGCACCGCAGCAGACCGTCAAGGTGCAACTCCTCAATGCGATACTAGGGGCCTTCGTGGTCGCTCACAACGCGCACCAGGTGCGCTGATCACCTCAAACAACAACGACAACGACTGCTGCTCGATGTTCTTCTTCTTTTGTCCTTCTCGTCTCAACATGTCGAGTCTTACCTTTTACCCCGAACTTCTGGTCTTCTCCCGGTTGGGTTATATGGGACGCAAACTCATCGACAGCGTGAATGACAGCAGCAAGCGGCAGCATGTTTCCTCCAGTGTGTTCCTGACTGTGGAAGCAACAGGAAGATCAAGACGGCGCATGCCTATCGGTGATGTCCTTAAAACCATACACGAAGATCAGAAGAAGCATGACCTTGGAAAAGCACGACCACAAGACGAGAGCAAGAGGAGGATAACACGACTAGACAGTCTCGAAATTAAATATTTGTAAATGTCTCATTTGACTACTTTGAAAACGATCAAGTTGTTTAAATTTCTCAAGTAATTTCTTCTGCCCTTAACAACAAGCTGTAACCAAAGGAAAAGCACTAAAGTCAAGACCTTTCCAAGAACTACGCTAAGGTAAGCAACGACGAGAAAACAGTCCTAAGTGAAGAACAGTCACAGAAGGTGACTTACGGTGGTCGAGGTACTCTAGGTCCCCTGCCTAGCTAGAACTTGAGTAGGTTGACGAAAGTTCTCTAAGTCAGGAGTAAGTGACAAGAAGTGTTAGCATGGTGGTCGAGGCCTTAAGCACCTGCCAAGTGGACTACTACTTACCAGCCTTTCGCTTAAAGAAAGTCAAAAAACGTAACTCCCATGTTTAACCAGGAGTGGAGTTTGTAGTTGGTGATTAAAGAAGCTCTCGGTATGCCAAATAAGACCGGTGGTCTTATGCACGAATCCGATCGAATTCAGCTCTCGTGCCTACAGGACACAAGCGAACTTGTGCAGATGTTGTTACACCTTTTTCTCCTTCCTTTTGCTATCAGCAGGCGAAAAGCAGAAGACCTGCAACAAAAACAACAAAACACCTCCGGTGGCGATGTTTCTAGCATCTTGCTACCTTGTAACGGGGCCTATGGTGGTATTGTTCCTGGCGCATAGATGTTGTGGCGGAAGGAGACTGTCGGGTGGTATCAGTGGACGTCAAGGAGGAGGATCTGTCCACTTCGTCTTCGTCTGTTACCTTTGGATGCGCTCAGTTCGATATCGTCCTCTCAATGCTGACGGAGAAAAGGAGTGGAGCACGACAAACTTCTGCGATTCTTGTGGATGATCTTGATCTATCAGTGATGAAGTTGAAAACAGTAGTAGAAATTATTTTGTCATCCGTAGAGAAGTAGTACAACTTTTTTGTTGAATGTCCCCTATCGTATGATCAACAGGTTTAAAGTTTTTGAACGTAGTAGAAGCAAGAAGCAAGCAGGTCCAAAATCTTCTAGTTAGAAGAAGGCATTGAGAAATATTCTTTCTTTTCATCATATTAGATGCAGTTGATTCCAAGAACCGTTATTTTTTTTTTTTCTATCTCCTCCTGCAAAGCTCTAGTCTACCACGACCACGACTAGATATAGAGCATAAGTACTTTTTAGTTTAGGCGTTAACAACTGAGTACACGCATCCGCATCAGTTTTTAACCTTGTTCCAGCATCCTCCTCTACTTGCTTTTCTTCTTCTACCTCATCTCTAGTCATGTGGGTAGAAGCAAATCAATGAAGATGTAAGTTGAGGATGAGGCACAGGCAGTCTTCATGACGTTTAATTATCACCAACTCAGTGAGACAATCAGAAGTTTCTCCTACGTTGCTCGCATTTTTAACTACACGGTCTAGCTGCATCACCCGTGACTGTCCTTTGAATAACCAGTGTTATGCGGCTCTTGTCAATGTCTTCGAAGTAAGTCAGTTTTAGAGCTCTCCCCTATTCATCCCTGTGGAAATCCCTCAAGCATATGCGTCAGTATCTCCCTTGTATTAGGGCGCATATGTTTGAGGGATGTCTACAGGGATGGATTAAGGGAAGCCTTAACAGTTCTCGGTTGCTTCCTTGAAGGAACTGAGACTGTCTGCCTCTACCTTTTTGGATTCCGGGAACTTCAATCGGCTGGAAACCTTTATTTGCAGCATCAGCGCTAGAAGCCGAACTTGCTGCTCCTGCTCCCCCAATCATCGAGAGATGAAGTGGGGCGATATGCCTCATTTTGAGAATGTAGCCGTTTTTCAGCGTCTCCTCATCACCTGCCTGTGCGAGTAAGTAATCAGCGACCTCGACCAGCGAGGCGGTTTTGACTTAGAAATGGATTCTTAAGGCGGGTGGTTGTTGAGTGGTTTTGATTATATTGAAGATATATCCCTTCCGCTTCCACTTTTTTCTGTTTAGTATACACGGAGAATTGAAATTTCGAGTTATAATTAAAGTCCGCGTTTTCTTCGTCGAGTTATGAAGCCTTAATTTACCTCGCCTGTCTCTCCACCTCGCCTTGAGCTTGACGTTGCAGCTTCTCCTCCTTCCTGTTCGAAGATGTAAGGAATATTCGCCGCTCCACCTCGAGCAGGACCTCCTACATTACCAAAGCTTATCTCCAAAGGAGGTTTGGACCCAGTGGTGGCCGGCTCATCTTTCTTGGGCTCATCAGTTTGCTTCTTCAATCGTCCAGGAAGCGTCTTTGCTCTTTCCATCATCTTTCCGTCTCCGCTAAAAGAGCTGCGATACTGTCGAAGAACAGATTAGAACAAACGTCTAACAAATTCTACACGCTAAAGAACTTCTACAAGAACTAGAGAACTTACTACTATAACATTAACAACTAGGTAGAACAATTATTAAATAGTATCAGAGGACCTACTAAAGAACCCTATTAAGCTACCCTAATAAACTGTAACAAAGCCAACATGTGGTCATACTGCGCCATACTGCAGACACAGATACTGTAGGTGCACTTCCCCCCTACTACGTTTAAGCCCTATACTTCTGTAACAAAGACAACATGTGGTCATAAATGGAAGCTGCCATGGACAACGTCGTCTAACAAATCTTATTATACGCTAAAGATGATGAACTTCTACAGGAACTAGAGAACTTACTACTACAAGAACTAGAGAACTTCTGTAACAAAGACAACATGTAGTGGTCATAAATGGAAGCTGCCATGGACAACTGTGGCGCAGCAGCTGTGGCTTCGGTATCATGATCGTGAGATACGACATCGAATACGAGCTGGAGACTTCGGGTTGGCGCAGTTTGGAGAGCAGCAGGTGTGGTGGAAGCAGGAGATGGCGAAGCATTCTTCAACAAATTCTTCATCCTCTCTAAAGTAGCATGACGTTTTTCGCCAGGTTGGTTAGATGAGAAGTCACTCATTTAGATATCTTTTTCATTGAGCCCTAACATAATACCCTCTTCAAACATAGCAGTGGCAGCATCACCAGCCTTCGCCGGATTCACCATCAAAGTGGTCGTATATATAACTACATCAGAGGTGCTGTCAAGGGAGATGGATCATCTACAGCGATTTTTCTAGTACTTACTTCTAGTGAGTACTAACTACATCATCAGCGATCGTACTGGACCTGAGACAAAGATGTAGCTTAGATGGACCACTGATGACAGAGACAGCACAAACTACAAATGGTGCAACCAAATCCTCGATTAATATTTTATATATGGGTGGAGCCAAAAATCTAACTAGGAAAAGTAAAAAGAAATGAATATAGATAAATAATATAAGTAAATATACGTAACTTCACTCAAACGCAAAACCAAAGCAAGGTTCTCCGCTTCGCTCCTACCGCTTCCTCCTTGAGCGCCAGCAAGAAGCTCCATTTCATCTCCTGACTTATGAAATGCAACACCAGATCGTTCATGGTCCTGTGGATCCACGTGAAGTAGTGAGAAACCGCCGGTCAATAACCCTCTAGCAGTCGCATTATCTTCACGTGCCCGTTTGGCCAGTGCCTGACTCGCAAAGGTAAACAAATCGTCGAAGAAGCGGGCTTCCATTCGGTCTGGAGACCTTGCTGAGGTGCTGCGATTTTTAGAGAAGTAGTTCTTGCGTAGATAGAGCTAGAAGAACGCAATTGATGGATAGAACCAGAAGAACTATCACAACGAGTCTCTTGCCAAAGCCAGCAGCTATTTTTTCACAACAAGGTCCAAATGCTGGAACAAAAATAAAGGCTGTCGTCTATCTTGCGGTGAACGATGTCGAAGATCAGTACGACCTCCTGCAGGACTAATGCAACACGGTAATATGAAAAGCCTCAACATCGTGAAGCTCATTATGTCCTCTACTCAGTCGGTTCCTATTCACAAGCCATACCAGAGGATGTCTGCTCCACACCCAGGGAAATGATGCGCTGATTTTCTTTCGCTTTGCTCGATGGGCTGTCGTCCAACCATACGTTCGGGCCTCGAAGCTCGACATGGACCACATTTTTATTACAACTATAATGTTGTTCTTGTCCAGCAGGAGTTTCTTTATCACGTATAGTTTGCCCAACATCTTCCTTTTTGTCCTTGCTCTCTTCAACAGGAGCAGTCCCAACAGCTGCGGTATCCTTCAACAAGCGCGTAAGCAAGTTCTCGAACAACGCGCTCAGGCGGGTTTCCTCGTCTTGCTGGGCCCTTAATCTGAAGAGAATGTGCAGGATCGTTTTCGTTTACAAGCAAAAAGTGTGGTACTATGAAGAGAATGTGGAGGATCGTTTTCGCTTACAAGCAAAAAGTGTGGTACTATTTAGCTTCTATGGCTAGATTGGTTTGCTCTATGTCCTCTTGGTCTCCCTCTGTCCTGCTCTTTGATCTGTTTCTGTTGTTGTTGAAATTCAAAACAAAAAACAAGCAAAAGTTGTACTCCCTATCTTTCGTTCGGGTGATTGCAAGTGATATGACATGCGCGTCGATCTGAGCGCGCGTTTCTTTCCCTGCTTCCAACGTTATTAGAGTGATGATGCTGATCCACGACTCTGGTGACGAGCCTGATCATACTTTAGGTCTAACCCGACTCCCTCCTCAAGTTTGCCTTAACAATAACCAATCGATGAAGTGAGCTGCGTGAATTAGTCTGCGAGGTGCGTAGTCTGGCTTTACGTGGGTCCCATCTCGGGATAAAAACTCCGCTCGATGCGATAGAGTTCGACTATCAGCACCGTACAGCAGAAGAGTTTAGATGTTTCTTCTTCTAGGCTGTATCATGTTGAAAAAAGTGCTCCGATGTAGTCCTTGATGTATCTACTTTCTTCTAGAAATTAATATTAATTTTGAGTTGTGCCTGTAATATTCTTTCATCACCGAGGAGGAAGAGGAGAAGGAGGAAATGGAGAATCGTGATCATCTAGGTTAGTAGAGGTTAGGTTAGCTCAGACTAGGTTAGCAGGTTAGGATATTTGGACGATAGGTTATGGATAGGTTAGCATTAGGGAGTCACAACTTGTTGCAAGCAAGAAATGGGTCTTGTTCTTGTTGTACAGCTATAAAACATCGAGTTCACACGACACTTGGGGACGAAGCCGAAGCAAAGAAGTAGAAAGATGCATTATTTTGCTCTCTCGACGAACTGTAGATAGTACGTAGGTGTATTCGATAAACTGAAATAAGCGAGCATCTACTGAAAATAAGCGAGTAACTACTGAAACTAAGTAAAGTAGCCCTGTCAGAGCTACCTCCCTTAACTCTTGATCTTGCTGTTCTTGTTTACCAGTTCAGTCCAGCTTGCTTTCAGGCCGGACCAAAAACTTTCACGCCCATCTTCGGGCAACAGCTCCTGTTCTGCTGTGCATTGGTTAAGCTCCCTTATCTGAAAATCACCGAGTTCTCGATGGTCGCGCCCCTCTTCCTTGAAAGTCTTGGTAATGCAAGTTTTGAGAATTTCTATGATCTTCGGTGCTTCTTCCCGCCGTTTCTGGGCTTCTTCCCTTTGCTTCTCCTGGGCTCGCTGTGCTTCTTCTTTGGCCCTCTTCTGCTGTGGTGAAATGCGAGGACTAGTTGCCCCTCCTGCTCCGCTAACACTAGTACCTTCGCCTCCGCCTGAAGAAACTGAAAATGAAAAGGCTCGTCCTCCGCAAGTAGATGACGCTGGCAAAGTCCTTGTCGTGTAATCCGTTTCTGGCAAGGGCAGGAGCTCTTCAACAGACCCTCCAAGTCTCTGAGGTTCCATCGAACAAATTTTCTTGCCATCACCATTAACGGCCACACCTACAAGTTCTGCTTCTTGCTTTGCGTTTGCTTTGGAAGACAAACCCGGTGATGAACCAGATGAAGGTTGACCTTGCCGCAACTGTCTCGCTGCATGTAAATTCTTGAGAGTATCATTGGATAACGCGGATCGTCGTTGTTGTTCTGGTTCTACATTAGCTCCTTCTTCTTCTTCACCTGATTTTGAGGACGTGTGGCCACCTGGTATAAGATGGAGGTGAAGACTTTGGCCACCTGATCCGGAAGATGGAGATGGTACTGTCGTATTAGCTCCAACAGGAAGGTTCCCGGCACTAGCTGCTTTGCGCTTTTCCCGAGCTTCTTGCTGGATCATCTTGAGGCTTTTCAAGATCTTTTGCTTTTTCGCATCTTGCTCTTCGCTGTCAGGAGTAGCTGCGGGAGCAGGAGCCGGGGCAGCTGGGCCTGTTGAACCACTTTGGCCACCAGACGATGCTGTAGGTACTGCTGCTGCTGCTGCTGCTGCTGATACGTCACCTTTTTCAGCTCTGCGTCTTTGTGCTGCTTCATGCGATTCCTTCAATGTCCGTAATAGAGCTTCTCTTTTCTTCTGCGCTTCGGGATCTACCTGCTCAACGTTTGTCGCGCCACCTGAAGTGGACGCTGATGTGCTAGCACGCGCAACAGCACCTCCCGTACTTCCAGATGAGCCACCAGAGGAACACGAAGTAGGCGATTGTTCTTGCGCATGTTCTTCATCTGTACCAGGAACACGAGCAGGTAACTCGGGACGTTTTTCTTCGATAGGCGTAGTTGTAGTTCTTTGTTGTTGATTTTCACCACTCGCCTGCTGTTGTTGATCCTTGGTGTGATAATTGTTGTATCTCTCTTCAGTCTCCCTACGAATCTGGGCCATCTGTTCTGCGAAAGTCTGTTCTCGTCCAAAACCTGGTCCTCGTGGAGGATCTGTAGACAAGTGCGAGATGGAGTTGTTCCCTTGGTTAGGAGGACTTCTACCAATATTTTGATCGACTCGTGGAGGTCTGTGCTCTTGTTCAGGACCACCTTGTAATCCTCCAAGCGGCTGCATCTCTCCACCCAATCGTCCCGGTGGCTCAGAGCTTCCTCCAGTAGGACCTGCTTGGCTAGAACTGACCGTTGCCGTAGCAGTGGAAGTAGAAGGAACTGATGTTGAAAAAAAAGGAGTAGTACCACCTCCACCAGTACCATCTCCAGTACCACCTCCACCAGTACCATCTCCAGTACCATGTCCTCCAGAACCATCTCCATTACCATGTCCTCCAGAACCATCTCCATTACCATGTCCTCCAGAACCATCTCCATTACCATGTCCTCCAGAACCATCTCCATTACCACCTCCACCAGAACCATCTCCCGTACCATGTCCTCCAGAACCATCTCCCGTACCATGTCCTCCAGAACCATCTCCCGCACCATGTCCTCCGGAACCATCTCCAGTACCATGTCCTCCAGAACCGTCTCCCGTACCATGTCCTCCAGTATCACCACCTCCACCTCCAGTAACATCACCTCTAAGAATAGTACCACCTCCAGTGACATTCACAGCATTACGACCTCCAGCTGCTGCTGCAGTACCTCCATCTCCAAGAATAGTTATTAGGTTGAGAAGATTATTCCGATTCACATTCTGGCCGCCAAGAACCTGACCACCACTAGTACCATGTCCTCCTCCAACAGGACGAGGACGAACTGGACCTGCAGGAGTTGCACTCGTAGAGAACGATCGAGAAACCGCCATCCACGAACCGGCAACCACACCTCCCGTTACGAGTAGAGAGGTGGCGACGATAGCTGTCCACATCAAGATAGGATTGCCAGACGACGCCGGTTGAGGCGGCTTCTTCTTGTGTGTCGCAGACGTCTCGCCAGGCAAAGGTGGAGAGGCATAATTAGGATCATGCGCAGCAAACATAGTCGTGCCCCCAGCTCCATCCATTCCAGTTGTTGTACCATCAGGAGGACATGACTGAAGATGAAGTAAGCCTTGCTGTTGCTCGCTCATGTTGCTCTTGTCGTGAGGAGGAACAGTCATTTGTTTATCCTTTTTGTTTTTTGAAATGGAATCAACACATCAATCAGTTGTAGTTTGTTGTTTCACTTCTGTAGTAGTACTTCACCAATCTTCAACTTCAAGTTGTTCTCCAGCTTCCGCGCACAATCTTGAAGAAGTTGATTTTTGAAAAACGAGAACGAACTCAATGTAGTTAGAATGCAACAAGTAGACGTAATTTATTATAATATGTAGCTAGCCGTAGTAGTTGCTTTCGATTCGAATCCACCAGGTGAAGACACGTTTATCTTTATGTTTGAAAATTTTGTTGTGTTCTAAAAGTAAAATTTTGCTGGACGAATACAAACTATGATCGATTTTGATTTTGAAGATGTTTCAGATTTTGTGGAAATTATTAGTCGCTGCTGCTCTTGATGGCAGGGTTCTTCGAGTTCAGTGTCCCCGAACGAAGACTCGCAGCTGCTAGGCAACAAGGAGCAGTAGATAAGTCGCGACGAGGGCCAGAAGAGTATATCTAACAAGATGAACTAGGACGATGAAAAAGAAACAAGTACATAGGATTTTACAGAAAAACTGCAGAACAACGCCTGATGATATGTAAAAAAACGAGCATTCATCTGCATATATGTTTACTTGTTGGACGAGTTATCTGACACGACGCGCACGGACCACTCAAGAATATTACAGAAAGTAAGATGAACTTCGTGAAATAGAAATTTCCCGAACTACTTCTTGAAAACGGAAAATTATCCGACGCTGTGCTTGCTGTACTATGGATCTACCTAGTATTTGAAAACTTTTTCTGAAGATGAAGACGAGTGAGAGAGACTTTCATCTTCTTCGTGCCTGCACGCCAGCGGTCGTGATCATACTGAAACCTTTGACCGCAAAAGACTATGCACTTCAAGATCATATCATCTCCCGATTGAACTCCATCACCGTGTGACTGCACGTGCATGGACGAAAGGCAAAGGACCGATATTAGTTCGACCTATGAAGATGTACAAGCAAGTGAAAGAGACATTGTGACGCGGCGTACTGTCTACAGGAACTGAAGACATCTACAAGAACACTTAGAAAATACTTCCCATCTAACGCCAACAAAAAGCAGCATCGATGCCATGTATCTCCACTCTACAGTTTGCATCTGAATCTGTGTTCGTTATTAGCATATGTATTCATCTAGTATCGTTTATTTCGGCGGAGAGACACAGTTGTATCTGTAGTGTCACTCTCATCACTCCTCTCTGTCAAGAAGTTTAAAACATTAAAAACATTTGATATCTTCAAGATCAACAATCGATAAATTTTTTGTCATTAACAATCGTCATCAGAAGCTTCTTCCATCAAGACATCGAAAGCACTATTTCTTACCGAATAATGTTCATGTTCTGCATGCTTGTGCTTGTGTACATTTTTATCATCTCCTCCAGCAGGAGGTGCCGCTGCTTCTATAACAAGAGCTCCTGCAGCTTGCAACTCCGGAACTTCTTCTAACTTTTCTTGCGGTATGCCAAATCGCGCGTCCGTTGCAATCACCGCAGTAGGCTTGCTCATTCGATTAGAGCTGTCCGTAATTCGTCTTTATTCAAGTGCATCCTTGAAACGTATGGGGGAGTATTCCCTTAGGATACTGCTCCATACGTTTCAAGGATACGTCCAAAGATGTATTAGGTACAGCCTTAATTCGAGGAGTAGAAACACTGGCGCGAGTAGGACTATTGTTCTTCGATATTGATGCGGTTCCAGATCCTGTCGATGATGTAACAAGAAATGTCGGTGGAGTTTCACTTACGCGAGGACCACTAGCGCCAGTGCCAGCGTTCGTTGTTCTGGTCGTTGTAAGAGCAATATTTTCTTCATTAGTTCCAACAGAGCTTCGTCTTAGCGGTGTCGTCCGACCTCTTGGCGAGTTCGGTGCAGAGCTGGAACTTGTCCGCACAGGTGGAGAATAGGCTAAACTAGTGTCCTGTTCGATTCTCTTAGTCCTCGGCTTAGTGCTGCTAGAAAAATTAGTTGTATTAGGGTGCTGGTCCTTGTCCTCCTCATGATAAGGTGGATAAGCTGCATAAGATGTTCTAGAAGTGGCTATAACTGATGAAGAAATCTTCGTAGGTGAAGGAGCTGCTACACCTACTACACCTTGCCCATCATCTTCTGCTCGCTCTTGTGCCACAACCTGTGCTCCTTCTCGTTGTACTCTTGGTGCTGGTTGTTCCATGGACTCACCTTCTTGAAATTGATGCAGATGATTACGTGGAGGTAACGATGAGTGCAGAGGAGCCATGCTTTTTATTCCAGCAGGAGAAGGAGAAGCATGCTTTTCATTATCCACACGAACTGCTCGATCCACAAGCGAACTCGGAGCTCTTGGTGTTTGCTGTTGGTGTTGCGATCCCGCCACTACATCCTGACCTCCTTGATAAGGGGAACCATAGCTGCTATGCTGCGTTGTTGTCGTGGATTCTACAGCGTGGTCTGGTTGATATTGAGGAGCTGAAGTGGCTGCAACGACCAGCCGCTGTTTGTTTCCCTGCTGTCGTTGCGGTCCTTGTTGCCCTTGTCCTCCTCCTCTTGCTCTGCCTTCTTGCTGCATACCATTTTTACTTCTAGCATGATCTTGTTGAAGCAGTAGCCCCAGGAACAACTCTTCGCTTTGCATCGCACCAACCAGCACCGACTCAAACAAAACTCGGTGCCTTGAGCCAGTTTGAGCAGATGACGCATACAACCCGCGCTCACTGGCTTCGCACATGTGCCTCAAACCACCTAGCAATACAAAGAGCAGGACCAAAAGCAGCAACACGATCCAGCCATTTGATGTGAAGGAAACAACGGCAAAAGAACCTCCCAAAGCAGATAGAATGCAAGCGATGTTGGAAAAAACGGACACCATATCGTAGAACATACTTCGATTCATAGCTTCTCCAGTCGAAGAGGACGAAGATGGATTGGAAGAAGTTGAAGCTGCAGTAGTTGTTGAAGTGCTCGGTGTCTGTCCACCTCGTCCACCTCCGAAAAGCATTTTTATCGACGATGCAGAGGTAGTACTGAGCCTTAAATTGTTGTAATCGTCGACGGCTGTAGTTCCGAACGGCTCGGAACCAGAAGAATTTTTTAGACTATTTGGTGTTGCATTATTGTTGTTAAGGTTACTAAAATCACCACCCGCGCCCACAGCTGGCGCTCCTCCCACCACCTGTTGTAGTTGATTCGCGCTTGGAGGTGCTCCTGGTTCTGCTCGTGGCGCAAAAACTACAATATGATCATCGCTCAGAACCATGCAAAGTTTTGCAACGCCTTGTCTTAGTTCGGATTCCACCACTACTGGCATCGCAGCCGAGTTACTTCTAGAAGATCCCAGAGTCGACAGCGTCATTCTCAACAAAAGCGCCAACTGCTCTGCTGACGGTAAGGACAAGACGCGTTGAGTCAAGACTTGCAAGGAGGGATAGGATCCGCCTCCACTTTTGTGTTTGTCATTGTCTCCGAAGGTTCCAGCCAAATAATTTCTGACTGCATTGTCCCTTCGATCCTTGGTAGGGTCAAAAGAATAGGCCGCGAAGGATAGGAGGATATGCAAAGAACGCTTTCGTCCCTCCGAAACCAAATTCGACGTCCCTGCTACGTCGCCTACGACCTCCAATGCTGCTTGTCGAAAGTGAGCTGCTGCCGCTCTAGATTGTTCCAATTTGCGTTCCTGGATCTGCCATGCGAAGGCTAAACGAAGCAATAGGAACAAGGCGGTGATCGCGACGAAGAGAACAGCGATCGTTGGATCGGCATTCGGAATCGGACGTCCCGCTGTGACCCAAACAGGCTCCAGAGCGAAGAGAATGAGTCCTAGGACGACGCCTGCGATGACCGGCAGGGCAACTGCTTGGTGGAGCAGGAAGGACGAAGAGTTGTAGCTGTGCTGAACGGCGCTCATCTTTCTTTGGTGCTGAATGTTCGAAATTAAGAGGAGGAAATTGAGGATTGGACAAGGATATGGATACTGGTACGATGGATTACTATTTACGACAACAGGCGGAAGATTCTGAGGTATAACAAGTTGACTGTCAACAACCCAAACAACAGTACAACTAGTATCGCAATTATGAGTAGATCTAAGTAGATGAACTACTCGAAATTTTCTAGAAAAGTAGTCGAAACAAGGTCGTTAAAAAACGCAAACAAGTTAACACTGGAGGATCAGGTAGGTGGGAAAGAAATCTACTTCTCGAAACTCTCCAGTACAAGCGGGTAGGCACTCACGACCTAGCACTCGCAAACAGACGTACCAAGGACATGCGAAAGAGGAACTTCTCAGGACAGATACCTCAACTCAAGAAGACTTCTAAGGCAATTTTTCCATGAGGAGCAGCATGATTAACTTTTTGCACTGGACTCTATTCCTCTTAGAAGCTCAATCACTCAGTAGAACAGAAGCAGATGATCTAGATTTCAGAGTCCCACAGAAGCTCTCAGTGGCTAACAGATCGATCAGTGGCTAACAGAATGATCACTGGTGACCCCGTCTTATACAGTTGACCATAGAGTTTATTTCCACCTCGTGAAGAGTCAGAATTTCAGCAGATCTCTGTTTACTCTCGTGCTTTCTCTCTCCACTGCCGAAGCCGATGGAAGTCCTCGGCCTCTATGAATGTTCGCCAACATCAGTAATAAAGTGAGGGCGCCAATCAGTCAAGCAATCAGTTTGCCTCCGCAGGGCCCTTTTATTTTTTTTTGTAGTCCGAGAACGCCGAAAGGGTGATCCCAGTGTTGTCCGGTGTACCTGCCGGCGACGGGTGGAGTGCATTAGCCTCCTTATACTACCGTGCACTAATTGCCTCCGAACCCGTCGATTATAAAATTGCCTACGACACCGTCCTCCCCGCAGCTGCGACTGCCGCACCTCTACTACGCTCGGGAGCGATATGAGTGTCTAGTAAACAACAAGAACCACTGAATTTGAATTTCCATGAAGAGGACGAAAACATGTGGCATGTCAGTGAATAAGTCTCTCTATTCATCCTTCTCATGTTCGAAGCGACAAGCGCTTGTGAGGTCTTCTTTCCTGAAGTAGAATCGGGTGTATGAGTCGGTTTGCGACACTGTTCGTTGAAGAACCTCCGAGAGCCCCCCTGGTCCTGCTGTGCATATGTAAAAATAGATACTACTTAAGAACCCTGCATTCGTAATTGATACTAATCTTGCCATCATTGCGAGCACGTACATACAACAAGTCTATGATGGTTGTCGTGATGTTGAGGGACGAGCCTTAGCACCATTGCTATATTTTTAAACGACCTTCAGGTTGCTATGCATGACTTAGGCTATGCAGGCTATGCATATGGCGTGTATATATTTCTTTAGATCAAACAAGATGTGACAAAAAATATCATGTTGAAGATGTCGCTACGTGCTGAAATTTTCATGTTGTATTTGCTTTTGACTCAACAATCTGATGGAACCAATGATCTGTGCGCGTAGTACAACCCGTTGTACCTGATAGTACTGCTCTCAACTATTTAGAACGTCGTGCTACTGCTAGTGCTACCTACACCCATGACAAGAATAATCAACTGTAGTTACCTATCGCTATCTATGACCATGGTTACTGTGATTTTATCGAAGATTCTGAACGTTTACGTGTTAATGTTAGTGGATCTGGATGAACAATGAAAAGAGCATCAAGATCAAGAGAACAAAACCATGACATGAAGAGTGAGCTTGAAGAGTAGAAAACTCAAGCATTATGCATGATTAGACCAGCACATGCCACATGATGCACGGATGTAGATGACTATGACAGCATTTATCAAAAATTCAGCCCAAACAAGCCAAAGCATATTGGATGATGAAGCTCGGAATATTAAATCATTTCTCATTCTCGTCGTGTCTCTTCTTCTATACAGTCATCAGGTAGACCTTAGACAAAAAAAGGGTGAACTTCTCTAAAACAACAGATGAGATTTTGTACTATTGTTCTGGTTGTATTCGGTAACCTGACCTGGATCATAAGGGAAAAGAAGAAGGGAGGAACCATTCAGATTACAAATTCAGGTTACCAAATACCGGAACGACCATTCAGATGATTTTTCACTTCTGCAGCAGCTCAACTAGTACTGCATATTATTATGCACAAAAATATAAATTTTGTGCATGTTTTATGGAATCTTCATCCCTCCCCTTCAGTTACTTCCTGTATCCGTTTGTAGAGATACTCTTGCTCCTCCTCATCTAGGTCCTGGATAGGCTCGATTGGGACCTGCAAAATCGAATCACTATCACTGTTCCCACCGCGCCCGCCTTCGTTGAAGGAGTGTGAATGCTCATCATTATGGGAGCGTGCTTCATTGAAATCATTGTGTTTTTCTTGCGAGTTGTCTCTGATCATGATGTTGGTCCTTGGAGGTGCGTCTGTTTTCAGTCCACGAGCAGGCGGAGACATGCTTGACCGTGTCTGTTTCGAGTTCCTGCGGAGCATCAACACTTCTTGTTGCTCAAAATTTTCATCGATCAGACGTTGTTGTCGTTGAGCAAAGGGAGATGGCGGAACCTGAGGCGGAGTAGCTAGTTTCTTGTCGACGACCTTAGCATTTTTTGGTGGCGGTGAAGAACAAGACGAAGCATTGCTATTTCTAGATTGATGCACTACTTTGTGCTTGTCTTGCTTCTGTCCTTTCACTTCTGGCTCTGCTAGTTCAAGAAACTGGCTGTATTTCTCCTCATCTGCTGGCTCAAGAAACTGGCTGTATTTCGCCTCATCTGCTGGCTCAAGAAACTGGCTGTACTTCTGCTCGTCATCGGATTCGATTAACTGTTGGTACTGAAGTCGCTGAGTAGCTGCTGCATCTTCAAGGGGAGCTTTCCTTGTTGATAAAGAAGTGATAGAAGTTGTAGTCGTGCTAGTTGTACTAGTTGTAGCCTCCGCAGATGCATTAGTTGTACTACAAGTTTTTGAGGCTGCAGATGATGAAGCGGCAGATGATTGAAGCTTCCCTAGTCGTCCCACTGTTTCAGATTGTCTTAGCTTCCCTCGAAGATCTTGTTCGGCTGTAGCAGATCCTCCATCTGGGCTTTGTTGTTCCAGCATGCTCAACGAGTGCTGTGGTTCCATAATGCCAGGGTCAGAAACCATCTTAGAGGACCTAGAAGTTGTATAGCGAAAAGATAGCTTATCTCGTCCGAACTTCAACATGATCCTTGAAGACTTGGTGTTTATTGTAATTATATCTACGAAACACATCGAAAGCCTTAACAATCTTCTTAGAATTCGGCGTCAGAGAGTTCTCCCTATGGCGATCTACGCTTCCAGGTTGAGCAGCATGCGAATCTTCCTCACTGGAGTCATCATCTAGTGGACCACGTGGAGGAGTACGAATATAATCAGGGTAAAAATCACCTTTCTCTGCGTCTCCTTCCACCACTGCTGCATCATTTTCCCCGTCTTGTTCGCTGTAGTCCTCGTCCCGCCCTTCTAAATACGAACTACTTAAAGCTCCTGTAATACTTTTACTTTTACTTTTACGTATTGCAGGTGTACTAGTTAAAGCTCAGCATTCAATGGTCACTGACTCTGAAAGAAATGGGCCCCATGCCTCTCCCTTTGCTTTTCCTTCATTTTCCCCTGTTCTCTCAAGAGGGATCTCAGTGACCAACCCCAATGACCATTGAAAGCTGAGCCTTAAACTAGGGCCAAAACGATTTGTTTTCTTTGTTTGTCTCCCACCATCGCCGTTCGAGCTAGAAGACGAGGAAGGCGGTCCTTCTCGTACATGTTGTTGACTTTGTTGATCTTGCTTGTTCATACCTTTGCGGATCGCGTTATCAAAATGATCAAAATCTTCCTCGTCGTCACCACTATCAGCGTCGTCATCTTCTCCTTTCTTTAGAGAAGTCATCTTCTATCAAACAAGTGGTCAATGATCTTCATCTACATCAAGATCAACAATTTTTTTTTGTACCACCTTGCTCTGTCTAACAAGTACAAGTAGCGTCAAAAAATTAAAGACGAGCCAGACGAGCAGCCTAAGTAGCGTTTATAAAGACGAGGATTTGTTTTTTAGAAGAAGCATCCATGAAAAACTACATCAGTGGATAACACGACTTTAATTAAAGCTCCTCCTCCGTAAATTATCCTCTTCTTCATCCTCGTCTATCCAAGCAGGTCCGTAGCCGCCACATCCGTACCCCGTCATCAGAAAAAATCTTTGACGCCGCTTCCGCTGGTTTTCCAGATATAATGGCTGCTTTTCCCACTCCTCCGGATTTGAGAACTGGAGTGAAGAATAAAGATGTGAAATCAAGAGTGATTATCAACATCTTGGCACGACTGCCTCTTCTACTTCGAGGACTATTTTTATCATGTTAAATCAAAAAGTACCAAAAAATCCAATTGACTTTGTTGGTGTTCCACAGGAGTTTGAAAGTGAGGTCTCCTGCCAGCTGCCGTTCCTGTGTCATAGGCATCTTCATACTCGAACTCTTCCACATCTTGACAAAAGGCCACTTTCTCTCTTTGTTGCTGCTGAGCAGAGGTCGTCGAGGATCTACTTCCTAGAGGTGCAGGTGGAGCATTGCCCTTGCCAAAAGGAGAGCGACTACTTTCGAGGACGTCGGATGGTGGAGCAGGATTCTGGAAGAAGAGGTGGATTTCGATAAAATATATAAATTCTCTCGGGAAAAACATTGTTGTTTTTAAAAGTGATGTACATCTACATTGCATCTTCAAACTATGTGATCCAACATGTACGTGTCGTGATACGTTGGATGACCATGATGATCGTGACTAAAGTACCTTCTTTTCCCCTCTTAGGATCCCTTTCGTTCTACGTGGAGATTTTTTCGCTGATGACTGAGGCTGTTTGCCCTTAAGCGTCTCCGACATTGCCTTCGGTTCTTGTCGCCCATATTTTTAGATGAGCTCTTTATACCAGTTCGTTGTAGAACCTACCGCAATGCATCTTATTCATTGAGCACCCAACAGCACCAGACGAGGCAAGATCACAACAACTTTGCTAATTATACTCATTTTGCGTTAGTAAAACGCGAAGCTCGTGCCTGCTCCGGACAACATGTAAAGAAAATGAATCCGACCTGCTTTTGACGATTTAAAATAAAGCATCATGGAAGTGGGCCTTAATGATCATCCTCATCCTTTTCGAAGACTTCTGCGTCTATCCCTGCTAGACCAGAAGACGAAGCAGGACTCTGCATCTTCGCGTCAAAAGGAGATAGCAAGAAGCGTGCACGCTTCGAAGCAGGCGTTGTTTCTTCATCCAGCATGTCCAAGAACCTCTGGTGTCCTTGGATCTCGTTCTCAACGTCATCACTCAGATTAGACGAGGACGGTGGAGAGCGCGCATTATTATTTTTATACTCAACTACTTCCCAAGTAGATGAGTAATCAACTACTTATTTTAGTAATCAACTACTTTGTTTCCCAAGTAGATGCAACGAATCCGATACCGATTATTTTTAGTAGGACGAGAAGCTGTAGCTACTAACTAGTAGCGTAGTTGTAGGAGGTAATGCTACTGGTACAACATTATCATTAATATTCGAAAGCCTTAATCTCAAGAGGAGCTTTTTCCACCTTGATGTCAGCGTCTACGACACCCAAGCCCAGTGGCGGAGCTCCTTCCAAAGGCATCAAATGCGTCGCTGTACTAGGCGAGCTACCTTCGCTCCCTCCACGGCTATTAAGACCTAGACGCCCAGAAGATTTTGATGAACTTTTGCTCGTCTTCTGCTTCCCTGCAGCGGATGTTAGAAAAACAAGAAAAAGGAAAATATAATATGTCTATATCAGTCTAAGAAGGTGCTCTTGACCTATGTGTCCCAAGAGTCGAGACCATCAAAGCCATGAAGTCTACCACTGGCTAGCATACCAGCCTCTAGACTATGCGACGCACTGTGCCCTCAGGCAAGAAAACAGCAGACGCAACATGAAAAAATCTACCAGTTCTGAAACCAATTGCAGCTACAAGAACAGGTAAGAAACGATGACGACATGAAAAAATTGAGTTGCGCCCCAGATAAAGTTGAAGCAAGTTGTTATCACTGAATTATTCAAAATCCTCGTCACTGACGTCAACAACCGCCATGATGTCAACCATCTACAACATCTTCTCAACAAACTCAATTCCATCAAGAATACAACTTTTCAACTCTCTACACGAAGACGGCGTGTAGTTGTTGTATAAAAGGAGCGGACCCATCGATCTTGACATCTTCATCATAAAAATGCTTCGGCTTCCTTTGCTCTGGTTGGCGATATCTTCATGCTTCCCATTGGCTTGCTCGGTGACGACAAGCGTGTATTCTTGACACCTGACAATGGCTTTTTATCCTTCTTTGGTGTTCTACTCGACGTGCTCACCCTCATCGCAGACGCTTTTTAGAGCTCCGTACCGCATTATTTGCACCCTCGTCGGGAATGGGAGTACTATGATCCTTGGTGTTGGTCCTTTTTCATTTTCTTCTACTTGAAACAGAAACAGAAGACTACAAGAATGGTTATGGTCGTCCCTTTGTCTTCTACTTGAAAAAGAAAACCACAAAAATGGCACAAGAATGGTTTGAAGGACGAGTAGGATGCAACCGCAGTATGCGAGGCCATAAGTTTTAGTCTTTTTAGCACTAGCTGGTGAAGGGCTACTCGGGCTAATCAGCATTTTCTTCTTCCGGATATTAGAACTTCCCCAAATAAGGGCGTGCTTACAACTTCAAGAACTGGCCCCAGTATGCATGTACTAGTGGATGATCAACATGGTGGAGTTTTTCGCTTTCCCATTGCCCTTGGACTTATCTACTGTAACTAAGCATGATCACTCTCATATAATTTGAATTTCTAAGTATTTGAGAGACGGAGAAAATGGGTTTTTAGAACCGCTAATTTAGCAGCACGACGAGCCTTAAGCGTAGTAGGTGTCCTGTTTCTGCTAGGTGATATCGAAGATGGCCCTGCCACAGCAGTCTCTCCCACTCTTGCTCTTCCACGTGACGTAGAGCTTGTTGTGTTAGAGGACTTTCTTCTTGTAGGGTTAGGTAAGTAGGTACAAGGTTAGCGCTAGAAGTAATCAACCCTACTACAACAAGTCGGTCATAGAGAACCTTTGTGCTCCTTAAGAAGTCGACATCACATTCATCTAGAGACGCATACCGCGGGTAACTACGGTTATGTCGCCCAATTTATCTAATTTTTTGCTTAAATTTTGAAGATTTTTTACTACAGAAGCTTCTGTGTCATAATTCTAGGCGCCACCTTCTTTGCCTTGGAAGCAGAAGGTGTTGATGAGCTCTTCTTTTGCATCTTTGGTGCTGGAGACGAGCGCATAGCAGAGGTACTCCTTGACTTCGAAGCGGCTGCTGTCGACGTACTCCTTGACAACTTCGAAGCGGCTGCGGTCGCGGCTGCTGTCGACGTAGTCGTGGCATTGCTCAAGCCAGATTTGGATGAAGTCGTGGCCCCTTTTCCCCCTCGTCCGACATTCGGAGAGACGCTTCTACTTCTTTTCTTGTTATTTGATGTAGTGCTACTGCAACTGCTCTTCATGGACATGGCATTCGCCTTGAGATTTTTTGAGGGTGAGCTTTTCGTTGTACTAGCAGCAACTCTAGTTGCAGTGCTGCTTGTACTTCTGTTAGAGGTAGGGCCTTGGTGCTCGTGGACCCCGCTTTTTCTGCCTTTCTCCCTTAGGAAAGGCATAAAAAGCGGAAACAAAAGCACCTTTACCCTACCCTTAATTCTGCTAGGGCCTGTTGTACTTGTGCTGGAGGTGCAGCTACCTCTTGTAGTAGTATTTGTGCTTGGCTTATTTTCTTTTGCTGACGTAGTTCTTGCACGACTTGATGTAGTTCTACTTGTGGAAGGACTCTTCCCTTTTTTTGTCGGTGTTGCCTTCCGCGCAGGAGTCGACCGGCCCTTTCGCACGGGAGTCGATTTCCTGGAAGGCGTCCTCTTAGCACTCTTTTTTGGCGCCATTCTGTAGAACTATGATATTGCTCAGACTACGTAGTGCAACTACTTACAATGTTCCAAGGAGATATGAAGAGACGAAGATCTGACAACTACAATGTTCTGAAGATCTGAAGACTACAATTATGCTGTCTCTTCACTGCACTACATCAAAGTTCAAGCTGTTAGTAGTCTCTCCGTTGTCGTGGATCGTTGACGGATGATAGTGCGGACTCGTATTGTTTATCAAGATGATTCATTGTTCCTTGTTATCAGCATGTATGGAGGTGGCTCTGATCTCCCGGATGCAGTTCAGATAGTCACGGGGTCTTTATTAATAGGGTTCAAGAATGTGTGTCTACTATGTGAAGATGTAGGCTAGGTTAGGTTGGGATCTACTTATGCGCAGGCAGACGTCTGGGGCTACTGAAGAGAAGACGCAATGTGTACTCCCTACAGCTGCCGATGCCACCTGAAGTACTGGGCAGCTGAGATGGCTCTAAGTCTAATACCGACGAAAACATCACTCAAAATATGCAGTGCTTCTACCGATACGTAGTGCCTCTACCGATACGTAGTGCCTCTACCGATTTTGACATATTCTTGAAAATCTTCAGGATTCAATGCTTTTTCTACTTCCCGATGGAATCTTGATCAGCAGTGGTATGTAGTACATCACGGATACCGAAGGCGAAGGTACACCGAGAGAAGGCTGAGGATAGTTGCAACAGCAATACCGATCATTACACCTACGCGTTTCAACTCGAACTCCACATCAGTCTTAACTTGTTCCTGCTTCCAGAACAATCATTCTGCTGCCGTCTTCCTGGAAGTAGATCCTATCGTATACATATACACTTTTAAGCGAAAATCTTGATCATTCTTGATCATGTTTTGAATGCCAACAAGCAGCGCCAACACCTAATTATACAGTTTGTTTCGACTGATGCATTTCCATAGATGTATGTATGTATAGAAGGAGTTCGGCAACGCGTTGGGCCTTACTCACTAGGGTGCGGCAAAGCAAGCGGCCTGCTAGAATGAACATACAAGGCTCACGCGATGCAGCTGCGGCAAGTCGGGACGCCCGTGTAGAATCTCCAGGGGAACTTGTGGCCGGGTAGGGGCCATGCCGTCACGCGCGCGCGTGTTCCAGAGATCGAAAGGAAACAAACTCCAACCAGGGAGCCGGCGGCAGGTGTTCAGCTGTGTCGTCCAGCAACAACAGGGACCGTTCCGCCTTGGCCTCCTCAACACGGCTGCCGGAGCCGAGCGACCGGAGCCCAGAGAGAAGCTAAGAACCTAGGTAGCTGTAGCGTGCGTGATGGTGGCAAGAACAGAGGCAGAGGGCGGGGGGCCACCTCATCCCTACGAGGGCGAGGTGGGCGACCAGGTTACACACCTGGGCCGGGTAGACTGTCCGACAAACATCCAGCAACCAAGCAACACAAGCAACCAACAAAGCCACGCAGGGCATCGCACCTGCAACCCACCGACCCCCTTGCCCCCATGGAAAACACCGAGGCGGCACCAACCTGCCGGGGCGGTGGGCCTCTCCTCACCACGGACACTCAGAACACGCGGAGCACCGAAACCATCACCACCGCGCCCCTGCTCCTCCTGCGCCCTTGGCGGGTCACTCACCTCATCAAGAGTGCGAGAGCCCTGGCACACAATGGAGGAGGGCGCCCCGGGCTGGCCGTCTCTCTTCGTGTTCGTTCTTGTGCATCATCGGAGGGAAACGACCAGAAACCTCACGCAGAGGGCTTCCCAAGTATTTCCCAGGGAGGACAGTAAGTGTAAGGGCCTCGCGCTTTCTCGTCTAGAGAGAGCGCGCTAAAACACGCAGGCAAAGGCAAAAAGAAGCGCGCAGGCGGTTCTTCTTGGAGAGGCGTCCCACCTGGGGCGCCCAAGTAGAACCGCCGCCCCACCAGGGGCGGAAATTCGCACCAGTTTTAGTCCACACAGAGGTGGCGCCCCCCCAGGGGTTCTTAGGTCTCCCTTCCCACCAGGGGCGGAGATTTCCATAGATGACGCTCCGTTTCGTCCGCGTATACGCATAATTTGATTGAAAGAATATCTTGTGCACATCTATGCAGAGACTCCCTGGTCTTCTTGTTCGGTTGCTTCATGTTTTTGTTTATTGATATCGTGTTTGTTAGTCTGAAGATGAATATGAAAAATTGTATTTGATAAATACTAGTAATAGTCGTGCAGCCTTTTAAATTCATCTTACTCCTGTATCTGAACGTGATCTCAAGACGTTGTCTTCACAATTTGCGAAATACTTCAAGAGTGATTCGGGAGTACCGTTTTGTAATTTTTCCTCCATTCTGTAGCCATATAATTCACATCAAGGTCTTTCTTTCATCTACACTGATTAACATTTGTATCTCTATATTTTCTTACGTCATTCTAATAGTGGTAGAGCCAACCTAACTCGGAACGAACCGAAAGAAACAAAACTCGAAGGTCGTTTAAATTTTGAGTTACAACAAGTACAACTACACAGCATCTTGCGTAGTTTTTCAATAATGATGATAAGACTTCCTTCAAGACTTGCGATTACTAAAATTCTCAGTTCTTGCGGGGATTAGTTAACCCCCTTGATAGCGACAACACGATGTGGCCGGGTCAGTGCCCTCCTTGAATTTCTCACTTATATCCCATGTTAGTTGCTGTGCACGGCAGTTCCTCTGTGTCTGTATCACGTCGCCGCACTTAAGATGACTACCGTCCGCATCCGGCTCCACATTCGGCATCTGGGTGGTTTCATTCATTCAGAACCAGGTTATCCCGTTTGTTCCATCTAAATTATAATAAGTAATGAAGGGACGAATCCGAATGGGAAGTCTAAGATTTACTACGAGGACAAAATTAGCCGGTTTCAGCTAAGTCTATTATTAAGCTGAAATTTTTCATCTTTTTAAGGTATGAAAACTGTAACGCGCGCGCGCGGGTTACGCGCGCGCGCGCGTTACGCGCGCGCGTTATAGCGTGTCACGCGCGCGCGCGTTACGCACGAAATAAGGCACGCGCGCGTTCCATGCGCGCGCGCGCCCGCGCGGGGGGGGTGTGCTCGCGGCCGGCTCAGGCTCGCCGGAGCGGGGCCGGCTCGGGCTCGCCGGGGCCGGCTCAAGCTCGCCAGGACCGGCTCCGGCTCGCCGGGGCCGACTTGGGTTCGCCAAGGCCGGCTCAAGCTCGCCAGGACCGGCTCCGGCTCGCCGGGGCCGGCTCGGGCTCGCGAGGGGGTGCGCTCGCGGGCGGGCTCGCGGGGCCAACTGGGCTCGCCGGGGCCAGCTCAGGCTCGCCGGGGCGGGGCCGGGCCGGCTCGGGCACGCCGGGGCGGGGCCGGCGCGGGCTCGCCGGGGCGGAGCCGGCTCGGGGTCGCCGGGGCGGGGCCGGTTCTTGGAGACCACCGCGCCGACAATCACCGGCGGCGGAAAATCTTGGCGGAAAGTTGCCGAGGGTCACGCGCGCAGCCCTTGTCTTTGTCCCATTAAAACGAAGCCAACAAGAGCTCCGAAAACGAAACCGACACAACCCACACACCAACAAGCCAACCACTGCGCCGAGAGCATCACAAGCCGGCGAACCAGTCCGCGGCGCAGCCACGCGCCAAATTCTCAAACGAATGCACAACACCAGAGGCCTCCCAAGCCTGGAGAGAAGAACAGAGAAACCACAAAAACCACAGACAACAACCGCGGAGCCTCATGCGGTCTCGTTGCAAGTTGTTGCGGGTTTGTTCTTGGCGATCCATTTCCATGTCTTCACGGAAACAACCCCGCCGAGAGAGCCATCGCGAAACAGCCCCGCCAAGGCCGCCAATCTGAAAGAGCCCGCCAAAGACAGACAATCTGAAACAGCCCACCCAAGACAGCCACGCTGAACATGCTCAGCCAGTAGAGCCCTTCTGAAAGAGCCCCGCCAGGGCAGTAATTCTGGCACCCCCCCCCCGCCAAGCCGGGCACTTGCTCCTTTTCCCTTTCTTGGTTTTAGTTTTCTCCCGGAGCTGCTTGTTACAAAATCCCAACGACAGGGCCGACGGCTTGTGTTATAGTATAGTATTTTCGCTTTCACAAGTGATATATTTGGCAGGAGGAATCGTCACTACAGAGGATTTTGTTGCGGTACTTGTTCTCTTACCTCAACTTCAGCTTGCTGGTGAGCATCTGCCTTTCGTTTGCGAGCTTCTTCCGCTTGTCTGCGAGCTTCTTCCCCTTGTCTGCGAGCTTCTGCCATCTGGCTCTCTAGTCTCTCTGAATGCTCAAAGATATCAGCTTAGAAGTCGTGTCTCATCAAAATTCTCTCGGGCTGAGTGGCGATTTCTCTACCCTGAGCGTTGCTTCTTTCCCCCGAGTCGTGCCTGCTCGGTTTGTTCACTTGAATCAATTCTACAATGAGGGAAATAACGCACTCAGAATAGGCCATGGCCACGTGAGATGTTACTCAATTAAAGGTGAACCAAGCAACCTTAATTTTTCCAGTCGGCCTTGGCCTTTACATTTTCCGGCGCGTTATTGCGTAGGAACCGCAGCAGGGTGGAGGCGCGATCTGGCCACTGGGTCTGCAGCTTCTTTGATCCCATTGTTAGAGCTGTTCCAATCACGACATCCCTTCCCCCATCGGCCCTTCGACGCGTCTTATTTTCCTCTTGGGAAAGTAAGTAAGCATGGATGGATACTCGATGTCCGATGGCGCTAGAAGACGTCCAGCAAGCAGTCAAAAAAACCATAAGCTTTCCACGCTCTTTGGACAGTCATCGTCCAATTTTTTCTCAGCGATAGTGAGCAAATCCATTCCACGCGCCGGCCCCTCCGGGTCATCAAATATTTTCATAACGCCTTCTCGATCGTAGGTTCGTCGATGACCTTCCCCTGTCAACCACTTATAGGCTTCACTGTCACGAGCTCGGAACAGCCGGCCACAGCTAGGCTTGCTCTCGTCATCGGGCGGCTGAGCGTGAAAGGATGATTTAGTGTTCATTTCCCTTCGCCTTCGTCCATAGGTCGTGCTCGTGGTGCATCGGAGCGGGGAAAAAATATGAATTTTTGTACTTACATGATAAATTCTACGTAACTGGTACGTAGTACTGCAGCAGCAGTACTACTACTAGCGGTAGCAACCAAGTCGTCCGTTAAAACAGAACTCGACTATGCATCTTTTAACTTAAAAGATGCATAGTCGAGTTCTGTTTTCTTTTTCAATTCATTTTGGTTTTGGTATTTTTCTAAGAATATGTAAAAAGGTACCCGATGATCCTCAGGCCCAGTTGTGGCCTGAGCCGGAGCGGACGAGGCAGCTGTATTCTTTGCTGGGGCCGCCTGCTCAGCATTATTGGTTGATGCCTGATCAGTTGCAGGAGTGCTGTGGTCCACCGTAGAACTACTAGAAGAACCACTAGAAGTAGAACCAGCAGAATTACCAGAAGATGAAGGTGGATTCGAGGGAATCGTCGGACTATTGGTGCTGCTATTGTCGCTTGAGGATCCACAGGCGGACCCTCTCAAGCTTCCTTGACAACTCCTCCCCTGTCTTGCCCACGTCGGTGTCGACGGAATCGCCCACAAAGGGGCGAGGCGTAAGAGCCGCCGCTTAGTCATGTAGTTTCTTGTTCTTGTTCTCGTCATCTCGTCTGCTCTACTACTTGATGTTCAAAAGTAGTTGTAGTAGTAGTAGTAGTGCGACCACTACTTATAGTACAACGTAGCGAATCTCATGGGAGGACATTCGTAGACGTCGACAGACTATAAGTCAACGCTCAACATCAGTGTTGCTTGTAAATTTTGAAAGGTCAACAAAAGCAAAACGAAGGTTGGTTCAGGACATCAAGGAATCAAGATCGCTAACATGTGACGGGTGTCAAAGGCTCAGAGTGAAGGGGGTGTGAGTCCTTGCCATATCCTCTGAATGTGAGTAGTACGGTACCGATGTTGAGTGTGAGCCTAAGTGCCGTCGAACAAGCCGATGTTGAGCCATCCGAGTAATTGTGCTGATGCTCTTTTGCATTCTGGACATCAGACAGAGTCCTCCTGCTTCTGCATTTACCGACTGTCCCTTTAAGGAAGGTAAAATTATGATTTAGATTTCTTTATTTGCTCACCGAAGATAGTGCTGCAATAAAAGTAACATCGACGACGGACGAGGCAGATGAGCATAAGGAGAATGGGAGCCTTTAATGCAGTTCGGTCCTGTGAGATTGGCATCGCTTAGGCGACCATTGCCTGAAGACCGATAGTTACTGCTAGGAGTAGCAAAAGAGCATGACTACTCTGGCGAACATGAGGAAACGCTAAACCGATCATCACGTCTACCAGAAGGGGGAGAAACGTGCGGAGACCTGCTTACCGGGTACTGCCTATGATGAAACGCTACAACTGCAAGAAGGAGCACTAGAACTCCAGCAAAAATCATTATATTCATGTCTTTTTATGTCAGTCTTCCCAAAATGAAGCGTGACGAGGCTCTCTTTCAAGAACATTGTTCTTGTTGCAGGAGAGGTTTTTGGAAAATGTCTGATATTACACCACAAGGCACAGTCCGCTGTTGCAAGAAGCTGCACTGTGGTCATCAATCAACATAGATAAAGGCAGAGGTAGAGGTACGTATTAGAACTCTAAGTAATGCCTTCTTCTATGCAGTTCCAGTTGTCGAGGACACTTATAATATAACATGTTGTACCCGCTCAATGTGGATGCATTCAATTTCAACAACCAGCTGCATTGGCACAAGCACCTCTTCGTCTGAAGGTACTATCCCGCTTGCATTGGCACAAGCACTTCTTCATCCGAAGGTACTTCGTCATCCGGAAGTCGCGCAACATCTGCAATTGCTGTCTTCGAATCAACAAGCACATCTTCTCCATGATCAAACATCCAATGATCTTCATTACTCATCGGATGCGCAGGAGCAATATGGGTGGGACCTCCAAAAGATGCTGAAGAGCCTTCGCCTCGTCCAGGAGCTATAGATGAAACTACTTGTGCGGACCCGATCCCTGCCTGTACAGAGATCTTAGCCGCTCCTGCTGAAGTAGTAGTACCTCCGGAAGAACCTTGTCGAGGTGGAAGATGCTTCCTCGCAGCTGCTCCCCCGGCGGAAGGTACTACAGCTACTCCTGTAACAGCAGTTTTACCATGATTGTTCGTCATTGCTCCTGTCGTGGATGGAGCCTTGTTACTTTAGAACTACTAGGTCGTCCTCCACCAAATAGATATAGATACAGATGTTGTTGATACTTGATCTCGTCGACGATAGTACCTGTACCTCCTATGATTGATATTAGATACTTACAACTTAATATCTGTTAGTCTAATATAGATACTTAGATGTTGATGTTGTTCTTTGATGTAAGTACTTAGACTCTATTAACTCTTAGAGTTAATGGTTAGAAGATTTTACCCTTTACGTACAGGTCTACAACTTACTTAGATTCAAGAGTTAGATGCTCCACTTCCAGCGGCCTTAAGTAGCCTTACTACTTGTGCTGGTCGCAACATGTTGACTTCGGGCAACAAGAAGTTTCTCGTAGGTACTATTCGCAGTCTCCGGGTCAATGGCGGATTGATCCATGATTGGAGGTGGCACGAAATCCTTCACTTTACGAGGATCGATCTTTTTCATAGAGCCACCAAACTTCGGATTTGCTGCAGCTCCAGTTCCTTTAGGTATTCTAGTCCCCGATGCTGTTGCTGAAGAAGACTGCTGTTGATTGTGCAACGGAGGAGGCTACTTTTTAGAAGAGAGTAGACATCACGACTTTCACGATGAATATGATAAAGACAAAAATTCGTTGATATCATCATTTCAAAGTCAATCCCTTTTCTTCTATTATAAGTAGACTTCTGCTTAGAAGGAGGTGTACGCCTTGTCAGTTCAACATGTTTCATATATTACGACGCCAGTTGTTATCTTCTACGACACGACCAGAGGAGCCATAATTTTGGTCGTTATCTTCGTAGGCTTTGGGATTTCTGAAGGAGGTGGTGGCGGGTCCTCATGGGTTGTTGTGCTCACAGCCTGTTGATCAACATGTTGATGATCATGTTGATCAGCATGTTGATGATCATGTTGACGACTCCTGTCTTGATCATGTTGACGACGGTCTTGATCATGTTGACGACGTTCTTGTTGAGGTGGAGGTTGCGGCGCCGTGGCTGCAAGATACGCAGCTACAGGATCCAAAACTGCAGCTGTACTCTTAGAAGGTGAGGGACGATTGCTCACAACTGCTCCGACAGCACCTGACGTGGCCGATGTAGTCGTCGTCGTCGACGACAACGACGACGGTTGTTGATCACGACTTGCCATTGAAGAAGAGGGAGGCTTACTACCAGGTCTTGGCGTTGTTGCAGCTTGATTAAGCAGTAATTGCTTTTCCAACTCCTGGATTCTGGCCGCCATCCGTGCTTTATCACCTGTGAGAACTCGAATTTGTTCTGTCGATTTCTTCTGAGATTGCGTCAATTCTGACTCGAGAAGCGCATAGCGACCCTCTACCCCTTCGCGTTCCAATGTTTCTGCTTCGAGACTTAGCGAGGACGAACTTCTGTGAAATAGTTGTTAATGTTATGCATCAGACATCAGGATCTGTGGTTGAATGAATACTAGTCAAAAAAAAAATTATCTCCTTAAGAATATAGCATTCGTCATCTCTAGTGTAATGTTCCCCATCATCTTCATCTACAAGAGGAGTTAATATGACTAGCGCTGCATGACGTCAAGAACCTCTCGACTTTCATCAATGAAAAACTACGCAACGACCCTCCATAAGAGTCTTAAATCTACGTTACGGCCGTCCTTAAGAGTCTTAAATCTACGTTACGGCCGTCCTTAAGAGTCTTTCCTGAACGCTAATGCTGGCTTCGCGAAGCGCATCCCTTTCGGAGGAAACGGCTTCCAATCTCACGCCAAGCTGATGGACTTTCGCTTCGTTCTCCACTCCCTCACGGACTAATCGTTCGATCGTCTCACGCCATTCCTGGGTTTCCCGCTCTCGACCACTGCGCAAAGTATCAGTCTCACGAGCTATCGCGTCTGGTCTTAGAGAATTGGAAAACGGGGATGCGTCTGGTGTTTTTAAAGAAGGAGTGACTACGAAGTCGAAGTGCGACTTTTTAAAGATCGAAAAGTCTAGACTCTGTGGGAATGGAATCCATATACTAGAGCAGTTTATAGGGGTGCCAGATCCGGGATGGGATGGATCGGACGGATCGGATGGACTTTCCACCATTTCAAGTAGGATCGGAAGGATCAGGGGTGTCCATCCGATCCATCCAAGTCCATCCTACATCCGTTCTATAAACTACTCTGATATATTTTTAGGAGTTCATGTTGATGTTGAGTCGTACTGAAAAAACATCACGACTCTTGATCTTAACCTCGATGCTTCCAGTTCTTGGGCGCGTTTTTCCGCTTCGTCCCTGGCTACTCGCATTTCATCGAATTTCAGTTGTAATGCGCGAAGACTCGTCTGGGAGTCCTGGGCTATCTCACGCGCATGTTCTGCCGTTTCCAATTCACTTTGTGCACGAGCAAGCTCAGTTTCGGCTTCTTCTCTCTGGGCTTCAGCGTAGTCGGTTGTCTTTTGCAACTCCGCGACACGGTTACAATTGGAGCAATGAATCGTTGAGTAGTTTCGCACTGATTGTGACCCTGACCACGAACGACCACTCAGAATAGTACTACAGGAGTGACAATGCTCGCAATGTATGTAGTTGACCCAAACTAGACACGAAGATCTTCTCATCTAAGAACTACACTTCTAGCTTTATATTGATCAAGATGTCAGTGTTTTATTCCTCATGATTTTCATCCACATTCATTCATAACTTCCAACATTTTAATCATTTTTTTCTGAACTCCCAGCTCTTCTTTTTGCGCTGCCTCTGCTGCGGAGGGCTGTAGCTTCACCTTTATAGCAGTTCCAGGTCCAGCCTTGCCACGGCCAGAAGTGTCCGTCATAAACAGTCCACATCCCGGAGACCGCGTCGAAACTAGACGCTGTCCGGAAGAGGCCATTTACTTGTTAGATCGTTCCTGTTGGTGCCCTGGTTGCGTCGTGGAAGAGGAATAGGTCGTGGTTGCGCAAAATTGCTACTTCTACTTCATCTTAGTGTCAGTTAGTCAACATCACATTCACTAAAAACATGAGAATACTGCTGGCGTAGCTCTCCCTCTACTCTTCCTCTACTTGCTACTCAGTTCTTTCAGCATTTCTGGCAACTTTGATTTTTTGTCCTTTTTTGTTTTATTTTGTCGATGGCCCCCCGTCGGCCCTACTAATTTCATTATAATGATAATCTCCCTCTTGCGTACTACACCTATTTTCAGACTGCTTTGATATCTTGATTGATTGCTTGATGAAGATCCTGTCACAAGAAGCACAGTGACAACAAGAACAAGGAGTTCTTGCACAGAGGAAATTTTTCAGACAAGATGATCTTTGATATCCTGAAAGTTCAAATTGAATTTTCTTAGAAAAACCAGTTCGGCGCGTGGTCCTCTATTCATCGTTCGCTCTCGTCCAGGTGGACGAGAACCTGAATCATCATGACCATATTAAGCACTCAGGTGTACTAGCTAATAGGATTTATTTTCATTTACAGCTGCATCATCATCATCATCCTGTAGCCCCAACAGCTACATCATCGCTAGCGTCTTCAGCCAAAAAGTGATCCCTTTGCACAATCGCATGCATGTCTCGAGCGCCGAGGAGCAGAAGCGGCGCAGCCACAGCAGAGAGACAGTACTGAAGCGCGTGATGGTTCCAATTCGGCATCATCGGATCGAGAGGACACCGAGATGACGACAGTTGATGAATTACCCCATGAACTTCATCGCGGACTACTTTCGGCATGACAAGAGTAGAAATTGTAGTTGAACCTGACGATGATTTTCCGGTTCTTGTTCCAAGAATTTTAGTTACAATTCTTCCGTAGTTGAAGCCACATGCATCGTCGAGAAACAGTCCCGCAGCAATACCTGCTGCCAGCAGAAAAGCTCCTAGGCAGTACGGTATTAGATCCTTCCCATGAGACCACAGGGGTAGCATATGTAAGGGCTAGGACTCTAGAGGTAAAAACTAACCGGCTGCTTTATTTAGTGCTTTGAGCGCCGCTGGACCTAAGCCCCAACCTTATGAAAAGGAAGAAGCCAATCCATATTATTCGTAGATCATGTACTAGCAGAAAAGCTCCTAGGCAGTAGGATACGAGATCCTCATGAGACAGGAGTAAGACACTAGATGTGTCCTCCAACAAGGCCTGAGTTCTTGTTGTCCTAAATCACATTGACTAGGATCAAGTACAAGTGTTTAAGGCTTAATATAGATGTCCCTATTCTTATTCGTTGTGACTGATAAAAGTTTTCCTCTTAATAAGACAGCATGCTCTTGAGATATTAAGGAAATGTTGTCTACTTCAGAAAAAGTGAATGTAGTGAATCTCTAGCCTTAAACACGCAGCCACGGATTTGGCATCGGGGAAGGTAACCAGAGCCGAACATACCATTGACAAAATCGCTGTCGAGGTCAAAGGCGATCCGAACGCGATGAGTTGTCCGGTTTTGTGGATGGCCGGATGAAATGGAAGAAGCTGCAAGCCTGCTAAAAGCGTGTAGAAAAGGCCTAGGATCGTGAACGCAACGCAATGTCGATGCCGAACCCGTTCAATCATTACCACGCTCCCCCGTTGTGCTCGTATAAAGGGGGGCGCAATTTCTTCTTCAAGGAGCTTTTCTTAAAGGTGGTTGTATTAAGATAGCTTTTTATGTCATGAGTATGCTGATCCTTGGCTCTAAAAGTACGAGAAGCATGTACGAGTGGGTTCTTGCACTTTCAAAAAATTTGCAAGAAATTCGACCCTTTGTTGACTCATACGATCGCATAAGGGAAACAGTAACAAATCGAAATCGACCAGTCAAGAATCATCCAGTCAGGACGATGAGCCACTACAAACACTGGTATTCTTAATTTTCCATCACATGTCCAGCCGTGCCGAACTTCCGTCTTCTTGCCACCTCTTCTGCCTTTTGCAGCTCCTGCTCTTCATGTTGCTCTTTTAGGCCTTCTAATTCTTGTTCTTGTTCTAATTCTTGTTCTTCTAGGTGGATACTTTCATCGAGTGCAGGTGCATTATCTTCAAAGGAAGATTGCGATCCACCAATCTGAGAGATGAACGATCCTGATCTTCTACCTGATGAGCGTTGTAATTGAGAAGATGATGATGCACTTTCGAGAAATATTAAAGCACATGTTTGTGTGTTTCGTCCTTCTTCTCCCCTAGTACTAGCATCTTCATCTCCTGCTTGTTCTATTCCACCTTCTACAACATCTTCTAGTCGTGGGTTTTGTGCTTTCCATACTTCTCGAGAAGAGAAGAGAACAGCAGTACCGAATGCGGCTAGAAAACCACCTGAGAAGACTAAGAATTAGAGCGAACGAACCCTAATTCATCTTCTTGAGACGGATGGAATCTGAGTGCCAAAACCTTTCGCCCTTGAAAACCCTTATCAGGAGTATGGATGTCAAGATCGATGAGAGGAAGCCTTAAAAGAAGCAGCCAGCTGCTCGTAGAGTCCATGAACCAGCCTCATGTTGGCGCTCCCCTAAGGCTCGTTCTCCTGCTTCTAGAAATGTGGAGGTCTCTATCTGCGACCTAGAAGTACTAGAAGATGAAGTGCTACTGGATGCGGAAGATTTTTCCTTTCTAGTACTACTAGATGCGGAAAATTTAACCTCTTTTACAACACGACCAGCACCTACTGGTACAACTGGTGCTGGTACCTCTACCTCCTTTTCTAGGTCTTGTCCTTCAACATCTACTGCATGCTGATGCATGTCTTCTATCTTCGTATTACTAGGAGGTCCTTGTTCTGGCCTTTCTTTTTCGTTACTAGTTCTAGTGCCTTGTCCTAGGCTAGTATCTTCTTCTTCTGTGCGCGTAGCGCTACATGAAGAACAACCACCACCACCAACACCACCACCGCAGCATTTGCAGCAATCGTAGTTTTCCGCCTCCCGAGATGTCTTTCCGGCCGCTCCGTTATCACCACGCTCAGTTGTTTCGTCTGAATGCGTCGACTTCTTCTTGATGCCAGGAAAAAATACTGCTGAGGGCAATGGCGCGAGCACTGAGTGAAAATTATGAACCATGTTGTTTTTCTCACCTCTAGATGCAGAAGACTGAAATAACGACCGAGTTGTAGCTCCTTCGAGAATAATCTAATCTTAGACACAACCCGGTTATTATCATGTTTGTTACTCGGTTATTTCTAGTTTTCGAGTAGGGAAACCACCGAGGACGGACCCTTCTCTTATAATGTACTAATTATCTATACCCTTTCAACAATGGGAAAAGGGGCTGCCCCGAACATTATGGTCTGTTAAAGACAAGTGGGTGAAAAAACATCAAATTCATAAAAAAAGCACAAAAGCATCAACGCCATGGCGAAACTTGCGAGGAAAAACGAAAAAACGCGTAAGGAACGCGGAGCTCCTATCGATGAGAATCCTAGAGGAGAAGTTTTCGTAGTCCTCCTTCCACTGCTTGACATTCTTCCACTTCTTGTTACTTTATCTTCGCGTCCACTGCTTGACATTCTTCCACTTCTTGTTACTTTAATATCTTCGCGTCCTTTCAACAGAGCACTAGTCCTTCTGCCTCTCGAGTTTTTCATCAGCAGGCTCATTATCATCTCAGACTCAGCATCGTCCTCGTCAGCTGCTTTACTCATGAGCATTTCAGCATCGTCCTCGTCAGCTTCTAGTAGGTAGTCCACCTCCTTCTCCTCGTCAAATTTTAATTTAGACTCTTTTCCCTATTAATTATATTGATATTACAACTAGATTGATATCATTGTAGAAGCCCTGTAGAACTACAACTACCTAGAAGTAAAAACATGTCGAAAATTTAGGTCACTTTTCTGGGATGGTTCTAAGTAGCTCTAGCTCTAGAAGCAATGATGCATTTAAATTTATCGTGGAGCACGTGCACGTTGCAGCCGTAACATCTTCAAACCGCGCCTGTCCTTGAAGATAAGCAACATGTTGTGCACGACGGTAAGAGACGATCGTCTTGACACCACAAAGCACGAATGTGATAGCTGCCAGCGCCGATGCGATACAGGCACCGAAGGAAGCGTCGGATCCAGTCGCATAATATTTGCGACCGAAAATGTCAACCAAAACATTGTTTGAAGTGATGTCTTCCTGATCGTCACGAGTTGAAGATGGATCCGCGGAAGTCGAAGATGGTGCATCATCAACATCTCCTTTAACTTTATCGTGATCGACGTCAAAAATATTCTCTTCAGCATCAGTCACAGCGTCCTCTACTTGCTTGTCCCGTGTGGTACTAGAGGTGGAGGAAACATCGCCAGCCAATTCTGCAAGCGATCGAGATCCACTATCTCCAAGAGGTCGAGATCGTGACTGTGCACTGATTCGATTTGGGCGGTTCGAAAAAAAATTCCCCTCAAAATCGATTTCCGCAACTTGATCATCGCTTAAGGCGTATGCAGTGCTGATGTTGTAGAGGAAGCAGGCCCTCAAATAATGGAGACGAATGGTCGTGGGAATCATCTGCTTGCTTCCGTTTCCGATAGAAAAATAAGAAAATCAAAATAACATATTTTTTGAATTTTGAGTTTGTCGAGACCACTGGGCTGTGGAGGTTATCTTCTATTTCTCGAACACATTCATCGACAAATAGGAATAAAATAGAAACTAGTCTTTCTATTTGTAATTCTACTTCTTCTTTTTTGTAATTGTATGAACGTGCCTCCTCGATGAATCTGATTTTGAACTCTACTTGAATTTTTCGGGTTACAGAACTTCAGTGACTGCCAGCTGGAATTACATCATCGCGTTCTTGCGGGAGAACAAGAGGCCATGATCAAAGGGGGAAATTGGGGAGTTTTCAGAGAACGAAGATATTTCAGAGTTATCCCTTTCTCTCACAAGAAACCGACGGGAGTGAGCTGGCCACCGAGTATCTACCACGCCTCCATACAGAATAAGTATGCAACTGGCTCGACGACCGATGCTTTTCTGGTTGCGTTGTAACATCATGCCAAAGCTAAACACTCGATGAACTAAAATACTCTGTAGAAGTTGTAGCATCGATCCACAACATCATCTTCGAACTGTATGCTTTTGTTTTTCTTGTTACTGTAAGTAACTTGTAGTTCTGCTTTTGCTTGCGTTATTGATGTGAAATAAGGAAGAGACGTGTGAAGTTTCTAGAAACGGCTGCTGAAGTCGTATGAAGATGAGCGGAGCCGTCTTCTCCAGCTAGTCCTTGTCCTTCCAGACCAGTGTGAGGAGATGATGGATGTCACAACTAATACCAATAGAATCCATATGTTCTGTCCAAATCTGTAGCAAATAATCGCAAGAAAGACAAGCTCAAGGTGGTCTAGCAAATTAGTTCGTTAGTGTTAGAATATTCTCAAAATAGGATCAACATTTTCATATTTCGACCATTGTCGATGTCATTTTTTGTCTAGCCTAAAAATCATGTCAATTTGCATTTTCATTTTTTTCTACTTATTCTATTTGTACGTAGATGTAGTTGGCAAGAATTATTAACGAACTAGAAGTACTTAATGTAGCATTCATTCGATGAGATTCTACTTAGCGGTGTCGGTCTTGATTCCTTCCTCGGTTAAAATCCGGCTCACAGCAAATACACCATAAGATTCTCAGCATGCATTCAATTGCTGCCGATGCCTGGCCAGGTCTTCCTCTTCACTCTTGAGCTGCTCTTCGCTGTTCCTCTTCCGAGACTCGACCAGCACTGTCCTAGACACCTCAAATCGCAGCGACGGCTTTTCAACTTTTTGACACTCTGCTATCATGGCCTGAGCATTTCCTTGGACACCGTTTACGCTCAGCACTTTATCGCCTGCGAAGATGCGCTCCCCTGCGTTGTGACGATGGTTCCACCGACCGACTAAACCTTGGAGGGTGCATTGGAAGATTTTGACGATTTGTGATTGTTGTAGTACAAGAACTATCGGCTGCGTGTCATCTTCTTGCCAAGCTGCTGAAGAAAAAATTGTTGAAATGCGACTATGATCATCAAAAAAGAAAAGGAAACTGAAACTATCCCCCCGTGTTGTGTAAGTATTCAATTTCCATGCTGCACAAGAAGTAGATAGAATACCAGATTCCTGCACTCTTTCAATCCTAAGAGCTGTTCCTTCATCAATGTGATCCACGTCTATGCCCAGACGTTCTGGCTCTGACCCACGTTCTAGCACGTATTCAAAATGCAGCGTCCGAAACGGCTGAAATGCCTGTGGTTGTTGCGCCGTTGCAGCTGTGGACGATGACGAGGACGATGCTGTTGAGGAATCTTCATTCTTCTTGTCGTTATTTTTCATGTTCTTCATGAATAAAGAAGAAACCGTCGACGCTCCTGCTGCTGTACTAGTACTGCCGGAAGTACTACTACTGCTACTCCCAGCACCAGAAGCACCGCTAGCTTGTTTCGCTTTGTGGTTTCTGGCATTGAGCAAGTTGACCGTCCTCGCCTCTTTCATCCCGTGCATCGACTGAAGTAAGTTGTTTAAGCCGAAAATGTCCTCCTCCTCCTCAAGCACCTGCGTCAGTACTCGCCAGTCGTCGTAGGGATTTGATGTCGAAGATTTTTGATGCAGTTGTAGTTGATGAAGCTGATCCACAGAGGTGCCAGTATAACTCAGAGAGTCTTCTGGATCCACTGCAGTAGAACTGGATGAAGATGAAGAAGGTGGCTCGGTGTAAGCCAACAGCACTGGTGAAGATACCATCCTACCACTTGACGGAGATGAAGATGCTTGTTGCTCATTCGAACTCCCTTGATGATAATTTTTCTTCTTCCCAGCACTACGAGGACCACTACTTGTACTTTCTTGCCCACCTTGATGTCTACTGCCACCACCACTAGATGATATTATTGCACTTCGATTTAAACCCAAGGTCACTGATGAGCTCCCACTAGTACTGTATCGTGCGCCTCCTCCACGATGGTCGTCTATCTCGTTATCCCTCTCATGGTAAAGATAGCTCGTGTCACTTCCGCAGCACTTGCCCATATGAGCAAAGCTAGACTCGACACCGGATGCTGTGAAGTTGCCCATAGTGTTTGATGTTTTCTACTTTTTCTCTTTGAATTAAACTTCTATAAGCAGTAGCGATAGACCCCAACTTACTTTCAATGTTTTTCGTCCTCATCCAAGTCTCGTTTCTCTATTTTCAGTGGATATTGATTTCCGGTAGTTGTCATTGTTGTAATGGTCTACTTAGATGATTATTTTTGTGGCCTGTTTTCCCCGTCGCGGGGTGTCCTCGCTTTGCCGTTTCAGTGTCAAGTTCCTTCTAGCACTTTATCATGCTAGCTTCACATTATACCTTATTGAATTTTCTTGTTGACAACTTCTCACTCTGTATCACTCAGATTTGATCACCCATATGCGCACCCACACCACAAAGACACAAATGATGTTGATGAACAAGAACAAAGAACACTGTTGCAGTTGACTAAGTAGAGAAAGAAGTAAAAACAGATCAAGATCATGAATCCAAAGACATAGACATTGTTAGCGCGAATTATCTAAAAACATCAAGAATAGCATGAAGAAGGCATTATGTCCATGACAGCTTAAAAAGTAGTCTCTTTCTTTGTCGACGCCATGCGAGGAGTGCGAAGATATTCTTCATCTAGAAGAGACAACATTTTTTATTGTCTTTTTCCATCTGAGAAATCACTGCCAGGCGTCCTCTTCACAGCTCCACCCTCCTCTTCCCGCCATGATATGGTCCACGATGTTTGGCTAGGTTTTCACTTATCTTAGAGGTTGCGACATTGCATTCTTCAGATCATCCCTGACCCTTTTCCTACTGAAAAAAAAAGTCAAGGATGGTAGTGAAGAACAAGAATGCAATCATGTGGCAACCCTTAATTATTGGCTTCTTGATCCTGTCTTCTGTCGGAGCAAAGGACGCAGCGAGCTTCTCCATTTGAGCGAGCACCTCATCAGTTAGTAGTCCTCCAGGCGCTACTAGTGCTACAGCCTTGACGTTGTCAATGACTTGCTCCGCGCGACTGGCACCCATGATGACGGACGAAACATCTTGATTCCTCAGTGTCCACGCGAGCGCTAACTGCGCTAAAGAAACTCCAAGACGCATTGCGAGAGGTTTCAACCTTTGACGTTGTAAAGGAGGTGATGAAGAAGGCAGAAGAATCGTGAGGGAGGCACGAGGACAAGTTGGAGGAGGAGGTTTACGTTAACGGCATCGTACCTCATCAAGGTGTCAATTGTATAATTAGATCTAGGTACTTAGATGGTCTTGGTCAAGAAGCAGTACTAGCAGCAGGCGCGACAAGCCTATAAAACGAACAGTAGAAGCAAGTAGTACTGTCTCGCCAATTCAAGTTCGCTTTCTTTTTCCAGCAAGAACTTTTTAAACTCTGCACGACTGCCCTTAGCGACCTTCCCCTTATCCAGATACCGACCGGCCAAAATGCCCTCCGCAAGGGGACTGTAAGTGGTAAGACCCAATCCCTCTTCGCTGTGGATGAGGCTTTGGTATTCGCGTTCGACCCTTTGCCTGGCTACTAGGTTGTACAGAGGCTGTTCCATCAAAGGGCCTTGGAGCGGGATTAGAGGTCGTTAGTTGCCGCGCACAAAGAAGGCTGCTCCATTAAGGGGCCTTGGAGGGAGACTGGAAATGAGGTGGACGAGGGGGAGTGGATGATCAATGTAACACTCTATCAGAGGTAGGAACGGGAAATGTAACACTCTAGTATCTTCACGGAAAAAAATATAATTGCTACAACAATTCTAAAATTTGTTCCAACAGCACACCCACAGACATCGTGATCGATCCAACGTAAGTTCAATTTCTCTGCTACTTGGTGTGCACGTCGGATCTCTTCAGCGGTCCATTCGGAGGTTCCCCAGTACAAAGCCATCCCTTGGTCTATCAAGAAATTAAACGCTCTCACGGTCTCTTCAAGCGGAGTGGTAGGGTCGAATCGGTGTGCATAGACCAAATCCACGTAGTCCAGTTGGAGGCAGATTAGATGTTGGAGGAAGTTCTACTTGTATTAAAATAAATCATTAAAAATTGAGAAGAAGAGAAAAAAACGTGTACTTAGTAACCCTTCTAACCGATGCTACTTTTAATCATCAACTGAAGCTCCAGATGATTACGAGTTTCTTCTAGACTCATCAATGAGAATGAACTGATTATAGACATCAAGAATGAGAACCAACATAAACGTTGCAACGACCCTCGCATGCCTTCGATGAGATGCTTCCGGGATAGACCCTTATTGTTCACGCCATCTCCTCGCGCGTTGAACAGCTTGGTTGATATCACCAGTTCTTCTCGACGGATGTTGACAACGTCAACATCCTTTGCCTTTGCGTTTGCACTGGGAGTATCACTGCTAGAAGATGAACGACTAGAACGACCTTCCTCAAAGATTTGCTTAAGGGCTTCACCCATAATAATCTCTGATTCACCGTGGAAGCTACCGTAGCTCTCTGCATTGTCGAAGAAGTTGATGCCCTGTCGAATGCACTCCTTCAGGATCTGTTTGGCTTTGTTTACTCCGACTTGACCATCTTCGGTGAAGGTGAGCCACGCACCGTAGGACAACGCTGAGACGCGGAGCCCGCTTCTGCCGAGTGCGCGATACTCCATAGCAGTGTTGTTCCAAGGGTTCTGTTTGCCGAAAGGGCTGGGAGGAGGCGGTGCACGGGAAATCGAGCCTGTCTTGCTCCCTGCTGCACGGGCTGCAAGTGTGAGGAGCAGCTGGGAACAGAGGAGAAGCACACGTCTGTTGTTCGACATTTTGAAGCTGATCTTGTTTTTCAGGAGCAAGGCAGTGTTGTAAAAATTGTTTGTATAAGATGGACCACTCCTTTTTTTACTTACTTACGATCGTGTCATTTTTTTTTTCGGCTTTGATGCTTTAACAATAAACCGATCACCACGCTAAAAATAAAGACTGTCCTACCTCTTTCACTCAATTGCAGAGCTCTCTCTCTCGTCCGGTTCTCCAGGATTCGATGCAAAGATGCTCTGCTGGACACACTCCTGCTATTTTCACTGATCATATCTTGGCGCATCTGTGGATGAATGAAAATTTCTGTTCTGAGCTCAATGATGTCTCCGTGTGTGAACGACAGGTACATACTCATGTTCCTAGTAGACTCACTTTTCGGAATTCACTTCATCAACATGATGACCTCGAGATCAATGCGAAACATATGATGCTACAACTACTCCTTCTAACTTGCTTCTGTTCAGATTGATCATGACGCACCACTTTACTATTCACAAAGAAAGACTGACGCAATGCAGCCATGAAGAACAAGAACAAGTACCAAAAATCAAAATGGGACTGAAAAATAAGGTAGTTCTAAAAAACAGAGTAGAAATTGATGAATTTGAATGGTCGTGACGCTAAAATAAAAGCTCTTACTTAATGGCAATGAAAATGATAGTGAAACGACAATTCGAGGTCTTTATCGCAGCGATGTAGTTCATCAAGCTGTATCACTTCACTAGGTTATCATGTTGTGTGATGTGCTTGATGTTGAAGCTTGTGGTCCCTGGATGTAGTTCGAAAAATTAGAGTTCACTCAACACAGCAACACGTCATACTAACTTAGCGATTCAATTCAAACTTGTGCTGGTTTGCGTGGGATACCACGACCAGAGCAGGGAGCCACAGTCTGTGCTTACTTAATAGCATTCAAAGCTCCTGTGGTGCACGAATTAAGAACTTTTTGATTTTACTCCATGTAAAATGGTGTGGTCATAGTCATTGTTTTGTTGACCTTGATGATAGACGTACTGGCAGCACTAATGAGATTGATAAGGATGTCGTTCGATGATAAACCGAAAAAAGTGATAAGAAAAAGTAGTTCTCTTGTAGCTGTTAGTTCATCTGGTCACAAAATGACTTACGTCTATCTAAATTATCTGTTTCTTGAAGATGTCAACGGGTACATTTGGAGGAGACGCACGATGAAGCAACAAGCACGGTGGAAGGAATATTTAGAGGTATAGATCATGAAGATGATGTTCATGTCTTTAGTTACTCTGCGATATTGACTTGTGTAACGACTTGCAGGACCTGGATCATACTATTGCATCTTTTCGAGCATACCTATCAACTTCAACTCAGGTGAAATATCTTCCGAAACTGCGTTTTACACCTATGGGATGCTTCGTTCTATGCACGAGTACCTGAAGAACCCTTCTAAACTGATTGGAACTGCTGCAACATCGCTAGCTATTCATACTTACGATAAGAATGGACAACAACATCAACATTTTTAACATCAAGTCCAAGAACGAAAAAATATTATAAATATGAAATAAGGAAGCTTAGAATGAAAAGAACAAGTTCATTGATCAACACAGCCGAGTTTTTTTTTCTTACAAGTTCTGCTTGCTACAAGGAGGTCAAAAAATCGGGATAGCATGGAGGAGTCACATCTTCACGTCCATATCCGAGACAACTACAACTTCACCATGATACTTCACTTCACTAGGATTCGGGACGACGACAAATTTTATAAGCTTAGCAGCATAAGTAGTTCCGAAACCACGTCTTTTTTCTTTCAGATGATATGTTTTTTGTTAAAAAGGTCATGCAACATCAGCTATCTTTTCTTGAGAGTATCATGATGGTATCGCGTGGTTATAGAAGTTCAGGCTCACTAAATCTAAGTTCTTTTTTTCATTTTGCCCTTCATTTTGAGAACTCATGAAGATCCACAACTTCTTTACTTACAGTAGTTCCATTCTTTACATTTATTCGGTTCTTCAAGCAGAGCTCTTTATCTTTCGAAGTTCTAGTATTACAACTCTTATTAAACAACTCTAAACTCGTCTATCTCTACATCAAGATTTATTCCCCTTCGTCAACGTCTTTTTTTACTCCTCCTCTTCTGACATTGATACATCCTCGCCTACCCACGCTTGCAGCTCCTCCAAACCCATGAGCAGATCAAAAACTTCATCTGTCGCGTCTGCGTTCGAAGTGGTTTTTTTATGATCTACTGGTTCTGCCGGAGTTGTTTTGCTTTTAGAAGTAGCTACTGCTGCGTAGTCTCCAGCTCCATTTTCGACTGCATCTTGAACAATCTCAGATAGAAGGCCTAGATCGTACTGGTCAAGGTCCTCTACCTCTGCGTCTGCGTCGTCCTCCTCCTGTGCTTCTTCCTGATCTGATAATGCCTCATCATGATCATATAGTACTTCTGATTGGACGTCGTCGTTTTCATCCTGAAGATCTTCTTCCTCAGAAGTATTGTTGTACTTGTTGTGGTGGTTCTTGTCAGAGGATTTCATCTTGTCGTCTGCAGATGCCGATTTATCTCCTGCAGATGCTGATGTTTGTCCTGCAGGCAATTCAAAAAAAATCGGAGGCATTGGCGGAGGCAGTTGTTGACCGCCACTACTTGGCGCCGCTCGTCCACCTCGTCGAGGAGGCGGCAAGACGGTCGTTATAGAACCACCGGCAGCACCAGATGAACCGCGGACGTTTCCACCTGGTTGCGACTTCTTCACTGCGATACTCTGCTGTCCACCTCTTCCTTTGCCAAAACGTTTTTTAGCTCCTGCTGACCCCCGACTTGTTGCACTCATTCCGCCAGAAGTTGATGAAGAGGACGCGATATTTTTCAACTTGTGATGATTCGCTGAAGATGTTGTCACCCCTTCTGGTGCAGACACTATGGACGAGATCTGCAGTTTCATCGATTTATTAGTGCAACTCGTACCACCTTTCATCGAATATGAATGATTGCCTCCATGATATCTTGCATGATCATCTGGCGCTTTTCCTCCTGCGCCGCCACCACCACCTGCTACATGAGAACCAGAAGTGGCGCCTCGAATGACAACAGTGGCGATCCGTTGGCTCCCATTGTGTTTTCTCGCGGAGCTTTTGTCAATCGATGGCAAAAATTGCAAAGACTCTTCGTCGACGGAGAAGTTAGAGAGTTCATGCTCATTGCTCATTCCTTACTGTAAGATGTAAGTTATACCACCCTTGCGGTAGTTGCCGCGCAAGTCAAATTTGATAAAAGTAAAAATGAGTGAAATAAATGTGTTGAAAGAATGTCGGGGGGCCATAACAAAAGTTTCATGATTCACATGCTCTCTGGCTAACGTCCGCTTGATATCAATAGGCAGTGGTCCAAAGCCTCCTCTATTGTCTCCTGTAACAGGAGTGTTTGCTTGTTCTGGTACTGTTCCTGATACTGGTGCTCGTCCTTTTCTGGTGTCAGTGGCTCCAGAAGTACTACATGTTGTACTTCCTGGTGCTCCTATAATTGTACTGGTACAGGAACTGGTTGTACCTGCATTGCAGCTAGTACCACGTTTACACCTATCGGTTGCTCCCGCAGAGGTGCCACTACTGTATGAAGAAGGCACTACAAGAACTCCAGTTTGCTTTTGTTCTTCGACGCTCCTACAATTGGTCGTGTTCTTACTGGATTGCGCAGACACTGATACCGACTTCGACGTGTTCCCCAGCACATGAATATGTGGAAGAGAAATCGAGGAAGGAACTGTAGTGCTACAGGATGTTGGACTTGCCGCGCCCGAGGAATAGAATAATTCATCGTAGTCTACTTCATCCGCTTTTGTTATTCCAAGCTCGTCCTTAGCAGCACAAGAAGTAGAAGGTGGATATAATTTGGAGGCTTCTTTCTGATTCTGATTTCTGATTGCGAACGACGTCACAGGTGCTATCAGTGATGCTGCAGTCGGTGGTCGAGTCGACCACTGTCGTCCAGCTGCTGTTTCCTTGGAGGAGGAGGTAGATGAAGTTGATTGGTCCTGTCGCTGAAGATGTTGTCCTGCTACGTGGTTATCTTCGCCAGATGAGGCTGAGGCGAAGCTCCTTCTGCCTGGTGGTGCGGTAATTCGACGGCCCCCCGCGGTAGAGGCATTGCCAAAAATTGGAAAACCGAGGATAGGGCTGCTAGCGGAGGTAGATGTGCCTCCAGTGGTGGAAGAGGCGTAGGCGTTAATATTAGAGAATAACCAAGTAGAAGCGAAGACGATATCAACAAGAAATAAAGTATCAACTGGTGAGCATGTGGTCCTCCTGCGACACAGCCTGACAAACAAATAATTTATAAACTTTTCAGATGAAGATTTCAGAGAAAATGAACTTTGCTACTTCTACTTCCATAACTAATTTCGATGAAGATGATCTTCCAGCAGGCACAACTCCCTCACCCGTCGTGGTCGTGATTCGTATCGTGCCGCCAGTTGTTGTCCGTTGCGGTGGTGGTCCAATTAATGCTCCTGGCCCACGCTTTCCTGAAGGAAAAATAGGGATTTATTTGTCCACGACGTTGAGATGAAACAAAGGTTGAGAAGCCGAGTGGAGCAAAGTAGGACCCAGAAGGAGAAGATCAGGTGAAAAAATCGGAGATGAAAGAGCAGAACCAGGTAGGTGAAGGAGAAAATGAGTTCAGCAAGCAAGAGCAGAGTAGACGAGTGGAGCGAAGTAGGGCAACAAGAAGTAGCAAAACCGTCCGGAAATAAACCACGAGACGAGAGTAAAAAGTGCGGTCTTGATTTTGCAACCATTTTTCGAGCTCTACTTTGTAAACGACAACGGGCATCTTTCACCTCATCTTCTATGTTGCAGCTTCCTATCTTCTGCTTGTCGCTCGACGTCACCCACTGCCACTCATGAGATGGATCATGAAAAGAAATCTAGATTATCTCGTCCGCTTTGTCGTTAGGGGTTTATATGTCACTCAAACTCGCGATCCAGAAGTTGCCTCTCTTACACGTGTCGATCTTTTCCGATTGTTCCGCTCGAACACGATCGAAAGCGTCCTAGTCCACCTGCGCAACATCGAAGATTTCGTTTCTTTCATAAACATCAAAGTAAGATGAAGAAGATATTAACTACAAGAACGAATACGAAAAAGAAACAAAAATATATCGAAGAGGGTTGAAGACGGGAAACTTCGAAAAGAAAAAGGGGAAAGAGGAAACGAGGAGACTGTCTTCATGATGCATGCCATGATTAGAGTCTAAGAGATCAAACCTCCAACGTCGAATTCCACCTATCCATAGCTTCTTATAATGTAGAAACAAAAAGAAAACCAAAACCATCTCATCAAGTGAAGATCGACATATTTTTCCTAATTCAATATGTTGAAGACCTGGTCATGTTCATTAATTACAGAGCACATCTTCATTGGTCATACATTTTCTTGCGCTCTTCTACCAAAACCAAAACCAAGAATGAAAGAACTACAAAGCGACAATAAGAACCAACTTACTACTTCAATACGCCTTTTCGTTTTGACAGGCTTCAGACTTGAAGAAATGGAACGGTTCTTCGTACGGGCAGCCAAAACTTTGTGACCACTACAAGGAGTCATCATCAAAACTTCTATCTTGTTATTGTGTGGGTGAATGGGGGACGAGAGGGGTACTAGTTTTGAAGGAGGTGAAAGTGAAACTCAAATGAAAGAATAAAATTGTCCATCTATATAATCGTCTTCGAACCAAGAAGAACTAGTACAGTGTAGGTACAGCCTCCTCAGCCTTTATTTTGTGCAAGAACCTCTACTTTGTGGAAAAATTGTCTACTTGTTAAGCCAAAACGACTTGCTTAGTGCTAGAATTACCTGGATAGAAGCCCTTCTTGCCTGGTGGTGGTCCAATAGTTTCTCCCATCTGCAGCGACTTGCCTCCTTTCTTCCCTTTACCTGTAGTTGTGTTCGAAAAGAAATAAGCATGTCAACATAATTGTCTCACTTTATTTCATCAGTTAATAGTACCCAACTACTTGGTGGATGTGGAAAATCTCTTGAGCAAACGTCGTAAGATTTCAACATGACTACAGGATCTTCGTGATGATGATGATATCTTTCACACTGGATCTTCGTGATCTTTCACACTGAGAACGAGAGGGACCATGAGCATGACCAGAATGAAAAAGTAGTATTAAGCAACAACTAGAACTACCTTTCATCATTGGCGGAAAGTCGAGTCCTCCAGGTAACGGGAAATCGAAGGGAATTTGCTCACTTTCCATTCCAGCGAAAAGGTCGTTCTCCACGATCTCGCTTCCAAGCTCATTGATTAGGTCCTCTACAGCTCTCGTCGTCTGGTCTAAAGCTCCTAGACCTGGTGGTTTTCTTGGTAAAAAATCGAGTTCTTTGAAGGAAGTTATATCATGAATATCAGATATCTTTGATAATGATGACGATGATGATGATGATGATGACGTACATACGAGAACAAGTTAATACAGTTGCATCAAGTATCATTCATCAAAAATGTCTTCAGTTAGACAGCTTTCGATCTATAGAAGTGATTGTCTTTTCACGACTAGATCCTGGTGCTCTAAAAAGAGACCAAGCAACGAACATGAACGACAAGAACAGCACATCAATACAATACAATTAATCTCACACAAATAAGTTCAGTGCACCAGACTGCCATTTAAGGGAAAAATTTATCTCGAAAATACCACCACCTCCCAGTGGTTCTTGAAATATCCGCTGTACTAGTTGTGGATTCAGACCGTCTGAAAGTTTGGCGCTTTCCACATCTTCCGTCAGATCCGGGAAGAAGAAGATTGGCGTGTTATGTGGCACTTTATGCACACGCTCAGGTTCTGTGAGACAATACGCCAATCCCCTCTCCTTCAATTCACTCCACAGGTTCGTCTTAGAGGACTACGTTCCTCGTTGCCGGCGATTATGTTCATCTCGAAGCGATGAATCTTTGACCTTTTTGTTCGTCCCCTTGAAAGCACGTGGTCAGAGATGGATATACACTTCTAAAGATGTTGAAATACTCTTGTCTGAGCCTTAATCGTCACTGGATTTTGAGACAGTGAAAGACTCATACTTTCGTGGCACCTGCTCCGTTCGTTCCAGCGTGGATAATGGAGCGTTAAGCCGCGTATCGCTTCGCCGAGTATGATGACGCCACTTGCGGTCAATTGGTTCCCTTCTAAGCGGAGAGTGTGGATCTGTATTTTTATACAGGGGAGAGAAGAGATGAACTCAAGGTCAAGTGTAGTGCATCTTACTTGATGTCGGACACGAACACTAAAAGTCAAAGTACCACAACAAGAACCTGAGCCCCCAGGGCGGTTTGGGTTACTTGAAGTATGATGAAGTTATTCAAAGAGCGCATTGAATTTGAAGTTGAACAAGTTGATGAAGTTTCCAATGAATTCCAAACGAGCTGCACATCAAAAAGAAATGATTCTTCTATCCCAAATAGTACCGGTCCCGCCATCCCCTTAAGCCAATCCACTAATCCGCCTTTCTCCGTTAGTCCTTCATCCGTCACTAAATTTCTCCCGAGGTTCAATTCCCTCACATGCATGCTGTGCTTTTTGAATAGATGGCATAATCGCTGAAGGCCTGCAGAACTTATCTTGTTCCGAGCAAAATCGAGACTGCAATTCCGAAGCTTGCCGCGGTTTTTTATCAACCCCTTTACAATTCCATCCATCCATTTCGTCCACAGGTGAATATGCTCATCCGTCAACCCCTGTCCTCCCATACTCACGCAAAGAACATTGTCTTGGAAACCCAACCTTTGATGTTTGTGTTTATTGTGGTTCTGGTTGAAAATGGAAATTATATTAAGTTTGTTGATTTTGAATACCGAACCGAAGTAGTGCTGGAAACAACTACTACGTAAGATCGTAATTCGCAGATTTAACAGAAAAGGAGCTACAGCTTCATACTGGACGATGATGATACGAATCTACTCGGCGATCTGCTTAAGATTTCCCTGACCTCCACGATAACGGAGATAAAAAAAATGTAGATGGCTGATCAGTACTTTGGCTCCCATGCTGCTGTCAGGCGACTTCTTTCTTCGGGGCTGAACTTTGTCTTATGTTTTGACGTTGCTGCAGCTGCAGTGGACGATGAGGCTGAAGAGGTTGCTGCTCCACAGGTTGTTGACGTCAACAAGTCTGAGGATGAAGAGGTTGTTGACGTGACCGCAGCCACGGTAGTAGGTGAAGACGCACCAGCTGGCGCAGTAGTTGCTGAGGTTGAACAAACTGCTGCAGTTGCAGACGGATCTCCGATGTTACTTAAGGCCGCTTGCAGCACCGCAGATGCTGCTGCAGAGGTCGCAAATTTGTTATTAATAACATCTCCCGTCGCAGAGGTGCAGCTTTGCTTCGAGTCTTGTTTTTTTGGACTTCTTCCCTGCTTAGGGTTCAATTTGAAACTTATCAGCTGATCACTACTTTTCGATTGAGCAGTTCCACCTGAACAAGATAAACGTGGAGCTGCACTCTTCATCGTGCTGCCCACATGATCTCCTCCATCTAGAACTTCTGCTCCACCACCAAGATGAAGAGTTCTCGTTGAAGTTGATGTAGTTGTTCTCTTGTTGTTCATAAGAAGTAGGTCTTCTACATCTACCTCATCAAGTAGTTGTTCGTCTCCGGCGTTTCGTACAACATATCCTTTTGTTAATGTACCTCCTCCAGTAGTTTCGTACATGTCCTGTAGGATGCTCTGCAGACCAGCAGCATCGTCCTCTCCTACAACAGCGCCTAGCGCCTCTTCTAGGGCCGATGAGTGATCTACATCTACCAAACCTCCACCTCGTCCCGACGTGGTACTAGCTGTATTGTTAGTACCATTTGTTCGTGTTCCTGCTCCCCCTACTGCATTAGAACTAAGAGAAATAATCCATCTCGAAATGCATGGTCCTAGAACCTTTTTCCTCTTGGAAACGGTCTCACCAAGACGATGCCTGTGAAGTAGTGAATGGCTCTGGTATTTGGTAGCCTGATTTTGATCATAAGGAAAACAGGAAGAGAATCCTTGTGATCAAATTCAGGTTACCAAATACCTTCCAGAACCATTCAAGTAAAAAATGGGTTTCTTGTACTTCTTGTTGTACAACTAGCCTTAACTACAAGATGATCGTCCCCTACGAGGACGCCTACACCAGCACACATAGTGGAAGAAGAACAGCTTCCGCCATATTCGTAGCTTCCTAGTAAATTTCCTATGTCCACCTGCAATTCTAAATCATCCGGATCCGACAACAGTGGAGATTCTACTGCCACGTCTGGTAAAGCGGATGGGTCAAACTCCTTCGTCCCTGACGCACACGCACTAGTGGAGCACGACTCGTCCTGGGTCCTCGGAGAGCCAGCATGTTCCATCAGAGCGCGAATTTTTTCCTCCGAAGACGAACAAGATGATGACAGTTGTGGAGGAGGAGGTCTGCTTGAAGAAGATCTTCCAGTAGTTCCGGTGATTGGGTCTCCCTCTACTCCTGTAGAAGCTGAAGAGGAAGAGGAAGGATCTTGTGGTCCACTCCCATTAGAACTCAGTACAATGATCCATCTTTTCCCTCAACATCTGTTTTCATGAGTTTTTGATGTCCTCTTTGGGAACAACTCGTCTCTCACAGAAGATGGGGTAAAAGATGGATCAATTCTTGAGGCTTTAACTCCAGTTGCAAAATCGACCACCTCAGAAGCACCTCCGTCATGATCGACATCGAAAGCTGAGGAAACCAACCTCGCCAACTCGTCACAATCAAGACCAGAACACGAAAACGGGTTGTTGCCAACGATATCAGCTTGCTCGCTCTCTCCTTCCACCTTCCTTCGTTTTGCAGTACTGGAGAGACCATCCTCCTCGACGCTTTCGTCCCTCCAATGCCGCACGGAGAAAGCGCCCTCCTCAATTGTGCCAACCATCGTTGATGTTGTTCTTCTTGTTGTAATAGAAGATGTAGAAGTTGTGAGAGTAAAAAATTATCGCAATTCTTGTTCTCCGACTTGTGATCTTTCACTAATAAAGCTTAGGAAGGTCGCACTCGGGACGGTTGATGCTTTGGTCCTTTTGATGCCGGTCAGACCAGTCGCAGCGCTTCTTCCAGACGAGTGGTCCTTAGTGCTGTAGCTGTTTGCTCTCAGAGGTACGAGCAGGACGCTGCGTAATCTTCATTCTGTTCAGATGAAAAATTTTCAAAAAAAAGTTCGTTCTTTCCTTCTCTCTCCAAAACCTGAAAAAACATCTATCAGTTCCATTTTTAGGTCGAGGAGGTTGAAGAAGCAGTTGCAGTTGGAGTTGCACTTGCTCTACTTCTATTTGGCTATTGATGATGATGATATACCCAGTAGATTTTTGTCTACTGGTGTGCATGCGTTAATGTATTGGTATTTCTAGCGCTAGGTAGCCATGATACTAAGGCCAATGAGACGAAAGCTAGAAGAGATTACGTCTAGGGCTGAGCATCCAACGAGAGAAATGTATCTTGTAAGGTAATGGTAATCTACCATGGAAAACAAAAAAAAGCCAGAACAACATGCTTCGGTAAAAAAACGAGGACAAAGATCACGTGCCGATTTGCTAGTTGCTACGTCGTCGTCGTGGTCTTTCTATATTTTTTCTGCATTTTTGCTGCAACTGTAGTAGACGGTGCTTGATACACTACTACAACAGAGAAGTAGGAAAAATTACGACGCTCCCGACCACGACAAAGTCACCAACAACAGCACTGATGAAGCGAATGAGTGAATGAATGTACCCACTGCAGGGGTATAGAAGAAATCGATTACGGAGAAAAGGCGAGCGACAGAGATGGAGAACCCAACATGAACCGATGTGTACTTACGTTATTATCAAGCGAACCAAGAAAATGAGCTTTTGAAAGATGTGCTTTTGGAAATCAGAATCGTTTATCTTTTTTGGCACTTGTTGGGATGAGAACATCAAGTTCAAGATCGACGAAGGAGCAGGTGACAAACTACTACTTTCTCTTCTCAAGTTCCGAGATCGCTTCGTCCAAATGCCAACTGTCATGAATCCGTGCAAGTAGTTGTCCTGGTGGCTGACGAGTGCAGCACTTTTGATAGGGTGGGAGGTAAACTAAAGTAGAGGACATCTACATGATCTTCTTCATATTCGAAATGTTATAGGTGAGGTCCTCGTGTCCCAACATTTTAGTACTTTTAGTGAGGGAAAAGAAAAAGAAAAAGATACTAGAGATTGTCCCAGTAGACTCCTTCTAGTTGCTGCCGTAGATAGAAGTAGTACGACGCACGTCGAATTGTCGAATTGGCATGAAGTTTCATCCCTTAGGATTAGGATCAGGATGTGATCCGCGGTCCGCAGGGTTTAGCTGCATTCTCAAGCGGATTAACGCAGCCGCTGAAGGACTAGCAAAAACCCTGCGTCACATAGCAAGGATTGATGAATCACGCCCCTACAATTTCTATGGCTGCGGGACCGATAAAATGCGCCCTTCATCTCAAGAAGCTCGTAAGCTTTTACTGACTTTCACAACAAAATGGAGGTGGAGGAACGAATAGAAGTACTGCTCATAGGCTTACACTTAGCTACTTGAGGATTAGGAGATACAATAAACGACGACGATACAATAAATACAGACTCATACGTCAACGGTGAGTGAGGGAGCTCACTCCATGTTGTTGACCTGAAAAGAAGATTATAGACTCCTCAAAAGAAGATAGATTTGCAAAAATTAAGGAAAAAAACTAACACATCACACTACTAGCTTGCTGGATCTGCTCGAGTTCTTAATTTGATGGAAAGAAGAAAAACTATACTATAATAACTCACAAACTAACATGATCAACCACCTCAACGATGAAAAGATTAAGATTTATTCTATATTAAGAGCAATAAAACTTTGCAAACACATCCCTTCGGAAACCTCAACCTCCAACACCCAAACCCAAAACACCCAAACCCAAAACCTCCGACACAAAAACAAACAAACCCCAAACCCCAAACCCATGAACCCATGAACCCATGAACCCATGAA